GTGGAGTTGTTGATAGTTTAGTCCTAATGTGAAGAGTTTTAATTTCGAGGTTCTACAGCCTGAACGCACGGACTTTTGTCCCCATGTTCGTAAGCTTTCAGACATTGCGACGAAATGCTGTCACAGCCAAGCGAGGCTGACCACCAGTGAAATTCTTCCCAGCCTCACCAAACAGCTTCTGCCAGCACAACAACAAAACAGAGTACTTTTTCAAGCAATTCGCACATCTCCTCACGCTTTCTCCGAGAGGACACGCATCGAATATCTCAGAGGATCACAAAGTACACCGTCTATCAGCAATCAGGACATCTCTCGCAGCTCTCCATCAACACAATGCCTCCTCGAACACCCCGCAGAACGCGCCAGCGACATCACAACAGCTCAGAGTCTCACGCCCAACCAGCCCCCGTACAAGCATCTGACTACGACTCTGAAGCCTTTTACAACGAGCCGGCTCCAGAACGAACAAGAGACCAGATCAACGAATCCGTCATAAGAAGATATGTCCCTTCACTCAACCACATCGTCGCGATCGCACCGAACGCAGTCATCTACACCTTCGCAGCAGATTCAGGCAACTGGGACAAAGCCAACATCGAAGGCTCGATGTTCGTCTGCCAGCTCGCACCTTCACCTGTTACGGGCGGTACACGCCATTGCATAATCGTGCTGAACAGGAAGGGGATGGAGAATCTGATTATTGAGTCGGGCGAGATTGAGGATGTAGAGATTAAGGACGATATTCTGATCCTGCGGTTCCAGTCTCATGAGGAGATCAAGACGATGGGCGTTTATATACATGGAGATCAGTTTAATTCAAGAGATTACATCTGTCAGTTGGTGAGGGCACATTGGGAGACGGCGATGGAGGAGAGGACGGAGGTTGGGAGTGAGGAGTATGATGAGGAGGTTTTGCAGAGTATTGAGGCGCCGGAGGAGAATAGGCCTATGGGTAGGAGGATCAGTTTATCGGAGCTGTTTGGGCGACGAGAACAGACTGAGGATGAGGAGTACTATCATCACTGAGGCTGGGTTGGAGATGCCAATCTACCTTTGCTTGCACTTCGCATGAAAAATTGTTCCCGAGGCCGTCTGGGGGAGTAGGAGTGTTGGACGAGGGAGGACAAGCTGGAGGATATACACGATTTCATCGCGAAGATACCCAATATGCTCAGCTCTACGAATTGATGACCACTCGAGCAAGCACTCCGTCTGGCAGACAAGTGCCAGGAGACTCATGACAGAGGACTCAGAGGTACGATGTTTATATCTTTTTCTCATTTGCAAGCACCATTTGTTTTCTGGATTCAAGTGCCGTGCAAGTACTTGCAGGCCCCCGCGGCAGGCACAGCACTACGGTCCGCCATCCGCAGTGGGGCTTCAACCGTGCGGGGTGATGAAAAGCTTCAGCTGCATCGCCATCTATCAACATTTATTTCTTGGCTTCTTGTATCTTTCATTTATTTCTCAATCATGGCACCTCCTTTTCGCGCAGAACAGATTGGCTCTCTACTACGCCCAGAAGAACTTCTCAAAGCTAGAGCTTCTTCTGATCTATCGAAATCCTATGTCCCCGTCCTCCCAGAGGAAGTGAAGCGTATCACTTGCGAAGCAATAGCTTCAGCGGTCCAGAAACAGGAATCTCTTTCCATCCGCCCCTTTACCTCTGGTGAATATGAGCGCCATATATTCTATGGCGGATTCTTTGAGAATCTCGAAGGCATGGAAATCATGCCCGAGTTACCCATTCCGAGTGGCTTTCGAACGGATTTTCCCACTGTCTTGACTTTGCAGCAACTAGGAGTAAAGTTTAGGCCTGGCGTGGTTGCCACGGGTAAGATTAGGCATGTGAAGAGTGTCTATGGCGAAGAGTGGGAGGTACTGAAGGGACTATTGCCGGAAAGTAAATGGAAGGAGTGTAAATTAACAATGCCATCTCCTACATGGCAGCATATGCAGTAAGTTTATCTCATTGTACGTTTTCTGATCCAGACTTTCCACAATCTGAATGTCCGATCTGGCTACGCTTTTCAAATATCCGGACATACCTCAAAGATCTAACTAACAACCCAGACTCGCAAAAGGAACAGCCTACACCCCCTCCGCATACACAACAGACGAATCCTACTTCACCGACCTCACAGCCGCCTACCGCGCCGAATTCCACTCCCTCTACACCTCCGGCCTCCGCTCAATCCAAATCGACGACCCAAACCTAACCTTCTTCCTCACCGAATCCTTCCTCTCAGGCTGCACAACCGATAACATCGACCCCTCCGCCCTCCTGACCCTCTACATCGCAGCCCATAACTCCATCCTCGCTTCCCGACCTAAAGATCTCCATGTAGGCATCCACCTCTGCAGAGGAAACATGAAAGACAGCACGCACGTCATGAGCGGTTCTTACGAGGGGATCGCGAAAAGGTTGTTCACGGAATTGGAGTACGATACTTTTTACCTGGAATACGACTCTGAGCGTGCTGGGGATTTTGAGCCATTGAGACACCTGCCGATCGGCAAGAATGTGGTGTTAGGCGTGGTGAGTAGTAAGGAGACGGAGTTGGAGGATTTGGGGGACTTGGAGAAGAGGGTTTGGGAGGCGGCGGGTGTGATTGCGAGGGGGCAGGGGAGGAGTAGGGAAGTGGTGGTGAGGGAGGTGTTGGGTGTTAGTCCGCAGTGTGGGTTTGCGAGTATGAGTCAGGGGGGTGGGAAGGGGATGGGGATGGAGAGGATGTGGGAGAAGTTGGTTCTTGTGAGGGATTTGGCGAGGAGGATTTGGGGTGAGGAGGCGGTTTAGGTGGTGATTGCGATGGTAGTTAAGTCGAAGTCCATGTTGACTATTGAGCTAATTGTAATCTGGATAGTGGCTAAGCTTGCAATTGGTATCGTTTGATTGTACTCTCTTCGATTCTAGAATCTGTTGTGGAATTGATAGGCTTTTGAGTCAGTTCTGGATTGACCGACCTATTGCTATCCAAGGATGAGATCTACAGCTAATTCCCCAAGAGCGTATACGCAGGCTTGAATCGGGGCTGTGATTGGAGTCGGTATCACACTCGCATCCACGACTCTCAAGCCCTCAACGCCCTTAACTCTAAACTCCGTATCGACAACTTTACCCATCGAAGCCGTTCCTGCCGGATGATTGATCGTCCTATCAATCATAGATTAGTCCTTGCGCCCTTCCTCTTAGAAAGACAACTCACCCAGCACCGCTCTTAATCCTCTGATCAATATCCTCATCTCTCGAATCCTCTCCAACAGCCATCACCCCCTCCGGCACATCCTCACCAACAACCATGTCCTTACCCGCTCTTGTCCTAAACATCCTCGCCACCATCCTAACCCCTTCCCGGAGGCGATACCGATCTGCCTCCGTCTCAAAATGACGATTATCAATCAACGGCTTCTCACTCACATTCCCACTCCTCAACGTCACCGTTCCTCTAGAGGTAGGAATCAGATTCAACGCCCAAGTCGTGATCCTCGAGCCATTTATCGGGAAGCCGACGTATTGAACGACAAAAGCTAATTGGCACCTCGGCTCTTTCAACAATGGATAAGAATCCGAAACAGAGCCGCTAAGGTCTGTTGAAATTGCAGCTTGGAGAGGCGAAGAGGGGATAGAAGCGGTCGTGTACCAATCTGTCGGATTCCCAGTTTGGAACTTCGGGTCTGTCCATGCTGAGGAGCCGACTGAGGATGCGAGGGCAGTGTATTTGGGCGAGAGTTGCCATTGTTGCAACACACCGAGGTGGTCCCAGAGATTCTTGCCTACGTGTGGTGATTCGACGATTTGTGGGATGGAGTGTTTCGCTAGTTTGGCTGCGGGACCGATGCCTGAGAGGAGGAGCAGTTGGGGGGTTCGAAAGGTGCCGGCGGAGAGGATTACTTCTCGTGTGCAGGTGTATGTTTTCCCATCTGCGAGCTCGAGGCCTGTTGCTGTTGTTTTGCCATGCTTGGTGGCGAGAAGGACACGCTTCGCGAGCGTTGATGTTAGGACCGTGACTCCGGCTAATGGATAAGCAGCGGAAGCAATTACACGCTGTCCTTTGGTGCGAGCTTCTACTATCTCTGCTACTCCTAAGGGAGAGCCATTGTTGATATCTTCAGATTGAGACAATCCAACTTCAGCCCAAGCCGCACGGAGGGGTTCTCGAAGGGCATAGTCTCGTCCAGAGGAGGACACGGATGCCGTGTACACGGGACCGTGATGTCCATGGTATTCTTGAGGAGCAGAAGGATCATAATGCGTTTCTGTTTTCTTGAAATAGGGCAACATTCCCGCCCAACTGAAGCGGGGAGAATGGACCATGCTGGCCCAGACATCGTAGTCTATCGAGTCACCTCGAGTCCAGACCCCATAATTGATGACTGAGCTTCCGCCGAGTGCTTTCCCGCCTCCTGCGTAGATTTCTCGATTGTCGAGGTGCTTTTGTGATACGGTGGCATAATTCCAGTCTAGTTCGGAACCTTTGAGAGCAGCTACTTTAGTGGGGTTAGCGGTGAAGGGCGCAAGGGACGTCCGGGTGGAATCTGGTCCGGCTTCTATGAGGAGGATTTTGAGTGAAGAGTCACGTTCATGGAGACGTGATGCTATGACGGTCCCTGCTATACCTCCGCCGACAACGATATAGTCGAAAGTCTCTGAAGACATGTTGAGTGATCAAAAGCTACAGAACCAAAATTGCAAGAGTTCAGACGAAAAAGAAATATAAACAGATCTTGGCGGACATCAAGTCCTTTTTATATGTCTCATCTTCCATGCACGTAAATACAGGTATCAGCTGCAAATGGACTATCCCCAGACGATTACCACCAGCATGATACTTCATCTGGAGTAGTGCGCGGATGTTTTGACATACTAAAGCGTCAAACCTCTTATAACATAGGAAAGGGTTGCGACAAATAGGATACGGTTGCGACAAATAGGGTGAGGTAAGCGACCCTTTCGGGAACTCTGCTCGCAGGGTTGAAGGGATTGAATTGGATGGTTATACGGAATGATGTAAGCAGAGCAGATATGCAGGACATCACTTAATGCCCATGGACTTGATTGTGCTGGTTTGGAGACGCCAGTGGTTAATCTTGAACAAAAAAGCTAATCAGGGTACGTAGGGATCTGAAGGATTGTACGAAGTATTAACGCATTGGTATTGTGAAGTGGCTTCCTGCTGCGTTTTTCTTGTCAGCTGAGTCGTAAAGCAGATTATGAGTAAATGGTCCAAAAATGAAAGAAGTATAGTTGCATCCGTTGAAAGAATAATAGAGCACTGGTAAAAATACTGCGAGTCTCTGCCACTCAATTCTGAGGACATTGAAAGCATGACTTGGAGAGATTTGAAAGGATCTCGAAAGCGTTTGCGATGCATCCTTGATTGGAGTTTAGAATGTCGAGGCTACGGCTCAGCTTGACCAGCCAACTGAGCATATAGTTGAAGATGTCTCGGCTTCTGTTGTTCGTTCGTCACGAAGGATGAAGAAGGTTGAGATGAAAAATAAATACGAGATACGCGAGCTCACCCTAACCTCCACACCACGTGCAATCCACCCCTCACTCGTATCAGACTTCGATATTGTTTCTCTTCTTTTCTTCTTCGGCGCCCTCGATTACATCCTCACTCAATATTGGTGCCCGCGGCAGCCCAACACCTCAAGATGTCGGCGCCAACCGCGAATCCCAAGACTTCGACCCCTTCGTGGTTGCTCATCGGACCCCGCCGCGATATCTTGCCGGCGGTCTTTGACACATAGATAAAGGCTGAAAGTCCTCGATCGTGTCGATGACTTCAAGAATATTATCAGATCAATACCAATTATTCGTCTGAAGACATCAAGGAAGAAGCAAGATGCTGTATCTTCATGCGACACTGGTGACAGTCAACCCTGACCGGGATGTTATCCTCGATGGAGCTATCCTCGTCAAGGGAGACAAGATTGCTGATATTGGAAAATCGGAAGCTTTGATTGCTAAACATCCAGACGAGGAACATGTTGATCTTACTGGGAGGATTATCATACCTGGTCTGATCACTACACATATGCACACAGCTCAAACGCTGCTTCGAGGTGAGTTGTTCTCACGTGATCGAGCTGAAAGCTTGCTGATTGAAATGTTATTCAGGAGCTGCTGATGATCTGGAACTGGTCTCATGGCTTTGTGAAAGAGTTTGGGTGATGCAGGGCAATTTCACAGCTGAGGATGGCTATGCAGCTGCGAGGATCAGTATTGCCGAAATGCTGCTGACTGGAACGACTTGCTTCTTGGAGAGTATGGTGAGTATTTGAAATGTTAGTCTTCAGAACCGAGATCTAACAACTTTTAGTTTGCAGATAGATACGGCTTCGATGGCTTATGTCGAGCTGTTGAAGAAAGTGGCATTCGTGGATGTCTAGGCAAAATCGTCATGGACATCGGCACTTATGCCAAGGATTCCGCTTGGGTAATGCATCCAGGTCTTGTCGAAAACAGAGAAATGTCCTTATTAGGTGCACTCAGTATGCATGAGAAATGGGACAAGAAAGCAGATAATAGGATTAGGGTTTGGTTTGGAGCTAGAACTCCTGGAGGGTGAGCTTCCCAATCCTTGGATGAGAATGAAGCTTACAAGTACCACAGAGTTTCAGATGGCCTCTACAAAGAGATGACTGCGATCTCGAAAGAGAAAAATATCCCTATCACAATGTAAATCTACTCCTTGCGAACGTTGAACTATCCAAAGCTAACAATTCCAGGCATTGTGCAGAAGTAAAGGCAGATAGAGAATTCTTCGCAGCCCAAGACCATACCCCGATGTCCTATTGCAACTCAGTCGGCCTTCTCGGTCCCAGCACAGTCCTCGTCCACATGGTTCATCTCGACGATTCAGATATTGCAAAATTAGCAGAAACCGGCACTCATGTTGCACATTGCCCGACTTCAAACGCCAAACTTGCATCAGGAATCTGTCGACTGCCTGAACTACTCAACTCAGGCGTCAACGTTGGACTCGGCACCGACGGAGCACCATGCAACAACACCAATGACCTGTTGCAAGAAATGAAGCTCGCTGCCATCATCCACAAAGCGAAGAGCTATGATCCAACTATGATCAATGCCGAGCAAGTCATGGAGATGGCTACCATCAATGGCGCAAAAGCACTTGGACTGCAAGATTCGATCGGGAGCTTGGAGGTTGGCAAGAAAGCGGATTTTGTGTCTATTGATATGCGGAAAGTTCATCTGCAGCCCTACTTTTCGGCTGTGAGTGCGGTCGTGTATTGTGCGACGGGCAAGGATGTTGAGATGGTTGTCGTGGATGGCAAGGTTGTTGTTAAGGAAGGAAAGCTACAGACGATGAATGAGGAGGAAGTATGGAAAGAGGCGGATGTGAGAGCTCATCAAATTTTAAAAAGGGCAGGGTTGACGGAGAAAGTCAAGGGAAGATGGCCAACGAAGTGAGAGGAGGATGGATACCTAACCGAGGATAGAGCAATGTATGAGAGTTCACTCCAATCGAGTAGTTTGCTCGCGGTCGAAATGTCGACATGGACGTTTCAGCACAATTTCTCATATTTGCGTCTATACCAGGAGCTCAAGCCCTAATTATTTATCAAAGTCCCCGATTCTTATCTGTCAAGTGACACTTTTCACAGTATTGAAAACTGAAGCTCCAAACTTCTCCAGAGCCTGGGAAAACACCTGAACACGATTCACGTGACACCTAACTTGAAAGTCTTCCATGTTATTCTTCTGCTTTGTCACTACACATTTGCATGCGTTTGTCAATCAAAATGAACAAATCCATCTAATTCCAGTGTGCCATATAGACTATTGTGCTCGAGACAAACCAACGCTAGTCCAAGTCTAGTAACCAAAATTGCCCAAAGAAGAAAGTGAAGAAACATACATGATAAGTAATCAGCATACAGCCATTCTTACCAATGCCAAATCATCAACTTAAGCTACCTAAGATTGATTGCGTTGGAAATGTGCTTTCAACCTTTCAGGAAATTATTGTTTTGGTGATACTTCAACCTGCATACCGTTCTGTTTGTCAGCTATGGCGAGTTGCGTAGACCTGGTCGTCAAGAATTATTTACTAATGAAAACTGTTTACCAACTCCCTTAAGACTCTTCATAGAAAGACCACAAACAGTCGAGTATATAAATACAGCATCATTTCAGTTCTGAACATACTCGTTCCACTCCATTCCTCAATACCACCAGCCTCATACAATCTTCACAACCACTTCCCCAAAACATGTCAACATTCAAAAACATCGCCCTCTGGGGCATAGGCGGCCAAAACATCGGCTCCTCCATCCTCACCGCTCTCCTCGCAGACAACTCCTACAACCTAACAATCATCGCCCGCGAATCCTCAACCTCAACCTACGCCCCCTCCCTCCCCCTCATCCGCGTCTCCGACGACCTCTCGCACAGCAGCCTCGTCTCCGCGCTCCGCAACCAAGACGTCCTCATCTCCGCCGTCGGCTTCGCCGGTCTCTCCTCGCAGCTCAACCTCGCGCGCGCCGCTATCGAAGCCGGCGTAAAACGGTTCATACCGTCCGAATACGGATTCGATAATGCGGATCCGAAGAATGCTGCTTTGTCGCCGATTTTTCGGCCGAAGCATGAGCTGGAGAAACAGTTAGTTGAGCTGGTGAAGCAGAATCCGGGGTTCACGTGGACGGCGCTGGCGACGGGCATTTGGCTTGATTGGGCGCTCGATGTCAAGTTTATTGATATTGATCCTGAAGCCCATCAGGTGGTGTATTGGGATGAGGGGACGCAGGCACCGAGTATGACGACGTTGGAGTATACTGCGCAGGCAGTTATCCAGGTGTTGAAACATCCGGCGCAGTTTAGAAATCAGCGGGTGTTTATGGAGGCGTTTGCTGCGAGTCAGAGGGATGTGGTGGAGGAGCTGGAGAGGGTGCAGGGGGTTGAGTATGAGAGTCAGAGGATTGATGGGAGGGAGAAGGTTAGGGAAGTTATGGGGGTCTTGGAGAAGGGGTTTGAGTTGCAGGCTGCGCTTGCGACGGTCAGGGCTGAGCTTTTTGTGGGAGAGTATAAGGCGGATTTTGTGAGGAGTGGGAAGGAGCCTATTCTTGAGAGGGTGGTGGATATGCCGAAGATTACGTTGAGGGATGTTGTCAGGGAGTATGTTGCTAGGCATTAGAGAGAACTTGTAATTTTACAAAGCAGGAAATGTAAGATGGGTATGGATTTATTTTATTATATTTGTCGTAGACAAGAAAAAAGCTTTTGAATGTAGGCACATCTTTTCTTTGCTTCTACTTAATGCAAAGGTCTATAAAGTTATGCGTACAGTTATGACTCCTTTTCCCCTCTACCTCCCAAACCTGCCAACAAACTCATCTTCCCTATCAACCTTTCCCCTTTCGCCTCGATGCCAATCCGCAAACGTCCCCTCACCCTCCTTCCCAACCTCCACCACATCCCGATCCTTAACCTCCAACCTCTCCAAGAACGGCGGGACGTCAATCAATATAACAGCATGGCTATAAAGACAAGCTAGCCGAGGATAATCGCGATCACTAGGATGCACTAACTGGATCTCCCACCCCGAGTGATGTGAATGTGGATCATTGAGCCAGAGCACAGAATGGAAATTCTGGTACGGGAGACGAATGTTGATTACCTATTTCCATCCATCAACACACACATACCATAAAACCAAACGCAAAGGGTAAGGTTAAACTCACAGAAGAAGGATCCACCTCTCCCGTCAAAACCTTATCCAGAATCTTCACTCGCTCAAATTTCTCGCCAACACGATCCGTCATAGCGTGCTCCTCGCGCTCAGCCTGCGGATCCCAATACTCATCATCCTCGTTGTTCTCTTCGCGGTATTGGAGATGCTCGTCCCAGGGTTCGGTGCTGAGGAGGGGGCGGACCGTAGCGCGGATGTCGAAGGTGCGGGCGAGGGAGGAGAAGACGGTGAAGATGGTTGTGTCGAGGCCGCGGAGGCTGTAGGGCATGTGGAGTTCGGTGTAGCGGGTCGTGTGCGAGTAGAGGTGGGTGCAGGCGTAGCCTATTGTGCCGCCTGGGTGGGGGATTAGCAAGTTGGCAGAGTTTGGCATCTTGGGATATGAGGTGGGTTTACAGTACCTTCGTACAGAAAGCCGGGTTGTTCGAGTAGCTCTGTCAGTTTTCCATGGAGTGGGAATAACGTTGGGTCAATGGATGGGTTTCGTTGTAGTAGCCCACCTACACGCTCAGAGAGGTAAAGATTGTAAGTGAGGGTAATACAGTGTCCAGATTTTACGGGACCGATTTCGTATTCGCAATCGCTGTAAAATGCTGTCCATTGGATAGTGTTGGAGTCTTCATCCTGCTGGGACCAATCGAATGCTGAATTGTAGCGTTTATGGTAAACGAAGAGTTGGCCCCCTGGTGTCAATTCAGCATGTGAATTAAGGTGGAAGCAGAGCTATGAAAACGAACCTTCGTGAGAATATGGCAAGCATACTATCAGTGTTCCAAACTGTGATGTTGATTTCGTCTTGTTGGTTGTCTTTTGTAATTGCCCAGAGGTTGCTGAATATACCTGAAGTCGTAACATCAGTCATGCGCCGAATAATTTCATAGCAAACTTTACTCACATTCAACTTACTCAACTCAGCTTTTACACCCCAATGCTATCTCCTCTCCTCATCTCTACTTTCAATACTGGTACTCGTCTCTGGTACCAGCGCTTGCGTGATTGCGTCCAAGATTCCATAGTCAGCCGGATGCCAATCAACTGCAAAACTTTCTTTGTCCAATTTTCTCTCATCCCTCCCTATCTCTTCTCTCCCTCCCGCATCACAAGCTTCCAACAAAGTATCTAACTGCATTTCGTTGTGGCCAGGATCCAAAGGAGATTTGATCTTGGCAGTCGAGTTCTCGCCATGATCGAACCGTATAACAACAGGTGGAGACGTAATCCCTCCTTTCGTTGGCTCGAATACGTAACTTTTAGAGGAAGAAATTGGCAGGCTCCCACCACAGCAATACGAAACAGTATTCTCAAAACTTTTTAGTGAGTTTTGCAGATCTTTGAACACACTTTTCGCAGCCAGGGCCCGTAGCGATCTTGGACCACCCCCTTTGCTGAATTTAAATCTAGCAGGAGTGGAGCTGGGCGGAAGGTTTGATGAGGAACCGGCTCGCATGTGTTTTGGTTCCTTGCCACTACGATATGCGGGGGTTGAGGAGAAGGAGGTCATGGTTGTGTCTGAGTCGCCGTCTGATTCGATTTCGATGGGATCATCGGAGCCTCCTGCTGATAACAGGCTCAGCTGAGCGTGAGGTGGGAGGGGTGGAGGTGGCATTGAGGTCGAGGTCGAGGCCGAGGATGAGGATGTAGAATTTTTTCGAGGGTGCTTTGGACGGGGTGAGAAAGGAATTGAGGTTGACGGGAGGGAGACATTTTGAGGGGTCCTGGGAGGCGGCGGTGGTGGAGGCATCGAAGACATTACGTCGTAAGAAAGTATGATAGTCGACGGGGACAGATTTGTAGAATTTGGTCGGAGGTGGAGTTCTTAAGATGGAATTGTGAAAGATGAAGAAAAAGAAGAATATATGATAAGTAGTAGAAACTAAGACATTCTTGCTTGGTCTGGAAAGCCGAAGGCAACAACGCAAAACGAACACGAAAACACATGATGAAATGTGATACCTTTGATATGTCTCATCTCGATCATAATGCCTTCGACGAAAGGGGAAGTTGCCGAGGCGTTGCCTGGAATTGGTGGGCGCAGGGATGCATCACGTGCGTTAGCGTTAGGCATCACGGGAATCCAACACTCGTATCGAAGAGAATAAAGCCGATTAATGTGAAGTAGATGTCAGGGATCCTGTTATTTATAACAAAAGCCAAATGATAATAGCTGATCAAATTCTGTTGTGTTTTCAGGAATGAAACAAAGCGCATCACGTGCCTATTCACTGACAATTTACGCCATTCCTTAGGTAGGTGCCCAGGCCCGAAGAGAACAAAGTGGACCGATGATTCTTCAGGAGCGTAAAGATGCGGAAGTTAGATATTAAACATAAATTACGAAAATGCCACCATACACGACGCGATCCGCGTTCATGAATCCAGGAGATTGGGACATGGGAGTCTGAACGACGATCATGTAGAAGTGGTGGGAATAAGCAAAGAAACTTCACAAGACCTCAAAAAGATCACACAGATAAATATAATGAAGTAGATATTGACAGCATTACAGCCCCGGTCACCACTGTTTGCTACGTGATGCTTCCCGTGATGTGGTCTTACATGCCCTTCATTCTGGCATTCTGGACTCGCTTCACATCTCGAACTTTAACGCGACACGCCACACATTCTTGATACCACGCGTAGAAGTCAACAAGCATAATACATAAGTCACCACTTAGTACCAAGGAACGGCAATATTCATCCAAAGAGCAAACACAAAACCACATTCGTTTAAAGCAGTCTTATTCTTTTCCAATATCAACACAGCACCGACTCTAGAAAGTAAACAAACATACTAACGTCATGATGAATTCAATGCAAGAATACACAACGTCGATAGTATTCTCGTGCGTAGGAGTCCTTGCCTTCGCCACTTGCGTTGTCTTTGGCATATGGTGCCACAAGATCTGGCTCACCTACGGCTTCTACGTTGCCGATTTCAAGAAGTTCGATACCGAACTTCGTCAAATATCTTCAGAAGCGACGCAGATGAGAAAGGACGTCGAACTAGACCATACTGCCGACTGTCTGACCAAAGTCCGGAACGCGGAACTACTCTCGGCTGCAGACGATTGCGATAATGGATTGAGAATTGCGCTGTGTGCATGGGAAGATATCATGGAGCCTGAAGAATGGAAATTGGATATCGAGAGCAAAGGGGACAAGATGATAAAAGGGAGGAGAAGAAGTCATGGACGGTTCGTGATTCGGTTGATGAGGCAGAAATGTATAGAAGGACTTGCGAAGAGGAAAGGCATGGAAAAGGAATTGCAATCGATGTACAACGAAGTCATGTCGCGGTAAGTACTTGTGTCTACTCAACTCAGGCATGGACAATCCTAATATTCTACAGGAAGATCGACTTGCAGTCCAACTTGTTCAATCGACGGATCGCTAGCGGACATGAAATCAGAGCTGAGCGAACCGTCTTGGTACGTACGAGTCGTATGCTTGTCAATCTCTAGTATGCAGAAAACGACTGACTTTGAATAGCAACCCGAGCGTCACCGAGGTCCGTCTCATGTGCCGCCTAAAGTTCAGTCCTCACTCGAACCGATCGTTCCGAATAGCCTCAGTGCGCTGTCACTACCAACGACCACAAGGAAATCGAGTTGTCCAGTACCTGATATTGAGGGGCTGAGGGTGTATACAAAGATTGAGGGTTGATGAGTTGTGACGTGGTTGTGTTCAATTCGTGCCGAAAATCGATTTTGTGAAGACTGGAGACTGGACTTTGGATGCTTATCGAATATCAATATCAGATGATTCTTACCATGGAAGACTGCTTCCGTAGAGGTACCGCGAGAAGTGACAGATTTTACGGAAGCTTATCATTGGTCTGCTGGGTTGCATAGAAAGTGACATATTCCAGACGTGAGATTCAACGACATTACCATACTTGCCCCCAACTTGGTGCAGCTGCGTGGCATCATGCTGTTGATCGGTGGATCGGGGTGAATATATAATCGAAGGCGGTGTGGACGTTGGGATGCGAACGGATGAATGAAATGCAACGTCTGCAAGGGAGACTGAGTTGCTCACCGAGCAGATGTCCAACGACCAGGTTGAAGTCTGGAAAGGAGGGGAGGAGCAGAAGTTGATAGGTCACATCTTCCCGCTCCAAGAAGGTTTTCCGAGTCGGAGATTTTCCCATTAGAAGTTCCAACATGATGGTACAGTAAAGAAGCAAGCGGTGCTTGGCACGGAGCCTTGGTGGCCTTAGTACTGTAGCTTAGTCAGCTAGACTGGGCCATACTTTTCCACATACTTATAGTTGAAGCCTCGAAAAGGGCAGTCAGTGTACGTTGAGATGCAGATCAATATACTTTTACGAATGAAAAACAAAGTTATTTGCAACTTCGAGCATTCTCTTATATAATTTCATCGGAGGTATAGTAAGCGACGCCAAGCCACTCTAAAGTGACATCTACAAGTTCGCGTGCGGATCTTCCTCACTCTCCAAGGAAGTCGAATCGACATACACCTGGCTTCACTCTCCATGTGGACATGAACGTCTCATCTCACATCTCCAACATGAAAGGACCAAGCCATCGTCCCCCTTCATGCAAGCCAGTACCAAACAAGACCACAACACAGCTGTGAGTACAGGAACTGGGAAGAAGAGGGCGTCGACATTTGATATTCTGCTGCAAGGCGATTGCCGTCTGCCCGAGGTATGAGCACACCACGAAACCCCCTGGCGCCTATCGGACCTTACAGTCATTTCCAATCCAAACAGCATCGGACGATGCGCCCTTCTCAGCAGCGATTTCCTTCCCGCCGCGCAGCCAAGCCCAAGTCGGCCATCTGAACCGTGAGCAGAGTGTCGTTGATATTGATATCAGACTCGTTATTGCAGCGGAGTGACATGTCCGGGTGTGGCCGCTCGCTCAGTGAGCTGCGGCGAGCCAAGAACCCCCAAGCAAGTCGTCGAAGTTTCCAGCGTTCCCACCACGCTGTCACCTGGGATCCCAGGAAAACGGTTCGTCCAGCGTCCTGGTACCAATAGCAAGACAGGCGAACGGCGAAGCCAACATGAACATGCGGTTGGAATTCCTGCATTCGATCTTTGATGCTGCCGCCCCATGCTCATCTGGACGAGACCCTGGCTCGGTGGCGGGTTTCCCCCCCCAGGGCCCCTCTGATAGGCGCCATGTGCGGATTCCCGGGCCCAGTGTGCTGGCTAGTGTCGCCCATATAGGACTGGGATCGTCCCAAGGACTTGGGTTAGGGGATTTAGGGTGGGCACCGGTTTCCCGACCGTTCGGATTTTTCATCAGTCGGGTTATCCCCCTCCCCTTAGGTCGCTTTCGCTCGTCCAACGCACCATTATTGTCGTCGTTACCTTCACATCTCCTACGGTGCTGCTGTTCCAGCGAAAGACATGGCGGGAGAAGACGATGCAATTGAGCCAGTAAGCTATACAGCCCGCACTCATGGTTGGTCAAGCTGATGCAAACTCCGAAGCGGGAGGGAAATTCATCTAGATCTTCGGAACTCGAAATGTATGTCTCAGTACACTTGCGATGTCATGTCAGACCGTGGCGCTTGCTGACAACTCAGACAGAAACGATACTTTCTCAGTAGACTCAAGCATTACGCAATATCGTATCGAGAATGGCCGACGATACCATGCGTACAAAGATGGCATCTATTGGTACGCGTGGGAATGGCCTGGGCCTATTGAATGGCTTTATTGATCATAGCGGTATAGGGCACCCAACGATGATAAACAAAATGAGAATCTAGACATCAGGTAAGCTTTCGCCTTTCGATTTGAGTGGACCAACAGGCTCATTGTAGTTTCTAGCCATCACAAATATCTGCTCCTTCTCGAAGGAAACTTGACAGCTGCACCAATAGAAAAGGATATTGAGGTAGGATCTTCGGTACAGCGATACTCAAAGCATGACTTTTTGACATCTTTTGCTTAGAGAGTGCTCGATATTGGAACGGGAACAGGAATCTGGGCCATTGACTTTGCAGACGAACATCCCAATACCACGGTGATAGGAACAGACCTCTCGCCTATACAACCAGACGTTGTGTGAGTCGTAGCCCGAACGTTTCCCGTCTGTCGGAATTGACTCTGTACCAGGCCTCCAAATTTGAGATTCGAGATTGACGATGTTCGAGATCGATGGACGTATCCGGTAGACTACTTCGATTTTATTCATATGAGAGCGCTATTCGGATCGATAGATGACTGGGATGCTGTGTATGGACAAGTATATAAGTATGTACTCCTTTCAGCGGACAATTCTTTTTCGATGTTGTTTGCTGACAAACTTAGACACCTCAAGCCGGGTGGCTACTTTGAGCAAGTAGAAATCTCAATATACGTATGAGTTATTTTCTTGTTCTATTTGAGTAATCATCCTTCTAACATCGATTAAAATTACCATCGTTCCAAGTGGACATTGTCAAATCTTGGCATTGCAAAAATTGTTGGTTCTTTGAGACAGCCGCTGACGTTGACTATGGCAGATCAAATCTGATGATGGAAGTCTCCAAGAAGGCAACCCTTTCTTGAAATTTACACGCGTGAGTCAATTTCTTATTCTACAAATTATCAACAGCCAAAACTGATATTGTTAAACTTCGACTAATCATCTCTTGGTGAAACAGATGTTCGAAGAGGCCGGAGAAATTACAGGACAAACATTCAAAATTGCGGAGATAATGAAAGAGAAAATAGAAAGAGCAGGGTTCGTGAATGTTGTCGAAAAAGTTTTCAAAGCACCAATGGGAGGCTGGCCAGCAGATCCAAAACTGCGAGAGATAGGGCAGTGGACACTGTTGGGATTTCTTTCAGGGCTGGAGGGATACGCGCTGGCGACGCTGACGAGAGTATTGCAGTGTAAGTGAACGTTTCTGAAACACGTTTCTTCAAGTCCTCCTGAAATTCTGAAACTCGATACTGATAAGAAACTTTGCTGTAGGGTCGGTCGACGAAGTTCATGTTTTCCTGTACGTATCACGTTTCAATTAACCCCCATTTCCACAGAAACATAGAACATTTTCTGATCTGCGAACAGGGCACAAGTTCGCCAGGCGGTAAGAGATCGGTCGCTGCATTCTTATCACGAAATCAGAATCGTGTATGCTCAGAAGCCACAATGAAATACTGTACTGTACATGTAGCATGAATTCCGCAGCGGGCGATGACGACTATGCATACCTGAACCCCCTTCGACGGCGTGGCCGTCCTTTATAGACTACGGTCTTGTCATATGATAATGGCGAAGTCCTTCAATCTTGACCGCAGCAGCAGTCGTTGAACATGTACCGCAGCAAATAAATTGGTTTGCCCCAAAGTGGCTCCAACGATGTTTCGAAGCCTCGATATGTGGGTAAGTGGTGGGGCGCAATTGGCACCGGCGGCTTCGTCCTGTCCCTTGTCGTCAAGGTCAACGGATCGCCTCGCAGAATAGTGTCAATGCCGGTCCGGCACAGAGCGTCCTTCACTCCCTATTCGTGCCCCTACCATCACAGTTTCCTTTTTTCGGGGTCGATTCCAGGTGCATGCCAGATGCCGTTGTCCTGTCCAGTCCTGTCCAGTCCAGTCCACCCGGTCCGTGCTGGCCATGCCCGGGCAGGCCCTGTCGGTCGTTTCGCGCAATGCATTGAAATGTCAAACAGGCACCTCCCCTCCCCCCAATTATATCCCGCCTTCGTCCAAACAAAACAGCCACAACCTTACTGCCAAGAGCCTCAGATCAGGTAAACGCCTCTTCTTCAGACCGAACTAATATCCGTGGTGAAGCCTCGAGATTCGTCACCAGTTGCTGCTCAGCGACGGAGTTTGCGTGGATCGCCAGAAACTCAAACGAGTACTGTGTAATCGTCCTCGCATCAGTGGCAGTGAATACTGGTTCACTGCCACTCACGATCACCATTACCCCCAAAGCCACTCTCGTCGCCTGTGCACGATCGGACCTAGCCAGGAGTTCAATTCTCTGGCAAGAATAGGCTGGCACGACAGCTATTATTGGGCGAGGAACAACTCCTCTGCACCGTGCACTAGGAGATCCACCTCCAGTCGGGGATTTCTTTCTTTCTTTTCTCCCTGTCAACCATGATGGTCCCTGTCTTGCGCAATCCACTGTTCGGACGACAAGTATCACTCGCTCTCTATGGACGACGTCGAGCTCCCCTCCTATCTGTGGCAGTGAGTGGACCGCGGAGGTGAGGACGAAAAAGATGGGTACGCGGCTCCGCTATCGTCACAACACCTGCGTAGTACGCTGCCTCCGTACAGTAGTGTCCGAAATAACATCACAATCTAGGTCCCGGGACGTGAAACTGCTCTCCTCTCCACTCACTCCCTCCCAACCAGCATGCTCTATCAGAAATCGGAGGAGTCTGAAGCTGTGCCCTACAGAGATTGAATGTGGATCTCCAGATTTCCTCCACTTTTCGTCTTCTGGTTAAGTATCCTATGGGCTGCAGGCCAACATGACGTTCCTATCTTCACGGTATCGTACCTTCATTTTGGTTGTTACGGTTCTCTTCTTCTTCTTCCTTTGTTCTTTTCTCAGATTATACTCGTCTCTTTGCGGTCCTTCGCTGGCGAGTCCGTGTCAAACAAGATCTTAGACCTTTTTCGATTCGTTCTTCGTAACCTTTATTGTTCATTTAAACAAGGGATGAGTTGGGGAGTTGGAGGTCTATTCACACGTCGATATCTTTGAGTTTGGAAGAGCGAAGGAGACGAGAAGTTGTTGGGGATTTTCGAAAGAATTTGTCTTTCGGTTTACTATTCATCATGGGCTCCTGGGGTATCATTCAAGATCCTAAGTATCCTACAGTGAGTTTCCTTCCAGTTCGTTGGTGTTTAAGTATGCTGACATAACAAAGCCTCCAGGAACAGTCAACCTAAATGAAAAGGTCGATTCGGGTATGTTGATACAAGACGAGCTCACAGGACAAGACTGACGATCATGAAGCGAAGCTCGATGACTGGGAATATGAGGAGCCAAAGAAGATTGGGGACATTGTTCTCAATCCACAACCTACAGATAGTCCCAATGATCCTTTGAATTGGTACACACTTCTTTCGAAATTTCAGCTGGACCTAAGATGCTAACCTTCCTAGGTCTATGGCCACCAAGATGGCTATTCTGTTCATTCTTTCATTAACTGCAGGTGTCACGGTCTCGTACGTACACAGTCCTCTGTGCCACCTCACCACTAACAGATTTCCAGACTCGGTCCTATGATCACAACAGGTCTCGACGAGGTAGCTAAGGCATTCGGCGTCACCGACGATCAAGTATCATTCAACCTTGTCGGTTTACTACAACTCACCACTGGCTCTGGTACATTCTTTACAGCAGCAGCCGCCGCAGTCTGGGGCAAGCGGCCCGTATTCATCATCTCAACACTTTTTCTCTTCGGCACCAGTGCTTGGGGCTTCTTTGCTGGAAGCTTCATATCCCTCACTCTCATGCGAGTCATCCAAGGTTTCTCCGCCGCCCCTCTCGAGACCCTCGTCAGCGCCACCGTCTCCGAACTCTTCTTCGTCCACGAGAAAGGAAAGATGTTAAGTATCTGGAACCTGTTCGTCATGGGCGGCGTCAAGCTCGGCCAACTGATCGCCGGCTTTATCATCCAGAACCTGGGCTTCAAATTCACATTCGGCATCTGCGCCGCCATCTACGCCGCCATCATCCCCTTGATGTATTTCTTCGTCCCCGAAACCGTCTACTTCGCCAAGGACCCAGAGACCGAAGTCATATTCGACAAATCCTCCCTCCGCGTCTACGAAATCATCCTCCCAGAACCCAAAAAAACCTACCCCCAACGCCTCAAAATATTCCAAGGCCGCGTCTCCCACGCCTCCTTCTGGCGTACCGCTTTCAAGCCCCTCCCTCTGATTACCTTTCCCGCCGTCATCTACGCAGCCTTCACCTACTCCGTCTACGCCGCGGGCCTAACCCTCATCGCCCTCCTGCAAGACACCATCTTCTCCGCCGCGCCCTACAACCTCTCCTCCTCCGCCATCGGGCTGACCAACCTGCCGCTCTTCGGCGTCGGTCTCGTCGGAACCCTCGTCTCGGGCTACTGCGCCGACTTCGTCGTGCAGTTCATGACGCGCCACAACAACGGCGTCTACGAGCCCGAGTTTCGCCTGGTCCTGATGCTCGTCGCCACGTCCCTCTCCACCGTCGCCTACATCGGGTTCGGATACTCAGTGGCTGCTGGCGCGACGATATATATCCCGATCGCGTTCCTGGGCGTGCAGACGATGGCGGTGCCGTTTGCGACGAGTGCCATGTTTACGTACGTGATGGATTGCCATCCGGGACACGCGGCGCAGGCGTTTGTGACGATGAATTTCGTGAAGGCGTTGTTGAGTCTGGTGATGAGTAATTTTGTCAATGGGTTTTTTGAGGGGAGTGGGGCGAGGACCGTTTTCACGGTGGTGGCAGTTGCGAATTTGGGGGTTAGTGCGTGTAGTTTGCCGATGTATCTTTTTGGGAAGAGGGTGAGGAGTTGGGTTGCTAGGAGTGGGTTTCATCAGAAGATTTAGAGTTAGGGGAGTGGAGGGGGAGTGGAGGAGGGAGCAAGTCTTTGGGAAGTGATGAGTCTTTGAGATAGCAGCGAGTCTTCGAGAAAAAGCGAGACTTGAGCAGAAAATCGAGGCAAGAGGAGGAAAAGGAAAGCAATGTCACGATGGCGCTGGCGGAACGGGAACGAATGTTTTCAGGTACATATTTTCTCGAGTTCGATACTCTACTTGTACAATAGTTCCTCTCTTTTACTTGTCCTTTGAAGATTTGTATCAGTGATGCAGATTCTATCTATCTTTATACCACGAAAAGAATGCGATTCATTCGTTTCATCGCATTTTCTGTCCTCTTGTTTGTGTCTTTTGTTATCTGGGGACCGACTATGGGATGTTTGTTCACCCCATTGTTGTCACTGAAGGGTTTGAAGGCATGATGATGTGCTTTGGTTTGTCTATTTTTGCTCTTTTATTTTGATCGTCTTTTCTTTCTAGATCATCACAGTGATCCCGAGTACTACCTGGCGTTCATCCCATGGTTGGTTCTGAATTCCCGGAAAGCATAAAGATGTGTAGTGGCTCGTTCTTCGTCTATCTATTTTTGCGCTTTTGTTTCGTTGCTCTTTCATGCGCCGAGGAAATCAGTTCGTCAGAGTGCCCGCCAAGAAACAATTGGGGCTCCTCGGAGTTGGGATGGTAGGGGTTGGATGGGGTGGTTTATGCGACGAGATGTGTTGGACTTGGCGGTGTTTGATGGGCGCCGTTGTTACGCAAGCAAGTAGGCTGACTGGGGATCCACTTTTTGGGAAAGAGATTTGGGGAGAGGAGGTGTTTGTTTGGCTGAAGGATTCGAGGATTGGGGATGTTCTTTTGTTTGAGGTGAGGTGAGGTGACTTGTTGGTTGTGAAGACGTTTCCCATGTATTCTCAAGTGTTAGTGGAAAGTGGAAAGTCGTCAGATCTGATTGCGCTTTTGTGTTGCTTAGTTTCTCTGTTTCGCAGTCATCCGCCTTCAAACTTCCGTACTGGTATTTCTTATCATTATCATGCTCTACTGCCAACGTTCAACGTCATGGTTTTGATGCTGAAGTAAAGCAGCTGATCAGTTCACGTGATGGATCTCCTACCTCCCACTCTTGAGATGATCATCAACGGGCGACGGCTTTCGGCACCGTTTGCAAGTTCATACTGATAAAGCTTCCCCAGATATAAGTTTTGGGGATGGAGGGAGTTCAATTCATCCCATCTTTCTCATATCTCCTTTCTCAACCTCAATTCTATATTGTAAATTTCCACTTAAACTTGACTTGACTAGCGAGATCAAGATGGCACCCTCAGCACTTCTCCCAGACCCTGAGCCAGAGTACATCATTGTACATGCCGGGAAAGGGACAATTAAAAGAGAGATTCTCAAAGGGGACAAGAAGAAGCCAACTTTCGAGACCATCACTCAAGTTGACTTTTCCAAGATGAATAGCTCTTCACTTGAAGATCGGAAGGCTATTGCGAAAGAGATTGGTGCTGCGTTTAGAGATTCAGGGTTCTTGTATGCTGCTAATCATGGAATCGATGAGAAGTTACAAGATGATTTGCTTGCTGTCATAAAGGAATTCTTTGATTTGCCATTTGAGAAAAAGATGAAGGTATGTCAAGAGGAGAGAAAATAAGAGTAAACGCTAATGACATGAAATAGATACACGTAAACAAATCCGACACCATCAAAGGCTACGAAGCTCTCCTAGAAACGAAACTCGACGCCTGCACTCGAGGAGGTAACATCCCCCTCCTCATATCCGATTCCCAATTAACATATCACCAGACCTCAAAGAAGCCTTCGCAACAGGCGACGACCCCAACGACCCCGAACAAAACCCCCCAGCAACCCTCAACCGCTCCCTCTACCCGTCCAACGGCAACCAATGGCCCGCCTCCCCTCCCACCTTCCGCAAAACCATGTACGCCTACCAAGCCGCCATCCTCTCCTTCAGCAAATCCCTCATGCAGCTCATCGCCCTCTCTCTCTCCCTCCCCGAAACCTATTTCGACCACATGTCCTCCTTCCCCATGGGCGGCCTCCGCGCCTTGCATTACCCGCCCCAAGACGTCTCTACCGACGTCGGAATCGGCGCGCATGCCGATTATTCCTGGTTTACGCTCGTGAACCAACTTTCTGCTACTCCCGCTCTAGAAGTGCTGAATCATAACGGGGCGTGGGTTTCGGCGCCGCCGGTCAAAGGGACACTGGTTGTTAATGTGGGGGATTTTTTGGAGATGGCGACGAGGGGGAGGTATGTTAGTACGGTGCATCGGGTGGTGAATATGACGGGGATGGAGAGGTATTCGTTGGCGTGGTTCTTTAGTCCGAGTGCGGAGTGTGTGGTTGAGACGGTGCCCGGGTGTGAGGTGGAGGGGGAGGAGGGCGTGAGGGTTGTTGCTGGGGAGTGGCAGAGGGAGAGGCTTTTGAGGGCGAGGTATAAGCATCCGAGTAGTGTGGCAGCGAGGGCGAGGGGTGAGTTGTGATTTTGTGGGCTGGAAGGAGGTGTGGTTGTGATTGAGTTCATGGTAGTAAGTGAATTGAACACTTCTGAGGTCAGCTGTCTTAAAGAAAGACCTCGGAGATGATGAATCTCAGTTGGCTAATAATTGACTTGACTTCAATCATTGAAAAACCTTTAAGCTGGTCTTGAATATGCTCCCAGTACGGTGCCAGTAGCCATCAGATGATTCGCAACACTGCAACCTTTAGGATTGCGATACAACTAGAGCATATCCTTTGTTACCTCTTCCACATGAACTACATACAAGAATTACAGAACCCTTGGAGTAAATCACGAACATCATGCCTGTCCACCAAACTTTAGAGAACCAAAGATTGAGGACTTAGAGAGAATCTTCTCGTTTTTGCTTTGTAAATCTTTGACTTCTGCTCCAACAGCATCTTAATCATACGTGGGCATTTTCTGGAGACTGCGCACTGTAATGGAGTAATCCCAAAATCATCCTTTGCATCAATGTCGGCGTCACTTCGTAGCAACAAGAGTCCAATTGCCACGTGCTGGCAGCCATCGCGGCAGACACGTATACTTGACAAGGTGGATTGCGGAAGTGGCGGAAGTATAGGGCAGGTCATAGCTACGTGGTGTAGAGCTGTAAGGCCTTTATTGTTGCGATCTTTGGAGGAACATCCATTTTGCAACAAGTAATTGACAACATCTGGACTGTTGTATTGGACAGCAATACCGAGTACAGGTTCGCCATCCTTGGTGTGATACAATCTTGTCGGCATCCCGAGGAGGTCATCGAAAGTACCGTAGGAAAGAGACGTCATCTGAGCAGTTGTAGGTTGTATGCAGCTTAAATTAGCTTCTACTTCAACCAACACTTTGATCGAATCTATACTACCATCAATGACAGCTAGATGAATCGGGGGTCGTCCAATGCTATGAACAGCGTCCACATTTGCTCCTCCTTCCAGTGACAACTTAATAAGGCTGGGCCGTGTTGCGACGTATTCCTCTCCAGTGTGAAAATGCTCCACGCAAAGCCGTCATTCCGTTGTAATCGACCAAATTGACATCTGCTCCAAGACGCAACAGTGCTCTGACGCAGTCCTCTTCTCTGCACTATAAGTACTGTGTAGGAGCTTTTCTATGTCCGAGCATCAACGTGGTACTTCCGTTTGACGAGCTCGTCCACTACTTCCAAGTCGTTGTCACATCTTGCCTTGACAATGGGTGGATCTAATGTATCGATGCCAGTATCGCTGAATTTCGGTCGAGGCCAGCCTTTTTCGTAGCCAGCTGCTCGTTTGCGGATGCGCCATGGACTGTTCGGGTTATAATACTCGAAAAGTATTACATCTTTGACGGCCTGGAAAGCTCGTAGGATGTGCGCTGCCGGGTCCACGATTGTCATGAGCACGCTTTAGGGCTCGAATTATTGGCAATCGTGGTGGAAAGAAGGATGCCTTGAGGGACAATGAGTATACGAAAGGCTGAGACATCCAGAGAGCGCTGCGCGCTACCTGAGAGACATTGTCCAGCTCACCACCCAGAATGCCTCCTACACCATGTCTTATTCGCCGTCCAGATCAGACATGCTGGCAGTGTCTGCATTAGCATCGGTCTTCTGGTACTTTCAGGCTAGACGGATTGTCTACACACCACAATTGCTCTGATATCCACCAAAGTTGATCTTCGATTGCGGACCTTTCAGCCTCGAAACATACGATGGAAAGACACAGGTCCACCACACGCCCTTTGATGGTCCACGTATTTTTCAAAGTACAGTCTCTTGTCTTTGTCGCTGCCTCTGCCGCTGTTGGCTTCAAATGCTTAGACCTTCCTAAATATCCACAGTTTGTAAAGCCTCGATAATGTGTTTCTATCAAGGCGAAGAACTGGATCACCTCACATACTGGGAGAATGATATGATGATGCCGATACGAATTATGCCTTGGAAGCTTCGACCAACATTTCATTCAGGGAGATGAGTTGAGCAAGAAGGCTACCTTGGTCAAAATTGGGCTTTTTGGAGCTTGGATATACCCTCTGCTCTTTTCGAAAATCAGAAAAGCAAGGGTGATTCAGACACAATTGTACGCCACAAATCAAGATAAAAGACGCTTTATATGCAAGGCAAGACGAGGAAGTAGAGATAACATGAAGGTAATATGAGGCGTGACTGACCGCGGCATAAGGAATTGCGGCACGGGATATGTTAAAGCAACTACTTAGTCACAATTTCATGAAGATAAATGCTTTGACTTCTGATATTGGAAATTGTTGGTAGAGAAAATACAGAGCGAGAGGAGGATTGCGGATTATTTGAAGCTCCCTAGGCGAGTAGAAGAGTGGGGCTAACCCGTGATCTGTGCAGGGATGAGCTTCCAAGGTTCTGTCCCACCATCATCATCTTCACCGAAGTCCCAGAATGGAACAGACATTGTCAACATTCTTCACTTCTGCCTGTTGCTTGCATTCACAGATATTATAATGCTTCATGATACCCCTTTCACTTCACTGTCCACATCTTTCCAGCTTCTGTAACAATATACTATCCACTACGTCATCATAATTCGCCCGTCAACATGCATGTTTAAGCTTCAAGACACGAACCTTCTGCCACGAGACGAAGTGTCCAACCCGTTCTCAAGAACTCAAATACAATGGCGTCGAGTGCACGCACCTCCACCGATCGAGAACATAGCGATTTTGAGCATATCCATGCAACGTCAACTCCCCAATCCCTCTCGAAAGCGGTGCACGCGCGCAGAGCAGAATACACACGACCACAGAAGATTAAGGTTAAAATTGGGACATGGAACGTTGCCGCATGTCCGGGTACCGAGAAAGATCTAGGGGGGTGGTTCGTGCAAGGAAAGGGTATTGATAAGAGACTGGCTGGGCTGCAGGTCACTGAAGGGATCGAGGAAGATGGCAGCCAGGCGTACGTGGAAAGCGTCGAAGCACAGGAGGCTCGCAGATCCAAGAAATCGAGTACCTTGCCAATAGGTGATCAAGGGACCATTGCTGGTGGAGATGAGATAGGACTCTACGTGCTGGGACTACAGGAAGTGGTGGACCTTGCGAGTGCGACACAGTATATTGGGAGAGTCTACACGGATCTAGAACCGACAAACAAATGGAGAAAAGCTTTGGCAGAAGCTCTACCTACTGGCTACGTCCTCATCGCCGAGCAGCAGCTTTCCGGGTTACTACTGTTCATATTTGCATCTCCTACAGTGGCACCGACCATCAGTTCTGTGAGCACTGTGAGTGTTGGCACTGGAGTTATGGGATATCTTGGGAACAAAGGCGCGGTCACCACAAGACTAATACTGGGAGAGACGACTCGAATGGTTTTCGTGAACTCACATCTAGCGTCTGGAAACGACCCTGCACATTTTGAGCGACGCTGCTGGGATGTGACCCAGGTCTTACAGCGGACACGATTCGATCCGATAAGCTGGGCTGGGGTCTTGGACGATGGCCAGGAAGCAATTGGAGAGGAAGATTTCGCATTTTGGTTTGGTGATCTGAATTTCAGGCTAGAGGGACTTCCTGGCGATGATATTCGCAGACTGCTTATGCTTCATACGAAAGGCGAATATGATGTCGGAGCCAAATCGAGGACCAAGATTGATGGCGAACTAGAAGAGGGTAGTGACGGACCTATCATTGTTCACAGCGTGGAAAGCGACTCGGATTCCGAGGGAGAATCAGAACCAAGGACGAGCAGCTCATTTGACGCAGCAGATGATGCTTCATCGAGTACGTTGCCCGACCCTGACGACTTTGTGCAAGACCCAAGTCAAGATCCAGCTTCGCTCCAAGCAACACTAGATTCCTTACTTCCTCACGACCAGCTGCGACGTGCCATGAAAACGAAGAAGGCCTTCCATGATGGATGGAGAGAAGGGCCAGTGACTTTTCTACCTACATACAAGTACGATGTTGGAAGCATGGGTATGTTTGATTCTAGTGAGAAGAAACGAGCTCCTAGTTGGTGCGATCGCATACTTTTCCGGACACGCAAGGACAAATTTGAATATGACGGCAAATTACAAGAAGAGGAACTGGCGAGAATTAAGGACGAGGAAATGAAAGCCAGAGGCATTGATCACGCATTAGACGAAGAAGACGTTTTGTTTGATTACAATCCGGACGAAGATGGAGTAGAAGATGTTGCGAATAATGTTTATGACGAATATGACGAAGGCGGCGACGATGACATGGGAGAGGCTGTCGTTACAAAAGAAGGATATATCGATAGGATACACTTGGACGTGTATACGTCACATCAGCGGGTACTCTCTTCGGATCACAAACCATTGGATGCGGTTTTCACGCTAGAATATGATGCTGTTGTGCCTGAACTCAAGGCGAAAGTGCATCAAGAAGTTGCTAGAGAGCTCGATCGAGCCGAGAATGAAGGCCGGCCGGGCATAACACTTGTAGTGGATCATTCCGCTGATGATACACCCCCATCCTCATCCTCTCGAGAACATTCAGGAGGAAGCACTGAAAACATTAGTGTGGACTTTGGGAAAGTAGCATACGGGCATCGAAAAAGCCGGGCGTTGACCATAGCCAACACTAGCCAGGTCGCCTCTACATTTGCGTTCGTGGAACGGCCAACAGAATCAGGAGAAGCCGATCGGATAGCACCACCATGGCTCTCGGTGTGCTTCGTTGGATATGGAGCTGATGAGGATGAACGGTTGCTTCAGGACATGAAACGAGAAGTTACTCTGGAACCTGGCGAAGCAATCAATGCAACGTTAGATGTATTCATCGACGATATCACAATGGTGAGAGCTTTGAACCAGGGCACAGCCAAGCTAGAGGATGTTCTAGTCTTGCGAGTCACAGAGGGTCGAGATCATTTCGTACCTATCCGAGCATCATGGCTGCAATCTTGCTTTGGACGCTCTGTTGATGAGTTGATTCGGATCCCCGAGGGCGGCGTTAGAGCATTGGTTCCTCCAAAGAATGGCTCTGGGGGTGCTGTCAATCGCGGCCAAGAAGTCTGTTGGTCCGCACCTCGGGAGTTATTCAAGCTTACGGAAGCAGTAGAGTTGCTCATCGAACGAGTGATTGCAGATTCGAACATGCTTGAAAACGTAGCGCTGCCGAAAGACTCTCCAGGATGGCCATTCGACGAACATACCTGGCGACTGAAGGACACCAAAGCTAGAGAAGTATGGAAATCCAACGTCTTGGAAGCATTGGATTCGGATAAGGTTCTCAATGAATCATTTCCACCTGAGATTCCAGCTTTCGAGAAACTCGAGATAATGTCCGAAATCTTGATCAATTTCCTCCGCAGCTTGAAAGATGGTGTTGTCCCAGCCTCATTGTGGGACAAGCTGGACGCAGATATGACTGCCCGAGGCAACAAACCAATCTCCGACATTGAAGAAAAGAAGGCATGGGTTTTGGATGTCCTTTCCAGTTCTCCAAATCACAACATCTCCTTTGTCTTCCTCACCAGTATGCTGAATCGTGTTGCTGGTGAGCTCGCACCCATTCCGAAAAGTGGTTGGAACCCAATTCCGGTGTCTGGGACAAGGAAGAGTCTGGAGTCTGTGAGGAGGAGCTTAAGTTGGAAAGGACGAGCACCGCCGTTGCCGAATGACCCTGCAGTTCAACAAAGGGAGAAGGTCGAGAAAGCTTATGCCGATATCTTCAAAGATGTCATCTTCAGGTTTGAGACCGCAAACCTCAAGGACAAAGAGAGAAGAGCAGGAGAGGATCGAAGAAAGGAGATTCTCGAGGCATTCTTGAAAGGCGGGAGAGAAATCTGAGAGTGAGGACTCATCAACAACAGCCCAACTCCAACTACTCACCATGATCTACTGCATAACCGCAAGAGATGGGACTTTAGCAGGGTAGAAACTATGCAAGGAAACGGATTCCATGCTTGGCTCGTAAGGATGATGGCGTCTATGGAGACCAAAAAGATGTAGCTACTGCACCCCACGCCGAGGCATGCATTTGGAAACACGAAACATACTAGAGCTATGCTATGCTATGCTGTCTAACATCAGCTGCAGTGTCCGCGATTTTGTCCCCTTTCGGACTCAGCGTCGTATCAGCCTCACGAGCTCACAGCCTCGTGTCATTCCATCTAGCCCTAGATTTTCTTTTTCATTACCTGGACGAAAACTCTTCCCCATGCGTTCATGCCAAGAAATTGCAAGAAACGTCAGCTAACCACTCGTACCGTGTTTCTCGTATGGAGTTCTTCTGCATAGTCTGGAAGGAATGGCAAGCCGCTGTCAGCTCTGTACATTGGAGTCTGCCGTGCCGACTTCGCAATTTACTGCATGCAAATCAGAGGAAGAAAAGTTTTCAAGCTTTCCTTGGCATAGCATATCAGCCTTGCATGCTTACTGTGCCTGGCATGCATGTTGAAAAAGCAAGCAAAAGGATGAGACATATCATTTTGCAGAGTAATGGGTGGCTGCATAGAGGCGCAGCTTTGGAAACAGAGTTTTTCGTCTCGAATGTTGGAGAAAGGGATGCGAGAGAGCTGATTCGAGAGCACCGAAGGATGGGGGTTACCGCAGGATGCAGAGTCCCGTGATCTATTTCAGGACTTGGCGGGAGATTCGACGAAATTCTCCGAGAACCAGAGCAAAAAAGCAAAAAGCCTTTTTCTCGAGGACGAAGGCATGAGGCATGAGGCATGAGATCGAGAGAACATCGCAGGGTGATGCTGACGAGCCAAGCTTCGCGAAGCTTTCTGATCGATGCCCCTAATTGAGACGATCAGTGATCCGCGGAGCTCCAGGATTCCCGGCAAAGCTCTAGACCACGCTACGAATATCCCCTAAGAATATAGTTTATACCCTACGATCCTTCACCAGTTTCACTCTCGACTCTGTTGTTGTCTGTCTTTTCTTTGACTTCAACAATTATATCAAATCCAACCCGCGATAACAAGGCAACTCGCATCAGCAGACTGGATTGACGAGAAAATCACAGGGATGAAGCAGAAGCAGCGTTTTCCTTTCAAGCCACCAGATCTTGGCGGCTGAAACGATCCAACGATCCCACCATTTCTTATCTCTGACATCTTTCCTGCATACCATTTTTTCCTTATCTTGCTTTCTGACAGGGCGTCTACTAATGTGCCTTGGCGGGTCAGCCTCTATCTCTGCTCGCGTGCATATTCCCTCCCCCTATTCTTCATGTTCATTGGGAGAAGAAGTTTCTGGGCCCTGAAATTCCCGCTTTTAAACGTCAAAATAGGGAGGGATGAAATGGAAATGGCCAATGGGGTATGCTCCCAGATGAGTGTCCCCCAAGGCCAAGGCTGTTATCCAGCCTGGTTCTCTCTCCGCGTCTTGGCCTCTATTTCACAGCCGTGCTCCCGGTTCGAATGCCCAAGCTTCACCTTTGCCAAGTCGCTTCTTTGCTTTCATATCGAATTGCACGCATACAATATCAAATGAAAGCTCGTACCCGAGTCAATCTCCTCCTCCACCCTGCATAGTCCTTCATCCTTGACCCGTCTCTCTAGTGCAAATCCAATCATGGAGCTGCATAGCACCAGATCTGGTCCGAGCTGTTCTGGAGATTAGTGCATCTCCAATCCATCTCTCCACTTGTTTGCATAGCGACACAACAATAGACCCCCATCTCCTTATCATCTTGGTATTCTTGCTCTCGGCCATGCCGTCCGGTAACGGTGGGTTGAAATTCCTTCATCCTGTTCTCCCTTCCTTGTCCCGTCCCCCGGATTTGTAGATCTATATCTTGGGTCTACATCTCCTCCTTCTAGGTAGTCCAGGCCAAGAGAGTTGTACGCAAGTGCATACCCAGCACCCTTCGACAAACAATTTAGCAACGAGAAAGGAAGCAAAGATGGCTTCTCTGTACGCTGTTCCATACAATGGAACCGGGGAAACAGGATGTGATTCCCTCACCGAGAACTGCAACATCTACTACGAGGTCCGTCTTCCCCTTTCGCCTCCCTCCTCTCCTCCTCACTAACATTCTCACAGTCCGGCGACATCGCCTGGATGCTCACCTCCTCCGCCCTCGTCCTCCTCATGATTCCCGGCGTAGGATTCTTCTACTCAGGCCTCGCGCGCCGCAAATCAGCCCTCTCCCTCATCTGGCTATCCTGCATGTCCGTCGGCGTCGTCTCCTTCCAGTGGTTCTTCTGGGGCTACAGCTTGACGTTCAGTCATACAGCTAATTCGTATATTGGGGACTTGACCAATATTGGGTTCAGGAATGTGTTGGGACAGCCGAGTGTGGGGAGTGCGCGGATTCCGGATTTGTTGTTTGCTATTTATCAGGGCATGTTTGCTGCTATTACGTGAGTCCCGCTCCTTCCTTTCTCTTGAAATGGGAGGACAAATACTGATGAGAATGCAAATAGACCAGCACTCGCCATCGGCGCCGCGGCAGACAGAGGACGAATGCTGCCCTGCATCGTCTTCATGTTCATCTGGTCCACAATCATCTACGATCCCATCGCCTGCTGGACTTGGAACCCCGCAGGCTGGACCTTCAAGATGGGCGGCCTCGACTTCGCCGGCGGAACTCCCGTCCACATCTCCTCTGGCGCTGCAGCCTTGGCTTACTCCATCATGCTCGGCAAGAGAGCCGGCTACAACGATGTCTCTGGCCTCCCTTACCGCCCGCACAACGTTACCCATATCGTGCTCGGCACGGTGTTCCTCTGGGTCGGCTGGTTCGGCTTCAATGGCGGCTCAGCCCTCGCTGCGAATATGAGAGCCGTGATGGCGTGCGTGGTAACGCATCTCGCTGCAAGCGTTGGAGGCGTTACTTGGGTGCTGCTCGACTACCGCCTCGATAAGAAATGGTCCACAGTAGGCTTCTGCTCTGGCGCCGTGTCGGGACTTGTCGCTATTACTCCGGCATCTGGGTTCGTGCCCGCGTGGTCCGCGGTCATTTTCGGTGTCGTCGGCGCGGTTTGCTGTAATTATGCGACGAAGTTGAAGTATATTCTCAGAGTGGATGATGCATTGGATATCTTCGGGGAGCACGGTGTCGGTGGTATCGTGGGCAATCTTTTGACGGCGTTTTTTGCTGCGTATGTCTCCCCTCCCCTCCCCCTTCCTCGCAGAAGAAAAGTACTAACAGCAGAAACCAGCGATTACATAGCCCACCTCGACGGCGTAACAGAAATCCCCGGCGGCTGGCTCAATCGCCATTGGATCCAGCTGGCCTACCAACTCGCAGACTGCGTGTCGGGCTTCTGCTACTCGTTCTTCGGCACCTGCATCATCTTGTTCCTGATGAACCTCGTCCCGGGCTTGAGTCTAAGGGCGACGGAGGAGGAGGAGGCGTTGGGCATGGATGATGCGCAGTTGGGCGAGTTTGCGTATGATTATGTCGAGTTGAGGAGGGAGTTTAGTGATGTGATTTTGGGGGAGGAGAGTGCGGGGGAGAGTTTGAAGGGCGGGATGGGTGGGATGGGTGGGATGAGGAAGGGGAGTGATGAGAAGGTTTAAGTGGTGATGGTGGCTGGGAGGGGGTGTATGAGTATGGAGTTGTGTGGGGAGGTTTGGAGGGTTCTGTTTGGTTGTTGGGTTATGGCGTCTTGTTGCTGAGAAGTTGCCGGTTGCTGTCATACCCGGAATTGTTACCCCTTTACTCATTGTCTTGCATTCATTCACGGCTTTTGTCTCTGTGCAAAGTACGGAATTGTGACAGGCAGTCTAAATTTATGGCCCAAGCGGGACACTGCCCCTGTTTAATTGCACCACTTATGGAACCTCTTGACCTGGCACCCAATGTCTGACTTTCAACCGCACTTTTCCTTTCTTTTCAAAAATCAGAGCTATGACATCCTCCCAACTCTGAAGGGCTGCAGGACTGCAAGTCAGCTTTACACACAACGCTGCTGCAGAATCACAACAGCTCAGTCCTTAGCGAACGTAATGCCTCTTTCTTCTTTCTCTAACAATCTGGGCTGATTGCTCTTTCCATCCCAACAAAAACCAGAAGACAATAATATTAGTTTTTATCTTTATCTCTATCTACATTGTCAACAATACCATCTATCACCACTACCCTCCGTTATTGTCAATTTCCACAAACAAGAGTCCTTACAACACAAATCACCTCTGCGAGACCAACATCCCGTAGGCTGGCTCAGCGCCGTCCGCATAGTGTCCGCGACACTGTACCTTTGACTGAAGCAGAGCCACGTACGTCTATCCTGTATGCTGCTGAAATGAAAGTCGTTCGTTGTTCGTTCTAGGGATAAAGCGTCTTGGGAGGGCGATTTATAGTTCTGGCGACGCAAAACACAAATTGGTGTAGCGGCCTGGGCGCTTGATGAGTGTTCAGACTTTCGTGGATTTCTGGTTCACTTGTTGAAAAAGCGTTGTCTTAGGGTGATGGTATAAGCCTGAGCGCCTGAAATGTTCTTTTGGCTTTACTTCACTAGATGTTCTCAAGTTGGTTTATGTTGAAGAAGCGCATCATAGAATGTTGATACATGCCTGAGCGCCTGAAATGTTCTGCTTGTTTATTTTACTTTATGTTCTCATACTAGTTTAATTTGTTATCGTGGTTGCAGACGTCGATAAGTACCTAGATCTTCATGAAACGAGGCTGAGAGTGAGGCATTGGGTATACGAAGGTCCGTCGCTATTTCTCTAAGTAATTGGGAGATGGAAGCTGGAGCTGGATCTCAGGATTAAGAATGTTAAGTATTTACAATAATTGGAAGTCCCGAAGCCAGTCTAAGGTTTGTTGGCAACTCGATATCTGCTGTTAACTGAATCTTTCATTCCTTTTGTTCTTGAAGCAACAGGAACAAAAATCCCGAAATGTCTCTGCTGGGAGCCAGGCTTTATTCCCCTTCATCTCACACACATCCAACTTCTTAGTGATCGTTTGTCACCAGAGGCAACGCCCATGATTAGTGTACTGAGCAAATGGCGGTCGCACAGCATTCAGGTCCTCGTCAAGGTCACACACCAAAATGGATCAATATCGATTCCACTTCCAATGCAACGTAAAATGCTTTATTGCACGATTGGCCTTTACCCTGCCAATGGGGAATGCTGATTATGCCACTTTTGTGCGTTCGATAAGATGTTTCGTACTATAGCCCGATATGGTGACATTGCGAGTATGGTTGTTGATCAGTGGTTGGCTTCTATCTTTAAAAGAGTTTGCCCTCCACCATGGACCTCGGCAAGAAAATTTGAAAATAAGATACTTGAGTAGAAGACTGCTGGTATATGTGCTCCATTTTGTCCCTCCCTACGAGTTGGCAGGATGAATGAGTCTCAAAAGCGAGACATCCAAACAGGAGACTATCCAACCAAACACCTCTTACAGCACCATCTCTTCAAACCCAATTCTCCTTACCTCGCAGAAGATGAGCGCGTAGCAATCAGTTATCAGCGAGCCCGCGAGATCGGGAGGGCATATGGTACATCTCGCACCAACGACCACCTAAAGTCAAACTACTACTAAGACGCAAGACAGAATTCACAGCACACGATATCCATAAATTAACTCCGAAGTTTTGGAAATTGCATGCTGATCCGATCAATACTCGCGATAACGCAGCTTTCACTTTACTTACTATTCAATACAACCTTGCGGCTGGGACTATTGCTCCGTATGCTGCTAAGCTTCCTCATTTACAGACGTTGCTGAAATCTATTTTGAATTTTGATGTGAGGTAAGTCACGTTCATCTTGATTTGTTGATGAATAAGTAGTGTCTGACTATTACAGTGCACAATATCTTTTAACGGAGGTGGGTCACGGACTTGATGCTCCAAACCTCGAAACCACCGCAACACTTCTCACAGACGGCGGATTTGAACTACATACTCCTCATGATGGAGCTGTCAAGTACGTTCCTCCCCACTAAGCCTGTCTAGCTAGAGCTGATGATCTAAGAATCATGCCCCCCACGAGTCCACGGGGCATACCCTGTGTAGGTGTAGTCATGGCTCGACTCCTAGTCAACGGCCAAGATCGCGGAATTCGCCCATTCATTGTCAACATCAACAACGGTAAACACATGTACAAAGGCATCACATCCAGGTCAATCCTCACTTTCCCTCCCTCTCCCACTCCCTACCTAATACTAACAATTCCCACAGAAACCTCCCCACACGCACAGGTTCCAAACCCCTCCACCACTCCCTAACCACATTCACGCACCTCAACCTCCCACCCACCTCCCTCCTCGGCGCTCTCTCCACCCCAGAACCCCATTTCCAAGCCACCATCTGGCGCGTCGGCGTCGGTTCCCTCGCATTATCACTAACCTACATCCCGATCCTAAAAGTCAGCCTCTACATCGTAAGCCAATACTCCCTACGCCGACTCATCCAACAAAACCGTCTCCCAATCATCACATTCAGCACGCAGCACCGCCCGCTCCTCTTCGCGCTCTCTCGAATTACGGTCTGGGAATCCTACGCTGGGGCAGCGTTGAGGTTGTATTTGGATGCTAATTTGAGCGACAAAGTGCGAGCTGGGATCGCAGCGGCGTTCAAAGCGTGTTTGACGAGGGGAGTGCAGGGGAGTTTGTATTGGCTTGCGGAGCGGTGCGGGGCGCAGGGACTGTTTGTCCATAATCAGATTGTGGAGTTGCAGCTTGCGGCGCGGGGGGTGTCGATTGCGGAGGGGGATGTTTTGGCGTTGTGTATTCGTTGGTCTCTCTTGCTCTTCCTTGACGTTGGGATTTGTTGCTGACTTTGGACGAGGATTGGCGACTGAGCTGTTGATCGGTAGATACGCTTTGCCTGCACCTACAAATCCCTCTTGTTTTCTGGCACTCCATGAAGCGGGCTTGTTCCAGGAAGCTAGATCCCTTATGTCCACTATGTCTTCTCACCGCAGCCCAGAGTTCAACCAGCTGATTCTCCCGCTCTGTCAGCCACTAGTTGAGAGCATAGGAGAACGAATGGCGTACGAAGCTGCTGTTGCGGATAACATCGACAAAGACATTCTGGACTTGTATGAAGTAAGTGCTATGATGAGAGACTTGAGCTGGTTTACGGAGAATTTGGGGATGACGAGGGAGGAAGTGAAGAGGAGGGAAAGTGAGACGTATGGGAAGGTGTTGGGGAAATTTGGTGCTTGTTTGAGGGGGTTGGGTGTGGAGGAGTATTGTACGGCGCCTATTATGACTGAACAGGGGTCGAAGGCTTTTATAGACGGTCTGAAAGTATTTGGAAGTGAAGAACGGGATGAGGGGACGGTGAAGGCTAAATTATAGAGTAGTTATATGTAGATAGAATACCATAGAAGTTGTTCCTGGCCCCGCTATTGCTCTCTTCCGCCAGTGCAATCCAGACCACAAACAGTTCGTCACTTTTCACCCTACTCTTCAAGTTAAGCAGTGTCTTGGCAGTACTTGAAGTTGAGCCAATGTACCACCTTTAACAAAGAAGATCGAGGAGAAGAAGTGTGCATAAGAGAAACACCATTGCAACTCGTGGCTCCAGGGGCATATTCGCCAAAGAAATCTCAATATACCAATGATACCGAAGGAACGATTGTTCATGGGGATGCAAAAGTTTGTGAGCGTCCAGGTGAGAAACTCAAAGAGCTTAGGGAAGGAATTTGTCGGAAGATTGATTGCAGAATCGAATTTCAAGCACTCTATCCCGAGCTCTCGAGCCACAAAAGAGACAATTTAAAACTACATTCATCTCTACCAGATGAACCACCCCTAATACCTGAGAGTCCAATCATCAATATGATCAAGCCAATCCGTTTCATCGAAAGGACTCATCTAGATGGGCGGGTAACATTTCCTCTCGAAAAGAGTCTCGCTGCCGTACGATTTTGCAGGCGCGATGAAAACATCAACGGGAGGCATCCAAGGCACCGCGCAAATCGTTTGGGTCCTAAGATAGATATCCGTGTGACCAAGCCTGTCCTCGGATGGTTTCCACCTCGTGTGCTCAACCATATACTCCTCTTCCAGTGATCGAAGGAGTCGGTACATTCCAAACTTCTCAGACATTGTTGATGTCAATTTGAGCGACGTAAATTTGAGCGATGCATCTGTGTTTTCACCCCAGCGAAGATTCATGATTTCTTCCATGGCTGCTAGGTGCATAGCCGATACCAATTTGCTGCTAGTAAGGGAAGGTCGTGAGTAGACGTCGAAGTCGATGAGCAAGCAGGCTTTATCAGAGACAGATCTTGGCAAGCACGCCGCGTCGAGGCTCAAGAAGTCAGGCTCAGTAGATGCCAGCCCGACCAGTTGCCTCGAGTAATGTACCAGCTGGAATCCTCGGTACTGGTACTTGGATACACATTGCGGTGCCTTTGCTCTCTTCCTCGGATGAAGAACCCCGTCGATTTCCCAAGCCACCATTTTATCCTGACCACTGATCTTGTGGTATAATGACGCAGCACACCAACCTGATATAAAACACTGTACGATACTAGAATGGAACTCCAGGATCATGTTGAAGACGCTATGCCTGTTCTGATCGTCGCGGTACCACATGACTTGTAGCTTGTGGCCCGAGAGATTGCCGTGGAGGATGTGGAAATCTCCTTCATAGATAGTACTCCAGTCATCCAAAGGTATATGTTGGCCCACATCGACCTCAGATTTGTCCCAGGTAACGCCCAACCTAGTGAAAAGGAGGTGTGTGAATCGAGCGACAGCAACCTATATAGTTTAGTATCGCATTTTGTTGATAAGGTAAATGAAAAGGTCTGACTTACATCGCCACCTGAACAATAGAAGTCCCAATCAGAATCCCACCTACAGGCCATTTGGTAGAAGAAAGCTGCAGCTCTGGACCCAGATAAAATTGTGTTGGTATCCCTCATACCTCCCAATAACACGTCAGGATATGGAGTCAAGGTTCTGAGGTAACGGCGGGGATCATAGCGATGATACTTTGCTTCTTCGAATGTCAAGCGGCCAGTGGCATCGCAAAGAGCCTGGAGATCTTCGTAGCGTGTGTAGATGATGATGTTCATCACAATCTCGGTCGGGACTTTATGAGGAGGACCGAATCTACCCATGGTGAGGGCAATTGGGCTGGATCTAGGAGAGGAAGAGGTGTGTTCAAGCTTCGGAATGAGCTTCGCGGTTGAGGGCGACTTGTCCTTTTGGGGTGGGTTCGAACAAACGAAGGAGCAGATTCTTCAGTTGCGTTTGCTACGGCTTCGTCATTGGATGTGCCAGAGATAGCCTCGTACCTCCTGCATAGAGTTTACTGAAACATATCAGCTGCCTGCCGCACACGTTCCTTATTCCTGGAAACGTATATTTGCATTGTATGTGGAGAACTGAAGTTGCGTTTCCTGGGGTGCATTTTGCATGTCTTGAACAAATCAGTAAGGAAGTCTGCTGCTCCATAGGCTAAGACTTGCCTAATGCGTGCATCTATCATTCCTGAGAGACAAACTTTTTCATTGTGAATAGCGGCAGGAGCTGTTTCCTCTAGATAGATGATCATGCCAGTCTCGGACCAAGAGTAGGTGAGCACGGGAACATGCTTCTGACACCGCTCAAGGAATCAAGACCTATCCAACCCACATTGAGTACTGACTGCCACTTTTCCATTGCCCCAGGTAATGTATCGTTCATGCAGCTCGTAGCTTCCGCCAAGGACGTGTGCAGTAGGTACAAGTAGGGTCGGTAACTCCAGAAGCTGTTGACTGGAGAGAATGGAAGAAAACTTCCAATGTCTCGACTCCAAGTGGAGATGTGAAGAGCAGGACTTGATGTGGAAGGCATCCAAGTGTCTCCTTCCGTTCCAAGTCTCGGGTACTTGCCGTTGGGTATCCGCTGAAAGGGGAGATTTGTAGCGGTGAGCGCGCTGTTGGAAATGAGAGAGCGAAAGGAAGAAGCTCTCGTAGAGACAAACGCAGTGAACATCAGAAATCATGTCCTAGTGTAGGGCACTTGCTCGGAACTATCCATTTCTCCCCACCAGTTCTCAAAGTATGCATCTGTCCAAACCAAATCATGAGGAAACTTCCTCTGCACCAATTCCCTCTCTACAAGCCCAGCAAGCACAACTCCAAAGAACCAAGAAGCGGGAATGAAGAAACATCCATGCATTGATTCAAAAGGCCACAACGCCTCGCCGTGAAAATACGTATGAAGCCAAGCCCAGAATCCCCTCATTCAGAGGCCGCAAGATTCATATTCCATCCCTTCCTTCATGATACAATTCTGCTTTTGTCCTCCCCCGCGATAATACCACGAGTTCAACCTATACCTCAATCTTTTGATCATGGTATGGTCTCGTACCTCAACCTAGCTCCAGGCTTCGTACCCAGCTAGATCATGAGGACTGCGATCAGTAGAAACTCTCCACCATCGTATCCTTCATAGTAGTATTAATCGCCCCCGCATGCCCCTCACCCAATCTAAACACGCTCTCCACAACGCTCAACTCCGTCGCCGTAGTATCGAGTCCCGTAACCGCCAACCAGTCATTAACCACCATACCGGCACCAACAACGCTGCTTCCCCTGTTGATGCTACCAGCCACCAGCGGGACTTGTAGTAAACTCGAGAGCTCGTCTTGGTCTTGGATGCTGGTCTTGGGGTGGACGAGGCCGCCTTGGTTGGAAAGCGACATGTAGGAGCCGACGAGGACGTTATCGGCGATCGTTTGGCGGAAGACTTCAACGCCGAGGACGTCGGCGATTATTTCTTCGGTTTCGCGCTCCAGGTCGGGGTGTACGAGGGCGACGTGGTCGTTGGAGACGATGACGTTGCCGAGGGCTGAGAGGCGTTCTTCTATTCTCTGGTGGAGATCAGTTTCTGCACCAGGTGAGAAAGGAAAGTTGATGAGGATGCTGTACCTGTATCTTCACCTCGTCTGGTAAACTATTCCTCAGATGCTGAAGCTCTTGATCCGTCGTGCTTGTTGGTACCAATAGACCCTTTCGATTGCTAATCCACCATCAGCACTATTCCCTCTCCTGTATCCTTTCCACCTCCTCGTATCATGGTGTGAAGACATACCCAGCAGTCAATCTCCCAATGATTCTCGTACCCGCAATCGTAACATGGCAAATCGGGATAACATCCTGTAACTCGGCCTCGAAGATACTATTCCCTCAATCAGCCACTCCTCTCCCCATCTCTATCGCATCGTATTGTCGCATACCTGTAGAAGTTCTCACTAGCACCCACCGCAACCAACGCATAAGAATTCGTCAACGTCGAAAAGACACCGACCCTGCCCATAAACCATTAGCCACTATCACTTGTTTTCGCGACTTAAGAAGTTTGCGCAAACGCTGTCGAGAGAACGCTCTCGTCGCATAGCGGGGCAAAGAGGGGCAAAGAACAAAAACCTACTCATTCGAGTTCTCGAACTGTGCTCGTACCGCCATGATGTGTTATTCTTGCTAATAAACCTGTTTCTGTTCTTCTGTAAAAGATAAAAGGGAGTGTAAAGAACGACTTTGCTTTCGTGTGCTCGTCAGAAGAAGTTGTTGCTGCTTGTTGATTTTTCTCTCCCTTCTTCAGCTCGCCTTATGAAGATAGCAGACCCGCGGGCGCTAGCAGGGATGTCGAATGGCGGGCGCAGATGGTGACTCAGGCAGCGAAATAGAGAGCCAGTTTGAGGCTGTGTTGCAGGGCGATGACTCGATGATAGTGACTCTTTAGGACTCGGGGATGGGTGGTTGCAGATGAGGGAGGATGAGTGATGGAGGGGCTTGGACACGGAATGGAATCGTACCTGCAGGAGTGGGGGAGGCATAAGGTTATCACAGCACAGTACAGCATATTATTCAGCAAAAGCAAATTCATTATGTTTGGACCTATGGTCTCGGATCTATGTACAACTCTTGCTATGAATCTTTCAACGTCCTAGGACTTGAAAGATCATAGTATTCAGCAAAAGCAAATGCATTATGGTCTCGGATCTGTGTGGACCTATGTACATTTTTCGCTATGAACTTTTCAACGTCCTAGGAGTTGAAAGAACATATAATGCCCAAAGTTTCGTCTCACAGTTCCAATCAATTGCCGTACCAGGTACGGTTTTGTGATTGGGGAGGAGTTGTGCGACGGCCACCTCGAGGAGGGGCAGGTTGCAGAGGACGGAGGTTGGCTTGGTTGCCACCGCGAGGGGATTGAAATTGGGGAGGTGGACCAGGGTGAGGGGGCATGAAGTAATTGTTTGGAGCCATGCCAGTCATGGTAGGTCCGCCCAATTGTGGTTGAGGTTGCATGGCCATGGGTTGGGGGTGAACGTGAGGAAGCATCATATGTGCAGGAGGAAGCTCAGATCGAAGATCAGGTGGTTCAACCCAGCTTCGTGAAGGTCCGGCTCTGGTAGATGGAGGGGGAGGTCCAGGGAGGAATCCTCGTTGTCTAGACATGCCTGCTGTGGAGGGAATAGTGTTACCAACATCTGCCATATCGGCAAGTGCGGAGAGAGGACCACCTTGGCGATACACGTTGTGTTGTGCTCGTGGTGGGGGAACAGGTCGTGGATATGGGGTTTGATAGGTAGTGTCTCTGACAGGATCGTAGCGGGAAGAAGAAGCCATTGACATCGTACCAAAGGCTGGGATGGCGGCAGCACCAGCATACTGAGTAGCACTAGCAGTCTTGGCAGCTTCTCTGGCTTGTTTCTCAGCCGCATCTCTGGCTTTTCTCTTTTCATAATCTACCTTTGCCTTGGCCTTGTCTGCGGCTTCGATCTCCTTATCTAGCTCTGCCTGATTCTGAGCAGCTGATGCCAAGACATCCATGCCTCGGAAGTCTTCAGCAGGGTTGAGAAGCTCATAATCTTGAGAAGCTTTAAGAACCTCGTACATAGCCTCTCTGGCGGGGCGAGCGGCCCATTTCTGCTCAGTCTCTTGGACCCAGCTTCGAGAAGAGTGAAACAGCTTCCGGTGGCCATCAGCAAAAGTCTCAACGACTCTCTTTGACTTGGGCATTCTCAAATCTTCGTTCCAGTTGGTCGATGCCTTGAAGTATGGTCTCTTACGCTCATCGCGATCGACATTCCTAGACTTGGGAAGGGGAATGCCGAAACGTGGGTGCAAACGATGAGTCTTGACGATACGCTCATCGAAATCTTCAGGCTTCATTTTGGCAGTGTTCCATCCATTAGCTCGTTGCTCGAAATAAAAGTGCTCCCGGTTCGGAGAGGCATCAATGCCTAGGAGGGTAAACTGCTCATTAGGTCTCTTACTCTTCTCGATCTCTGCGTTGGTTTTTCGCTTGAAATAGTGTTGACGAAGGCCGATTTCGTGGTCTTTGAACTTGAACGTTGGCTGGTATCGAATGCGGTTGTTAGGTAAGGTTGTGGCATTTCGGCGGGCCTTCTTTCTTGGGACACAAACTCCAAGATCGTCTTCTGGATATTCCTCGGCATCACTGCTGACAACGCTGTCAATGTCGCCCTCTTCCGGGCTATTGGCACCACCAGTAGTGGCAGCTCCGGCAGGATCCTCGGCGTCTTCTTCCTCTTCCTCGCCTTCGACATCAATAGTGACATGCGTCTGCTGTGGTTGGAAAAGAGCCTCTCTCTTTCGCTTCTTACTAGGTTTTCCCCTGTTCTTTTCCTCCTCGACAGCGGCTTCCCGTCTCTTCTTGGTTTGTAGATCTCGCTCTTTGACCAAAGCATTCTTTTGCTTGGCATTGAGGGAATGCCAGAGAGTAGCAGGATGTTGAAGATATTCTGTGTCGCCTTCTCCAGCAGGAAGTGGCACAGCGTCTTGAGGCTGAGAAATAATCAGTACAACGTTCAGACACAGGAAATAAAAGAGAGCTCTTACTTTAGTGTAGGGGGTGGCAAATGGATGAAGGCTTTGCTTGACCGGAATATGTGTAACATCGTACAACTTTCCATCAGTTGCATCGTGCTGTGTTTGGTCAGTGATGTCCAAATGTAACGAATTGATCACTTACGACTTTCGGAATTGGAATCTCATCTAATTCATCGCCTCTTACATATTGATGCCAGACATACATTGTGTGCTCCTCGATGCGTGCAAAAGCAGCTTCATCTACATTCTCACATTGGTCCTATATTTCTGTTAGCACAGTTGAGGAGCTGTATAATTCACAACTTACTTTGCATTGGTCATGGGCAATCTTCTGGTCGGCCTCGTACATCCGCTTTGCTTGTGCTTCTTCCTGCTCCCGCTTGTTATCGTGAATCTTGATAGCCTTCTCATACGCTTCGCGAAGTCCATCAGTCACTTCCTCAAACTCGGGAAGGGACTCATGATAGGTTTCGTCGTCCATGAGCATCTTAAGGGACCTCTCTGCAAGTACGTCCAATGCATGCCTTTGTAGCTTGGCAAGTGCAGTATAGTGCACTTTGAGCTCTCCAGCGCGGATATTATGAGCATCAATTCGGGGATTGACACTGGCCTTGCGTCTTCCACCACGACGACGTCCACGAGTGGCAGCAACCGGCTTTGGTGCAGGCTTTGGCTTTGGCTTGGCACCAGCTCGCTTTCTTCCTCGTCCACCTCGTGCACCACCCCGGCCTCGGCCACGGCCACCGCGAGTAGCTTGAGTAGTTGTGACATCTTCACCATTTTCTTCTTCATTGGCTGGAAGAGCATCCCAAGTGACAGGAGTTTGGCTGAGGAAATTGTCTTCGTCGGATTTTGTCTCACCAGAAGATCCTTCTTCAGCTGGGGCTTCGACAGTGATATTCGGGATATCATTTATATTTGAAGGTGAGGCGACATTATCTTCTTCGGAATTTGCTTTGACAAATGCTTCAGGGGTTTCTGGCTGAGTTGCAGGCGTTGGTTGAAATTCTGGCTCCGAAGAGTTGACAGCATTGGATGAACGGCGTCTCTTAGTTGGGGGCTGGACTGATGCTTCAGATGTCTCATTGGCGGCCGCCGACTTTCTGGTCGATCTGGTGGAGGAGCGCTTGCCGAAAGATGAAGCCTCGTTCGTGCCGTTACTGATCTCTGATGCCTTTCTCTTGGATTTGCGGGTATTATGCGTTGATGTATTGTCAGGAGGTTCTGGTGGATCTGCACCGGAAGTCTCGTGACGGCCCGGGGCCATCGTGATTGACTTTGCGAGTATCAACAGACGACGGAAGTATTGAAAGATTTGAAGAAGTGTGTATCAAAGTATCGAGAATTAATTCAACGATCTTTGAAGTATGGAAGAGGTGTGCGTTGTATCTGAGAAGATTGTGTCGACGAAGATACAGCTGGGGGGAGAGTTTGTGTAAGAAGTTGGAAAAGATCGAAAATTTGAATCCTGCGCTTGAGGTATGTGTAGGCACTAGTTGCAAATCAATTAGACGAAGCCCGCGCAGCTATTGTCGAATCTCTCTTGGTATTGTGACAATGGGAAGGATTGAAAAAATTGATCAATTGTTGCTTTGCTGGTGATTCCAGAAAGACAATGCTTAGCCTTAGCGCGGACCACCCGCTCTGATTGGCCAGACCTCGTCGGGGCCCGGGATCGCGAAGATCATCAAGAATTAATCAAGATGACTTCAACAACCATTTGATTGGAGAACTTCGAGTACATGACATAGATAAGTCCTTGAAAAGTCGAAGACGGCTTCTATGTGTCAATGCGATCAAATTTCAATGCTGCATCACGCGGAAAATCTACCAATATTAACCATTAACTTGTTCTAGTCAATGTTCGTTTCGAAACTCAGTCAAAAATTCGATGCGTAATCTCAGCAAATGCCAGATTACTCAAATGGATACATTGCAGCTTGATTATGTGAGACGAACTCCCGTTGTGGTATTTTTACGAAGGATGACTGTGCTGTGTCTTCGTATCTAGGTGGCGGGGATGAAAAGTCGAGCCGGAAACTTTTCTTCTGTTGCTGCAATCAGTGGTGATGATATCTACGATTAATTCAATCAAAAGAAAGCATTGGCAATCGCAGCCTTGGATCCATCTAATGTTTGATGCTTAAGTCTCACTTGCAGGGAATATTGAAGCGTATCGGCGCTGAGTTGGAAGAGTAAGAAAATGGGAGCTGAAGGGCAATCTGAAACCAGGAGACATGTTTCAAAGTATTCAGACGAACTGTTGTCGTCCCAGAATCCCTAAATATACGTATCATGTTGACCTTCTGGAGTGTTCCTGTTAATTCACATACCCGACGATCAACCCGATGATTAATGCTATTGATTCGGGTTCCAAGGTGGTGATGTGGTGATGAGCATGGATAATTGATACTTGCAAGTAGATCGCAAATGAAGACATATTCGATGATCCAAATATCACCAAAGGCAGGTCAACCAACAGAACAACGATAGGTTTACCTATATCTACGGATCGGCAGTTCTTTAAAAGATCGCGCATGACCAGGAAGCGTTTGCGACCTTTCTTAAGACGATCAAGTGGAGAAGTGGAGAAGTATGCATCCATTCCTTGGCTGGAACGTTGACAATCAATCCTAACAACACAAAAATAATAGATTTGCCTAAATCTATCAACTCTAAGTTATCCAAAACATCGGGTATATCCAAAAAGCGTTTGCGACCTTTCTTAAGACGATCGAATGGAGAAATGGAGAATTGTGCATCCATTCCTTGGCTAGAGACGACGATGACGATTAATCCTCACGATACAGAACAATCATAGATTTGCCTAGATCTATCAACTCTCGGTTCTCCAAAGCATCAGGTATGTTCCAGAAGTGTTTGCGCCTTTTCCTAAGACGTGTGGATGGAGAAGTGTGCATCTTTCCTTGAACGAACAGGAGACGACTACTGATCACAACGACGCAGGACAAATCACAGATTTATAATTCACAGTTATCCAAAGGTTCAAGCATGTTCGGGAAGTGTTTGCGCTTCTCCTTCAAGACGGGTGGATGAAGAAGTGTGCATCTATTCCTTTAAGCAGCAGGAGCTGACATCAACGACGAAGAGGACGATTAATCACAACAACGCAAGAACAACAAAACATATCCAATTCACAATCCTCCAGAAGTTCGCGCATGTTCAGGATGTGTTTGCGGCCTTTGTTAAGACGAGCAGATGGAGCAGTGGGCATCCATTCCTTTAACGAGCAGGTGACGACGACGACGACACCACTGATGACAACGACGAACAAAATTCCCATCAGCTCACTATCCAAAATCACCATTCTGCTTCATCAGCAGATGCTACAGCCAACATGTGCATCGAAGACGCAACGGGAATCCAACACCTTCCATTTCGACGTTGCAATGATCCTCCACAAGCCGCCCCTTATCACACCTAAAATCTCCTCGAGTAACCTTACTCGAGCCTTGGTGGTGATTGTAATGAAAGGGTCAGATTGGCATACTACAACATACACCTACAAATCCGCGTACAAGTCGCCCCTTATCTCACAATATCCCCTCGCGTAAATTACTGAGAGGATTAGATCAGGAAACCCTTCTACAAGCCGCTCCTTATCATACACAACATCCCCTCGCGTAAGGTTGCTAGTAAGGAAAGGATCAGATTAGCATGCCCAAAACATATGCCTCTACAAGTCACCCCTTATCAGACACATCTCCTCGCGTAAGTCACTAGTAACGAGAGGATTAGGTTGGCATACTACAACATACGATCCTACAAATCGCCCCAAGTCATCACTCGCAGCATCCCCTCGCGTAAGGATACTGGTACCGAAAGGATCAGACTTGGATATACTCCTCTACAAATCACCACTTATCACGCACATCATCTCCTCGCGTAAGATACTGGTACCGAAAGGATCAGATTATCATACCACAACATGCGAAAACCCACCGAAGGCACACCCCACACACATTCCACGCCTCGAATTTTCCAGATATACTTCTCAGTAAGCATTACAGTACGCAAAGCTTCCCGGTCTTGGAAAGAGGCTGTCTTACTGCATTGGAGAAAACTGACGCCGTACACAGTGTTGGAGGGCAGAGCACACAGCAAGTGTTCCACAGATCCACAGCTAAAATAAACCCCTCGAAACTTCTAGAGGTATTGCTTCGTAGGTATTGCAAGATCCCAATCTTGGGATGAAGGATGACCAGAGGCTTTCTTACTGCATTGGAGACGACTGGTGCTGCATGAAATGTTGGATGAGCAGAGTCCCCAGCAATATAATCCTCGAATCTGCCAAACATATTACTAATATGGCATCAGGATCCCGAGTTTGGAGAGAAGAGGTAAGCAGATGCTCACTTACTACACTGACGAAGATTATCGTCGTATTCAATATTTCCAGGTTGAGGAGCAGAAACCCCAGCAGATATTCCACAGATCCACATGCGAAATCCGAGCCTCGAATCCTCTACAGATAATTTCCATGAGGATTACATATTTTTTTAGTACAGGGCTTTTGATTGGGGAGGAGGGGACACAAAGAGGCAGAACGCGCGAACATGCATTTGGCGAGCTGCAAAGGGGCTCGCTTCGACAGCATGCAGATAACGTCGTTGAGAAGCGTCGTTGAGAAAGCGTCATTGAGAAAATGTCGTTGAGAGAAGCGTTGTTGAAATAGCGTCGTTGACAATTTGTAACGACGAGGACAAGTCCACTTTCTTGAGCCTCGTTCATGCTCTTGCAAGCCATACCCCACCCCGTATTTTGCAAGCCCAAAAACTGTTTGACCGAGTCGGATATTGACGCAGTATGAATCTGGCGACTCGGGTGCAGTGCCAATAAATCCAGAAGACGAGGAGTCTTGGAGACTCTCAGGATGCTGGATATCAGCTACGTATATACATCCAGTACAGCAAAAGCAGAATCACCAGCTCCTTCACTAACCTCATCTCAGGTCCACAAGCCTCCTTCCTCACCTCCTCCTCATCCTCAACCTCGTACTCAAACCAGGAAGGCATACCAAATCCGCAACCTCACATCACACCACACCCCATCTCCGGATCATAAATCAACACACGCACCAAGTCCACAGCCCATGTGCTCCATGTAGCCATCGGACCACCTCACCTCCCTCTACTCTAGAAGTGACACTAATTACCAAAACAATCCGCACTCCTCAACGCCCACTTATCAAGATTAAGAAAGGAATCAACGAGAGTACGTACATCCAGACACGAAGAATGACATACTGCAGAAGATTATCGTTGAAGTGCTGGATCAACGGAGCTCACTACCAATGGCTCCAAGGCCTGAAGTCCGGCTTAGATTCGGACAATGCCCAGCTTCTTCTCCTCCTAACGGGAGACATTTTTCAGTTCGATAGTAAAGATAGATCGGGGTTGGACTAGGTGAGTGAGTGGATGTCAAGTTCAGGAAATACAGAAGAATCAGCAGGGTACCATGAACTAGACTAGCAATGCAATCCTTTACCCTCACTGAAAGAGGTACGAAATGAAACATTGCACAGAACATCACGTGCAGCATAAAACTCGTCGCGGACTCATGAATTCTTATTACGGGAGCACCAGGTAACATTCCCTCCCAAGTACTCACTGTGCCCATACCATCATCATGCATTTTCTCGCGAAACTCTACGATCGTAAGGTACAATTCCAGGGAATATGCACGAAAAATAATTGATCCGCCACCACCCATCGCGAACAAGAAACGCATGTATGTAGTATGACCACCACTCCCATACGTCGAAAAGCTCTTTGCGTTGTGCGAAAATTTGTTCTTTGTGGCAACAGCCAGGCCAGACCGCTGGTATTAGCTGTCCGTTATGCAGACTCAGGAGATCCTTGAATACTGTGAGAAAAAGAAGCCCATCGCCGGAGGACGGAAAACAAAAGAAAATCGCTCAGGTCAACGCTCATTGTTGCATGTCATCATCATCAGGTTGGTCGAAGAGGAAATTCGCCGCAAGTTCTTCGTTCTTATCGCATGCGAAATAAGCTTGAATAGCCAAGTCACGGGGGAATCCGAGAAGACATAACTAAATAGATTAGCAGACGATGTACATAGAGCCGGGGTCACTTACCCGCTCAATGGCAGCGCGCTCGTCTTCCGTAACGCTAATAGCCTGGGCTCCTGGTGGGAGGGGAGTATCATTATCACCATCCTCACTCAACAATTGAAGGAATTGTTCTGGATGTTGACCAATCAATTGTGCCAATTGTGGATTGCCTGCACCAACTTGCTGGAGAATGGGCTCGAGCATTTGAGGGTTTTGCTGGACCACTTGTCTGAGTTGTTGGAATTGAGGGTTGTTTCGGAGAAAGTCGAGATTTCCAAGTCCACCAGCAGCGGCTCCAGCTCCAGCACCAGCTCCAGCAAGAAGGTTTGCAGCAGAGCCGGTTCGGGCCGCACCACCACCACGACCACCGGCAGCTTGAGCCGCAGCGTCGAACAGGTTCAATGGCTCGTCACCTCCTTCGGCAGCAGCATCACCAGTAGCAGCAGCGGGGACGGGAGAGGCTTCGGCTTGTGCAGCTGGGGCAGCGGGTGTGGCTTCTTGTTGCAAGTTCTCTGGGATGCCCTTGACCTTGTTAGTGACCGACAAAACTTCATTCCAGGATTTGAACATACATCCAAGAGGTACTCCATAGCACGCTCAGAATTGTAGAAGGCAGCACGCATAGCGGCTTCGACTTCTGGTCTAGGGAAACCCATGTTCACCATCTCAGTAATTTGTCGAGTACGCTCAGCACCCATAGCAAGACCGGAGGTATCTCCTGAAGGAGTGGAAGGGATAGCTTGAGGGGCATTACCAGCACCGGCCGGTGAAGGCGTAGCAGGAAGGGCACTGGTAGTACTGGTCGACTGAACGGGAGCTGGGGGAGGAGCAGGCGTAGAAGCGCTGGCTGGAGCTGGGGTCGAAGGAGGCTTGGAAGTCGAGGCAGAAGCCGCAGGCGCAGCCTTGGGCTAGATTCGGAATTAGACATGCAGACGGAGAGTAGATAACATCAAAATACCTTTTGGATCATGCAGACAATGAACCCCTTCTCCTCAATCTTGTATGACTCTACAGTGTTGGCATCTTGAAGAATCTTGCCTTGAGGTTTGTTAGCAAAGGCTTGCGTGCCTATGACAGAGAGACAGTATTGCGCGTACCCGAATAGATCAACTTCTGCTGAGCGGCTTCCCATCCCTTCTCCTTCTCAATCTTCTCCTTAACAGCGGAGATCTGTTAATGCGTATATTAGCAAAGTGAAGCCGCAGATCGACGAGGATAGAAGCGCTCTTTGGAGGTATAGTTTCAACGAGGAGATCGGCAGAGAGTGAATATGCGTACTAGCTCAGATGGCTCGGCATCAATAACGAACTTATTTTGCTTCAAATCCTGTGTGCAAGTAGCTATGTTAGCATGTGGTTGACAAGGTGGCGGGGCTCGCTGCAGAGCGCATCGGCAACGTACTTTGAAAGTAAGCTTCATGATTACGACGGGTGGCTTGCGCACTCCAGGTGTATGTATGAGTGGTGATGTAGGACGACGCTGAAGAAAATCTTGGTCTGAACGAGTAGTCTTGAGAAGGCGGAAGAAGTTGTTGACGATGCTGCAGGAAGAGGTTCAAGCTCCCAAGTACGGGCGAATTTAAGGTTAGCGTGAGTTAAACGAGGGCAGGCAGCTACGACCACGAAGTTCCGTTCCTCTCTTTTTCTTCTTCCAATTCACCATCTGCACCCATTGTATTATGTCGACAGCTGATGATACCAGCAAGCAGTATGAATTCACGGCCATACCATGAATTTACATTTTACGTTCTTTGATCTTTGCATGGTTTCTCGTTCTCTTGCCTGAAATCCGGGTTGATGTCGGAATCCTTCCCTAAATGCGGGGTCTCGAAGTGCTCAGCCTTTCAAGTTGAGGCTACCAGCAAGCCTTACCTGCACAGGCTCTTTTCTTCAAACAGAATCCTACGAACAGTTAAGGACATATGTTCTCTGCTTCTACGAACACTTGGACATCTATTTGCTATACCAATACTAACTACATTCCTTGCCATTCTGCAATGTGAGATTGACAAAGGGTCTTCACAGCTGTCTCAGATACTTGGCCAAAGTGTCCAGATCATCCGATCTCGACCCTCCCTGCCCTTGCGCATGATACAAGTCACAACCACAGCACGATCAAGAGACGCAATCTACAGTCACCAATGCAAGAGTCTAGATGTTTATCAAGTCTTTTCTTCGTTAAGTACTAAGGTATATCTGTTGTAGTTCAAACGCCACGCTAACATCAATGGTATTTATCGTACAGCAAGAAAATTCGTCCTGGCGTCGAGCCGTCATCCCTCATCAAGAGATTCGTCTATTCATCACGCACCTCTCCGAGTTTTCCCAATCCTGCTTGGGTTTTCTTCCTCGAATTATAACCTTGCATGCTATTCCTGGGTCCACCGTTCAAGATGAAGTCAGGTATGGGCGGAGTCAGGCTTCTCTCTCCACCAACTTCTTCCAATCGCTCCAACTCTTCTCGCTCCATTGCGCGACGAATGCTATCCAAGCTATTACTATGCACAAGTGGACTTGAAGGCAGACTTCCACTTCGCATTCGATGAATCGATCGAATGCTCTGACGATCTGATATCACTTGCCCAGCGCCAGGAGCGGCAGTGACGATTGTGCCTGGAGTGGCTGCTGGTGGAGGTGTTGGTGAGTCGGTTCTGAAGAGAGGATGGATGTGAGCTTCGGCATTGACGCTTTCTGTTGGACTTGTTGTCCGTGCCGTTCTGGGCAGATCTCTATAACTGTTGGCAGGGCTATAACTGCGACTGCGCTTCCTAGATTTAGGAGGTTCGAGGTCTAAGGGAAATCCAGGACTTGGACTTCTGCTGCCAGTAGGACTCGCAGGAATCGTCTCGAGAAATCTTTGTGGAGTCGGCGAGACAGATGCCACAGCTTCCCGCGATTGAGGATCTACCGCAGATGTATCCCACGAGTCGAAGCCGTCCTCAATCGAAATACTAGTATCGCGATGTGACGAGTCAATCGACCTGGTGGATTGTGGTCTATACGGTGATCTGTGGTTAGGTTGAATAAGTTTTGTCTTCGAGTTGATGGGTCGCACAACTTGAGAAAGTGAGGATCGAAATGAAGACATGGTGTCAGATCCTGCTCGGGAGCGACCACTGGATGGAGGAGGAGACTTTGAATCTACGGAGGGTGTGGCTCGATGCTCACTCCTCTGCACACTCGACGCTCGTGGTCTGGACTCAACCATGTCTGGGAACTGTTCTGGTTCTTCCGTGTCGGCACGATATGGTTGTATTTGTTGTTGGAAATCCCTTCGCTGAACGATTACCATGCAGATGATGAACATGGCCTGGGATATCAGAGTGATCGCCCAGACGATGAAGGCGCCAGTCACCATACTCTCGGTCGATGAATGGATTGTTCTCTTCGGAAGATCTGCAATTCTCGTCCTCATCATCCCAAGCAGGACCGCCGATGCCACCGCTGACAGAAGTCCAAACACTCCGCCAAATCCAGCCAAGAGATAAGTATGTTGTCTGCCATGTCCAAAGTCTTGGATGTGGGCACCGTTCCGGTATCGAATCTGTCTACCCAGCAGGAGTAATAACAGAAGCGCAGCAATCGAGCTTAGTACCGAAGCAACAATAGCCACCACGTTTGTGTTGACTGGCGACGAACTTCGAGAAAGAGTAACGGCGAAGATGACATCGAAAGTCAACATGGCAAGTTCGCTCGAGACGGCCAACGCCCCGAGCGTTACAGGCAACACACGAGACATCGCCATCACGACGTCTCAGCACCCGGTAACAAGGAAGGAATGGGATGAAAGAATGACTCGTTGGTGTAGCACGATTTCCAGAGGGCAACAGGTATATATAATTCGTCTGGTGCAGTTGGGTGATCGGCCGCAGGCGTGCAAGAATGCTCAAACGAATGACAAGCAAACAATATCCAAATTCTTCACCGAACAGGCACGAGAACGAGCGATGGTCTGACGGCTATCTCTCAAAGACTCAACGTCGACTCCACGAGTTCTTCTTCTCGTCCCCTACGTTTTCGAGGTTCCACAAATCGTACCAATCTTGGCTCCTTGTGCGTATGTTGTGTCTTGTGTCAGTCCCACCAAACACTGCTGTTGCACCCAGCTCTTGTCAAGTTTGTCGGGATCGTTTCCTTCTGTGCACGAGCGGGGGTTCAGCAGCAGCGAGAATCGGGTTGGTTGCAGGTTGCAAAAGATGAGACGCCGTCGCTTGGATCCATATACATGGATTGGACGGGCGAGTGCAGTATGACAAAAGGCTCCGGACTGCGTGGTTGATTGGGAAGTTTTGACTGTGCTCCCACGGGTCCGCAATTGGGTCGCCAGTGACCGTCGGGACAACAATAGGGTGAAATGTAATGGAAATCCAGTCCGCGATGATAAGCTGTAGAATCCAGTCCAGCAGGGTCGGTCCCTCGTAGGGTGGGCCGTGATGTGTGTGAGGTGGGCTGAAGATTTGTTTATATCAAACCCCACCAGGCGCGGATCCCGAAGCGTGACCTTCTCGAAGGCAAGCAACCAACTTTTCCTTTCTTTCTTTTGTTCGATTCGGCCTGAATAGACCCAGATCCGACCTGGCCGGAGTGAAGCGAGCGGAATCGATATATTGGAAGGGCAGAGCAAGCAAACCACGCGAGCGAGGAAAAGCTAGGTGAGGGGATAAATAAGTTTCTATACTTATTTCCCTTTCTCTCTCTTGCCGGTCGAGCCTCAACGCGTCGCGTGTTGTGGTCGGGGTGGATGGGTGGATTGGGTGCTAGGTGATGAGTGGAGTGAGCGGCCTTCTTACCCGATGCACGTCTAGCGAACCAACGATCGAGCTAAATAGGCGGGGTCTCTGGGCTGGCTATGAGCTCTGGGCTCTGGGCTCTCGCTCTGTCTGGCTCTCACCCTCTTTTCTAGGTTCTGCTGCTTGCTTCTTGGCTTGCTTGCTTCGTTGAATCCTGGACCGGATTGCTTATACGTGCAGCTCTCTAAAATTAAATGCTCAGCTCAGCGCAGCTCGCAATTGGCAAATGGGGTTGGGATCTCGGCGTGGCGTCCGCAGTCAGGCAGTAAGAAGGGTACGAGGGTTTTCCTTTTAGCCAAGTCGTAACTTGTCGCGAGAATGAGCAGGTAGCCGTGCCGATGGGACACAGAACGCGGCGAAGATGGGGTGCTGCGCCGCTGATTGGGTGCTCAAGAATCCAATACTTGATTGGCGTGTGGTTTGACAGGTCGCGAGGAGTCGTCAATCTGAACCCTTTGGAATTGGGAACCCCGATTTGGTGCGCAAAGCTGACGGCAGCAGAAAGATGAAGGAGAAATCGTACGGCGGCGAAGCGTTGAAGGAGCAAAGTAGCGAAGTGAAGGAAGGTCGATACCTAGGTATACGTCGTAGGACAGACGAACGGTCGAGGGGAGGGAGACCTTTTCAAAAAGGTTCCCAGGGAAGGAGGAAGTTTTTTGTTTATAGGAGATGGGGATTCTATTATGATTGTGTGGTCTGTTCGCCTTTGTTATGATGATGACCTTGACCTTGACGCAGCGGCATGTCCTGTCCTGTCTCTCTCGTGTCCCGCAGCCGGTTCGGATGATGAGTGAGGGTCTGGTCTCGCAGCGCATTCCCTGCGACGAGCAGCGTCATTCTACAGAATACGCTTTGAAGCTGGGAAGGAATGCCTGCGGTCCTGGCTGTTCTGGCCGTGTGTTCGTGGTTGGTGTGTTCCTGCATGGATGAATCCCACTGCTGCAGTGAGCTCCCGCCTCCATCTTTGGAGCAGGAGCGGAAAATTTGCAGCTCCACCCACAACCACCAGCATCGAGGCCAGGATCTATGAATGGGCCACTCTTACAGCATACTGTACTGGACACAAAAAAGAATTTCAAGGACGGTCTGTGCCCCAGGGATCAAGCCTCGGGCGATCTATGTCTATCCTTGCGCCATCCCATCGTTTTCTTTGCGATTGGGTATTGGCAAGGCGATCGAGGTCACGTTTTTGCTTGAAACGCGCCGGCGTTGGGACGGAAGGACTCTCTCATTTCTTCTGCGGCGGTGTTTGAGGTTTTTCTTTGAAGACGAAGAAGGCTGACTGTTTGAGTACTACTGTACCGTGAGTGAAGAATGGTCTGATCTTGAAGAATGAGATGAACGTTGGTATCACAGGAAACAGTACGTGCTATGCCAAGGGTTCTGTTCTTGAAACAGGTACAGACAGATAGCAGGTCTCACAAACCTACAGCAGTACTACTCTCTTCCTTTCATTGTGGAGAACGTCGGAAGTCAGCAAGTAACTTCGGACGACGGGCTGACTGAGCTGACGGTTGAGTTCCTGGGGATAGAAAATGCAGACAGCAGGAGTGGAGGTCCGGACAGCACGGTAAGTGGGCCTGACATCTCCCAAGTTCCAACTCTCATTTCGACTGCAAGCAACAAGGAAGATTCTTGCAACAACTGATTTCCGCACTCGAGTCTCGTTGTCAGCGATCCAATCCAGTTCCCTCGCCTTGCATAGAAACAACGAATTATCAATAATTAGGTTCGGCGAGGCGTGCATCTATCTGCATTTCTGGACCTAAGAAAGGCATGATTGTATGTCAATATTTATGGGCATTCGATAAATTGTTTTGCAGACTGCGAGCAAGGGAGCTTCGAAGGAATGGCTTGAGGCTGACCTGACCTGAGCAGCCACACCCGGGCGAGAATCGCGATCGAGGAAGATCTCTCCACAGCAGTAGATTTGGGAGAGGCAAAGATCAGATCACATCAGCCTCGGAATCCCCCAACATACCATGCATCCTACGCATAACGTTGGGATCCCGTTCTGGCAAGTGGCGCGCGCTGCAATGGAATTTACCTTTTCGTTTACGCATGCACAAATAATCCATAGCTTCTGCTTTTTCGTTTAAGCACGGCTGCATATTTTCGACTCTCGAATTAGAAGTGGTGGGTATGCAGGTCCGATGCAGCCTTCTTTCTTTGAGATAGAAAAAGTTCCGGACACACAGACAGACGGCCGCTCGGAGAATTGGATTAGGTTGAAACGGGATGGTGGCCAATGATCACGTAGATGGCATCATAACAAAGAAGGGTTTCTGTGTTTCAAGTCCGAGGGTTGAGAGTTGGGAGTCTGTGCGGGTGGCGAAACGCAGGTACAGAACGAGATCTCTTCTTGGAGAGGTTGGAGATGGTCACATCGGGATGAAGACATGGAACTACGCAACAGAAAGTGTCAAAGCTCTTTGGAAGGTTGAAGAGAACAGTCTTGAAACGAAACTATTATCGGGTGGACGGCCGGCCCGCTCCAGTCAACGACGGACGATGCACGCACGGTTTCTCTGGATGGCGAGTCAGAGTTTCTAGAGTAGCTTGTTTTATGTTTTCTTTGAGGATAGTGCTCGGTCGCGAAGTGTGGCTCAGGTACTATACAGTAGGGTGTTGAAGGTTGAAGAGTGCGTACGAGTCGCGTTGCTGCATTTCCAGAGATGTCACTCAGGAAGGACTCGCAACGCTGGAGGAGAGGCGCGGCCCGCTCCTTTGCGTACTGTACGCTGTCGAACGGACCGACGGATGGATGGGTGAGCTTTGAACTGTCATTGCGTGGTTGCTTTGTTCTTTCTTGTTCTGGATCTCTGCTTTCCTTCCTATTTCATAGGGAGGATTTGTTTTCGTCTCTTCAGGGAAGACTGGAGAGACTGGGAGCTGCGCGGCTGTCAATGCTTTCTGTTTCTTCCCTACTTTCATCTCTTCAGGGAAACCTGGAAGGGAGTTGCACGGCTTTTCTATAGATGTCAATACTTGTTTTCTCTTTTCTGTATCCTCCTTGCGAACTCATGGAGAAGATTTCTTTTCGTCTGATCAGGGGAGACGTGGAAGGGAGTGCTGCACGGCTCTCTTGGTAGACGTCAATGCTGTTTCTCTCCTGCAATTCCTTGCGAAAATTGAGTTTGATATCGGAGGGCGAAGTCCAGGAAGTGAAGTATGGACGAATTGCTCCACATCTTATAGACGGATGGTGTGGCACTTTTCAGTCGTTTCTTGCGAATGTGCTTTGATAATCTGCTTTCTCCCTCTTAAGCAAGGACGTATATCGTATCCTTCGCACAGTCTTTCTCCGCGGGTGTTATAGGTTCGAAGCAGGGGAGATGCCAAAAGAAAAGCCACCTTTTTGCTGTGAACGGGCCACTTTGAGTTTTGCTTTTTTTCATATTTTCGGAGCCTTGTTCAGCTGATGGTCCCCGGAGGCAGCGAGAAGAGATTGTTGAGCACCAATAAGCGATTGCTGTCATAAGGGTGCGTCACAGCCAATATAAATGAGGCTTACACCAAGCAAGGTGTCTTGTTCCCACGTGGGAGAGTCGCCGATGTGCTCGTATCACGTGTCTGGTTGTTTTACATGCAGAGTCTGTTTTAGACATTGAAAGCTTGTTTCTTAAGGCGCTTTTGCATATCTGATCTCTCAGCTCGATATAGAGATTAAAACTTCATTACGCTTGTCCTATGTCGTGATCCATCTAGAATCATGATATCAAAACCTCTTTCAGTTCACCAATTCAACACATATGGCGCTATAGGCCTCGGAAATGCTTTCGTCGAGGCTTAAGCCCTATTCTTGTGCCTGCATTTACATTCTTCAAAATTCTCAACTACATCATCTTAGCAATATCGCATGTTTAGCGCCTACAAACATTTGTCATGCTCCTAGCTCTATTCTAACAGTCATGACGACAACATCGCATGATATTCTCCCCAATCTGGGATAAACTTCCCATCAAACATTGCACCATCTCCTGTCACTGGAAAGCTCCGACGGCATCGCGCCGGCAGAGGTGAATCAAAAGTGGACGAGGCGTTCCTCTGCCGCCATCGGGAATGGACGCCAGAAGCCTCAAAGAACATTCTACTCGTATTTGAACCAATCACGCTCTCACCATTTTCAAAAGTCGGCAAATTGTCTCAGTTACCCCTCGAGGCGAGAATCTCTTCGTCCACTTTTTCAAACATTTCCAGTATATGATACTTCAAGTTTTGAGGCTCTTCCTAAGGCCGTAAGTATTTGTATGTAGGAACGGATGATGCCGTCTCCTCTTTGACAAATACTCAACGGGATTCTAGATTGCGGAGAAACAGCCGCTGGAAATAAATTTTCTCTCTCACATTCCTGGCTGCAAGAAGAAAACGCCCAGGCACAAAAGCTGCCCCTCCACGTTTGCTTTCTCTTGCACCATGTCTCAGTATCCCTCTCTCCAAGACTCGCACGCAGACCGTTTAGGAAGTTCCTACCCTGGTTCTCTCTCTTCTTCCTTTCATTCTAGAATGAAAATCAAACAAGCCTCTTCTGATGAGTGATCCGGGAATATGGAACATGGGTTTTCATGGCTTGAAGGGAGTAGAGTTGTGAGCGTGAAGTGATCAGCGTGCATATATATGGGTCTCTGGTTTCCCTGTTCGTGTTCGTGTTCGTGTAGGTACGGCTCAACCGGATTCCTGGGAGTTTTCTGGCCACGAACGAACAAAGGGAGGGTTAGTGTTGTGCATAAACCCGGAACCCACTACATACAACCTTGAAGCGTTACCCCAGACATCACACGCACCACACACGCACGCACTGATCACGATGGCGTCGCAACCTCCATCCCCGACCACAGTTCTGAAGACTAAATTCGAAGACCTCTACCTCTCCTCTCCTTCTCACCAAGAGCAAGAGCAAGAAAGCGAATTCCACTACTTCGCCCTCCTCCCAGCAGAACTCAGACTCAAGATCTACACCCTCTCCCTCCCTGGCCCCAGATTAATACCCATCCACTACCTCTCCGCCAACACAACACCACCTCCCTCTCCATCCCCATACTCATACTCAACCTCCTACCCCCCGCAAAAACGTATCTGCCGCCGCCGTCCAACCATCACCACCTCACCCCAAAACCCCTCGCACACAGGCTGCACATCCCCGGCCGCGATCCCAGCCCTGCTCCACGTCAACCGGGAAGCTCGTCTCCTGGCCTCGTCGCACTATACCCTCTCCTTCTCGCTCGCGGGCCCGTTCTTTGAGCCGAAAATCTGGTTCCGGCAAGGACAAGATGTGCTGTATTTCCCGGCCGTGCCAGGCTTCCTGGCCACGGTGAAGCATTGGACGAGTATTTGCTGCTTGATTAAAGGCGGGGAGCTGGGAATGGTGAGGAGGCTGGCGGTCCATGAGGATTTGTTTTTAGAGGAGAGGAAGAGGAGGGAGATTTTGGATTCAGGGGTTGGCTGGGATAGGGAGGATGGGGATAGGGATTGGGATGTGGGAGAGGGAGTGGTGGAGGAGCGGGTTAGGGATTTTTGGGAGGTGGTGAAGAGGAGGTATAGTGGCTTGGAAGAGGTTTTTATTGTTGGTGTGGGGAGGGAGGGGGATGTTTGTTCTTATGAGATGGGTGAGGGTTGTGGGGAAGAGAATGCGATGGATGTTGTATCTGGGAAAGAGAGAGAGTTTTGTGGAGAAGGTTAGGAGGATTGAGTGTGAGGTTGAGGAAGAAGCTGGTGGGAATTGGCGGGTTCCTAGATGGAGGGTTTTGAAGGGAGGTGTGGAGTTTAGGTCGCCTTATTGAGGTGTATGAGATTGGTGTTTGGATAAAGAGAGGTTTGGATGTAAGAATTGGATGTATGATACGGAAAAATGGAAACTGGAATCCGAGGGAGGGAAAACATCTGTAAATGTATAACTATTGGCTGTATATAAAGGGAAAAAATGAGAATTATGTGAGCGATACAACATTTTTCTGGGATTGATTCAGTTGATGAAGTTTTAGTAGGCATCTGTAGAGATGGCAAGTGTTGGAAATATCTGATGTTCATCTGTTGTTGATTGAGCTCTTTTACAGTATATATCTGTTAATGGAGGCTCCACGATCACTGACTGAAAACATGGCATGGAGAATGAAGATATATACTCCTTCAACACGAAATAGATGATTGCAAACACTTCACGACCGTCCCCCAGAAAGCGGACATCATGGCTCAGATACCAAGCCACAACAACAAGACATCATAAATCCTCAACTGACTTCCTCCTTACCCCAAGCACCAAGAATGTGAGCTTTTAGTACTCTCGCAGGCGTTGGGAGTTCTGCCAAGCTGCCGAAGATCGGATAGCAAGAGGAAGAGAGGCAGAAGGAGCAGGCGCTGAAATGGTAGTTGATCCAGGATCCTTTGTCCATGCTGGGGCGTACACATTCCCGGATGGTACTGTCTCGTTGAATTCCTGTGCTGGAACTGGCTCGGGTGCTTGAAATGGCTGTGATTCGATTTGGTCTGCCGGACATCGCCACTCCAGTGTGCTACTTCCTCTTTCCTTTTCTTCTTGTCTTTGATTGGTAACGCTACGAACTTCTTAAAGAACGGGAATTCTGAGTGCCGTCTCGTAATGTATTCGCGCTGGCCTGGTTCTTGACAATACGACGTTCTAACGGGGAAGGAGATTTGTGCTTGAAGTTGGAACAGCTGTATCTTGGCGAATGGGATTGCTGCGTGGTGGATTGATCCTGGTATTTGTTTTTGGAGGCGCTTTTGGCTTCCTGAGGGAGATTCCGCAGGGTTGGATATGGTATGAATGTCTAGGAGAAGGAGAAGAATCTTCGGCGATTATAGGAGAGGTTGGTTTGATGCTGTGATTCCAAATCTCTGGTTGTCTTTCTGACGTCTGACTACTGTCTTTGAAGATTTTTCATTACAAAGAACCCTCAGTCCGAATGCCTTTGTTTGGTCCGGGACTTGATTTAAGGTGTTACCTGCTTCCATCAGGATGTTCTTGTTTGCTTGGCACAGCATTTGTGGAGGGCCCAGAACAGCGGTGAAAAGAAGAGCCCTGATACGAGGAACGAGGGTAGCAGCAAGAGAAGCGGAGAGACAAAGGAAAGAAGAGGGAGGCAAAAGGTTGATGGATGTTTGGAAGAATAAATAGCAAAGCATCTCTGAAGGACGTTGTTGACCGGGAAAATAGGAATGCTGTGGCAGGAGTAGTGCTTCGGCTCATTATCACGGATCAGTCTAGCATCTTTCAAGATTTTTCCTATCTTGAGGGGAAGGTATACGATGCCTTATCAATCCATAGCAAGGAAGTGTATGAGTGAGACAATAATTAAGGGCTTCCAATTGCATATCAAGTATTGGGTATCAGTTATATTCTTCGACCCCTTCACTAAAATCTGAATTTCCTGCTTCAGCACCAAATTCATCATTAACCTCGCTCCGAAAACCCTCATATCTTTCAGGCCAAAGAAAAGCTGTTGTGACAGCCATAATCTCCTCCGGATTTTCAATCTTGCGTATCATTAGTATTTTGGTTGCTTGTTGGACGAAAAAAGGACGGTCCCTGAAGTCTGCGACTCGACCACAAATAAACATTTGCCACAGCAGGAGATCTTGAAATGTTGCAAGGAGTACATTGAGATCTTGACAGGCTTCGAGGGTAGTTTTGATCCGATTTGCAAGCATGATGTTCATGCCAAGTTCTTTGGGCAATTCCCGCAAAATTGTGTAGATATAAATACAACATGTCCATCCAAAGGTTTGAAAGATAGGATGCTGTGGTGACGCTGGATTCTCGATATACCAGAGTGGATGGACCAGACGTTCTAGGACTTCGACTCGATCAGTAAACTGAATGTCGGTTGCCGAAGGAGTGTCAAGCTGCTCCGTGCCATTGCGAATGGCTTCCAGTATTTTGGAAACATTCCGGAGACCCCAAAGCACGTTTACTGCGTGGTCAGAAAGTGTTGAGTTGGTGTAATTATAAAGTCGGGCTCCAAACGTCCTTGCGTGGGATGCAGTCAATACACTTGGCTTCCGGAAATACTTCTCAGGATTTGAGACATCCAACGCCGGGGTCAGAAGTGGCTTGCTCTTCAAGGCTATGCATGCTGCAAGATCGGTTCTGGTCTAGTTAGTGTCTTGATACACAGTAATCAGGATATGACGTTGTTACAGGTAGATATGCCTGCGGGTGTGCGGGCTAAGCTTCTCAGAATGGGGGCCTCCAGCGGCCGACACGATAGACAGTAAGCCGTGGACGTGCGTCAACGCTGTCTCGGCCCGTCCCTCGAAACTCTATTGTCCAACGTCAGCTCTGTGTCTGATTTCCGCCACTGTGCCGTACTTCTTGCTGAGAGAATACTGCAACGGTGTTTATTGTCCCTTCATCGTGTGCTCCTCTTTCAATCCTCCTATTCAATAGTCGAATCGCTGTACCACGATGGAAGTAGAAGTTCGCAGGAAGTTCGACTTGCTGTAGGTATGCAGCATGGCTGGACGTCGAGGAGATGACAGCATGGAAGAACGCTTCATCCCTGACAGCAAGGGGAAACCATTCGAATCGGGGACCAACGTTTGTGACGCTCGATGCAGAAACTACCGTAACAACTGATTTGTCAGCCCTAAGCATGAGATCTGCGTTGATGGAACGATACTTGCAGTGGTAAATCAAGAACCGGAGGTTTGAATCTTCCAATTCAGTCTTGGGGCTGTATGGAACAACCGCTCTGCCGGGAGGATTTCGTAATAGACGAACATCGAGTGCCTTGTTCTCCTCTGCCGTTGTCCTAGTTCTTCTATGCTTGTGCCGAACATGCAGGCCAAGTGAAACTTTGAACTGCCTAGGACTACCACCCACGTTTGTCCTCATGATCCGTCAGGTCATGAATGATTAGCAGGCACATCATCAAAAGATACAGTAATGGGCTGAATGGCCTATCGCAATGTGCGACTGGATCTCGGCGATTAGCAAAGAGTGCATGTTAGAATCCTTGTCCCGCAGCAACTTGCTGCCCACCAAGATCTTAGAGCTGAAGAGCTCTCACCGAAGAGAAGATGGAGGAATTGCAGAACGAGAAACGAGAAATCGATACAAATACTTTGAAAATATACTCGCAGATCTGTCTAAGTGATTGCTTTATGGTCTCTGGCTTGGAAAGTGGTGATGGTATCTAGGTATTTTGCGAAATGAAGATAATTTAAAACACATGTTAGTACTGAAATATTCGCGCTAACCTAGATCTCGGCACTTTCCAGACCTACCTCAGCAGCGAGCGGAGACGACCTCGATATGCTTTGAATGTCTTTCTGTTCACATTTGTTACCATAGCTATTACAAATCGACACGGGACAAGTGTCTTGGAATTCATCCTTTTACTGCTTGCCTGAGGGCTCCCTTTTCATTTCAAGGATGGGATCGATAGTTCCGAATCCGTTCTCTTCGTAGTTACTAGAGCATGTCTGTCAACGTCTTCTTCATATGCAGCAAATCCAAGTCTTTCCATTGAATACGGTTACATTAATGGTATCTCTGCTTTAGCCTATCCTTACCTGCCCTCGGAAATCAACGACCAAGTCAAATTCTTGCGCTTATTCACTAGCTGCGCCTGTTTTTTTTGGCTTGTGGGGACCATGCCCCTACAAAAGCCGGAAGAGCTTGGACGATGTCTCGCTTGTCAGTCCAGGAAGTCGTTTAGATACCTGAAACCCTCCTCCGTTGAAGGGTTATGATTGTACCTGCATTGCTATCAAATAATGGTCACATGACATACTAGCGTGAAACGAACAAAAGCAACAATCACTCAGCCTCGCTCCTTTCCTAGGCATTAATGCTCTTCGTTATGAAACTTGAGGAAACGGAGGCTCTTTTGCTCAGCCTCACACATGAGGATGTCTCACAGTCTCAGCTGCAGTGAACGAAGGCGCCAGCTCTTAATATTTCGTTTTGATATCTCTTCTTTTCATTTAGCACCTCTTTTCCTTTTGGAAATAACGTTCAGTTTATGACTTGCTGGGTGTCTATAACCGCTGACTAGACAAGCCAATATCATGGGCTCTTCCTCCTTGTTCGGCAATGTGACTGAACACACGGGAAGCTGGGTGCCAGAGCCCACGACGCGGGGAACCTTCAGCTTGGTCTCGAGCTGTGTCATTACGCTTTCGCTGTGTGTCTGGAGCTGCGTCCACCTCAATTTGCCCGAGCATAACGGCGAAAGAAAGCATATATGGCGGAAGATCGGCTGGGTAGTCGTCGGCTCGCTGGTACCGGAGATAGTAGTTTTCACGGCGTGGTATCAAAGACACGAGGCGAAGAAGATGCTTTATTTTATGATGGACCAGTGCGGCCAGGACCATCCCGAGTTGTTCTTCCATCGCCTCGACAGGTGGCGCAAGAGATTCTCGAGCAACTATAGGAATAAAGCAACAGCTTCTTCTGACGAGGTATGGCAATACTTACGATCTGGCATTCCTAAATTCAAAATTAACTTGGTATAGCCCCCATCTGAAAATTCCCATGAAAAGAAATCTACTCATCCAGCTTCGAAGACAACTTGGACACTGACACACGGGTTTTACGCTATTATGGGTGGCTTCGCCATTGACGGCTCAACGGCGGAAATACCATTCATTCCGGAAGGGCGCGACAAGCTGATACTCACGAAGAGAGGGATTATGATTTCCCTAACACTCGGGTACATCGACGAATTCAGCAATATCTCTGTTGGGAATATTCGAGACAAAGGGAAGTCTAGCTCTGTTGCAAAATGCCTTATCGCGATGCAGACACTGTGGTTCTGTACCCAGCTAGTCGGACGTTTAGCTCAGTCTTTGCCCATCAGTCTTCTTGAACTGAACACATTCGCACATGGAATTTGCACTCTATTCGCTATATATTTCTGGTGGGAGAAACCTCAGGACATTGAACAGCCCACGCTTCTGTCGCTGAATCGGATACAACCATTATGTGCCTTTCTATGGATGCATAGCAACGTTAGCCGAGAACAGCATAGTCATACTGTGGAGGCTCTGAGATGGAGAGCACCGGTACATACTGGTATTGATGACTGTTTAGAGCAACCAGGAAGAAAGTCATGGGCCATTCGTTCAAGCTTGGCTTCGGAAGTCAATTCTGATTCGTCAGATTCCATAGGCAACTTAAGCTTAATTGCAGGACAGTATGCGTCAGAAGACATATCGAGAAAGCAAATTGTCCCTCACACAGGCACCGAACCTTCTTCTCCGCTTTTAAGGCAACAAAGTTCCGATATTCCTTCAAACTTACCCAGAGAGTCGCAGAGCCCATCAACCCCACCTGGTATTGTGCTGATCAAAAGAGGAAACCGAGTCCCCGGTACCGTCTTTTTTCTAGCAAACAGCTCATCAGAACCCGAATCAGTCCTTGTGGATCAAATCCAAGTGAACAGATTGACCTTGGCCTCGAAAGTGTTGGTACTACATCCCAGCTTCTTCGCGGAAGCCGCCAAGACCGGATCATTATCCAATTCAGGCTCCAACGCAAACTATCTAGCCCCGCGAGCTGCAGAGATCACTTCAACAACCTACTCTGCTGGAATACCGGTCATATTCACAACAGCCATGGTCTATGGCGGACTCCATTGCCTTGCATGGAACTCTCAGAGCTTTGCCTCCAGCACTGAACGACTGTTATGGAGGATATCATGTGTAGTCCTAATGGCACCGATCCCTCTAGGCACAGTTGTCTTAGCTACATGTGCAATCCCCCAAATTTTGCTGCGAGTAGTGGTCGGGTTTCTACCAAGCCTTGCTTCGTATCTGAAGAAAGCCTTCAAAGATGACGGGATTCTAACATATCTTGGAATGGGGGCTTTGATTCTACTTCTCTGCAGTTTTCTGATATTTGCTTCCTTAACGCTTATATTTGGAAGAGCTTATTTGTTGATCGAATGCTTTATTAATGTTGGATACCTGAATAGCAGAGTTTTCATCCTTCCCTCTTGGACGAACTATCTGCCGCATATTGGCTAAATGGCTGTACCTGGAATGTTGAGCAACTGGATATCGACAAGCAATGTAACTATTCCCGCGGTGTGGAAACAGCAGGACTCAACGTTTGCGACGTGAAGCCATTTCGAAATCAAGGTGATGAAGGGAAAAAGCTTTGAGATGATGCCCACTTCCTGTGAGGGCGCCTCGCTTCAGTGCATTGGTATGAGAGAGTTGTGATGAGTTGAGTGCTTGCTGCGAGTGTAGACAAAGAGCAAAGAATCTGCATTTTCGGGAGGTTAGTTTGACGACTGAGATGAACTAATCACCTAGGAAAGAATTTGTATTCAACAAAGTACATTTCTCCTCACTCGTGTTCATCTCAAATTCTACAGATTCCAGGCACATCCGACTAACTATTCCACAGGTGTATGCCACATTGCACGTATCCGGGCCTACGCAACTTCGATAATGAGATGTGAAGATATTGCAAAAGGCTGCATCGTTTGCTTATTGATGTTTCAGTCACTTGCAGCAAGCACTCCTCAGGCGAGATCAGGTGGTTTTGATGCAGACATCCGTCCTCCGTTTGTGATGTGCAGCAATGCATTGGGAATTTACGTCCAGGTAACTGCTGATGCAGCTGCCCATTGTGTCCCCTATTTCCCGATGATGCACACTCCCTTTGGCACGGTCGTAAAGGACACCATCCCTTCAAAAGATCACTCTTCTCTTCTCATTCTGTTCTCCTCTGCCCTCAAACTTGAAGGGAACTCTCTACCCTACGACTTTGCTAACAAGACCCTGACATTTTCTACACTCTCTTCGCCATGGCTTCCCAAAATGCTGGGTCCGGAGCTCAAGTCAAACGCAGCATTCCAGCAAGAGTGCAATGCTCGGGCTCACTTGAAATGAAGGAGTCGTCCATGTACAGTGGAATCGGTATCTACACCGCAAAGGACATTGAAGAAAATGAGCTCATTTTCAGCATTAAGAACCCTGTGCTCGCTGTAGTAAGTTCCTCCTCGAACTATCTTCATATCTACATATGGATTATGGATCGTGCTGAGCTCTCATGATAGATTACGAATGTTGAGGATGGTTACAAGACAGCTTGCGACAACTGCTTCGCTGCTCTCTTCAAGGAACTTCGGACTGTTACGAATCCACAACTTGCTTTTAAGGCATGCAGTGCCTGCAAGATAGCCCACTACTGCTCAAAGCAGTGCCAGAAAGCAGCTTGGAAGCACCATCATAAGCATGAATGCCAAACCTATGCGACCTCGGATATCGGCGATATCATTTATGTTGCCCCAATCAGGCTGCTCGTCAGAATGTTGTGCCTCTATACGAGCAACACGATACCAAAAGACTTGTGGAACGAGTTCCTGTCTTTACCTTCTGAGAAGAAATATCGAATCGAGGAGAGTAGAAACGCAATCAAGGAAATCGCTCAGTTCATGTCCGGCGTCACAAATCTCCCTCAAAGTCTTGTGGTGGAAACTTTCTCCACTGTAAGTGCGGTTAATAATTCCAAAGTGTGCAGATGCTTACGATTCAGGTTATTCACAACCAGAGAGATATCTATCTCCCAACTCTGAGATTGCACTCTAAAACCGATCCTCTAGCCACAGGGACCATGGGGTTCATGGGCGATTGCATCGATCCTTTTGCATCTTTAATCAAGCACTCATGCGATGGGAACACTTGGCTCGTATTTGAAGGCACCGAATTGCGTTGCAGAGCAATGAGAAGAATCCAGGCGGGCACGGAACTCACGATGTCCTACATTCGACCATCAACTCCCAGCTTCATCGAACGCCGCGAGAAATTACGTCAAACGTGGAACATTGACTGCAAATGTTCACTTTGCCAGTATCCTTCTCCTGAACCCCTAGGCGACCTGAAGAAACAACTCACGAGATACAACACACATCCCAAGGAAGGTATCACGTTCACGAATCAACAACCCACACTTGACGAAATTCAAAAGGATATCGAACAGATGAAGGCTGCTGGATTCGGCGCCGCTACGCTGCCGATGCTCGCCCTCCATCGCCTTGCGCTATGGGCACACTTGAGCTAGGGGAATGCAAATACGGCAGAGTCACTGATCAAGCTAGCTTTGAAGATATACTACGTTATTGAGCCAGCACAGATTCCATCGATTGTCCCACCACTCCACCTCAACAGCCTCTGGTTTCTGATGGTGGTCATAGATGCCAAGTTGCTCCATCCACCATCTGATTCCACATCTACACCTCTTCCTGAACATATCATGGAAGTACTCTCCAAAGCTCATGGCTATCTCACGTATAAGGTTGTCACCGACACTTCAAAATGCTTCGGGGAGGGTTCCGAGGTTGTCAAGTACGAGAAGGAGGTATTCAAGCTCATCGGCAGCGGGGCGATGACTATAGTCAATGATTATTATCCAGCCATATTTGGATTTGATCCAGTAGCGGTTGCAGAGAAGGAGAAGATAGAGTTCCTTGAGTCGATGAAGCAACTCTTGGCATGGGCTGAGATTGAAGGTGTTCGGGACGAGGACCTTGTCTGAAAGTAATACAATGAATGAGTGAGTACGGAAGGAAGAGAGATATCCTTAGAAGTAGAATGCATTGTACGAACTTCAATGAAAAGCTTGTCATCCTCAATCTTTAACATCTCGCTGGCTCTTGCCCAGAAGTTTCGAAGCCACGTTCTTCACAAGGCTATATTGGAAGATTACAACTTTCACACGATTCTACTTCGTACCATCTCCTTCCTGCTAAGCACATGTATTCAGAACTGATTGAACCTCGAAATTGATTAGGGTGTAATCACGTGACAGCGCGATTCTTTATTCTAAACCCGCACCTCGCTTCCACCCAAACAATGGAACAACCCAAGCTCGCTGACTTTCTATCAACAAGTTGGAGATGAAAATGGACACAGGAGATGGAATCATCATTGAAGCCACACAGAACTTTCCAACCATGGATCAAGAAAACCCTCTCCCGGACGCGTCTGAGGTCCAAGCTCAAACACCAGCCTCAAGTAATCCTGAATCTAGGGAAGCAGAACTCACGCGTCCAGCCCTGAATCACGACGTTGATGACGAGAATGTACCGATGGAAGCAGAGCTCACTCTTCCAACCCTGAATCACGACGATGAGAATGAGAATGCAAGAAAGGTTTTCCGGGCAGAAATTCCGGATAGCGATGCACTCTCTCCAGTCTCGAGTCCCGAGAAAAAGTGCAACGTTGATGCAGAGACGCCTCGTATCGAGGAGACCCCATCTTTGATTGAGTTGGATCCTACTGGTCTGCATTGTGACGATCAGGTTGGAGATCAAAGACTGGGGGAACAATTTACGAGCAGAGCTGGAGGTGAACAACTTGGGTTAGATGTCGATGTCACGAACGAAGCTGCAAAGTCGACAGAGCCAAACGATCCTCTTCCTGGGTCTGTGGAGCCGCTTGAGGTAGAGAATTCTGTAGTCACGAACATCACAGTGACTTCGCCTCCACAAGTGGAAGACTCTGTGTCCGAACAGCGGCTGATTGAAGACACTACTGTTGCACTGCAAGAAGATGATGCCACGCCTGAAAAGCCAACTGATCCGGACAAGAAGATCAGCGAGGAAGCAAAAGAAACTGAGATAGAGGACGAAATCTTGCAAATATCTATCCCAGATGCTCCCATGAAACTGGTCAAGGTGTTTCCCGTGCCAGGCAGCAAAGAAGCTGGGCCAGAAACGGAAACATCTGCAGTTCACATGAACGACCAGGATACTCTTATGACAGACGAAGGTTCCATCCAAGTTGAAAATCTCGCTGAGACCGGTAAGCTAATCTCTACGGATAAGGATTCTGAGAAAGGGGCGGAAGAATCAGAGTTGCCTATGAATACCACTTTCGCAGAAGTACGCTCAGTTCCGGACAGTGATGAGGAGTTGCCAGATGCTCCAGCCGCTGTAATCTCCACCGACATGAATTCCAAGGGGGACGAAGTATCAGAATTGTATGCGAACACTTCAGGAGAAGTACGCTCAATTCCAGATAGTGATGATGAAGAGTTACCAGATGCCCCAGCTCTGGAAGATGTGCCTGAGCCAGAACCTCAAGTCACGAAGAAAGGCAAGGGCAAACCTAAAGTGGCTGAGAAGACCACGGGGAAGATTGCGAAGAAAAGAGGTCGACCAAGGAAGGTAGCAGCTCCTGAGGTCCAAGAAGACCCCGAGCATACAGAGATGGATGATATGGCAGGCAAAAGTGCGGACAATTTTACTGTTTCGCCAAGGCCAACAAATCCTGAGGAGCCCCCAACGAGTCACGAGGGGGCGAAAGGTGCCTCTGCAGAGCTAATCAATCATGGCGCTATTGGTCAAGAATCCGAGGTGAGAGGAACTAATGGCCCTACCGAAGTCTTGAAGCAAAAGTCTCCTCCACCTTCCCCAAGAGCCGCAATGTCTTCCTCGCCCGCGCAAAGATCAACACTTTCTTCGCCTGTCAAGGTCAGAATCAGTCCCAATCCGTCCTTCAAAATGCCCAGCCCGGTCAAGAAGGGGCAATCTTCGTCCCTTAGCATACCATCCTCTCCCTCGAAAGCTGGATCAGCTGTTAACCTACCGCAACTTGAGGCGAGGGACAATGGCCAGTCAGGGGGTCCTGGATCACCAGGCTCACAAGGTCAGAACAGAGATGTCGTTATGGAAGAGCTGAAAGCTATCAAAATGGTACGTACAGTGAGCTTTCATAAATTAGATTGGTTCTTGCTCTAACATTTCACTGCACAACAGGCCTCAATCCAAGCGCGTATTACGTCCCTCCAAGAAGAAATAGAGGCCAAGAAAGCAAAGCGTGATGAATTGCAAAAGGACCTTCGGTAAGTCGACCCTCTTCTGTGCCTGAGTGTACGAGTTATACAAACATACTCTCCTTGAGTCTTGTTGTTGTTCCTTCCAGACCCGGTCGACAAGCATGCATTCTGACTAACACATGAATAGACACCCAGCAGCAGAAACCGTGAAGCGTCACATCAAGCTCCTTCACGATTATAATGATATCAAGGATATTGGGCAAGGTCTCCTAGGCATGATCGCTGATCAACGTGGCTTGAGGGTTGGGGAACTGTACGAGGAATTCGGGGTCGATTTGAAGGACTGAAGCTCTGTGTTGTTTTCCCCGAGACTGGGTCATTCGCCTGAAGTGAAAGGAGTAGATTTTCGGTGTTTGATATTGGCATCGCATTGTTCGGAGCATGGAAAGGAAAGGAAGATACCCATTCATTTGCATTTGCTAGCATCTAGCCAGGGGTTTTGGGATGTAAGCTATACAAACTAGCAGTTTTGCACTCTGCGATATTGCAAATATATTCAGGAGGGTATAGAATGGTATGAAATTCGTACATAGCGTGCCCTTCTCATCAAATCTGTTCTCTGGATATTTCCTCCACCTACTTCTCATTCTCCTTCTCATCCAAACAAACACAAATCGCCGCCATCATAGCCAGATCTACCCCAGGAGCAACCGTAACGAAATAACTCTGCTGCCCCCCAAAAATCTCCCGCATATTAAAATAGCTCCTCCCAATCGTCGCCACCGTCGCCCCATTCATACTAATAACCGCACTCCGGTCCAACCAATCTCCCTTGACCAGCATTTCCACCGGCTGCTTATTCGACGCGTTTGTGAAGGTAGCAACCATCTTCGAGGACCCGATGGAGAATTTGCCCTTGACTTCGAACAGGATCTCGCCCGAGGGCAGCTCGGCGTAGAAGGATTTGTGGATCGAGAGGAGTTTGGTGCGGAGGCTGAAGAGGGGCGCGCCGGAGGAGGTGGCGAATTCTTTGCGATCGGAGAGGGACATGGCTTGGCCGCGGCATTGGACTACTTCGTGGTTGTTTTCGTCGACGATGTGGAATGTGTCGCCGGAGAGGGACCTGGAGTGGTCGGGTTAGCAGATGCTGGAGGAAGGTGGATGTTGAGGGACTTACCAGACTTTCTCTTTCATGACGAGGGTGGTTTGCTTGTTCATGCAGTAGTTGGGATTGACTCCCAGAGGAGGATTGAAGGGAGCGAGCTGAATTGGTTGGGCAGGCATTGTGACGGACGTAATTGAACTTTCAGAGAAAAATAGAGTAGGTGTAGAGACGAATTGAGATGTTCCTACCTTTGAACAACGTGCCTACCTGTTGTATATATGCCCCTCTGATACTCAGCTTCCTGCCAAGAGCCTTCCTGCCAAGCTACTGCGCCGTGAAGCTTGACGTGACGTTCCAGTCAGCCTTGCGACGATCTGCAGGATCGAGTTCCATCACCAAGGAATTGGAAATGCTGATAGGGCGCCGAGCCTCCATTGGCAGATGTCAAGTGCGAATTCGTAGTTGGAGCGAATTTTCGAGGTTTGATAGGCACAAGGCGGAGTAGTCTTACGTGAAGGAAGATCATTTAAGCTTCTAAGCTAGCCCGAAATGGGAATAATGCGACTCTGGAAAGACTATTTCGAGCTCAAGGAATACGACTACAGTTCGCCATCACCACTTACACTTACCTTTTGATCAACTGTCGTCTTCACGTTAGCATTGCACTCTTTGAAAGAAATCTAAGATCTGAAGGCTGTCGTTATAGCACTGTGCCATGGACCTAGACCGGAAAGACAACGAAGCAGCTACTATTCTTGAAAGGTTCTCACAAAACACTCATATCCTTCTCCAACGTTATCTGCGCCAACCCTAACAAAGCCGACATCGAGAATTGCTACTACCGTTTCTTCTAGACGATTGGCACTGTCACCAAAATCAGCGGATGCGGGCCATTGCGGGGTGATTGGGATGGGTGAGCACGATTCCAATTCTAGGATTTTGTTCCTTTCTGGGACGTTCTGCGCAAACCCCCAGATCAATGTACATGTGAACCACCCGCGTCGAGACATATCGCTCGTTGCGCTGGCGCATGAGATCATAGGTCTCGTTGTCCTAGGTGCCTTCCCTCCTGCCAACAGTCCTGAGCAACTCGTAGCGCACCCGTTGCCGTAACTATCAAAACTTTAACGAGAAAGCTTCATTCGCCGTCTGACCACTAAAGTTCCTGCTCCTGCACCTAACAATATTCCGCCTCCAATTACTGCTGCTGCTGCGACAGGAATAATCGCATGTACCACAGCCATAATTATCAACCCAACACTAGCCAGGACCCCACCACCAACCATCATCCCGTCTGCCACTTTCTTCATTGTGCTGAAAGCCTGGCGGGCTTTGGTATAAGGAGGACATGGTTCCTTACGACCCTCTGGATAATCAGGCGGAGGCCCTTTGCTTTCGATCCTACCAAGTCGTCAGTGCCACCATTAACTAGATACGACAACTTCAACATACCTCATAGCATTAAGTAACACATTCAGCGTACTCTTATTCCTCTCTAATCTCCTACACAACGCCTCGGTAGGTTTCTTCGCTAAGCTTCCCATTAAGTCCGCTATCCAGGCTTGTTTCCAATGTATGACTCTATTCACAAGCCGTTCCATCTCCTCGCAGGTATCTTTCGTATCGTCGATACACCTTTCGAGCGACCATTGTGTTTTCTGGCTAACATTCCCTTCTCCGTACTCCATGACGCGATCGAGGACATGCTTCAAGGTCTGCAGTTCTCCAATGAGAGTTGTGAAGTGACTTCGTGTCCCTGGCAGATCGAGGACTTGCTTTACGATTCGCTCAGCGAGGGCTTCGAGGCCGAGAGCTAGGCTGATATATTCCAGAACCATTGACTGTGAAGTGGATTTGACGACAGGCACTGGCCAGCAAACAGTCTTTCAAAAGAGAGATGTGGGGTTCTGAGTTATATATTGCTTTGGAGCTGGACTCAGCCTCAGACATGTACGGAGACCTGCTGTGATCTTGATGAGACATGTCTTCATGACCACTAACGTGCAAGACATTGTAGGCTGAGCTACCTCTGTCTGGTATAAAAGCGGCGCCTTGTGCGCTGGCCAAATAATGGCCGAGTGTCAAGAGATCTCTTCTGTCAGATTGTATGGAACGACAATATATGCATTGACCCAAGGCAATGTTGTTCGACGACTTAGAACGACTTATTTGCGATTAGAGAAGAGTACATTGTAAGCAACTTTCCCTCAGCTGAGCAACATGAAGTAGATACAGAGTAGATTTATCAATAAACATGGGTGATAAATCGAGGCTAGCTCCAAAGGTCGGCATAGACCTTTTTCTTTTAGGATGCAACTCTTCTCTATAACAAGCTTGACCTTCATTGACTCTTTACTCGGACATATGTCAATAAAGGTCTTAATGTACATTCTTCTACCTTCAGCAGTAGATATTCGAACCGAGAGATAACGCTGCCAAAAAGCGGGGTAGCTCGGCAAAGAAAGGGGCCCGCTCGCTTAGTGATGACAATCACACAAATAGCGCAGTCGAGTGAAAAGCACTAAGATTTTCACTTATCAGCTGCAAGCAATATCTCACTCGCATGACAGGATCAACAGTATAAAAGAGAAGATAAAATCTGCTCGAGAATCTTAAAAAGATGAGCGGTGCGCCACGCAAAAAGAATCAACAATACTCAAGGCAGAAATATGGAGAGTGTAATCGATCCCGTGTTACAAGCACTTCAGAGGTGTGATACTAGCAGAAGACCCTTCTCATGGCCAATTTCAACCCGCTGAGGAATCACTATGACTTAGCCCGCATCAGCACACGATCATCCTTTCAGTTGCGAAAGTGTGCAGAGACATGAGGGTTGGTGAGTATGACTTAATATTTAATCGACGAATTTCTCCGGTGCACTACTCATTAGACGTGTAAGTCTCATGAGAACTACTAGAAAGAGTGTTCCACTTCATGCACAATTCATGCCAAAAATCAGCTTCCTCAGAGCCTTTACCCCCCCTGTCAAAGACCAAGCCCCGCCGGCACTTCACCGAGTAGGCTGCGACGACCTGCATTCCAGGGTGGTAAATTAGGTATGATTGGCTCGTAACGTGCTGCACATGGCGACCTGCAGGTGTGCCGGGCGTCGGCCGTACTGACAGGAAAAAGAGAAAAGAGAGAAGAGGGAAGAGAAAATAAAATGGCTGACAGGATGGGTTGATAACAGCCGAATAGATCATTGGCAAACTAGTTTGAGCGTGTGTTGATTGGAAAATTGCTCGCAAGATATGGGTATACTTCGGGCGTCTCCAAAATGACAGCTTCAAAACATCGTGGTCTCAAACTGACGTAGGTCGAACTGTGCTTTAAAGCTGGGAAGGCGCGACCTAAAAAGAGGTCAGTATCGAGCTCCACCCTCAACTACTTCAAATTCATCAACACCAAGACATCAAAAACAAACAAACAACCAGCGAATCATGTCTGCAACCTCTTCGAACAGCGACTACCTGGTCGCAGGAGCGGGCGCCTTTGGAGCTTCAACAGCTCTCTATCTCAAACGCGCGTATCCAGACAAAAGTGTGACTCTCGTCGACCGTGGCGAATTTCCTTGCTTGTTGGCGGCAGCTCACGATCTCAACAAAATCATTCGCGCCGAATATGAAGACCCATTCTATATGAAGCTTTCTCTGGAGGCTCAGGGTGTGTGGCGATCTGATCCCATCTTTACGCCCCACTTCAACCAGACCGGCATTCTCTTCAAAGGCATCGCGGGTATCGGCCAAGCCATCGTTGACAATTATGTCAAATTGATCGGGACATCGCCTGCAGAGTTGATCAGTCCTGAAGATGCAAAGGGACGCTTTGATGGCGTGTTAAGAGATGCAGATTGGACGGGTGTGACAAGTTGTACCTGGAATCCCGAAGCTGGTTGGGGCGATGCTGCAAATGCGCTGAAGAGTGTCATCCAAGCTGCCATTGATCTTGGCGTGAACTACGTCGCAGGATCAATTGGAACAATCACCTTCGCACCGGACGGCTCAGCAACGGGCCTGGCACTTGACGAGGGCAGAATACTCACTGGTAGCAAGACTATCTTGTGCACTGGAGCCTACACCGCGGAATTAATCGCCGATAGCGCGCCCGAGAGGGACGAAATTCAAGTCAAGGGACGGATGGTAGCAGCTGCGGCCATCATGTGTGCCTTCAAAGTTCCCCAGGAGGAGCTGTCTAAATTCGCATCTGCCCCCATCGTCATAAGCCCAATGGGTGATTATCCCAGTAAGTGGAGTCCAGACATTCCGTCCTCATCCTACAATGCTAGACGAATGGCATAGAAGCCTCTTCATTTATTCGTCGAGTGAACTGAAGCTGATTAAAATAAATAGGTGAGAGCATTCCACCGGGACCACTAGGTCTTGTCAAATGCACCCATGAACGAAGCTTTACCAACGTATCCTATCATTCCTCATCCAAACAAACTTTCTCTATGGTACCTCGCCGCACTCAGCAAATGACCTGGAGCCAAGAAGTACCCCGAGGACTCAAAGGCGAGGTGGGGATCAGCAGAGTGAAAATCTATGGTAATTGGGTCAAGGACGTGGAACCTGAATTCTATCGAATGTGTTGGTATGTTGTCTTCCACCCAGGCATGATCACTGGCCTACTTACAGACTACGGAGCCCACTAACATTTCTACAGGGATGCAGTAACCCCCAATCAGGACTTCATCATCTCTCCTCATCCTAAATGTCAAAACCTCTACATCGCAACTGGTGGATCTTTCCACGGCTGGAAATTCCTCGCCAACATCGATAAATATGTCGTTCAGATGCTAGACGGCTCTCTAGATTCGGCTGCCGCCCAAAGATGGGCTTGGGATCGCAAGGATGACGGAGCTGCGTGTGGACTGTATCTGCCTTCGAGAGATTTGAGTGAGGTTAAGGGCTATAAGGCGATGGTTGATGCGGCGGGGAAATGATTAAAGAGTTGAGCAAGCTCATTAACTGGGCTGAGACGAAATGGAGGAGTGTCATTTCCTGGGACAAAGGTTTTGATAATGTAGTCTAGATGTTACTTTTGCGCATTCTGACTTTGCTTGTGACAAAGTGCTTGGAAGTCAACTCTATCTCGTAGTATATTCCTCCCAGCCCAGTTATCTTGAGCTGAATAAAGCGCCAATTGAATGTGTTGCTAGGTGGAGGAGGAGGGTGTATGGCTTGCTCTCGTTAATGAAAGGGCCTTGTTCGCAAAGCAAGAGATCGAGGCCGGCTTAGTACTACGTATGTCTTCATACATTTGTAGAAGCGGACACGGGAGTATAGGCTCGAGACAATCGTGGCGGTTTCGACGCCAGCTAGGGAAGCACAAGGTGATCTTAGAAGGGCAACCTCATCTCCATACCCACAGAGGTACAGCTTCCTTCCTTCGGTATGATAGACTTTGACCAGATTTCAGATATCTGTTCGACTGACAAGAGCTTGTCCAATGACAACCTTTCATGCATGGTTGCGCGTAGTTCTGACCGGGAGCTCTCTTCTTGATTCTTTGCTTTATCTTTCCTAGCAAAGGATTCCGATAGCTTCAGTTGACAGCCGCTTCTGAGTTTGATTCTTGTACTAAGAGTGAACCTTCGTACATAGCATCTCTTATGATGGTGTTGAGCGGGAAAGCTGATGTGCCAGCATGTCGGACCTCGTGCTCTCCAATCGCACCCTTGTCGCCCCAGAAGATCTGTAGATGCCACTAATCAACGAATCAGCATTCCATAATTCTGACATGGAAGAGAGCATGAGCCCGCAGATAAGTCAACATGATCTACTGTCAGATAGTAGCCAGACTTCGCATCTCTAGTAGAGGACACAACAGTCGAATATGGAAATGAGCTTACCTCGTCCACCAAATCCACCAAAGTCTGAACATGACTAAAAGTAGCAGGCTGCTCATCATTAGGCCGTTGGAAGGACAAAAAAGTCGTGAAAGCAGTCAAAATCGAGGCACCAAAGCTAAGGTATAGAAGCTGAGGCGGCCTCAAAAATATACCCCAATTATACGCATAAGTCATGCCCTTACCGAACAGCCAATGCAGCACCGCCTTCAGCACGAAGAGAGTAACAGCCACCCAGCTCGTACTCGCCCTGAACAAAGCGTTCGGCCGCGGTGCATAAGGACGTGAGGAATAGCACTGCCGCCACGTCTTTTCGTCTCTGCTTAGATTTGTAATGAGTTCCGCGCAATGGAGCGCTAGAGTCAAGGATCCCTGCAGGACGCAGACGAGTATGAATACCGGCGTAGAAGCTCGATGAGAATTCTACAATGACGGCAGCGCTCGTGGGTGACTTTCCTTGGTCGGGAATGAGGTTCCAGTTGTTTCCCAGATACGCGTTACAGCCACTGCATGGCTGGCCATTTGTTGGATTCTTCGTTTTATATGCGAGTGTTCCTTGCGTGACGCCAAACCCTGAATAGAGGAGAAATTAGTCATCGTTCCATATGCAAGGAGTCTTAAGCCATGCCCGGGGAAGCGTTTCTTCCAAAGCAAGCTCATACTTCAGGAATTTTGATATTTATCAACACTTACAGACGAAGCTAAACACTGTCAACGTCCATACAAAGTACATGATTCTTCGAGCTTCTTTATGTGCCTTCCAGATAGAAAGTTGCCGAGCCTTTGGATATTTGGGGCCTGTATCGAGTCCAGCTTCGTGCACACTCATCATACAACGGCCTGGCACTCTTGCTCTGGTGCCTCCTTCCACGCTGGCCCAGGCCGTATCGAGTGGATTTGCTGACCAGGTTGGTATGCGGACTGACAACATTTGCCATGTTGCAAGACCAGCTTGACCAAGGAGTCCAATACCCAAAGCGCAGACAGCTGGCGTCGCCAAGGCCACGAAATCTCCACATCCATTGTATATCTCGTTGCCGAGGGTGTGAGAGAAGTGGTTGCAAAAGTTCTGTGACGGCGAAATGGCAAACATGAGAGATGCTGCAGCATATGACACAACGATGAACACGGCATGGAGAATGTTGGAGATGGCGCCAAAACAGAAATACTGGCGTACGAATGTGAACAGACGAAGGTTGGAGTTAAAGACGAGCTTGTCCTGTAAAGCCCATCGTAGACTGGTCTCATGAATCAAACCAGTGCTTTCCATCAGCGCGGTGACGATGAAGCTGACCAGCAAGGGTAGGATTTCTGCGGCAGCTGGTGATACTTTGGCTCCCGGCCAATCGTGATATGGACCTGCGATTGCGGATTTATTTTGGTATGCTTTTGTGGCTTCTGAAGTGGTTGATTTGGTAACTGCACCTGAGCCAACGATTACACAGACAATGCCGAGGATCCATGATGCACCCAGTCCCATCAAGGCTAGAAACTTTGTTGTTGGTGCTTTATCGTATCCATGAGGCTGACCAATATCGTCTTGCAAGGTAGGTTGCTTTGGGGCAAGTGGCAAGTCTGAGAGTTCCATAGTACTGGGACCAGCCAGAGACAGGTAGCCGTGGTGGAATCCATCTCCGCGAGGTATCATGGACGAAGTTCGAGGAAGAAAAAAGGAAGGGAGGCATAGAAGACTGCTTCGAAATATATGATGTCATGAAGATATAAACCTGGTTGTAGATCTCTCGTACTCATAGCCAGTGGCAGGTTAGTGCTTACCTAAATCTAAGGACTTTTCAGCTCCTGAAGGACTCAACCCCAGATTTGGGGGCAAGGACCTTGGCTGAAACAAGCCACTTGCGTCGGTGGAAATGAAGCGACCTATCATGCCTCGGGAGTGCCCGAGAAGCCCCACTTTTAACCGATGAGGCTCTGTAGCATTAGGCATCGAGTGAAAAATTCATTGTGTTGTTTGCTTCTGCCTACCTAGGTATGTTAACGAAACAAAATACGAGAAACTTCTGATGAACTTTAATAGAATAAAGTCTTGAAGAATCTAAGCTAACCTTGAGCTTGAAATCTTCTTAGTCGCTTATTGCATGATACCTTTTTCCACTCCAACGAGCCACGTCGATGGGAAGATCAAACACATTTAATAGGAGGATGAAGCCAAGTTCCCTCTCAGTCACTATAACATGAAAATGAATTGTTTGTCACATCCAAATATCGATCATGGATGTAGAGGTGATTTGGCAAACGCCCTTCGCTTAGCTATATATACGTCCTTCAGAGCTAAAGAGAAATACACCCCAAAAAAATTGATACGCAGGAGAAGCAAGAAAAACGCCGCAGGTGCGGCATAACAAACTCAGAGTTCTTACTCTTTGTCTGCTATTCAAGGCTTCAAGCTTCGGCCGACTCGCAATAAAGCCAGCCAACCCAGCTCTAGGTTAACCGAGGAGCATTTCCCGTCTCTATTATCAGAGCAATAAAAAAAAAAGAAAATATAGATTTGACAAGCAAAAACTCGGACCCCACCTGTTTTTAGCAGGTTAGACATCGTAGAAAACTGCTCGATGTCGGGTGCAGTTTTTAAAGTCGCGCTGGCGGAATTCCGTCGGAGCCCCTCAGTGGAGGGCTACCCCGCGGTGGTGACCCTTATCCTATCTCTTTGTACCTCGTATGCGGGGCCGCTGAGATTATTAGTTAGTGTTGAAATTTATTTAAAGTGGAGGGGATTACCTACGCGTTATGGCTTGGTTGGCGATATGATGGTTTTGTTTATTTAAAGCTATTAAGGGAGCTGGAGGCGAGGCTAGAGTTCACCGCAGTGGTAAGCTAGGCAGAATATACTGTAGGAATACATTACTGGGAGGAAATGAAGGATCCTGATGCTATGTATCTAGCCTTTGGTTTACATTATGTGGAGCTTACTTTATTAATGTATCAATACAATTCAGTAGTATCACCGCAGTAGAGGTGCGAGGCTGAGAATCGAGGCTCTCGAGTTTTCATAAGCCACTTTTCTATCTCTTTGCCTCAAGTTGACCCTTCATGCAATCCATCAGGACTTCGAAGATCTGTGTATCCATGTCTTCTTCAGTTCAAGTACATTCGTCTACTAAAGAGTATCTCAACTTGTAGATTGGCTTATCATAGGCAAGAGTAAATTACCACCATGCGGCTCTGTTTGGCAGCTCCGAGAATGGGGAACATATTCTCACTATCGGTCTTAGCCTTCGCACGTTTCGAGCAGTATTGTCAAAAGATATAAACACGGATTTTGACATCACGTGGTGGAACATTCGTTTTGCAGTTTGGGATAAGTTGAACATCTGGTCCCTCCACGTTGATTGTGTGTCTACAGGTCAAAGACTCGTTAAACATCACTCTGAAGCTTCATAGATTGGATGTCAATACAACTAAGAAACAGCTTGTTCCTCTTGGTCTAAGCCTCCTCCGAGTTCCAGAGCTCAAATATCACTTCACCCTCACTTCAAGCTTTATTTCTCTTAACGGATCAATGAATGATTGTTGATTGTCCAAGACCCCGATATCATGAAAGTCTCGTTCCTGTTTTGAAGCAGCTTCAAGGTTCTCTCAACCTCCACCCAAAAACTCTTTTCGCACATCAACCATGACACCGGTCAAATATTGACTGTTATAACTACGCATGTACAGCGATGAGTCCTAAGCCTTCCTCTCAAGAGCGACGTCTCCTCCATCCTGAAAAAAGACTTCAAGACCAACAACTAAAAGCCTCAATGTCTGAAATTTCAGCTTCACAATCACCACACTTCATCAACCCCCCATCCAGACTTAAAATTATCTTATTCTTCTTTAAGTCTAAAACCAATATTACATCTCCGTCCAAACACACCCACTAACTTTATCACTCGCCTGGCCCGCAACACACCCCTCACAAACCGCACTCCAAACCACCTCCCCAGTCCCAGACTGCACCTGCTCGGCCTCCTCCCCATCACCACACTTATAGTACTGCCCGCAAACAACCGCCGCTATATCGTCGTCCGGGTTCTGAAACTCGCCGTCGCGGCATGTGACCGTGGCGTTTACGAGGCCTGTTGGGAGTTCTTGCCGCCGTCGGTGGGAGAGTAGGGATCGGTGTGTCAAAAGGTTGGTTGCGGGTGGGATGTAGGTATCTTGGCGGAGAGGAGTGGTGTTTGAGGTGGTGGATGTTGAGGAGAAGCCGGCGAGGGTGTTTACTGCGGCGGGGTTGAGGGAGAGGAGGGCGTAGAGGAGGGAGGGTGTGAGGGTTGAGAGTTGCATTTTGATTGTTGTCGACGTTTTGGGGGACGCAATGGAACTGGCGAGAGAAGTTCCACAGTTGGAGAAGATGTAGAATGTTATGGCATCAGAGATGTATTGGTCCTGAAAATGTAAATAACAGGTAAGTGGAAAGCGTGGGAAAGCATTCAGGAAGAGACTTGACCTGGTGTGACCGGTTACTACTACCAGATGCTCTCCATGACCGGAACATTTGACATCCTTTCCAGCATGCGATAGACAACGAATCCGACAAACAACATTACCGAAACCGAGAAACTTCTGGCAAAGCATGCAGTTCGTATTAAAAGTCTGAGCGGCAAAGCTCATCATAAGGTTAAAGCTAATAAGCTCATGCCGAGACGTGGTGCACGGATGAAATTGTTTCATCAGGTGTTCTGAGCCGCGGGGTTCCGGATCCAGAGTGAGAACGGATATCATGCTGAAGAGGTGTTCTCTGAAACTTTTTTGACTGAATTGTTTCCACAGTGAATGTATGAACATTGTCATGATGAAGTCCTGGTCCAGATCGCCTTCTTCTTTTGAGAAAATTACGCTCCAGCACGTGAGGACCTAAGACGAGTGAAGTGAAGTGCCTATGCCACGTCCGAGGATGAAGACCCTTTAGAAGAAAGCATGAAATTCCGTCTCATCGTGAATCAAGTGCATGTTGACTTTGTTCGATTTGTTAGAAATGGGAACTTCCTCCCGAACCTAGTGTGTAGATTTCTGGAAACGAGCCGTGCAGCAACTTCATCTGATCTGTTGAAATTAAATTTGGAACGCAATCTGTATGGACTTTGACTCAACTTCCCAGAGATTTCTGAAGACCTTTGTGCTGAATTTACTCGCGCCTAGTGCAGGTCAAGGGATCCTTGCTCGTGAACAAGACTACATCTAGCAAGAATGTGAGCATCACGACGTCCAGATGTAAGCTTATGGGCCACATAGATTGCATTTGAGGAGAGGGAATCCTAATGTAAAGTGCGATGTAATGATTGACAGTCATTGTATTGAATCGTCATATAGATTGCATCAGCTGAGCAGCTATGCCACCCACGATGTTACAAATAACGAAAGGGTGGTGATACTCTCGAAAGAAACAAAGTACTCTCGTGTGTAGAGTGCGCGTGTAAGATTGATCAACCTTGCTAACGAGATAGAAATCAAGCAGTCAACCGCCGCAAAAGGATAGACGTGAGTCAAAATTGTAAAGAGACCAGCATCATCTCAAAGCGAGATAAGAGAACGAATGCCACCCAGGGTACAAAAAAGACTGCCTCGCCATAAGATTCCGCATGGAAACGGAAATCAACGCTGATCAAATTTCCAACAGTCACTCAGTAGCAAGCCACATCTTATTCTGAGAAAGACAGAGGCAATCCGAGTCATAGTGATGTGACCCTAATGCCCAGTGGATGCGACTCCTTGATGAAGCAGGAACATAGTTCAGCAGATTATCCGGTATAGCCAGAATCCAGCTTGAGCTGCTCCCACAACTTGTCGAGGTTGAGGTCGTCCTTCAACTTCTGAGGTTTAGACGCGCGATTATCAAGCTCTCGCCAGAAGTCCGTAAGCCTCTGCTTGTCATCTGGAGTCTTCGTCGTCTTGCATGTCAAATCGTAGATCTTGAGGGTAAGATCGAGAAGAAAAGCTTCGTTTCCGTACACGATAATGGCTCGCTCCAGATCTGCGACTCTGTTTTCGTTCACCATTCCTCCTCGTTGTCTCTCTATATCAAGATCTCCTTTGTCTGCCTCTGCTTCATCCAACTTGTTCTTCTTTTCGATGTGAGCATTTGCTAGCTTCTTCCTCCGCTCGTCTTTAGTATTGGTCAGTTGCTGAGTGCTGATCGGGATATATGGCAGTTAACTAACCTTTAGGTATCTGGGACCAGATTACTTTGACAGAACTCATCGTAAGGCTGAGTGTGGATATCTTTTCCCACTACCGTCTGATTAGCAAGATGAGTCGAGACTAGGGTAAGAGTTGCTTGCAACTTACCAACAATGTATTCTTGATATCTTCAAGTGTTTTCTGAATGTATGGTTGTGTCTCCAGGCGCTCCGGAACCTTTCACGAATTCGAAGAGAACATAGAGCAGCCGCATGTCTAAATTAATATGCTGGTAGATTTCGCACAACCTTTCATCAACACAGAGTCCACCGCTTGGAATCTGTCGTCCCGCTCTTGGGTTACACGAATATTTGTAGTCAAGGGTCTCTATCCTCCATTCGTGGTCATACCTCCCGCCTCTGACCGAGTTGAGAAAGAGGCGTTAATATTTTATTCCCGCATTCCTAGGCAGACCATGAAAAAGGGCAGCGGCGGGGCGACCTTGGTTCTAGCGAGAGCTTCATTATAGCGAGCAAATCCGGGAAACCCGTAAAGAGCCTCAGCTGAGGCTGTGAAGGGCGAGTCGTTCCCTCTTCAAGGGTTTGCAGCCAACCATTCCATTATCAACCAGACGGGACGAGATATCAAACGTGGAAGTGAAACATAACGGGGAATGCATTGGATTCATAGTAGCGCCGGCTCATCTGACACACAGTGCGGAGCTCCCGACCTTTCGAAAGACATCACATCGAACAGCTCGATTGCTTCCCTCATGGCTCGATGGTGAATCAATAAGAAGGCTCTCGAGACCGCCATGAAATAGGCCACGAGTTCCACTCACCCCTGCTCACAGTCAGAAAAGGAATCTGGAAGGGCACTGGAAATGCACCGATATTTTCGAAAGGATTTGCTTACCAGCAACGAGGCTCCGACAGCGACGGAATCCGAGAAGGGACTCTCGACACTCTCATTTCGAATCCAATGGTACCATCATTGCACTTGCACATAGTTATGAAAGAGCGCTTTCCAGAGTCAAACGCAAGTGTCGGGAATTGAAAGATTTCCACAAATCTTGCGCATTTCTAAACTCGTTTTATTCGATCGTCCAGAAACCTCTGGCACAGAAAATTTTGGAGTGCTCGCGCTCAGTCGACAGTTTCCTAAGATAGTCAATCATAGGCTTAAGGAAGGAACGAAAGCAACGAGCAACACGACCGACTATCAAAACGAACTTTCATTTTCCTGCGAGCGCCGCGATTCTAGCAATACCAATTTGAAAGTTTCTTGATACTGTTACAATCTCCATTTTATAACGTCGACTGTTCAACAAGGCGGCCACTCACGATGCTTCGCAAGGCGATTGGTTTCGCATCTCAGAGCCTCTTATGTTTACTATTTGGATGCCTTGCATTGCAGCTGCATTTACATCATTATCTGAGCATCGATATCAATTTTCTACCACCAATTGAGCATCATTGGCTGGACGCGCAGCCAGCGCAGTCAGCGCATTACCAATCTTTCGCGCAATTTGCTCTCCAACGATTTTGCACAATCCTCAGTAGTCTAAAGTTTCTCTCCATGTTCACAATCAAAGATACTCATTATTTTAATGTTCGCAGGGTATTTCGGTGCAGTCTATTCGTGTCCAATTTGCCGTATTGTGGTGAGTCTGATCACAGCCTTGCATTGTCACTGTATCTACGTCGAGTGTTGCCTTCAGTGCCGTGATGATTAAGAGCGCCAGCGCATCAAATGAATGCGCGCGCCCTCCACACCATATGCAACGCAACTGACATGGTGTGATATTTCTCCTCCCACTCACCATTCATGAGCAACAGCGTACTTGTCAAAATTTTGTGGACATTTCTTAATTGGCAAGGCTTGAGTTCTAATGGATGAATAGATTATTCTCGGAGACTACTCTCTAGGTAGAATTTAGTCGAAGCAGTAACTAAGATTATGATAGTTTCAGAGTCACAGACTAGGTGGAAATGCAGGTAAATTCAGAGCATTTCGAACATCTCACGCTCTATAGTTTACTTCTGACATTAAGTATAGCTTAAGACCGAGTACGTCTGAGTTGTTTGGTTCGTGAATGGATGTTCCGTCGACGTGGGGTTTAGCAATCAACTTCCGGCAGTCTCTCATAGGGTAATCCAAATTTGCTTGTGCGGGGTTCCACCCAACGGATGTTTGGATACTTCCAGTGATGGGTTGTACCGCATATCGACTACATGAAGGGTGAGGCTCTGGCAATGATGCTTCAGTAAGACAACAGAGCGCCCCTAGAAAATGGGGAACTCTTGCACTTTGACACGATACGAAGACAGACCTCCAATCTACAGTATTTCGCTTCGTCAAATACTATTATAGCTTGATTGTGCCTGTGCATCTCCTGCCGAGTAGACATTGCCTACAGAGATAAGGAGGAATGTCGTATTATTCTGAAAGCATACTTCCTCTTAATCAGGGATCACCCGTTCCTTCAAGTCCTTCTGTTTCGGGCTCTGCTGTCACAGCAGTTGAATCTATTGCGCAATCTACATCATCTCGGTGCCAGAAATCATCTCACTGCAGTCAGATCTTCGAACGCGATGCCGATGACAATCCAGTGAATGACCTCACCAACCCCTGTCACGGTTGGCCTCAACTTGTGAAGTTGATGGTCGAAAGTCCTGGCTTGGAATCATTTCAGACCTTCAGAGATCTCAACATCAAAAGCTTGCTTTACTATCAAGCCGAGCTCGTAACTTTGAAGAAACAGCTGCACGTCCTCGAGTGGGATGACCACAAAACGGGGACTTTCCGAAATGCAGGGGAACTGTGCGCGAATGTACGATTTCTTCTACAGTCCGAGTACTCAACAGATCCAGAAGCATCAAGGCAGATCAAAAAGATGAAAGAAATTCGTCGAGTCCTGAAGGAATACAGTAAGATTTCTAACAATCGCCATGCTGACTCATGCTAATTTTTCAAAGATGAAGCATTGTTGCAGTATGCGAAGCTCAATCAGCTTCCAGCAGCCGACGAGTTCAACGTCAACGGTCTCCGCACATGGATGGGTGAACATGGCTTAGGAGACTACACTGTGCAAGGCCCAGGCCATGAAAGTTGGGGAGATCCAAGTGCAGCCGATCCTCTCAAGAAGAAATTCTGGGCACATCTCGTACAATTGTTACGAAGCATAACCATCTTCTGGGCAGAAAGACCTGAGGAGAAGCTAATGAAACTGCATCCGGAACTCATAGTTCCTCGGCAGAAGAAAGAGATCGATGGTTTCACCCAATGGATCGCGAACGACTGGATTCCCTTCTGGCACAGTCTCAAGAGCAAATTCGCAGCACCACAAGTACTTCCAACGGAGAAGGATAGAAGCTATTCCCCAAGTACGTCTACCACAACGACTCTTGTACAGAGAATGTCAGCAAAGATTCGATTGTGGTTTCCGTCAGAAGATTCAAGTCTGGAACCCAAAGATGCATCCGAAAGCAAGCCAACGCTTCAAGTTTACCAGATGAGTCGTATGAGACGCTTCACCACCTTCTTCTCAACTGTTGTGGCTTGTCTCTTACCGACTGTCGCTATCGCTGTCCTCTCTACTATCCACAGCCAAGCTAAACTTATCGGGTACATCGCACTGTTTACTGCGATATTTGCCATGGGATTGATGGGTCTCACCGGCTCTGGGACACCGAGAACAGAGATCTTCACTGCGACTGCTGCGTACGTTTCTTCCAAGCCATCGACCATCGTCAAGATGCTAATGCGCAACAGGTTCTCGGCAGTTTTGGTTGTTTTCGTACAAAATCAGCAAAGTGTCCCTGGCGAAATGCAGCAGCCGGCGCAGCTGGGAGGTTGATAAAGCTGGTTGCTTGCGGATGATGTTCGTTGCAGAAGTTTCCTTTGAGGGCTAGGGAAATTTGGTCGTCTCCGTATCTTAGGTTACTTTGCTTGGGAAATACTATGTTCAAGTCAACTATGTAGGTATTTCTATTATGGTAGACTATAGTAGTTACGAATCTTCTTTCATCCACACCCAAGCGGCTCACCACTGTACAAGTGTGTTTCGGTTATCTCATTGTAAACCATTTACTTTCCTATCCATGTTCAACAGATCAGGTGCTCACCCATCCCATCACAAGCTCGGCCACGACGAGTTCCCCACAACCGGACTCGTAAACGCCCGATTCAGCTTCCTCAAAGGCAACTCTCTACTGAACTCAGTAGGGGACTCTACCGGTACGCCCGCCTGCTTATCATCGATGTCCAAGCCCGGTTTCTCTCCTTCTCCTGGCATGACCACATCAACCCGGAGATCAGGATCTTTGGAATATACTCTCAGCCCGACCACGCAAACGGCATTCCAGGGACTAACAATATCTTCATCATCATCTCTGAAAGGATGCTGCTCTTCGGGCCGCTGAGTAGGCCGAGGAGGGTCGTAGAATAGGCGTTGATACTCTTCGTCTGGGCCAAAGCTGTTCACGGAATCGGTATCGCTATGGTATTCAGAGGATGCCTCGGAAAACTCGTCTTGGAAATAATCGTCTCTTTCTTGGTAGTGTGGACGGAGTTCTTGTTGTGTCGGGTGGTCCAGCTTGGCATGCTCTGCCATTGGGTGGTTGTTGTTGGCGGCAGGTGGCTGCATTTCCGCTGGCTCTTCTACCAACTCCACCTTCTCAGTGATAGATGGAAGGGCTACCTCTGGCTTCTGTACTAATGGGATGTTCTGCAAATGAGAAATTGGGATTGTGCTTGGGATCTGGGCAGCAGCGCCATCCGAACTGGCTATTCGCATGGCAGGCAAAGTAGATGCGCGAGTCGGTTTAAGACCAGGCTGATCTGACTGTCTCCGTCGGCGCAGATTAGCGTTTGCAGCTGGTGGAGGCCACTGAGATTTATCCTTCTCAGTCTTCTCGAGCTTCGGTGGTGGGGTATCAAATGGCCGAGCCTCAACCATACCCCTTTTTTCCATGAACTTCCTGATGTGTCTTTTCTTCTCCTCGTGCCTCTTCTTCCAAGCCTTTCGTCTCTCCTCCCCCTTCCTCTTTTGGATCTGTGCTTCCATCATACTAGCACCTTTCGAATGAGCCATGTTGTACGATAATCCAACTTGGGAGAACTTTTCGCGGTATTTGTCGGTCTTGTCGCGGCACATCTTCTCCACCACTTCCTCTACGGAATATGCCTTCTGGTTGCGTTCCGCAACGACTTTCACAACAACAGAATACGTTCCATCTTGCAGATCAGGCAGTTCTGCCACCACACTACGGAACATGATAGAGTTCCCGTGGCTACGGGCAATATAGTCATCTCCACCTAGGTTGTCTGAAGAATGCAGTCGGAAATTCAATTTGAAGAAGTATTGACCTTCGAGGCCTCGGAAATAGCGGTCATCCAGCTGTGACAGTACTATTACAACGTGGCCATCGGAAGCTGGAGGCTTCTTGAATGTGAATTGGAAGGTTTCGTGATAGCTGGCGCTCCAGGGAGCTTCGATGCTGGTCCATTGTTGTGCAATTCTCCATTCTGGCTCCAAGAAGAGATGAGTTCGGTCAATGACTTCGTACTTTCTCAGAAAGTCTTCATAGGAGATCCACTGAGTGACGTTAGCCTCGTACTTTCATTTCAATATGGAGCTCTGTGCTGCCGCTCTTCACGAGCCGAGAAAGTTTCACTTTAGCTTCCTAAACATCGGTCTTGTCCGTAGGCCAGAGTAAAGTTTGGAAACATCGACAAGAAAGTTAAGAGGCTTACAAAGACGCTGTCAATTCCCTGTTGGTGATTGAGTTCTTTGAGAGTTTCTGGCGTCCACTCTTTCGACCCATCGCTCCAAGCTCCTTGCCAAGATCCATGCTTTGACGTGCCCCAAGGATTGCTGCTTGAGTCAGATTGTTGCGTGTTCAGTGAGAACAAAAAGGACATTGATTCATACCGAAGTTTCAACAATCGAACTTGTCTAGAGCTACCATCTTTGTCTTGCAGATCGATTTCTCTGGCTTCCATGATGGTGTAAGAGTGTAATTCTTCAATACCCTGTCTCTTCCAATCTTGATGAATTGCGTCCAGCACTCCAGTTGCGCAGCTAAACAAGTACTTCTTCTTGACATTTCTCAGGTCATCGTTCCAGAATTCGTCTTCGTTCAAGATATCAGATGTTAGCAGTTCCATTGTCACTCCACCTGTGAGGTCTTCAAGACCTTCTCTATGATTCACAACTTGTTAGCCTCCGGAGTAACGATAAATTCAAGACAGATGAGAGCTGAAATATACATACCCCGGCCATCCACCGTTCATCGAGTAGTAATCACCATGAGCTTTAGCATATGCTTTCTCGAGTAGTGGAAGCCATGTCTCATTTTCATTTCGACAATGGCAACCCCACAGAGCCTTGGAGCCTGTTTGGTGAAGTTTCAAGTGCTCTTTCTCCTTGTCCTCAAGCTCGCTCTTCTCAAGGACATACCTCTCGATTGAAAAGCCCCCATATTCAGTTTGGGAGTCCCAATCGGCGGTTGATAGATACAGGTTGTCATCAATGATGGATGGTATCCATTCGCCATCTGTTATAAAATTATTTTGAGCCCTTGTCTGCGAACAGCTGTTACAAACCTCTGTAAAATACAAAGCCATAGACACCAATTTCTATAATTTGCAGGTCAATATCAGTTTTCCAAGCAGGTCTTCAGACATACTTTCATCTTTTGCTACACAAATGCGGCCGATCATCTCCGGCATTGTGGCTAAAGCAATTAAGGAAGCCATAAGCCAACAGTTCCCGATTTTCCCTTGGATGATATCCGCTATTTTCTTGGTTAGTGATGGACAATTATTATGGTTTAGTGCTTACCAGAAGAAGCTGTATCTGGTGAGAATGTCTTCTTGCGTTTGTCGAAGATTTTCTGCCAGATTCCCCGTGGTCAGCTGTTGTCGTCGCTCAAATAATCTTGCAGTCCAAAACTCACATCCACACGCTTTACGGATTTAGGTAGTTGTGCATTGGGCCGAGTATCGGGACCATCATCAATGATCCACTTTGTAGGCTCATCCAATGTACCAAGACAAATTCCCCTCCTCGACTTGAGATCCAGGTCGATGTCAAAGTGAGGATCGCGGTATCTCTGATTGACTCTTTGATGCTCCTTGACAATTTTGGTTACCTTTTGCTTACAAATCGTAGCCGCCTCCTCGAAGTTTGCAGCTACCAGTTGTCCTTGTTCTGGAGGCACCGATGCTTGTTGATGGTCTGCTCTGTCGGCATCTGAGATTGGCAATACTGTCGTAGCGGCGCTGAAGATTTTGACGCTGGAGCGGGCCCATGATTTGTCAATAGCATCTTGAGGTGGAATCCACGGCTGTGGTCTCGCACGAATACGTCTCACCCGAATAGGCTTCTCTTCAAGCCGCCTGATCAGCGTTTCTTTCGTTTCGTGAACATTGGGGTCGCTGCTGTCGGGGCCGATTTCAGAAGACATTCGTGTTTCGACTTCTGATAGTAATATTATGTTTTGAGGAGTGATATATCTCACGAGTTTTGATTGAAAGAAGAGTCAAGCGGTTGTTAAATTGTGTTCAGTTTTTCTTTTTCTAGGTGTCTTCAGCTTTTGCCACCTAACGGCCTTGGCCCGATCTCTTGCATATTAGCGGCTCCATTGATCCAGCCACCCATCTCGCTTACGGTACCGTAAATGGATATTTACAGCCCCCAAAGTGATAGGAGCAGAGCGCCAAGTGAAGAAAATGCTGTACGAGATACGAGACTTGATTGGTTTAACTCGGGAAAGAAAAATATTTTCTGCAGTGGGTGATTACCCTTCTTTTGAGTCTGATAATGGAGTGTTCTGCCTAATATTTGGTCCACTCAGAAAGGTCGGATCCAAAAAAATTACAGGACCCAAGACCAAAAAGTCTGACTCTAAAATTGAGTGTTGATACACATATTCATATATTATGACTCTGACAAAAGGAGCTACCCAGAAGAACATATTGAACTTGTATCTTATGGCCAAGCAATCCACACTGTCAGAATTAAAAAAGCAAGCGAGTATGGTACATGAGAGTCGATTGCAAGCTGAACAAGTCAGAGTGAGACTTTCTCTTGAAATTCCTAACCTTAACTTTCCGAAATCTTCGCTTGTCCGAGGATAAATTGTGAGCAAATAGATTTTATTAATATGCTAAGCAAAGTTTGATCTGGAATGGAACGATTCCGTATATTCGCGGTCAAAGAAAACAAAATGAGACATGGAGAGGGAAAAGGGATGAGCATGGAACCAGGTGGAGCATTGGGCCCATTACCTTTTTTTATGCATGAAGAAAACTTTAACTCTGAGATCAGTGAGTCTGTAAAGCAACAAATGTGGCTCGAGACTTACATTGCGACTACCTGTACTTAGCAGGATCAGACAATCGAGTCATGTGAATGATTTCCTTTCCCCCTTTTCCTAAGCGAAGATATGATCACTAGAGACATGAGATTTCTAAGCCTCTCTATACCAAACTGCAACTCTCTGCTACAGCAGATGGCAATCGAGGTCATGCATAGTCAGTTTTGGACGGTTTCTGCAGAGTCTCACCTCCTAGCGGTGCACGTGTTGAGAGGGCACGTGCCTCGTCTTCACTCACCTTCCGTGCCGCGCAGTCTTACAGTCACATAGTTGGATTGAGTTCTGATCTCACAGAGGGACGGGAGGGATGTATGTGCGGTGACTGTGCATCTGCTATATGAGGACAGCAGATGTCAAGTCAGCAATTGGGTGCATCCACTTTTATATGACATTTTAGGTCTAGTTCAGGGGTCGTCTAGTTTCGCGCGCCCAATATATCTTCACCTCAGCTTCTCCGCTTCCATCTTTGCAATATACTTGTTTCCCTTGAATTCAGTGCTCCTCTTTCACAACAACGATAGTTAGGTGATAGTTTGAGGCGAATGAAACTGCGGAACTATCTACAGACAGTCTATACGACCCAAACATGCCTAGTGTCATACCTAGGGCCTCGGCACATGACGTTTGCAGGAGCTTTCTGGGTTTGATTTTCCATTCTCTTTTTGCTGTTCTTGATTGCCTCCTCCGAGTAGGCTGAAATAGCTCATGTGACAGTCTTCTCCACCTCAATTTTCAGGAGAGTCAGGAGACCGATCGCTGCTGTATTAGCCAACTAGCTGTCAGCTGCCAATCCGTGTGCTTTCACCCTTCCGCTGTCACACCTCTTCATGCATTTTAATTGTCAAGTTTCCTCCTCAATCTGAGGTGCTTAGCCTGACGACCGCGTCCCGGCTTACTCGGCGTGGATCTCTTGAAAAGTCCCAGTCTTTTTCCATTGTACCAACGTAACCAACCAACATTTGTCAAGTTCCGAATATATTCCCTGCCACTATTACTCGCTCCAAAGTGTATACATGATAGTTCACTCGAATGTGCAGACGCCAGATCAGCATATTTATGTTAAGCTCATCCCTTCTAGTTGGAACGGCGTACGTCTGTTACATTTTCAGATTTAGACCAACGAAGTGGATTCTCAGAGCTATTATGCAGGACAAAGAAAACTTCCGAGATATTTTATGGTGTGGAGAACGTGATTTTATCCTTCTTGGATAATCGTGCAATTAAACATCCGGCCAAATAGCCGGTGGTAGAGGCACCTCCTGCCGAGGCCTTGAAACGCTGGTTCAAAGCTCACGTGAATATCACTCGCCTGCTTCCCAGGATATATTCCAAGGATGTTTCGTGAGCATATATAGGCGTGTAAAGTCGTCCTGCCAAGTGTCAATATCTCTCTGTACTCCTTCGCTTCCCGAAATTTTACTTCACAACACCGAAATCATGGCTATTTTTTCAAAGCTTCTCTTACTTTCCTTGACTGTGGCTGGATCACTGGCCTCTCCTGTCGAAATCAAGAGAGACGGTGTTGACATCTTAGAGCGAAACTCGGACTACAACGTCATTGAGCCAGACTTTGAGTTGGGTGCTCACAGTGTCGTCAAACGCACGGATCCAAATTACTCTCAGAACTACATAGCGAGTGGCGCAAACGTCCAGTTCTCTCCCAATGGCAATTCCTTTTCCGTCAAATTCAACACGCAGTCAGATTTCGTTGTTGGCCGTGGATGGAAAACCGGAGACAATACGTGCGTATAACCTGCTTGTCTTCGTTTCCTAACTGACCTCTATCTCAGTCCTATCCACTTCAGTGGAAGCGCCTCTTTCACCAGCGGTGTAGGCCTCCTCTCTGTCTACGGATGGTCCACCAGCCCTCTAGTTGAGTACTACATTATCGAGGATTCTAAAAACCCTCCTCAGCAAGGCACTATCAAAGGCACCTTCACCAGCGACAACGGAACCTACACAGTCTGGGAACATCAGCAAGTCAACCAGCCTTCCATTCAAGGCACTAGTACCTTCAACCAATACTTGTCTATTCGATCCGATGGACGTAGCAACGGGACAGTGACGCTGCAGAATCATTTCGATGAATGGGCCAAGTACGGAATGAAGCTGGGTTCACTGAACTACCAAACCATCTCTGTCGAGAGCTGGGGTGGGGCTGGCAGCGTGAGTCAAACAGTCACCAAGTCCTAGAGAGGAGGATGGAGCTTGATATCGCGAAGATTTATATCTTCGATGTTGGCGTAAGCGTCAGGAGAAGTGTGGATGGAATGTTTTGTACAGGAGTGGTCGAACTTCTTCTCGACCACACTGTCTTTCTTGTCAATACTTTTGTTGATGTGCTTGTAAATATTCTTCAATTTCATAAGTATCCTTCAAGACTGAAACTTTTGCAGGGTAAATCTCCTTCTTTTTGTACTCCTTGTCATGCTTCAGACGAAGCTCTATTCCCATTAACTACTATGGCATGATATTACTGTTTTGAACACGGCACTTTTTGTTCTGATTATTTTCCTCTCACTAAGTAGTAGAATTTAATTGTCCCATGAACAAGTTCGCTTCGGTTTCCACGCTCAATAGCATCACGTGGGGTTATCACTCGAAGATGATGCAATCGAGGGAGTTATCCTCGTTATATATTAAAGGAGCAAACCGTTGAAGAGTTTTTAATATAAGAAGATTCCAGGAGACATGCACCCCACAATCAGTGCTTACGAGCCCAGCGTCGTAGGTTTGTGCGCTTAGGGGCATTTTACACCCAAATCAAAAAATGAATTCTTTGCGATCGTATTTATTATTTAACAGAAAGTTTAATTGATTATTTTTATTCTTTGGCTATGAATATGAATTGTTTACTAATATCTACTAATCTGCAATTTGCGACTGTTTCGAGAGACTTTAAGTTTTCAAAGCCTATAAGCGAATTCGAGAAGCCTGAAAATGCTAGAAATTTGCCCTGAAGCGCACAGACCTACCACGGTGGGCTCGTTAGGATAAATTAACACTAGCTCTAAAAGCCGAAGAGGGTCTTTTATCCAAATTTGCCAAGCCCTTTTGCCTTTCCCGGCAATCGAATCCCTGACTTAATCATTTGATTATGAGAAGAGACTATGCGCACCAATACCGGTGTCCCACTCATAGTAGAGATCAAACTGTTTGCCTTATTATTTGGCGTCTGAGGCTTGACCAGGCCTGGGATCGACAAGTTACGGGGATCTGGATCACAGGGCAGAACAAAACGTAAAGCGGATTCTTGCCCGCACACCTGTTTAATAATTATGCCATCACGACCTGGTATATGGCGATGGATGAAAGCGTGTGCATTTCGTTTCAGGTGAAAAGGCGCGACACCCTTCCCCGCTAACAAAAGTTTGCCTTGCCTAAATGGCACTCGCTCTTTGACATCATTTTTCTCCCACACGCTTCTCCTGTGCATGAGACTTTGGTTTCCGAGCTGGCACAATAGATATCTCTGCACAGCTGGATTTATTGGGAATAGTGATATAAATATACACATGTGCGTTGACTGTGGATGCAGTGGTTGCAGCTCTAACCTGTGAAAGCCCCACAACCATCTTCTCGGATATTGAGAATCGCCGCTGTCCAACTTTCGACATTGGAAATATCAAGAACCCATACAGCTGTCCTCATAGAATCCGCAATCAGGGGTGGTTGTCCATGTCAATGGAGTCATTGCACTAAATGCCTCGCTTAAACCCCTATCTCCTCGCTAACATACTTCGAAATGGTGCTCAAGGTGGGGTGACATCTGAGCTGGAGACGAGCACATCTTGAGAGTTATGTATCTGATAGATATCCAGCTTCTCTAGTCTCCTAATGTCTCAACAAAAAAAATGAATGCAGAAATGTTGAATATCAGACAATGTGCCTTCTAACTGGACTGAAGCGGAGAATTCGAAGTCAAATGCTGGACTCAGTATCGACTTTCCACCATGCAAAAAACCAAAAGCCGAACTAAAATTACCTGTCAGATATTAAGACATGCAACTCTCTTATGGGGTCCATGATCTTGGGCAAATGTCGAATGATTTGAGCGTACGTGACCAACATTCTTGGAGCTCCGGCATTTTATGTGGAGCACTGCTGGTGCTGTACAAGCTCGGCCTCCTTCGGGGTCAATGAACGACTTCACCTGAACGCCTCCGTTACACTTTCCTAATGAGCCCGGAGCCATTCTTGCCTTCTTCAAACTTTGCTGTCTCAACATCTGCATTCCTAGTCCGCTAGGGAATTATGATGTCCTTCTCGGAGGTCGACTAATTCTCTACTTGATAGAGTCAACTTCCCTGACCCTACCAACGCCAAATCGCCAAAGACTGCCAATATCTCTCCTACGAGAGCGGTCGATATAGTTCGTGGTCGCAGATTTCAGGTAACAACCACTGATGCTCGGCTTGCCAAAGCTCTTGTGCTGCATACTGCGGCAACGACCGCGTTAGGCAATTGCAAGACTGATATTGGCATTACGCTTGTCAATTTCCATCTTTGAAACCCAGCTGTCGGATCGACTTGCTTGTGCTGGTGACTCCACCAGGCAAGGCTCCGGGCTTATTTGTGTGGTGCTGTTGATGTTCCAGAATTCGAAGGACAATTAGATGTTAGGACAAGCATCACGGAGATATAAGTGTGTGCCACTGGGGAGCCAATTCAACATAGGAGTGAAGCGAACTGTGTAAAGCAGTTCTGCTGCGGTGAAGGAATGTTTACAAAGTGAAATGTAAATATAGCATCAAGAACATTTATAGTACATATGACCTTGGTGGATTGATAACGAGCAAGTCCCTCGAGTTGAAGGTGTCTTCGTAGCTTAACTAGCTTTGAGGATCGAAAAGCTCGCTCACGAGCAGGCTTTTTTGTTTAGTGCTGCCTTGTCATCGAGGTCATCCTACAAGGTGTTGACAACAGATTCCACGATAGCCCCCTCGGCTCCTTGATCCAAAGCATCGAGCTTAGCCATCTCATCTTTTAACAACTCAAAGTCGTACACCTTCGCGTTCTCTATAATTCGAGAGGGTGTATCGCTCTTTGGTAGTGGGACCCATTTCTTTTGCAAGCAATAGCGTATCAGAACATGGTTAACACTCTTGTTATGTGCCTTTGCAATCTCGTTCAACATTAGGTCGTTGGCCTTTTGATTTCGAACGAGAGGACAATATGCTTCGACGATAATATGGTTCTTGTGGCAGAAAGCGACAACTTCGCGTTGCTGGTGGAAGGGATGAAGCTTCACACAACATCGTCAGTCTCAAATCATAGCTCTGGGTTGATCCAAACGTACTTCAATCTGGTTGACATGTGGAGGGTAGACCTTTGCGAAGTCTTTCAACTCTTCAATGTGCCCAATCCCCCAATTGCTGACCCCAATGCTCTTCACTTTCCCCTCTTCCAGAAGTCTTTCCAGTGCCTGCCACATCTCCTTCCTGGATTTCGAACCACTTTTCGAAGAGTGTATCAAGAAGAGATCAACGTAACCATCCTCGCCACCAATCTTGTGTATGCTATCCAGGCATTGCTTGTACGAATTTTCGACGCTGCCGCCTGGGACGAGGATCTTGGTCGTAAGGAACACTTCCGATCGCTTGAGGCCGGAATTTCGTACTGCTTCCCCGACTTCTTTCTCGTTTGCATAGTATCTGCGGAAGTTAGATGTTTGTTCAAGCTTCGACGAAAAAACCAACTGTGCAGAATCGATGTGCCTATATCCAGCCTTCAAAGCAGTCAAGCATGAATTGACGCATACTTTGCTCGGCGACTGGTAGACTCCAAAGCCTAATTGAGGAATACTGACAGAGGAATTGGGGAGAGGGAGCACGTCGGCAATCGAGAGTCTTGTCGCCATCGTGCTTGAATTTATAGGCGATCGAAGTGTTTCGTAAATCTAAAGGAAGGAAAATTGGGGTCAAGGAACGAGATAATGTTGTAGCCGCGCCATTGCGCCTGCGATTCAAGTATGATGCGCCGTTGCAATTGTCTTCCGTCGTGATATCATCACTTCGAGAGGTTCAGATGCTAAAGGTACTGATGACTAAGCGAATAAATCCCACTGCAAGTTGCGGAGCGCAACATCAACTCTTATATTGTGCTTTTATACTGTTCTTTCTATCATACAATCAAGTCTGATTAAACGGTTTTACTTGGGTCGTTGAAGAATAACTTGTCGCTATTTAACAAGGACGACTGCTTCTGCGCAAACATGCTTTAGCTTGGTCACAGTGCGACGTTTCTCTCTAGATTGCACCCTTACTTGCTTATTTGGAATTCTTTACTCCGACCTCTGACCTCCATGCTGCTCAAGTGTCTGACATTCTCAAAAGCTCAATCAAATAAAGTCATGCAAAGTACACCGCTATCATCGTTGCCCTACACCCCGAAGTGCCTATCTGGTAGCTGTTCCGGTGCAGCTCCACTTCTACTTTCTTCTCCTTCAGTCAAGCTTGTTTACTTGCCTTAAGACCCACGGTCTGTATTCGAGTACCAAACATTGGTGGTTTTCTGTCTTGAGAATTGCGCATAGGTGATATGAGGGGAAGACAGCGCTTTGTTGGCAGAAGGTGAGACAAAGCGTAACGGCAGTGTCCGACAAGTGAGGCAACGTTATGTTGCTTTCTTGTCTACTCCTTGTCTAGCTCATGATCACTAGAAATATCCTTCTTGTTTGAGTAAGCTATTGAGATCAACGAAATCCTTTTCATGCGACGAAGTCCTCTTTTCATGATAGCTGCAACACTGAGTTCGATGCGGTTTTTGTGCAAGTTTAGCCTGCTTGACAACATTCTGCTAGACTGAGCCGCCAGCAGTAGCAGGTGCTGACTTCGTTGCTGGTGAATCATCGACCCTCTGTCACAACTGGAGCTTCAAGAAGAACTAACACCTCACAGATGCAGGAAGAACTCTGAAACATAAACTATACCTTCGATTCCTTGGTCTTCCGCTTGTCACTCAAGTACATAGTTGCGGATGGGTGAGGTAGATCTGGAGCTATTGTTTATACATCGAACATGAAAGTCGAGGGAGGGGAGCAGAGTTCGGTAAAATACAGGCGAGGCTAAGAAGGAGGAGTGCAAAACCTAGCGGGGATTGTGGATGATGACTAAATGGTGCTCATGCCTAGGAGCCATGACATATTCTATTCAGGTACAAATGGACCCGTAAAATTGTATAATTGAACTGGAAAATGTCCGAGCTCTTGAGGTAGACTGTCTTGGCAAGCTGCTTGATGTAAAATCCCCATCTATTTCCAAAGCACCTTGGACTTACTGTAATCACAGATTAGTATGTATGGGTGTGTTATTAAATTACTGTCCCGGAGTTTCCTCAGAGTTCTGAGACTAGAGTTTCTTCATATTCATTCAGTTGTGCTTCACTAAATTCTTGAGTTGCTAACTTCTTTCACTCCTAGCTATACGGCTCACACTTAAAAATGGAAGGAACTCTGAGGTGTAAGTATATCAACACCGCCTCTCGTCCCTTCCGCTCCTCAACCTTCTCACCTGAACCCTTCCTCCTCAACCCATCCCCCTCAACGTCTGTCCAAGCTTCGTTCGTCCTCTGAAAAGGAATGGACTTGAGGCCGGGCACGACGCAAAGCCTTCACTGTTTGTCAGGGTAGACTCAGAGGAGGTGTCGTCTCCCAAGCACGACCTATATCCACGTATGATACCTCATTCTCCTTCATCTCCTCCTCCATCATTCTAATGCTTCGAAGAGCAGCCTTCTCTAAGATACATCTCAGCAGCTGAACATGCATCCACCTTTGTGATGGAGTTTGGAAAGGAAGGTACAGTTCACCATAGCTGCTTGGACTGCGCCTGAATTTCACTGGTGACTCACTCATCTGAGTGGAGTGCAAGATGCTGAAGCTTTTCCAGTCCAAAAGGGGAAAATGTCCAAAACGGCAAGCGACATCGAAGCCAGGACCGGCATTCTGCAGAACTTCCATTTCCGTTAGCCTACTTCACGAGAATGAAGTTGAGTGTATGTGCCGATGTCCCGCTACAGATTCCTTTTCTCGATCCGAAAAACTTCATCCTCGAATCACCTTCGCGTTCAACGCTTCTTCAATCAAGAACAACCAGCGACCCGTCTGCACCGCCGAGTGAACCACCTTTCCAATACATCAGGATGGCAAACGACAAGGAGGGAAACGCGAAGCACGCAAGAAAAAAGCCTCCACAGAATCCTCCCTCAGCCACTCCGCAGCTCATGAATGGTGTCCAAGACAGTCAAGCCGTTGCTCAACAGAATGCAGACACTACTTCAACATCCACACCAAGCGGTTCCGAGAATGCGTCGAAGCTGATCGAGCAAGCAATTCAAACCTTGACTCGCGCCACAATCATATCTGATGACACGGACAATTACCTCAGGAAGAAGGTCAAAGACTTGGAAGTTGCGCTCATCAACGCAGCCAAGGAGAGGGACGAAGCCATCAAAGAAGCAGTGGAGATTCGCGCGACGCAAGGTTACCACGACGCGGAGTTGACCAAGGCGAAGGATAATCACAAGGAGCATGTCCAGAAGGTGAAGGCGGGGCACCAAAAAGAGATTGAGGAGTTGAAGACCACATTCGAGAAGGAGAAGGTGGAATACCAAAAGAAGATTGATGAGCCGACGAAGCTTCGACAGGAAAGAGAGAAGCTGACCGTTGAGAACAAGAGTCTGAAGAAGAATCTTGCCGCCATGCAAGTCACCAACAAGACGTTGAGTGAGGAGACCGAGAAGCTGCGCAAGGAAAGAGATCTGTTGGACAAGTTATGCAAATACTTGAAGAAGACATTATGCAAGACCGAGGCTGAGAATGGAGAGAGGGGAGACCTTCTTAAGAAGGTATGCGAACGTCTGAGTTTGGAGATGACGATTCTACAAGAAAATTTCTTAGCTCTGATACCCCAGTACAAAGAAGAGCAGGAGAAGGAGCCCAGCTATTATCACGAAGTCATCAGCTTATATGAAGAGGAGACGGCCAGACTGTACAAGCAGGTCAGTGACTTGGAGAAAGACCAGGATGTCAAAGCACCATTGGTTGAAGTCGGTGTCAAGATTCGGAACAGGTACCGGGTCCAAGAGGCCAGAACTGGACGTAGAGACGAAGACGACCAGCTGGCCGTAGATGAGGGCAACCAAGCTGCTCATGGCCAGAATGGACCTGCCGATAAGGCTGTATTCGATTTAGGTCGTTGGACTGAGAAACAATATGGTACGACGCTGAAGAATGTCTATAGGTCGAAACTTGATGGCTATGATGAAGCTATGAAGAAATACAACCAGGTACTCAAGTACTGGAGCTGGCTGAACTGTAGTCAACCAACTGCATGCACCTTCACCCACTATTACCGAGCAAACTTGCTGATGGAAACTATGCTCCTCGTCATTGGATCAGAGGATGGGCATGATCCAGACGGTGATAGCAATCTTCGTGAGAAATTCGATTTCTTCTACGATCGCCTCGAAAGGTTGTTGGAAGAGATCATGCGTATCAACGAGCTTGGCGAACTCAAAGTCGACATCTTCAACAGCCTCCAGATGCAAGCACTTGGATCTTCAACTACATTCCATTGGTCTTACATGCACGACAAGGCGAGCCCTACAGGTTTCAGTTACATGAGCGTCAGATATCCCGATATAATGAAGGAGGGATGGTTCGAGTTAGGCAGATATGCCCAAACAGTATGGAGTGTTACTTACCACGACCCTGCCGATGGCAAGAAGCCAGTCGAGAAAAAGAGACGAAAGAAATTGGCGCGAAAAACTTATGCTTCGGTGGCTGCCTCGCAAGATTTCGACGATATACAGGATCCATACCGTCCATATGTGGAAGTCTTATACGAGGAAACTGAAGAACAGGTTGGGGAAGTATTTGATGAAACAGGTGTATGGGAGGCTGTAGGGCAGGTTGAGGAAGGATTTATAGGTGGTTGGTAGTTGAAGACGGAAGTTGACACTAAAACGTCGCTATATGTATGACATTAGAACCCAGCTCTTGCTATTTTCTAGCTTGCCAGGAACTTGACGCAAGTACTGCAAATCACTTCAATGGTCTTTGAATGGGAGTGTAATAGTGATGTGATGCAGTTGGCGGAGATGTAGAGACGTCTAGCCACTAACATCAAAGCTTGCAGTGAAGACTTACTTGCTTTGCAAAATGTTCTTGCATTCCCACTTCTGTCGACTTCTCCTTCCTTCCTTAAAAAATCATAGCAGGGTAGTGGAACTAAAGATGCTAGCAGAACAAGAGGATGTAATCCCAGTGCGCAAGGAAAACAAAGAAGTCAATGGAGAATCAAGTAGATGCGGCCGGAGCCAACTCCGGTAAGAAAAGAAATATGATATGTGATACAATGGCTGATGTATGATTTCCACCCCGCCATTGGGAAGAAATCGACGGAAGGCAATTAAAAGCAATTCCAAATCGTTCTGGTGAACAATCCATTCAAGAGACAATTTGAGCTTCCAAACTTTTAAGAAAGAAAAGTTGTTGAATCCAAAACGGACATTCTGGAGTTTCAAAGTCAATCAGGCCACCTGAAGCGAGGCGGACAACGGCTGATCATCCTCACGGACGCGGCCAACCAAATTTATCTCCCGAAGAACCAACCCACCACTACGTCAAGGTATATCTCCTTGCATTCCATCCCACTTTATCTAGAAACTTCTTCCATTCTTCTAGAAAATCTATAAAATCTAAAAGCTACCTCTCCCTCCGATCCGAAACTCTCCTGCGAACACAGTCGTTACCATCATGGAGAGCCAACGCCCCCTCCAAGGTGGCTGCTCCTGCGGTCGAAATCGATACATTATCCGCATCCCACAAGGCACAGCAGAAGTACCACAAGTCTTCTTCGACAACACTCGCAGTCACCGTAAGCTCCTTCTGTCTCGTCTCCGCATTCTCAGACACTAATTCTGCAGCAATAGGCCGTTCGCAAGCAACACCCCTCTCAGCATGGCTCCGGGTGCCCCTCTCTTGGTACCACTCGACAACGTACGCCTTCATGGAAGACGAGATACCATCTGCGATCCGCCGCACATATACTTCTCCCCACGAGGAACATTGCAAGCGCCACTTCTGCGGTTTCTGCGGTACGCCGCTGAGTTACTGGTCCGAATCGCCAGCTAGTGAAGCGGAGTACATTTCCCTGACCTTGGGCTCTCTGGCTGGTTCTGATCTGCGGGATCTTGAGGACTTGGGATTGTTGCCTAAGGAAGCTTTGGATGATGCGGAGAACGATAAGGAGAAGATTGAGAATGTGGTCCCATATGCTGGAAACGACATTGAAGGTCTGCCATGGTTCGAGACTATGGTTCAGGGCAGTAGGTTGGGGAACATGAAGAAGAGTTGGGGTAGTAGACACAGCGACAATGGCAGATTCAAGGTCGAGTGGGAGATTGTTGAATGGACTGAGGGCGATGAAGATTTGGCAACACCCAGCAAGAGGAAATTCGGCGAGGTTGCTGAGCCGGATTCTCACATGGAAGAGGCTCACTGAGGGATGCAGAGGGTTTATATGGATGTCGGGAGCTGGATGGGCATGATACCATGGCCACGGCCTATGCAGATATGGCTATTAATGATGAAGATCTGACCTAGGCTTAGGCGTGTCTTCGGTCTTTCTGCATGGCAACACTTCTCACTAGCTGCATTGACTTTTGTAGCAATAGGGTCGAATTGGCTGATGGAAAAAAAGAAAATGGGAAAATTGGGAGGAGCAGATGCATGGACAAGGAGTTTCTCTACACCAGACTTTGGGTGGTAATAAGCGACTCAATGTACAATACGGATATCAAGAGCATTCATTTCTTTCCATCCTCACCACAACGAGGACCCCGAAATAGTGAGACAAAGTACACACACGACTTGACGCCGATTCACGTGAGAAGCCACAGTCCCAAAGAACGCTCCACTGGGCATCCTTCTCCCGGCGGCAAAAACGGCCCTGGCTTCCGCCTCACTCAATCCACACCCAGATTTCACCGCAGTTCACCCACTGACGACCCCGCCATCTGACCGCAGTTCTATAGCGGGGCATTGGTTTTCTCGGAACATCACCAACAATTCCTCAATGAGGATACGATAGGTGCCCCCGGTCACACGGTCCGAAACCGACTGGGTTTCTTATACATTGCCATACATACGCAATCCGGTCCCGATGTGCTTCAGACAGAGGAGGTAGGGGACCATCCCACTCATCTCCAGATAACAACGGCATACTTATTGTCTAGCTCTCCCACTTCTCTTCTTCCTTTTTATATTTCTACTTCCTCTTCCTTTCTCCTCCTCTTCTTCCTGCTCCTCTCTTCTTCTCTTACTTCTCTCAATTAATTTGCCAAGCTCCATTGCTATTTACCCGGAATTGAGAAGGCAAAAAACAACTCCACCATGACGACAAAAGTACTCCCCAAAGACTTCCTCTGGGGCTTCGCAACCGCAGCGTAAGCTCCACCCCCTCCCTCTCCAAACAAGAACTAACCAAACCTCTCCAAAGTTACCAAATCGAAGGCGCCCCCGAAGCAGACGGCCGCGGCCCCTCAATCTGGGACAAATTCTGCGCCATCCCAGGCAAAATCGCAGACGGCTCATCCGGCGCGGTAGCCTGCGACTCCTACCACCGCACCGGGGAAGACATCGCGCTCCTCAAAGAGACCGGCGCGAAAGCGTACCGCTTCTCCATTGCGTGGTCGCGCATCATTCCTCTAGGCGGGCGAGATGATCCTGTTAACCCTGCCGGAATCGCTTTCTACAAGACGTTTGTGGATGATTTGCTGAAAGAGGGGATTGTGCCTATGGTGACGCTTTTCCATTGGGATTTGCCGCAGGAGTTGGATGAGAGGTATGGGGGCTTATTGAATAAGGAGGAGTTTGTGAAGGATTTTGCGAATTATGCCAAGGTGATGTTTGAGGCGTTGCCGAAGGTTAAGCATTGGATTACGTTTAATGAGCCGTGGTGTAGCAGTATTCTGGGGTATAATACTGGGTTGTTTGCTCCAGGGCATACGATTGATAGGAAGAAGAGTCCTGTTGGGGATAGTTCGAAGGAGTGCTGGATTGTGGGACACAATTTTTTGCTTGCTCATGGGACTGCGGTCAAGATCTATAGAGAGGAGTTCAAGCCCAAAAATGGTGGTGAGATTGGTATCACTCTGAATGGTAAGTCACCGCTCTCTTGAGAACGTGGATATTTGACTGAGAAGTACAGGTGACGCCGTCTACCCTTGGGACACAGAAGACCCCCTCGACGTCGAAGCCGCAGAACGCAAACTCGAATTCAGCATCGCCTGGTTCGCCGACCCCATCTACCACGGCCGGTACCCCGCCTCCATGACCGCCCAACTCGGCTCCCGCCTGCCCAGCTGGACTCCCGAGGAAATCGCCCTAGTACAAGGCTCCAACGATTTCTACGGCATGAATACCTACACCGCGAACTACATCAAGCACAAAACGGGCACTCCGCCCGCCGACGACTTCCTCGGGAACCTCGAGACGCTGTTTGAGAATAAGGCTGGCGAATGCATTGGGCCGGAGACGCAATCGTTCTGGTTACGGCCGAATCCGCAGGGTTTTAGGAATCTGTTGAATTGGATCAGTAAGCGGTACAACCAGCCGAAAATCTACGTTACGGAAAATGGGACCTCACTTAAGGGCGAGAATGATTTACCGCTGGAGCAGATTGTCGACGATGAGTTTCGGGCGGAGTATTATAGGGGGTATGTTGGGGCGTTGGCGAAGGCTGTGGGTGAGGATGGGGTCAATGTTAGGGCTTACATGGCGTGGAGTTTGATGGATAATTTTGAGTGGGCCGAGGGGTATGAGACGAGGTTTGGGGTTACGTTTGTGGATTATGAGGGAGGGCAGAAGAGATATTTGAAGAAGAGTGCTAAGGTTGTGGGACCGTTATTTGACAGTTATACTAAGAAGGAATAGAGATGGTAGAAGGGTACATGGGTAGATGGGAATTATTACACGCATTGATGGCATGAATGAAAATCAGAGATTTCTTCTTTATTGGGTATCAAGCAGCTCTAAGCCGTGGAGCAGGTTTCTGTAACTGCTGGCATCTATTCTGACATGTTCTCGCACCAAACGGCACATCTGCGATCTACTCCTTTCTGCTGGATGCTGTGAGGCGCTTTGTAATGAGAACTCATGTTGTTCCTGTAAATGGAGACTGGATCAGGCGAAAGTGACTGCAAGCCAAACGCCAATACCCTACTCAATTGTACCTAGAACGACAACCTCCTCCCCACCAGCTTCGTTTGAATGCTTGTTTCGTCTTGGCTTCTTTGGTGCAGCTTTTTTCTTGCCCTTTGCTGTCGTAGATGCAGCCACAACGGGAGCCGCGTTCTCTTTACTACTTTCTCCTGCTCTACCTGGTGCTTCGTCCTCCTCACTATCGTCTCCAACGCTATTCAGTGCTCGTCTAGCAGCCTCTCTCTTCTCGCTTGTCTTCGCAATTTCTGCCTTCTTCGCTCTATCAGTTGCTGCAAGGTCCTCAAGTACCTTAGCTAGACTGGCTTCATGTTCAGCGTCTAAGCGATCCTGCTCCTTCTTGATTTCTTCCACAGTCTCTAGCTTAATACCAGACAGCCTCTCGAATTGTTCTTTATCCATGGCTTTCTTCGGCTGAGTTAAGTACCTGGTGATTTTCGCCGGGTTCTTTCTCTCCTCGTTATTGAACTTCAGCTTGATCTGGCGTCTATTTCGGTGAGGGAACAGCTTGGCGATGGTTTCGAAGTCGGTTCCATACTGGCTGAGGGCTTTGTAGAATTGATCGGTGGCCAAGGCATCCCAGGCGTTGGACTTCTCGCGCTTCATAAAAGTGGCAGAAGTGATGACTCTAGTAAAGTCATTTTCTTCAACTTCCTCCATTTCAGCATGTGCCGCCTGAGCTTCTCGTTGACGGTTGACCACGAGTGATTGTTCATCGACAACGATGTTTCCATCAACAAGCCTATACTGAAGGGAACTTGTTCCTTCAGGTTCGGTAGTTGCTTCCTGTGCTGGAGTCTGGGCTGCGTCCTCTGAGTTCGACTCCGCATTAGTTCCGGAAGGACCTGCTGCTGCTACCTGTCTGGCCGCTACCAGTCTAGCCTCATCGTCCTCATCCTCAGCATCTAAAATAGTAACCAGCTCAGGATGATTCTCTCGTAAGCGATTCCTCTGGACTTCCAGCTTCTTCTTGATGACTCGCTGCTTGATCACATCATGCAGGCTGAATTTTTTGCCAATGCGTAGATCTTTGCACAGGTCTGTCATCCTCAACGTGGTTGGATCGATTTTCTCGTCTTCGGCGTCTGAGGGCGTCTCTTCTCTTTGCTTTTTCTTGTCCGCGTCCTTCCTCTTTGATCGCTTGCCTGTCTGTCGCTTTGCCTTTGACAATCCCATGTCAATCGTAGCTCTGTTGTCGTCGCCATCATCTTCTGCCGTCTGAACCTTTCTGCGCCTCACAACCTTTCGCTTCTTCTTCCCTTTCTCTGTACCTGACGCAGGTTCTTCGACAATGCCGCCCGTTGTACCATCAGGATTCAACACGGCCATTTGCACTATTTCTCCAGTCCTGACGATGGCAGCAACATCTCCCGCAGCACCCAATTGACCCCCAGGTGGACCCATATTCGCTGGAGTTCCTGACGGTTCTGACTCGACAATACGAGCGATGTTCTCCGGAGAAGGATATCGATAGTTTCCGCCATCATGAGATGCATTGTGAGCTGGTGAAGGAGATCGCGATTGTGGTCTGTTATTGGTCTCGATAGATGCTAGGATTGGTCCTTCTGGAGCCTGCGATTGCGCTACGACCCTCGAAGCTTGGGATGCTTCCTCGTTCGTGCTTTCTGCCGAAACGACACTGCGAGATACCGGTGGAGCATTGTTTATAGAAGAAGATTCTATCGCTGGCGCATTGTTGCTGGCGACAGTCTCGATTGCTGGTATATGCTGTGCAGCTCGTTGTGAATCTGGGGTATGATTCGCAGGCGACGGCTCTCTTGCTGGTGTGTTCGTGATGGCAGCACTCACCCCCGATGATGTCTCTTGCACAACTGCTGCACTACTACTGGGAGTAGGAAGTGGATTGTCAACTTGTTGTACTTCAGGCGTTGATTCGGAAGGTCGGTCTGGAGTCATGGATACTCGTTTCGCAGGAGGTTCCTGTGCGTCATCTTGGGCCTTTCTCTTTGGCGCGCGGGGGACGCTCTTAGGAGCAAAGCTTTTGCTTCTTCCTTTCAACATGGCGACGATGTTGTTTGTCGCAAGTCGAATTCAGAGAGGGGTTGAGTCTTATCGAGATGAGGCTGAAGATCGTGGATTTTTGGTGGGCGGACTGTCGGAATGGAATAACTTTGATTCCGTGATAACCTAACGGTCGGCAGAAGAGGTGGGGTGCCGTAGTGATATAGAGGAAAGAACGCTTAATTCTACACAAAAATGTACTTGTCATACGCAACTGAAGACTCAAGTCTAAGCTCACTCCAATATGAAGCGAATTATTACAATGTTTAGCATGACAATGCTATATTGCAAGTCGGAAGCCCTGGAGTTCTCGGATATCACGTGCAGCTACTTACTAGTTTCGAGGCTAGGCGATTCAGAGCAAGGTGTGGCTCTGAGAAAATCGACTCCCTTAAACCTCAACCTCGAGATCAACCAAACGTCTTGCCACCACGACTCTGCGCAACAACATCTTGACCGGCTGCAATCTGCGCAGCAGGTTTATGACAACCATACCCCGACTCTCAGTCGCATGTGCCAAACGGCCCGCCTTGTCTGATGCCGATATCAACACCCCTTCAAGCATCTCACCCATCCTTCTCCAAGATGGAGGATAGGAAGAGATCCGCCGGCGATGACCTCGCTCCGCCTACAAAGAGACAAGCTGTCAACGGTAAAGCCTCCGCGGATTCCGATCTGTCATGGTCTGGAGATATCGAGGTATGTCTACGTCGTTGTCACACGACTTCAAAATCCCTTCCGTCAACGCGAGATCTCCATGATTGAATCACCCTATATTGAAGTTGGATCTATACACATCATGTATCCTACAGTGTATGATCTATCGATCTGTTGCTAATGCGCAGCCTGCTGTACACAGCATGTTGCATAGCTTGCAGACCTGTTCCCCTCAGCATCGTACAACCTCCCCCATCTACACCTCTACATACGCGTTTCCTCATATCGATTATCGTCCCTTTGCACGAGTGGGATATGATGCTGACGTGGATATTGCACTAGAATTATCAAAAAGATGCTATATTCCGTCAAATGCTCGAGTATAAGAGGGAGAAGGATACCCTGGAGTCACGATTAAAGGACGTCCAAAGAAGATCACTAGACCATGATGACCATCTGCGTGTCGTCGATGGCTGGTGGACCCAGGTAAATTTTGACATCTTCACGTACTTGTATGGCAGACGCTGATGTTCGCGGTAGTTGTTGGACGAGGTCAGCCTTCTTGCTGAAGATCATGTGCCGTCAGACGATGATATTGATAGTGAGTTGTGCGTTCTATATTGGTTGCGCAAACTTACATTCTCGATAGGCTCATTCCCCACTGCTTTGAACTTCAAGGGCATCGAAGAGTTTCAAGGGCACCTAACATCCAAGGCGAAGGAGATCAAGTCGAAGCTGAATACCATGTTTACCCATTTAGCGTCGGCGCGCGGCAAACAATCCCCGGACCTCGGAGAGTTGCAAGCTAAGCTTACCAAACTTCTGGCTTCCCAAAAGGAGTATGTTGTGAAAGTAGACCGGCTTCGAACCGAGAAGGAAGAACTCACAGAACGTCTGGAAGTTGCGTCACTTCGATATATCAAAGCAGAGAAGAAGCTCGACCGTGCGAAGAGCCATGCGGTTCAGAAATTGGAAGCACAAGCAATTGCTGGCAGCGCGAACAGTGCAGGTAGCGGTATCGGAGCCGTCGAGAATGGAGGAGATATTGAGATGACCAATGGTATTGCTGAACACACCGAAGCTTCTCAAACCGCATTGAAGGAAGCCCAGGCTGTAGTGGCAAAGCAACAAGAACAATTGGACGCGATCTCAGCCGAAAACAAGGCCTTGACGGAACAACTTACGGCTTTGAACACCAGATTGACGAGCCTTACCGAGGATGACTATGCACGTACAGAACTATACAAGCAGTTCCGAGTACAGCATGAAGATGTCATCCGCCGAATTAACCACCTCGAAGCAACGAACATCCAGCTAAGAGAAGAAGCAGAAAAATACCAAGCTGAGCGCACTGCTTTCCGGACCCAACTTGAGACTGAATCAGACATTGTCACAGGTGAACTGGAGAGTCAATTACAGAGAGTTGAGGCCGACCTTAGCAGGATCAGATCTACTAGGGACGAGCTGCTTGCTGATGTGGCAACCCGAAAGACAGCACAAGAGCACGAGCGCACGTCTGTTGAACAATTGAAGGAGCTCTCGGCCGCTAAGGACGACCATATAGGATCTCTCGAGCTGGCAGCAGAAAGATTGCAGGCACGAATTGACGAGCAGTCCTGCGAGCCCACCCCTCGACCAGAAATCGATTCATTGACCGCTGAGGAATTGCGGAGAAAGTATGAGACTTTGGAGAAGGAGTTCGATTCTATCAATAAGGAAATGCCAGGCCTGCAGAGTGCATACAAACGCGTGCAGGCGCTGTCGTCAAAGCGAGTGATGGATTTCTCAGCTCTGGAGGAGAAGGTTCAACTTCTAGCAGCAGAGAAAGCCAAGGCAGAGCAGAAGTACTTCGCAGCCAGAAAGGATATGGATACCCGCTTGATGGAAGTTCGATCCTTGAAGGCACAGAACGCAAAGAGTTCTGAGATCATATCCCAACTCAAGGATGTCGAGACCTCGAATCGAGCACTACTTACTAACCTTGAGAAACAATTATCTGACATGCGACAAGCGAACACCTCGATCATGACAGAGCACAAGAAGATGGAAACCACGAGCCGAGAAGCTACGAGCAAGTCCGAGAGCATGAAGAACCAAGTCACAGAACTCACCAACCTCCTGAAAGCCAAGGACTCTCACAATGCAAATACGAAGCTACGAATCCAGGCAGTTGAGCTCGAGATTGAGCAACTACGCGTGAAGTATGAACAAGCACAGAAAGACAGGGATCAATGGAAGACGAAGAGTTTAAGCAACCAATCCGGTGAAGAGGAGATGCTTCGGGTATGTTATCTTTTTGAGGTATATCTTCTATCGCTAACATCTTCAGGCCTTTGCTCTATGCACCATCTGCCGAAAAGACTTCAAGAACACAGCAATTAAGACATGCGGCCACACCTTCTGCAACCATTGTGTTGACGATCGTCTCGCTAACCGTATGAGAAAATGTCCCAATTGCTCGAAGCCTTTCGACAAATCCGATGTCATGACAATCCACATGTGATTGCTCTTTTACTTCAACCACCTTCAGCATTGCAATTTCTGATTGTTGGATTATGGGAGTTCGCTTTAACGGAGTTTACGAGACCTCGAAGGTCGTGTATGATTGCATAAGAAGGGGGGTTGGTTCTATTGCTTCCGTCATGGCTTTACGAGATGAAATGATCTCTTCCCACTGTACATCAAGTTTCATTCGCACGTTATTTGCACCACAGGGTGATTACACTGTCTGGTTTCCAATTGGAAACGACCCAGCGCTTGGGAGCAGTGTTTGTAGAGCTAGATACCAGAAATGAGCACGAAAAATTAAGATCCATGAGCTTTACATTGTGAGACTATCTTCGTGATGTTGACCCAAATCCTGTGCTCTCATGCCTAGCAGAGGAGCCTGAGCTTGAGCCACTCCTCCGAAGCGAATCAAAAGTGCTACCGCTGTTTCCTCCAAACCATGAGCTACCTCTATTATTGTTGAGCAGTGGTTCTTGTTGCCTATTGCCTGCTCTTCCTGCGGCGTATCCTGCGGCAGCACCAGCAGCCGTTCCAGACCAAAATCCAGGTCTCCAACCTTCTTGTCCAGTCGAATATGGTTTGCGTCCAGGATAAGGTGGAGGAGGATCCCAAGGATCACCACCACCACCACCTCCTCCTCCTCCACCACCTCCCCATCCACCGCCCCAGAATCCTCCAGGTCGTCTAGGCATTTGTCTCTGGCCTGCGGGAAGGTTTCGCCATGCCGAATATAGGATCCAAAACAAGACACCTAGGAATACCGCAATAAAGAAATATTTAAACAGCGTTGATCCCTCCCCATCTCCTGATCCAGGCCACTTATATCCGTATTTCTCCTCCCCTTTATCCGTGTAGACTAATCTGTATTCGACACCACAACTCCCTTTGAGAACATAGGGATCACTCGAGCTGCTGTAGCCTTCACAAGTCACCTCTGTGCTCCCGAGCTTGAATTCTTCGGGCATGGTGGCTGTGCAACTCCATTCTATGTCTTCGTCACCGTAGGATGCGCCTTGGTTCGTACAGCGCATGACATCGATTTTGTAGTGGGCACATCCTGCACCTTTGCATGATAGCTGGGGGATGGCGGAGACTCGTCGGTGGGCGGTTTTGGCGTTTGAGCGGAGGGTGAGGGTCTTGACCTGGGAGAGGAGGATGGCGCCTTTTGGGGTCTTCTTTGCTGCTAGAGCGGGCGTGGGAGAGAGTGTAAGGAGGGCGAGGATCGCGGGGTAGAGGAAAGTGAGAAATTGCATGGTGTCGTTTTGCCGTTTACTTATCAGTATGCAGGTCGAGCTGCTGGGTTATGGAGGCATGGGTTTCGATCAAATATTATGATGTGTCCAAAAGGACAGATTGTAGAGCAGGCAACAAAAGAGTTCATTGCCACTCCGCTGCCGCGTCGAAGATATGTAGCCTCGTGGGGCGGTGACAGGGGTAGCTGAATTTCTGCCATCTCGATGTCTGAGTGCAACTCACGGATTCTTCTTACCATTCGAATGTCCAACTATGCGTCAACGAATCACCTACCTCCAAGATCCTCAAAATGCGGTCGATCCCAGTACTCTGCAGATTACGAAAGATTCGATATCGAGAAAAGATCTGAAAGCAGCAAGGGAAGAACGAATTACGTTCGGATTCGATGAGCTGCCACAAGAGCTGTATAGGGTGTTGAAGGCTAGCCATGAGCTGCATATCAGATGGGTCAGTGAGATACCGTATGAGAGTATTACTCCATTGGTGTCGAGATTGAGTCCTGGGATACATGTTTTCTACACACCGCAGAGAGGTAGCAATGCGTCGTTCGTATTCCTTCTTAGGCAAGAAGAGCATGGCTAAAATTGTTGCACAGAGATCTGTTGTGCCCTTTGCTGAAGAAAGTCTTTGGAGAAATAGACTGCATGTCACCTGAAGTAAACTACCTCTACAAACTGCTTAGATTACATAGCTGACTACCCAGGAATCCTTCACTACCCTCCCGACAGAACGTTTCTCCCACTCCACAGCAGCACAATATTACTCTCCTCTCTCCTCACTAGGCGACCTTCAAACTTATCTCTCCCATAAGCTGTGCCCTGCCTCCGACAATGCATGCCATTCTCGAGTTTCCTCCCTGTCCGCAGCATCCACACTCGACGTTTCTTTCGACACAATCTCCCACGCCCTAACTCTCTCCGCCTTCTTCCCATCCACCACCTCCGCCGTCTCAATATCTAAACCCGCTACATCTTCTCCTTCCAGATTAGAAGTTGGAATCCTCTCGTTCGAAACACCTCTTGAACCGGAAGAGCTGAGCCTGAGTGGCTTCTTAACAGTAGTCGGAGAAGACACCAAACCATCACCAACCCTCTTCTCGTTTCCGTCTCGACACCATCCCTCCACCTCATTCTTTACCTCCGACTTCCTTCTCCCAACTGGTCTCCACCCAACTCTCTCCCTCAGTATAAGCGATGCAACACCACCATTAGACGACAGGAAATGCACCCTACACACCCACCTCACTCTCCCCCGCCAACTATTCATCGACAAATACCAACTGTCCGATCCATTATTCCTCTCCTCGAAAAATATCTCCGCACTGCACTACATCAGTTCCCCTGTTGACCTCGAAGCCCCAGCCTACACCCTCAAAACATGGGGTTCTTCCGCCTTACTCGAACTCTCCCCTCCGTCATCCTCATCTAAAGAATGGACAGCCGAAATTCCCCTCCATCTCCGATACCTACCTCCCAACTACGGCCAAGCAGGGAAAAAAGAAACCCAAATCCCGTACCCGATCCTATTCTGGGCCTGTACAGCAGACGAGGGCTCTAAATTTGGCGTTAATCCTTTTGATAGAGTGAACCTTGGGTACGATGGCTTGTTTGGGCCTAGGACGTTGTTCTTTCATTTGAGTCCGAAACCCGAGGGAGGAAAATTAGTTTGTCCGTTAAGTGTTCCAGTTCTGGATCTTGATCGGAGTGGGTTGGTTGAGGTGGGGACAGCGGCTGTTGTTGCATTAGGGTTTGCTTGGGTAGTCTGGTGTTTGGTGGGTGTTTGGAGGAGAAGTGGGTTTGGAAGTGGGAAAGAACGAGTGGAGGGTGAGAAGAAAGCGAATTGAGAGGAGAGGGGAGTGGAAGCTGTAGTTACAATGTATGGTTCAATCAGCTGCTGGACTCGAGACCGTAGCTACCACTCTCAGAAAACTTGATACTTAGAAGAAACCGAGCACAGTAACAACACTGTTTACAAGGCTGAATACTGCTTTATTCCATTCCCCCGAGCGGGTGATCACTAGGTACCCAATGAGATGACAATGGAGACAAGCACATATTCCATCAATGAACAGAGACGAATCACTCATCTATACTTGAGAATAAGCCAACAATAAAGCAACCGAAGTAATTGCCCACGAAGCCCGTCAAGGCCCTGTTATACACCCAAACTCCACCCATGCCCAAATCCCAAGTCCAGCCAAATCCAATACCGGCGCTTTTATTGCTTGACAGCGCAAGAACATCATTGTATACGATACATGTTTTACTACCTCTTTCACGCTAACTAGGCCCAGCACCACCGTGCTTCCCTCCATCAAGCAATAACTTGGGTTTGATAAAGCCCTCGTCAAGCTGTCTGAACCATGCCGCGTGATCTTCAGCAGTACCATGCAACAAACTACTAATAGCACCACTAGCCGTGATACTCGGTCCGTGATTCTCAGCGGTCCCACTGGTCGGGTAGGGAGATGAGCCTAGGTCACCATCTGCAGTGTTGTTGTTTCGTTCCGGTCGCTTGGCTGCGGGTGGGAGGTCGGACGTATCGCTGTCGAAATCGGAATCTTCCCCCGGTACAGCGTGGAGCAGCTCTTGTTCCGAGTCGTGGCGGGCATTGGAGGATTTCCGGACGAGGCTCGAGGGTCGGTTTGCTGGGCTTGAGTTGCCGCTCACATAGGTTCCTCGTTCTGGGCCGCGGCCATGGCCGTTCAATCCATCTAGTTGAACAGATCCATTGCTTCTTCGAGGGACGTTTACTATTCCGCCACCGTTGTTCTTATAATATGATGCTCCTGGGACCGCTTCGATGTCGAATTCGTCATCGGAGTCTATTTCTTCAACAACACCGATTCTGATGCCTAGGATTTCGAGCATACGCGCCGTGGTTCCACCGAAAATGATCACGGTCAACACGACCACAACCAAGACGGTGGCTTTCAGGGCCCAAGCATTCGCTCCAGTCATTCCAGCTGCTAGAGCGACACCGACAGCTCCTCGAAGTCCGGCCCAGAAGAGCATTGCTTGATAGTTGTAAGGAAGTTCATCCGCTACTTCCATGCCTCTTCTCTTGGCGCGGTATCTAATGAACCAGTTGATAGCACGTGAAAGCGGGAAGACAGCCGTCCATCTTGCGGCACAGATTCCGATGACCGTGACTATGATGAACAGAGGTTTGAATTCCAACTTGCTCTCCGTGAAGAGTGAAAGTCCTAGGTAGATAAAGATAAAATTTTCTGACAGTTGAGCCAGGACTTGGAAGAGATATTTGGTAGTGAGCTGAGTTCGGCGAGACATATTATAGTAAGCATAATGCTTAAGAGTGATTCCACAGAACAGAAGCGTGACAATGCCTGTAATGGTCAGCGAGATTTTCAGTTGAGAAGTCAATGATATGTACCGGACATGTGCAAGCCATTTGAGAAGAAATAGCTGGCATATGCAATCAACACAATCAAGCAACTCTCGATTTTAGGGAATCTTCTGACAAAGGTATACTTCAATGCGAGTGCAGTGAGAATACCAACTGCCATTCCAATGACCAAACTTCCGAAGAAGACAGCCAAGAAAATGCCAATACCCTCGAGCAAGCTAACGATGCCAAGCGTTCCGGCAGCACCACCTTCCTTGTATCTTTGAGCTGTCTCAAACAACACAATAGCTACAGCGTCATTGAGGATGGATTCTCCAAAAATAATGGTGTAGAGCTTCGGATCGACCTTGTAGGTATTGAAGATTGCTAGGATAGTGACGGGATCCGTAGCTGATAATGTAGCTCCAACTGAAATGGCGTCGACGAATGTCATTTCAAATCCATCTATTGGAATCCGCGTATAAACCCAGAGTATTATTCCTAGCACAATCGCAGAGATGAATGTCCCAGCGAATGCAAACGTCAAAATCGTCCCTATATTCCGAAAGAAATTCGCTTGATGTAATTCGTATCCCGAAGCTAGAATAATCGGCGGTAGTAGGAGATTGAAGAATATCTGATAGTTGAAGCTGACGAGGTTCTGTATCGATGTTCCGGAGCTCAGTCTGAGGATTAGACCAACTGTCATACCTGGTGGGTGTTAGTGAGGTCTGGAAGAAGAGGTATCCTGCTAACCCGCAAATATCGATATGACGGTTTCGTGTACGGCTTCCACTTTCTTCTGTTGCAGCATGTAGGATGTGAAAAGTGCTGCAATCAGCAGCATGATCATAATGAACAGTGCCCATGAGGAGAAGATCTCCATCTGGGAGGAATCGGGTCCTGCTTGCTGTCAGCATATTGTCCTTCACCATCTCCCACTCGCAACTTCGTACCATTTTCCGAATCATCTTCCGACTCCCTTTCTGCGAATCCGTTAGCTGTTGCCTGTCTCACAGTATGGCAGATGTCGCAACGTACTCAGAAGCTGGTAGGCGACCGTCGCTATCGCCGCAGACACCTTGGCCATTGTGAAGTTCGTTCGGAGGGTTTCCTGGTCGAGTCGTGGCTCAACGACGAGCAGCGGTATTGGGAAGAAGGACACATGTAACTATTGCAATTGAATGTATGGGTTGAAGGAGGTATGGAATTGCGTATGTGGTTGGGATTAGAGTGTGTTCAGTTCAAAGTGGTGCGGGTGCTAGCGGAGCGGCCAGGTCGCCAGATTTGGGAGGTGAGATCTGATAATGATGCAGTACGCGAGTACGCAAGAACAGCCAGTACATTGAGTGAAGAATTGTTAGCCAGACAAAACGATCATACAAATGCATAGGAGAGTGATAAGTCCTTAACACGCAGACTTGGTTTCATATTAAGATTACTACATATTAAAGACGGACAGGCAAGCCACCGGGAACTCAAATAAAAAGAGAACTAGTACGACGAAACATTTCAATTATCCAGCCTTGCGACCTACATTTTCTGACTCTTGTATCTTTAGCTAATACTCCTCATGGCGATGATGGGCCAGAACCAGTTATGGGTCTGTTCTTCACCCCTGTACCGAGATGCAGCCAACAGCCCAACTCGCCACTTTTCAAGAGGAGGTGAATATTGCCGCATGGCTTTCCGGAGTTTCTAGCCAAAGACCCGCAAACATACTTAACCCCCTTTGTCTTTGGCTTGGCGCTTGAACGAATTATTAGTCTAATTTGTGTCATTGTATTGGCTTTAAACTTACACTGGGTTTCCTCCTTTCTTGGTGGGCTTGGCAACGGTTTTTGGCTTTTTCTTCGGAGGCTCTTCCTTTCTCCCCTTACCTTTCTCAGGCGCTGTCCCCTCTCCTTTTTTCCACTGTTATCATCTGAATCAGAGTCCGATTCTGATTCTTCTTCTGATTCCGAAGAACTATTCCCTGTATCAGGCCGTTTCATTTTTCTTCCCCGCTTTGGCTTTTTGGGTTTCTCCGTATTGGACCCTCTGATGATATATCCTTGAAGCCGGTCTTCTGCGACACGGAGATTCCATGGATACTCGTGTCTTATGAGTTCAAGAGTTCTTTCAGGCGCGGCCCTTTTTTCAGCTTCTTCGTTTCGCCTTCAACCTCCTGTGGAATCTCCTGTATATTCCGTTCGAAGTCGATGACCTCGTGCGGCCTATCATTTTCACCCGCCCTTCTGACCATGACGGCCTCGCCATCGTCAAAGGCGTTCTCACCCTCCTCGCCGTCCTTGGGTGTATCTGCTAGGACAAATGCCAAGGGTAATCGACTCCATTATCAGGATCACCCACGATATCTGTTGTGGTTATGTTCCATGGCCTATGGACGTGCTGTAGCATTCTTCGAGGCACGTACCTCTCCTGGCCCTCGTACTTTCTAATCCGAACTTCCTCGATTACATTCGCGTCGGACAGGTTCAATAAGAAGTCACCATAATTTACGGTAAACCAATTAGTCTTCATATTGATTGGTCAATACTGGTCTTCATCATGCTCATTGCCTGCTTTATCGACACAGCGGATGAGACGATCGATGAAGAACTTTCCTTCCTTCCATCCTTTCTCAGTTACCGCTCTCTCAATACCTTCGAGGGGTTCCTTTGCCCTTCAGGTCTTTTTTGACAGGTTTCTTTCCTGCTGGTGCAGCCCTTCCTCCTTTTTTGCCTAGCCTTTTGGAGGGACCTCGCCACCATTATCATCATCTCCGACCTCTTTTCCCTTCCTTTATCGACCTTCTTCGGACCAGCTCTTTTGCCTGGTCTTTTGGAGGAACCCTCCCCACCGTTATCGTCCTTTTCGGTGGCTTTGGCTTTGCCTTTTTTGATGACTTTCTTGTGGCCAGCCTTCTTTCCTAGCCCTTTAGAAGAACCCTCGCTAGTATTATCATTCTCCTCGACAGCTATTCCCTTTCCTTTGTCTTTGACGACCTTCTTGGGACCAGCTTTTTTCCCTGCTGGCGTAGTCTTGGTTTTTTTGGTGGCTTACAAGAGCCTTCACCCCCATTATCGCTCTCAGCATCTCGAACTCTCTTTTTGGAAGGTATTGTTCTAGTACGAATTCAAAATTCGAGATTAGTATACTCTTGTTTGTATATACAAAGTATTGACCCAGGACGCCATCATCTATTCAAGACATCATCTTCTCTCATCAAATACCTTTTTAAAACAAAGAATATAAGCATTATAATTTGTAAAAGACAATCTTCAATTGTTGGCGATTAAGGCCAGATGCGGACCATCAAAGGCTGAAATAAAGCAGACACGGCTTGGCAATTTCGCAAAGTCTCATTAAGGAACTCGTCTTGAGTCTGGACTAACGCAAAGGTAGCAACAAAATAGTGTTTTCAAATATTGCAAAATTAAGAGCGTTGGTCTACGTTGTATTGCGTAGGGATCTAGTGACAAGAGCTTTTGGCAAGCCTTCTAGGAAATAGGATTACATATTACGTACAATAATAATAGCTCCTCAAAATGCCTGTGTTCGGCTTCGTAGATATCCCAGAGTTTGAGAGACAATTAGATTATCCTAGAAGTAGGTGTCAATATTCTGATTGGGTGCCACAGTAGTGGCCAAGCCACAAAGCTCAACGTGGTGCCTGGTAGTTTGGTGCCTGGCTTTCAGGGCCGGCAAAAAGCATATTTTGGTATAGGTATTTGGTAATTTAGGAGCGAACGAGGCTGTCAGCTCCGGCGCCGACCAGGATCAACAGCACTCGTCGGAACAGGACAAGGCCAAGCCAGACCAACTCCAAGAACCGCCTTTCGGTAAAGCACGAACAAGTAACGATGCTACGACATTACACTGCATAATTCAAATTCATCCAAGACCTCGAAGACCATACGATTCTCTACCGTCGCATTTGCCTTGCGCTGCCTCTTGTCCGCTTACTCGAAAAGCAAAGAACCCTTACACGGGTGTCTGCGAGACATCTGATCCACACCGTCCCGAGACATCTGCATCAGCCTTCAACTTTCTCTACCGAATCACCTACCGCCAGCTGGGCAGAGTAGTCTGCAGCGCGTGATGAACCACTCGTGAACTCTCCACAGCACATCCGCTGTCATACGCAGGACCTCGCCTCGACTATCCGATACCTGTCGTGTGCTGCACCTTCCGAGCACACACCCTGCCCTCGAAGGCTATATACTCCACCATCCCCACCTTCCCTCCTCCCCCAACGACAACATTCCTTCACTACCGACAAACACCTTCGAAGTGGCCGAAGACCCAGACGAAGGCTCCTCCGACGGTGCCATCAAACTCCAGACCCTTTCCAAGGAGGACATGATCGAAGGGGAGGACGCTGGGGGACAAAAGCCGTCTCCCAGTTTGTCCGGCGTTACGGAGAGAGGGGACTCAATGGAGAGAACGGGGAAGCCCATGTCAGAAGACTCTCCTCTGCTGTCACCGTCTGGTGAGGGAGAGCATGAAGGCCTCATCGATGCTCAGGCCGTTCTAGCAGACGACCCACAGGATGACCAATGGCAGGAGACCAAGAGTCTGGCATACATGATGCTTTTGACGCTTAGTATTGGAGGTCTACAACTGGCATGGGCTGTGGAGTTGTCGAATGGAACACCCTATCTGTTATCTCTGGGCATGAGCAAGTCTCTTATGGCCTTGGTATGGATAGCTGGACCTCTTTCTGGAGCTTTGGTACAGCCCTATGTGGGTATACTCAGCGACAACTGCAAATCACCATGGGGAAAAAGAACACCGTTCATGGTAGTAGGGTCTATTGCGACAGTCGTATCTTTGATGTGTCTGGCATGGGTGCGAGAAGTTGTTGGTGGATTACTCGGGCTCTTTGGCGCGGATAGAACATCGGAAGGAGTCAAGGTCACAATCATTGTGGTTGCTGTGTTTTTTGTGTACATTCTAGATTTCTCCATCAATACTGGTATGCCAGACAATTTCCTACTACAGCACCAGCTAATACTTGGCAGTGCAAGCAGGTATTCGAGCTTTCATTTTGGACTGCTGTCCGAGTCATCAACAAGGTAGGGCTATTGTATCATAGAGGAAGTTCCCGCTAATGATGTTACAGAGGCTGCCAACTCTATGGCTAGTCGAGTAGTTGGTATTGGCAATATCATAGGTTATGTTGCTGGCTATTCTGACCTGCCGAAATACATTTGGTGGTTTGGATACACACAGTTTCAAATCCTTTGCGCTATTGCCTCGATTGCTCTCAGCACCACCGTCCTAATCAGTATTATTTTCATCAGAGAACGAGATCCACGTTTAGAAGGTCCTTCGCCTAAAGGTAAGAAGGGAATCATCGGATTCTTCAAGACGGTTGCCAGTTCCATCAAACATCTTCCGCCTCAGACTCGAAAGGTCTGCGAAGTCCAGTTCTTTGCTTGGATTGGGTACTTCCCCCAGCTGTTCTACTCGTCTTCATACATCGGAGATATCTATGTTCAACCATACCTGATCAAAAACCCCAACATGACACCCGAAGAGATCGATACTCTCTACGAAATGGCAACTCGAATGGGCACCTTCGCCCTTCTTATCTATGCCATCACATCCTTGGCAACAAATGTCTTACTACCATTTTTCGTTGCACCCTCTTACGACGCTGAGTACGAAGCCTCGATACATAGCAAAAGCGATAACACAACCTGGTTGTCCCGCTTCATGGAGAAGCTCGTTATTCCCTGGCTTACTCTCCGTCGTGCATGGTTATGCTCCCATCTCATATTCGCAGGCTGCATGTTCAGCACTCTCTGGGTCCGTAGCATCGGCGGAGCAACAGCATTAATCGGCATAGTCGGTATCTCCTGGGCATTAACCCTTTGGGCACCATTCGCTATTATTTCCGCCGAAGTCAGCAAACGCGACAAGCTCCGTCGTCAACGAAACATCCAAGCCATGAGCGACCCGGACTCAGATACCGAGCACGCCGTATTCGAGAAAGAAGATCAAGCAGGTGTCATCCTCGGTATCCACAACATGGCAATCGCCACCCCTCAAATCCTCGCTACTATCGGTTCAAGCATCATCTTCAAATTCCTCCAGAAACCGAGAGGTGTTCCCGGTGACCGGAGTTATTCAGTCGTCCTAGCAGCAGGTGGTATCAGTACGCTCATCGCAGCCTGGCTCACGAGTCGGATCCAAGATGAAGTCCCACTTCCTACGCCAGCGGAAGAACATTTCAGACCAGCGACACGAGAAGAGAGGAGGAGTCTGAATCAAGAAAGGAATTTTGTTCGGAGTCATAGTTATACCAGTCTCGGGTATTGATGTATTTGTGGGTATGGATTGTTATGAATATGAGATTACTTTTTTGGGCCTACATTGGACGTATGGTTAGGGTCTGGGAAATTGGAGTTGGAGCTGGAGCTATAGATAGAGTGTTATGAGTATACTAACATTGTAATTCGAGAGTCTACCTTCGGAGTAGGGTTGTGGTGAAGCCATGTCTGATTTTGGCTGTTCCGTTTGTTTCTTTCTGTCCTATTATTTGCATCTCTTTTCCAGCCACAAGTTCCTTTTTCTCATAGAATCTAAAGCTCCGCCCTGAAATATCGCCGCTAGCTACAAGATGTTTTCTTCGTAGTCATCTTCTTGCTTTCTCGTGTTCCACTGTTGTTCGCCCAAACTCTGAAGAGACGTGGATGGAAATATTGGAATAAGAAGTTTTAATAGTGTGTGTATATGGTCTTGTCGCGAAGCCTTCGCAGTTACGCAAAGTGCTCGTCAACAAAATGTCCCACAACACAACCAAGCAACGAAATAAAGGTAGATGCATGACATACTGGAATTTGGTAATTGTTTTGATATCCTTAAGGATTGAATTTAATTTGTTTTACAGGCAGTTCTCTCCCTTGAGTTCCAATACAAGCGCATCGAAGTGCTTGACCAAGCTGCTTCCAGTTTGCTGAAGGCTTGCAATCCAGGATTCGTGTGTAGGGCTTGACGGTCACACATACAAGATTGCTGTGCACCCCAGAAACGTGTTTGATACATCCATTGCTCGACTGTACAGAATTGAGTCATCGCATTACCATCATTCTTGCAGATATGCTTCTGAATGAGGGGAAGGATCACTCGCGATGAAAGGGCCGTGAACTTCCTTCCTTTTCATCGTAAAAAACGTGTCCCAATCACGATGAAAACTACAATAGTCTTCGTGCCTCGTATAAATGATTTCCCATCCCTGTTCTTGAAGAAGGTGTTTGTTGTCTTGCAACGACATCCCTCTCTCCTTGCATTTCCATAACACTTCGATTTGCTTGCTTCCATCCACAGCATGAGTAGCTATGCAGCTCTCAATCACGTTTGGCAAATCCATACTCATCCAGTATTTCCGTTGCTGGCTTGGTGAGGATCCTCTTCCCCACATCTGTACGCCAGGAACCAAGTGCGATGGAAGGAGCATGGTCAGCCGGACCTTGGTCCATTTTCCAGCTCGTGCTAACATCTTCATGACAACCTCCATTTTCGGACTGATATTCTCCACTGCACCACTCAATCCTTGAGGAGGATCTAGAAACTGATCACCAGTCGAGAAACCGGTGCTTGTTTTGGATTCCGGTCGAATCAGATGTCTGCTTAACGGATAGACGATCTCTCTCCTGTTTTCCTCTTCTTGCCATGATTGGGCGGTTGAGGCCTCGGGTAATGCAAGCTGTGTTCTCGCTCCGATCGGCTCTGAGAGTTGCCACACATGCTGCAGTTGGAACATCTGGAATTCGAGACGTGTTATGTAGCTTCTGTTAACAGAGCCAATGCGAATGAGCCACTCCAGCACGGTATCCCAAATCCACTCGCCGATGAAGCGAAATGTGTTGTAAGACCAAAACACTCTAGCTATCTCTGATGATATATTCCGGCTGACGAGGGACAAGCTGACCATAAGGCGCTCCACGGGAAGGGCATTTTTGAGGTAATCATCGATGTAGAATGAATGTGGGGTTTCATACACTGAAATCATGTTCAAGGCAAAGGGAGACTTTACGAGCTCTGGTAAAGGCATACCGGACCATGCAATTAAGGGCGTTGGAGAGATCAAGGCCATCGAATACACCATCTTCCGGATTTCAAGCGGAAGGTCCATGAAAGAGAGCCGGCCATGGGCAGAGGAAGATGGCCGAGACTGCGAGCGGAAAGCAGGCTTAGAGCAGTGCTTATTGCTTTGTTGCTGAGGATGCGACATGGTTCGTTATCAAAAGGAGTTGGGGCTGTATCCTCAATGATCGGTAGGTGGTGATAAGGTCGGATGCTTGAGTTCCAGTGTCGCTCGTGAATACCCTAGGCGCCGACGGAGCAGGGGTATAATAACGTGACCGTGTGCAAGGCTCACATTCCAAGTATTTTTATCGTCTCATCTCGCAAGACCACTCTGAGGTCATAAAGGAAGCTCTAACATTGCGAAAGGAATTCTGTGGGCTTGGATCTCTGATCTGAAGAATTAGCCGGCACGTGTCAGTTGGGAACAAAATGCCAATCAACCACCTACAATGGGGTTTCGTGTGAGCTATTCTTAAGCGGAAGACGAAAGTAATACTCATTGTCGTCTGGATTCGATCTCATACCTACTTCTAGTTGTATAAGATGACTAATGTTGGAACTTAACGCCGAACATTCGTCCGTCGAATTTCGTCCGAGCCTGCCAAAGCCTACTCCAATTGTTGAGTACGCAACTAAACTATGCCATCATTTGCATTCCAATTTTGAACAAACCAAAGTATAGGCATAATCGACCATTTGAATCACTCACCTGCTTTTGCAATATACCTAGTCCAGTGAGGTTCAAGATGTCGGAATCGTCAAAGACCTCAGCTGTTTCTACTCCAAGAAATGTGCGAAAAGGAACACGAAGTTGCTTCGAATGTAAGGATTGCTCTCTTGAAGCATAATTTAGTATTGATACATCTCGTATAGGCAGATACCGCAAAATTCGATGTATCTTTCGCTCAACGAACCCGTCAACGTGTGTTTCTTGCTTCTCACATGGCATCCGCTGTGCAAGCCAGAGAGAATCTGAAGCTGCCCTCCCTTCCCATGCCAAGATGAATATAAGCGAGAGAGTTGCTCAGCTAGAGAAGGAGCTGGCAGCCATACGCGAGCAGAGTGCAACCAACCCTCTTGATAGTGGTCTACCAACAAGTGCAGCAAAGCAAGCCAATGAGCTTCCGCGTTCTATCATCACTTTGAGAACTTCTTCATTAGAGGTCCCAATTCCGAATAATTCGTCCCCTGCGGGCAACCTTCCGATACTTTCTCTATTCGACAATGCCATTCTTGCTTCAGACCCGAGGAGTAACGCGAGCGACGCCATCTCCAGGGAATTCTATACAGGATCTCTGAGGCCCATGCCAATGGGAGCCGACAGCGCCACTCATCTTAGGACTTCCAGACTCAAGAGATCTGGAGTTTGTGAGGCTCTGACGGACAAGCTTCCGTCCCATACAGCAATGTACGAAGTTCTTGAGGCTGGTTCAAGGGTACGCGGGAATTGACTTTGCTCTTCATCTCAATTATTTTTCAAAGTCGTCGCATGGACGATCGGATGCATCTTCTTCTATTTCAATTGATAACAAGAGACCAAACACTGACTCTTGTAGTGGTGGGACATTGTGAGGAGGATGCACCCTTACATGTGTTCTGAGGATACCAAGCTCTCGATTCAAAGCTATGTTTGCTGGGCTTTCAATCAAGACAATCCTGCCATCATTGGGTGTGCACTATCTTGGATAGTATTGAGCCTCCAGTGCCTTCCATCGGACTTTGACAATAGCCATCTTGGCTTACCAATGACGGTTAACGATTTGTCACAACACTATCTTTCTAATGTCAATCGATTGATTGTGTCTGACGACGAGCTTGCGGTCTCTCTGGAAGGCATCGAGTGTATTCTGTTACAAGCCCACTTCTACGGCAATATAGGTCGGCCACGCAAGGCATGGGCAGCAACTCGGCGAGGACTGTCTTATGCTACCCTGCTAGGTCTACATCGATCATCATCACAAGTGCCGAGTACAATGTCAGCACATGCCAAACGACGAGAGAATGCTTGGTGGCATCTCATAGACGCCGATGCTCAACTCAGCCTTCTGCTTGGTCTACCCAATTTCATCCTACCCGCATCGTGGGATTCAAGACTCCACGAATACCATGAAGCCAACGGATACTATGAACGAAAACTTCCTGTCTTGATGAATATCATCAGCCAAAGGAACCAAGCGAGCAGCACCTCACTCGCCTCACTTTTGTCTGCAACCTCCCAAATCGACCTGGATATGGAAGAACTTGCTATCCATCTACCACCGCTTTTATCGGCTCATGATCTATCAACTCGGAACGACCTGGATTTCGCCGCACTTTACGAGATTGTGGTGAAACATGGTCGACATTATTCTACAAAAGTTTATCTCCATTTACCATTCATGCTTCAGACTCCGTCGGACAGCCAATTTGATTTCAATCGGACACAATGCTTGAAAGCTTGCTGTGAGATGATCGAGTTGTATACTACCATGAGGCGCCTGGCCGATGGTATAATCCATTTCTGTCAAATGGTTGATTTTCAGGCTTTCATGGCAACGGTGATTTTGATTCTTGCTCTTTTGGGTTATGGGCCTAAGTCGACACGGCAAGACACCAATGAAGTCGTAAAGTACTCCAACTTGATATGTGAGACGGTGGGCGTCTTCCGAAGAGTGTCGGCAGAGCCAGACAAGGCTCTTGCTGCTCAGTGCCTCCAAGTTCTAGAAAAGCTTCATTCGATCGTCCAAGGTCAATTCCCGAGAACTGACAACTCAGCCAAATGCAAAATCTTCATTCCCTATTTTGGAATGATACACATCACCCCAGGGAGTTGCTATGGAGCTTTGGAAACGAGGTGGGCTCAGCGCCCGGGCCAATGTAGCGCGGCACCCACGGAGGAAATCTTTGCGCCTCGAGAAGCTGGCGTCCAAGCACAAAATACACGTGTCGAAATTGATATCTTCAATGCGCCATTCTTGGGGACGTTTGCCCAGAGTACAGATTCGACATCTTATTGCACAGAACCCGATAAGAATCCGTTCAATGACACATTGGCAATGGATCTTGATCAAGATTGGACTTGGATGCTGAATCACGACTTTTGAAAGAGATTAAATGGTGACATGACGAGTCTAGTCTATTGCTTGTCTGTCAGAAAAACAGTCTATGATGTTCTAGTCCCAGGAAATTGGCCTCTAGTGTCTGCTCGTATAGTAATACAGAAATGAAAATAGAATATTGATAGTCTAGTCCAGAGGAAGCCCCTTTACCTTGGCATAGCCAAGAGAATTCTTCCACAAACACAAATACATGAAATATCTGGACATGTGTATCCGAATTCTATGTTGGGTCTCCATCTAAATGTGAGTAATCTTAGACTCTGACGTGGATCTTCTTCCATTTTACACTGAAGCTGATGCAGGTAGCTACTCCGGCTAAAGCGATTCCTAATGCGAACACGAAATATATGCTTTGCATGTATGACAGAACAACTCCCGGGACATCTGTTGCAGGCAGTGTGCTGCGGAACTGTGTCGCTCCAAGACCGATGACGACAGTAGGATCAAGATTGGGGACGTTGACTGAAAGATGTTGACGGAGCTTGTTCGCAAATATCGATTGTGCTGCGGAGATGAAGTACGTTCCGCCCATCATTTGAAAGACTAGAAACATTAGTTGATACACAATAATCAAAGGAGAGCCTTACAGAGACTAGTTGCTGTGTACTCCGAGACTTCAGAAAGCTCACAGACAGATTGTGCAACGATCTGAGGAATCTGAAATGCAAATCCGACTCCGAATCCTGTCAGGACTTGGTAGCCAATCCAATGGGAAGATTTCGACCCGATCTCAAGCGTGTAGAGCAAGCCTATGCCAATTGTGGTAATCATGCCTCCTCCAACCAAGATAGGAACATAGTGGCCAAATGCTGAGATGATTCCGCCAGAAGCGATGGAACCAATTGCTAAATCTGTCAGTGCAAATCCCACAAAGAGTTATGAGACATGACTGACCGAGAGCGATAATCAAAGGGAGATTTCGAACTCCTGATGCTTCTGCCGAGACCCCACCAATAGCTTGGAAATAAATCGGAAGATAGTAGAGAGTAACAAAGAAACTGCCGGCGAAGCTTGAACATCGTCAGCATCGTAAGCATCAAAGGTGCAAATTGCTTACAAGAGAGCAAAAACATAAGCTACCAGAACAGTTCTGTCTTTCAGTATGTTGAAGTTCAGCTGCGCTTGATCACCCATCCACCATTCATTCAAAACGAACGCGAGAATCAATACTACAAAGAGAACCAGTACCACGATCATGCTAGCAGAACCCCTATGGACAAATCAGTATACACTTTTGAAAGAGACGTGAGAGCCGAGGAGCCCATCCGAGGAGTTAGTTATCAACTTCATTAATGAATACCTCCCGAGGATCTCGGCTCCTAATGTGGGTACAAAACAGGAGCAAATTTAACGTACCATGCCTTTGTGACACCTCCCCATTCCATTGCGAGGAGAAAGCACACTGTTGATGTCATGATCAAGAATGTCCCAACAACATCCAACTGCCTGACTTTCTCCGTTATGGTAGCTTCGAGAGGTTTGAACGTCGATGGTGTCTTGAAAAGGAAAGCAATGACGAGGACCGACAAGCCTCCGATGGGTAGGTTGATGTAGAAACTAGAAGATCAGCGATGCCGGGACCTATGAGGTGAGCGACTTACCACCAACGCCAAGAAACGTGGAGAGTGAAAGCACCGCCAAGTAAAGGGCCAACAACAGCTCCAGCACCCCAAGTTGCACCAAGAATCCCGGTAAATAAAGGCCTCATGCGAGGAGGTGCTGCGAATGCCACAATAGTATAGCATCCGGTGCCCACACCTGCAGCTCCCAGGCCCGCGATGGCTCTACCTGCAATGAGCATATTGCTGCTTCGAGCAACCCCTCCATCATGTAAGCCGAATACCGGTAGATAAAAATTCGAAGATCACTCACCACATAACAGACTTCCAAGCTCAAATAGCGCAATGGCGCACATGAAGCAGATTTTCAATGGGAAGAACTTGTACACCTTACCCCAAGTCGATTGCAGGCAGGCGAGAGTAAGGAAGAATGCAGACCCGTACCATCCAATTTGATCTAGGCTGTGAAACTCGTCCGTGATCTGAGGGATTGCAGTAGCTACGATGGTCTGCGAAGTATTAGCTGAGGGTGACGGATTCAAGGTTAGCGAACTGACTGTATCGATGGAGGATAGCAATACGCTTAGAACGAGCGCGAGGACGATGATCCCCAACTTGAAGCCTGTGGGGTACTCTGTTGCGTCTTCGACAGAAGTAACTGGTTCTTTTTCTCCTCCGCTCCCTATTTCCTGCTCATTGTCCATTGCAGGAGGACCTTCCATCTTTTCAGATGTAATGCTAATGGGTGTATGCGACATGGCGCTATTTGTATGGATAGAGAATTAAGAATGGTAGAAGAAAGGGAACTTAAAAGAGAGGCTGAAGGTTATTGAAGTAAGGAAAACTCTTTGCAATATATTCTTTTCAAGTGAAAGCGCTGGTACTTTTGTGGAACTACTACGGAGATGAATTGCACATGATTCCACACTGATGACAGAGCATTGTTCCGCTCTCCATGGTCTCGGAGACATCAAGACGCAAAACGATCGTGTACCTGCAGCAGAAGAACATGCTCGGCCGAAAACCAACGGACGAGGTGAACTGTTCGCTTAGCGAGTACCCCACCATGCCAGTACTCCCCTTGGAAGCATTGGCTTTGCCGTCAGTTTTGTCCGAGAGGTGATATCATTGGCTCGAACTGAGTCAAGAAGTCTGCGATTTGTAAGACGGACTCTAATCTCGGAGCAAACGCTGATTATCAGACACTCTCAACTGCTTAAGAGACTGCACAACGGGTAGATGATGGCCCGAGGGACTGCCAATCTTGAGCTGAAGATACCAAGAAAGTTCGCAAAACAAAGGTTGTCGGAGTCTTCTTGTGAGATGAGATGTTGATGTTCGACGTTCGATGGGTCAAGGCGGGTTCGATGCTGAAGCAGGTCTAATGCAGCACGTGACCGTTCTTCATATTCACAAAGCTCTACCTTGCTATCTTGCTTATCTCATATAAGGCCATAGCTTCTGGTCTTAATTATTCTCTCTGCAGTACAGGATAGCAGATCCGCATCATAAAAGAGTGCTGTGCGGAGTGGTCACGAGATTGCGAAATCACCTCGGCTAAGCTTACTTGACTGCAAGCCTCATGTCCTTTCTCATGCTTTGATCATTTGCACTCAGCTTAGAAACCCCTCTTTATTGTTCTTCGACATACAAAATATGAGAACGTCGAACTACGAAGGAGGCAGTTCTGCTTAGGTTAATCAGTGTCTTGAGAAACGCCAAGGAGCTTTCAACCTCGGCTTTCTCCTATCAAAGTCATCCTTGAAGAGCAGCAAAGCTAATACATGATAGCCTATCTATAATATCTAGGTGCAGTAAGATATATCCAAGAACAAATCCAAAAGCCAGTCTTAAATATGTTCTAGCTCTCACTGCTTAAGTCTGGCCGTCTGCAGCTGCCCCGCATTCACAAGAACAGAGCAGGTAGCTCACATTAAACACAACGCAAGCGTCATCAGAGCATCAAGACTGCTGAAAACTTCCCAAAAGATGTCTAATAGTCAGATATCAACGAACAAAAGCTTCACAGTTGCTAAATCCGGTAATAACTACGCTTACATCCACCACCCTCCTTCAAACCCCAGCAAACCGACCGTTCTATTCCTGCACGGCTTTCCTTCTACCGCACACGACTGGAGGCATCAAGTACCCTATCTCACATCTCTCGGTTATGGAGTCTTGGCTCCAGACCTCCTTGGATATGGCTCGTCATCCAAGCCCCTCGATGTGGAACCATACATTGGCAGCTCAATGGCAGCAGATATTGTGTCACTCCTCGATTACGAAGGGATTCGAACGGTGGTAGGAGTCGGTCATGACTGGGGGACATATTTGTTGAGCCAATTGATCATCTGGTTTCCGGAGCGAGTCGAAAGATGTGTGTTCGTCAGTGTGCCGTTTCATGTCCCAGGGAGGAAGACGGATGCAAAAGCTGTGAATGACAAATCGAAGAAGGCATTAGGATTCGAATTGCTGGGGTACTGGATGTTTCTTACAGCACCTGGGGCTGGAAGGACTATTGGAGATAATGTAAGCGCCTTTCGTATTGTCTTTGGTTCCTCTCTTGCTTTGCCTAATTCGCCGTTGGTGTTCGGATCAGGAGAGTCAAATTGAGGCCCGCGCAAATGTCCGTCAGGAGTACCACCTTTCAAGCTTCAAAGTCCGGCTAGACCCATCTTTTGTAACAAACGCCGCTTCAAGACGCAACAGAGAAGGCTGACATAGATATCTCACAGTGGGAAGTATTTTACGACCTTGTCTACTGTGCCGATGCTTCTCTCTGGAAGACACATTGGGCAGGTCTCGGTGCCATGGAAAGCACGCTCAAAACACTGACACCATCATCCTCTTCCAAACATCTCGTAAGTAGACTGTTACTTCCTCCAAATCCAAGCTGACGTTCCAAGGCACCATGGACTACCCCATCCGACAAAACGCATCACCATAATTCCTTCGGAAACGACTACTCCCCCACACTGAATTGGTATCATCGTGGAATATCTTCTCTTGGAGTCGACGCCGAGATCTCTGCTCTCAAAGAAGGAAAGATTAGTTCAAAAATCGATATCCCAACGCTGATGATTGGTGGAACAAAAGATGTTGTCTGCGATGCTACACATGCGAGAAAAGTCATGCAGAGCTCAGTAGAGAGGGAAAAGCTGAAGGTGGTAGATCTCGAGACTGGACACTGGATCAATCTGGAGGAGAAAGAGAAGTTTAACGAGGTGCTGAGAGAGTGGTTGGAGGAGACAAGTGGTGAGGGAGGAGCGAGGCCGAAGCTTTGATGTGAGTCTCTCGGTTGCTTTTTGAAGAAATCAAATCACTTTGGTATCTTGGAATGTGTTTATTGAAGTCGGCTTTTATGATTTTCAATTTCTTTTGTGGTTTTCTAAAGTTTTTGTATCTACTCTACAGACAAAGGAAAAGAACGCCCAAGTAAGGCTATATCTCAGACATATGGACAGCAATGCCATCCAGCTCAGCTTGATCTCCGTCTCCACCGTCAGAATAGACTCTTAATAAGCTCAACAGCATAACCAAACAAATTCAACTCCCCTTTCTTCCATCTCCAAACTTTGACGGAATGATCAGTTGTTGTATCCCTACATTGTTGTTGTTCAAAGCACCATAAATGTGCACTATTCCCCTTCGTCGTATCTTTCGCATTGCTACTTCTTCGCTGGGCTCTTCGTGGTCGAGGATCCTGTAGCATCACGTGCTGCCAGCATAGGTCAGTACTCGTCTCTCATGATGCCATGGTTGGGTCACTCACCGAGCTTCTCCTTGATAGCAAAGCGGCTCCACTTGCGGTCAAACTTCAAAATCGGAACCATCGCCTCCTTGATCATAACAATGTGCTTTTCAGCATGTCCACCAGTATCCTCGTCGAACTCCTTGTGCTCCATCTTAGTAGATTGCTGGCACAACGTCTTCGTCAAGTGCGCAACTCTTCTCAATTCTTCTACCGGCAGGCTGGGATGCTTAGAGTTGCAAGCCGCTGATGTTTGACAAGTGGCATATGCCTCCATTGCTTCTCTGACTCTTGGAGAATTCTTGTAATGCACATCCGGGTAGTCACCATAAAGCGTATGGAAGACAGGCACCAGCTTCTTGTATTGTTCGTTTGTCAAGAATCTTCCATTCAGGACAGCGGCGTCTGCTTCGGCGTTGGCATTGGAGTTAGCAGCATGACCACGCTCGAGAAGAGACTTGTCCATCTCACGTCTCGTGATATGAAGAACACTCTCGCGACCCTCTTCCAGGAAACGAGCTCGAATATCTCTGCCGATTCTGAAGAGAGGTTCCCTGAGGTGGTTCTCAAGCTGAAGTTCTTGGTTTCGGGCGGTGAGCCATTCCATCTGTGCAGCGGTTGGAGCAGCACCGGGAGTGGCAGGTGTTTCAAGATGTGCCTTCAGAGCCTCATAATCAGCCTTGAGTTTCTTGTTCTCCTCGCGAAGATTCTTAGTGTATTCAGCTTCGGCTTTGTAAGTAGCTAGCTCATGATCCAACTCGGTGTATTCCTCCTTGTACGCCTCTAACTCCTGTTCAACCGTCTCGAGTCGAGCTCCTTGCCTGTCGAGTTGTGCTTCAAGGTTCTTGATCATGATCTTATCGGCGTTGACGACTTCAGAGAGTGGCTTCACGCGAGAGCTGGGCTGGATTGAGTGAGCGATAGTGCGGTGTTGAGGGTCGGCATCGATATAGGGTTGGTATTGAGATGACTCGATAAGAACCGGGGCTTTGCGTACGGAAACTTGTGAGGCCGGAGTCTTCTGTTCAACAGCTTTGGCAGGTGGTGGTAGTTCTGGTTGTTTGTCGATATCATCGTCTGGCCATGCTGCGGGAACAAACTTGACAGGCTCAAGTGGCTTCTTGTTCTTCTTTGACTCCTCTGCGGCAAAGCTCTGCGATCCGGAAGTGGCCCTAGCTTGCATAGCTGGGGCGGAACCTCGGGCAGCTGCTGGAGCAGATGGAATTGCTTTTGCAGAGGAAATGCCAGCTGAAACTACTCCGGATTGAACAATAGCTTTATCTGGCTTATCAAGCGAAGGAGGAAATCTGGACCATCCGCTTGGTTGGAAGGGCTTTGACTCGGACTTGGTGTGGACCACGTTACTCGATGCGGAAGGGAATTCAGGCCATCCGCTTGCTTGGAATGCTTTTGACTCGGGCTTTTGCGGAGCTACAGTCAGTGGTCCTGGAGGGTCTTGAGTCTGCTGGGGAGCTACGCGTTTAGCTAGCAAAGGCATCGGGGTCTGTGATTGATGGGACTGCTTGAAATTGGACAGAGTGCCTGTAGCAGACATGAAGGCCAAGGGATCGGCGAGAGCTTGACTGTATCCATTCGTGTTGTTGTTCTTCAATTGTGGTGGGTGAGAGACAAGTGCTTCTTTCTTGACGACTGGAGGGATTGGGTATTGGGAAAGGTTCGAAGCATATCGACTAGCAGACAAGCCAGATGCATTTGGCCGGGAGACTACTTGTTGAGATTTCTCCTTATGACTCAAGATGAAAGTGACTTCTGGAGATTCAGTGCCTTCTTCTTTGATAGACGGAGAAGGAACCCGAGCTTGCTGCTGTGGTTGTTGTGACCAGGCATCGACTGTGTCCCAACTAGCCTCGGCAACAGGAGCAGTCGATTGATGATCAACGGATTGGGGTAAACCTTGAAGGCTGAAAGTTCCATTGGAAGCACCAGTTGGTACGCCATCCTCCTGCTTGATTTCTTGTGTCTGCTTCGGCGACGCGTTGAAAGAACCGTTTGCAATGTTGCGCGATGGAGTGACTTCCTGCTTGATATGGACTGCTTGACTGTGAACGCGGCTTGTCGCGAAGCTGGCGCCAGGAGTCAAGCCGTATTGCTTCTCAAATTGTGCCCTGGAACCAAGATGAGGATGGTACGCGGGAACAACGCGTTCTTGCTTTGTTTCGATAGAGCTGGAGTTCTGACTGGCAGCAGCTTCGAAAGCTGGCACATTTTCCATGTTTAATTGTACTTCACCCTCGGCCTTGACGCGCGGAGGTCGTGCCCGATGTGCGTATGAAGCAGCGACGAGATGCTTGGTGATTCCTTGTCGGGCTGCGTCGATGTCAATCTTTAGACGTTGATGGGTTTCGGCCAGATTCTTTTGTTGTGAATCTCCTACGCGACTTTGTACGAACTTCGATTCGGTGGGTTGGCTTTGTTGAAACCGAGAAGCCGTGAATTGACTCCAGCTGGAGTTTAGCACCGCGTCAATGAGGTCTGTTCGACTTTGCTGCATATTTCACTTCGTGCGACAGTGAAGAGTGTGTGTATTAGAGGTGGTCTCAGAAGATTATTACTCGATGGTTGAAGAGGATGGCGGAAGAGCCAGACTTGTTCATAGATTCTCGTGGTTTGTTTTGTTTAGGTGGGGTCAAGATCGAAGCGGCCGAAGATGGAAAATACTCACGTCACACTTCGCTTCAAAATTTGATCATGGTTTCCAACGTGCACGTATGTTAACAGCTATAATTTCTCTACTTGAAGATATTGAGAGGTTTGTATCGGAGCTTGAATTCAGAGCAAGCACTAGAAGTGGCAGACACAGTGAAATGAAACTGCTCCTTGTGAAGGAGTGGCATCTTTTTGACCTTATACATGCTGCGTTTATCAACTGATCTCTTGCCATTGCCTCAAACGTGCTGATATAATGCTTTGGTACATCTTGGCTTTGAAGTAGGTTGTACTTTTGGCTCATCGTTTCCGCAGTTGACTCGTCGAGGCTGAATAGCATGTAACCTTTTTTATAGCTACATATACTATGATGCTAGCTCCGTAAGACCTACATTGTCGACCACTAGCTCTTTCGACTCACACTTACTGTCCAGTTATGACCCTAGTTGAAAACACCTTGTGCTCTTAGCATCAGTTGTAGCCCTTCCTTGAAATCTTCATTCGTGTATACATTCATGATTCGCACATCTCCTGACATATCTGCACCACTTCTTTGTCAGTACCTTAACGATCGGAGACTCAATTAACATCAGCTGAACAAGCCCGAAACTTACTTTTACTCCAATCCTTAATCTAACATTGTCTAGTACTCCTCCATCTTCATCAATCCTCCCTGGAGTCTGGTGGCGGTGTCCCATATAATTCTTCGTAGATTTCAGACATATCAAAAGAGTTCTCTGCTGGTACCAAATTGCAAATGAAAAGAGCTGCATCTTGCTCGCCGTCTGGTTGATGTGCCGCAATATTTCCCTCTTTGATCAAGTTCTTGTCGAGATCCTTTCCCGAAAGACCATAAGTAAGTGCTCTTTCTTTCTCCAAGTATCGTAGACGGATCGCCACTCCGACGTTTACCAATGGCTGCTGGCCCTCCAGCTTCTGCTTCAGCTCAGCAACCTGTTCCTGCTGTGCGAGACGATCCATTTCTATGCTCGACTGGGCTCGTTCAGTTTGTCGGAGACACGTAGTCTCGATCCTCAGCCGAACCTTCGTTTTTCTATGGTTTTGCTGTTCTTGAACCAGCTGATTCGAGATATCTGCATTCATTCGTCGAAGGGCCTGTTCGGTATCGTACCATTTGCTGCTCTCCTCTCGTTCTTGAGCTAACTCTTTCTGAGCAGCATCATATGCCTGCTCATAGATTGTACATTGATTTTCAGATTGTAAACGATTTTGCTCCGCTTGCACAAGAGAATTGCGTAGACTCAGGTTTGCAGCTGTCTTTTGTGCAAGCTCAGTCTGAAGCTGCATGATCGTTGACCGCTTGAACTCTTGCTCGGCCAGAATCCGACGCGCTTCGGTCAGAGCGTTCTTTGTCCTCAAAGCCTCGAACAACATCTCACTGTCAGCTTCCTCTCTCTCCTTCGATGCTCTCAAGTCTTCTTTATGCTGCGCCTTCAACGTGGCCACTACTTTTGTATGCTCTCCAACTTGAGTTCGAAGTTGCCGATTTTCTGTCTTCATCTTTGACCTCTCTGTCTCCAGAACCTTTATCCTGGCTTTGAGGGATTGGCTTTCTTCCTTGGAGGCTTCCAAATTTGCTTCGACCGCCACGACACGCTGCTTTGTGCCCTTCAGTTCTTTCTCTTTCTTATCGAGTTGGTGCTGCAAGCCAATTGACTGTGTTCGAAAGTCTCCCTTTCCGGCTCGAGATTTTGGGGGAAAGGAGGAATTGGGTTCAGATTCAACTACTTCTGTGTGGGTCGATTGAAGAAATGAGTGCTTCGAAGCCATGAATCCGAGCGATGTATCGGCAGCAATCGACGTGATTGAGACTGCAGCAATCGAAGCAGTCATCGACTCTAGGCCGACTGTCTCTGCTGTTTGTGCGTGTAGGTATTTCGTCCGGTCGTCATCTTCAACTTCGCGAATTGTGTCTTCTCGGAAAAGATTTTCAAGGCAATCATTATTCGAAATATCTTCGATTTCATCGCTCATCTTCTCTTTTCCCTCGCACCCTGCTTGTGGGGGAAAGTTCTCGGCTTCAGCTGCGACCTTCTTCTTCTTTGCCATCGTAGATTCGGATGTTGGTATTGGTCATACCCTGCTTGGCCTTACGGCGAGGTTGTCGCGAGATAAAGTTGTAAGGTGTCGAGAGCTGGTGAATCTTGAATTTTGTGGTTTGTGAAAGTAAAGCACTCGAGGACAGAAAAGTCGCTAAAATCTCGGTTAAATGCTTGGCACTCCTCGGCACAAATGAAAGGAGAATGCGAGAGGATGAGAGGATATGTTACATGTGTATGCACAACTAAAACACGGTCTTGGAAGTTCCCTTATTTGAACAAGTGATCTGTTCACACGGAAAGTCTGTAAACGTGGACGGATATTTTGCTTCTAGGAGCTTCACTTGCGACATCGCAAGATCATTATGCAGCGAATGCGGAGAGCAATCTATGCATCCTGTCCTACCCTATGAGAATGCGTTCATCTGAGCGTAAGGCTTTGAGGTTTGTAGTGAAGTTATCTCTGAACAGCAGAGCGCATTCATCCACCCTGTTTGATTCATTTTTAGAAGTTGGTCATAAAAAGTAGTCGTTACCGACGTACTCAGAGGCGGAGGTGAAGATCTTCCTCGGATACAAGGAACCTCATAGTCCTTCCAGATGCTGAATACAATTATTTGTCAAATGATTTTGTTCAATAACCTATTCATGCGAGGTTCAGATGACGCCTAGACGCGGCAGACGTGGATCAATTCATCAAAGTTATCAAGAACAGCATTCTCTTTTGCTTCAGTTCGTGATAAGTATGCTAGAGGAGTGTCAGTCTGGTAAGAGTGTGATTGAATAATGGTAGTCAATCAGACCAAGGACTCTTAGCACGCGCACGACAATATCCGTTTCATTTTGAGAAGTGGAATATACTGATGATTAATGTTTCGGTCTCCTCATCAACTTCCGGCTAATCGAAGGCAATAAATAATTCAATAGTGCCGCCTGCGCTAGTTTGAAAATGGTGAGACACCATGTATTCCTACTGTGTTTTTCATGTTCCAGCGCTAACCACAGCTTTCGCAGTACATGACTGGAGAAGAATCATGCCATGTGGTCTCAAATTTTACACGATTCAGTTTGATTATGCTTCAAAGATGGGTTTCAAACATCTTTTTGCGAAAGATTTATTCTCGGTAAGAAATTTGATGGCTTCATGTCTTTCCTCAGCTCTTGGCGCTATTCCTTTTCTTGAGGCGCCATGGCGCTCAAAATATATGTTTCAGAACGCCAATGATACGAGTACGGCTGAATTCATGCCAAAAAGAAATAATGCCTTTCCATATGCGAGGTCACGGAGCCTCCAATTTTCCTTCTTCCGGACCACATATATACCAGTCGCTATTCAGGCCGATTGTCAAGTTTCTTCCCACTCACTTCTATAGAGAGCGATTTTCTCTTGGCATGGTCTTACTTTAGCAGACAATGGCAATCGCTATGCAACGCACAACCTTTCATCAGCTACTAGCTTTGATTTCAGTGCTCTTCCAATGTGTGCTCTGCCTCCCAGGCGGTTGTGGTGGAACTCTCGAGATTCTTGACATCTCGTCTCCGACATACAACGATACCGTATGGGCATGCGCTGGGATTGAGCGCTCATCAATATTTGGAGGCGATGCACTCCTCCTCGCTGCCAGCAATCAAGACAACGTGACGAACTGCGCCGATTACTGCGCCACGACATCCTTTCCCGATGGACTGATGGCTGGCATCTGGGACTCCGACAACAGTACTTGCGAGTGCTGGTATATCGGCGACCTCAACTACTACGACCTACCGGCAGCAAGTCCTGGTGTGACGTTCATTGACTTCTTCGAGGCGTGGAACCCAGGTGGCAGACCCTCAAAAGCACAAAACTGGGGCGTCTTCACTTGTCCCGCAGGCGCCGAGTCAGGCTGGGCGGATGCCGGAAACGCAGCCTATTGCGGGCCCTTAACCCTCGAGCCCGCTCAGCCAGCGCTGGCTGAACTTGGTATCATTGGTGACTGCTGGGGATTCTGTCTCGAATATCCTGGTGTGGAGTGGGTTCTCTCTCGCAGTCCTAGTGATTGTAATTGTTACGGTGATCTTGCTGGTCTCAAAGTGACGTTGAACTACACACCGACGGACTTTGTCATCGACTATTACGATTTCGAGCCTCACTCAACTTCAAGCAGTACTTTCGTGACTACGAAAACATCGCCAAGTACATCGTCACATTCCACTAAGAGCAGCACTTCCGTGGCATCTAGAAGATCGACAACTAGCGCTTTACGCTCGACCACAAGTCCTGTCACGAGATCCACTCCGAGATCCACTCTGAAATCCTCTCTGAGGTCCACTTCGAAATCTAGCTCTCACACAACGATCAAGTCAACCACTAAGAAAACGTCCACGTCTTCGGAAGTAACTTCTCCGAAGTCTTCATCACATTCGCCCACCTCGACTGCCAAGACTATCTCGAAAACAACTTCCTCGAAGGTAATACTGCGCACAGATACGTCGAGTTCGAAGACCTCATCTCCTTCGAAATCCTCAACGCATTCAACGACAAAATCAGCTTAAAAGACGCCCCTGGTAAAGTCTTCTCTTATCAGGCCTAAGGCATATTGACTGCCAGTCATCCTCAGAAACCGTGCAACGGGAAATGCAGAAGATGCTGACTTTTTGGGTTTGGTTCTGGCGAGCGGACTACTTCAAGAATAGGAATCTTTACTTGGCCAGTAGAAAGAAAAGGAAACAATGATTGTTACAAGCGTCCTAACATTACAGACTGCTCTGCTTTCCAAGCCGTTCTGCTCCAGACTACTCTTTTTTCCAAGCTTCTCTGCTTCCCAAACTTCTCTGCTGGCATGAACAACCATGTCAGAGCACGGAAGCATTCACATTGTCGACTTCTCACGGGCGACGCTGAACTTTCTACTACTGTTAGCTTTGGACTACTGGATGTAAGCGGAATATTGCCTCTTCTTTTTCTCTTGATGCTCCGACCGAGAATAGTTGTACAATTCTGTGAAGATGCTTTGAAGTCTGGAGTAACTGCTAATTCCAGCAGGCTCATTGTCCAAATATGCAGAAATCTGCGCAGTAGACCAGCATGACGAAGCCACAGTCTTGAGGCGAGAGAATCGATTATCAAACTCCTCGAGGCTTACGACCAAAGACTTTGAATTGGAAGTCTCGAAATGTGCTCTGCTGCCACCCCAATCAAAGACGTCCATTAGCTTCGAGCATTCGCGACGCGCCAAAACTGCTGCTGGATCGACACCATACATCTTGTTGAATATGAGCGCATTTTCGGCATGGTTCTCGCACAACATTGCGTCAGCCAGAGCTGCACCGTAGTGAGAACTGAGGTCTGCAAGTGCAATGATATGCTTGTCTTGGGCGGCTTCAGGCTTCAACCATTCGAATCTGCGGTGGCGAACTCTAGTACCGACCCTAGTCAGAGGCTCTAGTCATTGGGATTCTTCTGCAACAGCAGCCTGTGATGAAGTGTTAGAATCTCAACGACGCCTGGAAAATGTGTGTGAAGTACCTTAATCTTATCATCCACGGCCTTGAATATCGCAGCCCATTTCTTGTTCCACTCTGCCTCTGCAACCACGATTGCTTGCTGGCATATCTCTGACGAGGCTTGAAGACCGGAGACAAGAGTCTCTGCGTTCTTTACCGCTTGCTCTTTACGGATTCGAGAGACGATCTTGCCAGCGAGAAGTCCGTTGAGGATATCGATACGGTGTTTCTGTTCCACCATTTCTGTGAGTTGCTGCACAGCATCAAGTGACTTCCGGCCATTCTCAGTCCACACAGCACAGTCTTTATCATACACCTCTGCTCGCAAGTCAGCGCCTTCAATGTCAGCTGAAAGGGTTCCAGGCTCGTGATCTTCCAATCGTGTCTGCATGTATGAGGCAATGCTTTCGAAGATGGAATTGTCATTGTCTAAGATCCAACTGGGACAATCATTTCGAAACTTCTCTTTTGCTGCTGTCAATTCTTCCTCGTCGTGTTGGCAATGTTCTCGCATCTTGGCAAGGTCTTCCTTCAGTTGTTGAATATGGCTTTGTTGTTCGACAACAGCGGTTCTGTTCTCTTCGAGCTCTCGTCTTTGATCACGGACTTCGTCAAAGAGGCTCATTCTTGCCAGTTGCTTTGCATATTCCGCATCGAAATCGAAAACGGTGATTGCTTCCATGACTGGAGAGTCGACTTGGGTCTGGTTTCCGGAAGTTGTGGTTGTCTAGTCCAAACTGGTATTAATTTGTGAAAGGGTGGTAGAAGGAAGATCGGAGTATCACTGAGGCGGCGACTGTGGAAGCTTCAAAATCACGCCATGAGTGGGTAAGCGAGGTTAGCGCCTCCTTTGACTTAGCAATGTTGGAAATTGGTCTAATCTTTGTTGAATAGATGAACAAGCTTAGCTCGTGTTTTGAGGTATGTGCCATGTTCGACAGTGTCTGCTTTGTGTATATTGCGGACGTGCAGGAGGAAGCAGAGCATAGCAATAATGACGGTACCAAAAGGACTGAAGCTTGAAAAAAGAGCCAGGCTATCATGGAACATTGGAGCAGGAGTCCATGCTGGATTCATTCGGGCCAGACCCTTGTCTCCAACCATTCTCCGATCTCCTTGATCACTTTGGTATTCTTCACCTCCGCATCTTGAACAGTCGTCGCATCTCCCAACATCGAGGGAGGCATTCGATCAAAACCATGAACCACGTCAGGAATGAGTAGCCATCTTACACCCTCTTTCTTCACCTCCCATGCAAATCTCTCGTCAACCAGTTCCAGCTCACCTTCTTTGCCAGGCTCCTCTCGTCCACATTTCTGGTCCATCGAAGGCTCTGGACGACCTGCCATCCGAGAAGACATTCGCCATGCATCATGGCAGGATAGATCTAGCTCACAAGCTATGAAGAACATATGAGGAGGTAAAGCGTTTCTGGGAGCAAAGATGGGGCTCAAAAGTGGATCTCGAAGATTTTGTCCGATTGGGATATAACTCCAGTCAAATGTCTTTCCCAGAGGCAGTAGGAAGTCCTTTGCCGTGTTTCGGTTTGGTGATAAAGAAGGTTTATAATACCGCTGAGTTGCTTTGAAGTCTCTGGTGATTGTCCGATCGAGGCCTGGATATACAGGGATTACAGCACGGAAGCCGTCGCTGCCATGCTTTTTGAAGCCGTTCTTCACTCCTTCCAATTGGCATACAGCCAAAGAGAGATTTCCTCCTGCACTGAATCCGGCAATAGCGCATTTACTCTTCTCAATAGGCAAAGAGTCATCGGCAAGGATAGCCAAGATCAAAGCCTCAATGTCATAGATCGCGGCTGGATAAGGGTGTATAGGTGCTTTAGAGTAATTCAATGCAATCACGAGAACATCGTGAGTGTTTGCAAAAGTTCTATTCCATTTGTTGTCATCTGCGGGATCGCCGATGGTGAAGCCACCGCCATGAATAGTAAACAGTGTTGGTAGAGCTGCAGTTGAAGACTTGGCAGAGTAAGTGGCGGGAATGAAGACACTACTTATCATCAGCAACAAGAACTTCAATATCAGAATCAAACTTCGTGAGAGTTCTCTACCTAATCGGGAGACTGGGACGTGTCTTATAGGTCTTGATAGCATCTGGCTTAAATTCAGATGATGCCCATTTACGAAACCAGTTCATCGACCCCACAGCACCCACGATTCCGTAAGCTTGACTGCCTACGCCAAGGCGGGTAAAAAATGGTAATGGGGGCTGTACCTCACGGACATGTTGTTCTCGAGAGAAAGGCATGGTGTATGTTGTGAAGGAACACCACAGGGTTGACGAGTGGGATGAAGTCGATTTAAAGTTGGTGGCGGCATAGGTAGTTCAATGTCTTTGTAAGCATGACATCACAAGACAAAATAGGTATATTGAGAAAACACAAATGTCTTCAACAACCATCCACAGGCAAGCGGGTACTGTGACTGAGTTCCAGTCTGCAAGAACAGCAGTGGGAGAGGATGCTGTAAGCCCGTAAGAAATTTCCGAGTAAGTCCTACGGGTAGTGGAATTGTTTAATCCAGCGAGGTATTAAAAGACGAATTTAATCACTTCCAGGTTTCTTCAGAGATATGTTGGAAGAGCTATGCATTGCCTACAGCTGAAGCATTTAGATGCAACCCTTCATAACGCAAAGCCACGCGAAATCATCCACCAGTAAACATCCCTTCCCTATGCATGAGCAATAACCATTCTCCAGTCAAATCAGCGAAAATCCCATAGGAAACCAATTGATACCCATTTGAGAGGCATAAGCGAAGGAGGTAGGTCAAGTCAAGGAACCCTTAAGCACGGCTGACGTTGCGGCGATCATTATAGCTGGAGCTATTATTAACGCCGGAGCCATAGTTTGGGCGAGACGATTGGCCAATACGAGGAGCGCTGCCGTGATTAAGGCGTGCCTTCTCATGTTCGGATTGCATTACCAAGTAAGACTCGAAGGCCGAAGCATCACTCTTGAGGTCCTCATCACACTTCAACTCAAAGTTTGGCATGATCTTCGCGATGACTTTCTCATAGTTCTCATTGAAAACTTCTGGCTTGCAGGAGCTTCTCATTCGACGCATGTCTTGCTTCCAACTGATTGATAGTTAGTATCGAAACTTGAACAGTGAAAACTTGTCCAGGTCAACTGAACTCGAGGCTAGACTTACCCGAGCATGTTCATCAACATCGAGAAATCACGATGCTCCCAAGCAAAGGCTGCGGTCACACCATACAGGAACTCGAAATCTTCAGTCGGAAGGCGTTGTCTGTCGCAGAACTCCAGATACATGGTAGCATCGGCCACGATCTTAGCCATCTTCCACGCAGTATGACTCTCGAGCTCAATCTCACGATCCATAGGAGTGCCTCTCAAGTATTTCAACTCCCACAGGATGTAACGGGCACGGGTGGCATGTCCAATCCAGTAGAGAGGACCCATCTGCTCTACCTTGGCCTTCAATGCTTGTACTTCTGCAGTAAGCTGAGCTTGAGAAGCAACCGCATCAGCAAAACCACCTAGGGATGTACCGTACTTGTCGCCAAATTCAACCTCAGCAGCACCTAAAGCTTCCTTCAAGTCATCGAGTTGGTTTCGTGCGGCGTCGACTGCATGCTGAGCATCGGCCATTCGGGTATCGGTTGTCTGCTTATCGCGAACGTGGTCCTTGAAGTTCATCTCGTCCTCCATGATCTCGATCTCCTTTTCAACCATGGTTGCCTTCAGCTTCATGATTTCAAGTTCTGCCCTGCGGAGATTGACCTTGTCCTTATCGCCATTGTCGAATTGGACCGCAAGGACGAAGTTCTGCTTGTTTCCCTCCGCATTTCGCAGCTTGTTCTCCAGAGCTTCAAATGCCTTCTTGGCAACCACAAGGCTGTTAACCAGACCCTGACCAACCTCATCAACCTCCATCTCCAGATTCTCAAGATCTCGCAACTTCTCCTCAAGAGTTTGAGCTTGATTGTAGATCTCAACCTCCTTGAGAGCTAAATCGAGCTTGGCCTTGGCCTTCTCCACCTCGAAGTGAGGATCAGCCTTGTTGATGGTAACAAAGGTGCTCTTGGGAGTATTGGTACGGGTTGCCGCAATGGACTCCGAACGCTTGGATAGAGCTGGACCTTGAGCTGGAGGAACAGCCATTCCTGTGGTGGTAGACATGATAGTATGAACTTCGGTTTTCGCGCCGGCGGCTGCGCGTTGCGTGTCAGAAAAGCCATCGAACATGAATCAGAGACGCGTAACTTACTAACAAAGAGTTGATCGTCGAAAGCGAACAGATGGAGACGGCGTTGGGTAGGGTGGGTGTTGGCCAAGCCAAGAGGTGTGTTCAAGGCGCGGTCGATGGTTGCTGAAAGATCTTTGTCAATAAAGAACTTCTCCATGTTGACAAAAAAAAGTATAATTTCTCGGTAACGGTAAATTCTCGGTGTCCGGAAAATTGTTATTGCAGAAGAGAAAATTAAAGAACCTACCGTAAATTGAATTTATGGACAAGAAAAGCGGATCCCACCAGGCACTACCTTAGGCACCGATGGCAACAGTGCCTCGTGAGAGTGAAGCGTTTCGCTTCCTGAAGAGATGTCACTAAAATAGCAGGCGCCGTCAGCTTCTTATCATCCACGAGGTTTATGGACTTTGCAGCGCGTCAACACATACCAGCGAACTGGACCTGATTTCTTGGACGCGTCAAAGGCTTCACGGACTGGTATGGCTGGACTGTAACAAGTAAAGAAACACACGAAAACAACCAGGCACGTTTCGCTGTCCAGTGATAGTCGTCTCTGATTCTTGTTGACAGAAGAAGATGTAGACAATTGGGCGGATGCTTAAGATCGTTCTCGCTTAGCTGCCTGCCGTCATCATCAACGCAAAAGACTGCTGCCCTCCAAAAGAGTAGGTACGATCAAAGAGCAATGGGACGCTAAACCACTTCGGGTCGCGCAACCTTAGCAGGGAGTAGACTATTGTATAGATTTGAATAAGCATAATTTTGCCAGTCCCACCCAGATTGGTAAGTTCATCTCTATTCTAAATAAATATTCTATTCTAATAAATTATAGGTGGGACTCGGGACTGGAACTGGCCACATGGATCTCTGAAAATAAACTGTCTGGGGTTTTTTCTATCTGCCAACCTAACACGACGGGTTTGCTAACGGGTTTGCTATAAGTTTTTTTTGCTTATTTAATCAATTTGTCTAAGTGCTTTTTTTATACTCGCTTAGCACCTCGTCAAGAATCAATATTTTTGATAATTACAATGTCTCGGGAACAGGGAATGCAGTGGTGTTCTTCCACTATGCCTAATTTGATGCCAATGTGAAAGTGATGGCAAGAGACTTTATTGTCTGCGAAGAACGAGAGTATCTGAGGCACTTCCAATACTATCTTGTTCCACCCAATATCCCACTTTCGTTCTTCTTTGAATGTACAGGCCATGGTTTCCTATCCCAAGTAGATGAAACCATCATGAGGTCTTCCTTCGGGCTGCAGGTATTAACTTCTTCTTACTCACCAATGCTTCCCTGATGCAGAACAACTATTACCAACACTACACTTTGCAAGGCCGCAAAGATTGACACGCATAGATTCGAATATGTGCTCAATTAGTATCGAACTTTCTTTTCTTATTGCTCTCCATGCCTTGGGAAGCATTTCTAAGAATCGTATGTTAGTAAGGACCATTGTAATAGCAGGAATAGGCGGACCTTCTTGACTGATTAATCGTTCGATAATGGTTTCGGCTAAGCTCAAGGTGATACGAGTACTCTTGCGCCATCAGATCATACGCAGCTAAGGCTGCAACGTTACTCTCTAGAAACCTTTCAATATCATCGATATCAATGGGATCTTGTGACTCTGAATCTTTGACATAATTTGCCTGTTGTGGAGGGTGTCAGCATTGAATCCTTGAATCTTGGGATAGAGCCTGAGAAAGGCATTATCCCACTTGTCTGACCAAATATGGATGAATAGGAAGAGGAGATAGTGAAAATGTTCACTTACCAAAGGAGAGTTCTCAAACACTTCAGTGAAAGCTCTTTGAAGGGTCCATCGAACACTAATATTAAACATGAACTCTACCATTGAGCCACGCCAGTCTAGGATCTGGATGAACCGAAGGCAATGTCTCAAGCGTAAGACCAGGGTGGATTTAAATCCATAGAATTCTAGAAATCCAGACTAGAGGATGTTAGTTAGTGCTTTCCCAGGGGAACCGGTGAGTTTACCTCTCTAAGAACTCGTTCCTGCGAGCAAGACTTGATTATAAGTGCATCTTCGACAGCATAGCCTCGGTGGGCGACGCTATCACCACGTTCGATGATTGCTCTGCGGAGCACAGGGTCGCCATTGGTTTCCCCATATACCATTCTTCTAGACCGAACGTACTCACCTAGCTTTGCCAACGGCTTCTGGTCGCCTGATTCCTCCCTCAGATCGGCTACTTCCTCCTTCAGTCGGCCTACTTCCGCCCTCAGTTGACCGACTTCGAAGTCGGATGCTGCCTTATCCTCTCGTTGACGTCGATTACTTAAAGCAAGCTCTTTCAACAGCTGGGCAATCGTGTTGTCTTTGTCGTCTCCTGCATGAGTAGGCTGTGTTGCCGCGGCTTTGAATATGTTCTAGTCCATACGAGTATTTTTATTCTGTATATTAAATTTAATTCGTTTATAAGCTATCGTAGAGATTTTAAACGCATAGATTATTAATTAAATCTTTATTAATCATTTCGCAGACAATTCGATGTCTGTTTCTGCTCCTCGCGTTCTCCTTTACGGTTGTCAAGTAGGACATTCTGCAGTTTTGGGGCACTAGCGTATTCATAGCCATATCAAGCTAAATCTGATGCTGCTAGTGTGCAAACACCACCTCTTCCGCCAGCATCGCAACACCATTGGCACCGACTCCTCGTTTCTTCGTGCAGTATTAGGCTGGTCAGCAACTCTATCCTGACGTTATGCCTTCCATTGTCGTGCAATCGCCCGGATATTCAATGGACAACACGATGTCTGTTGTAGCGCAACCTGAGATGTCACTGGGGGAGGCATTAAACTCCTCCAACGAAGCGGCTATTATCGCAAAACTCGAGGAAGAATACTCGAAGACTGCCGCGTTGGTAGAGTTAAAGCACCAACACATCATATTAGTAAAGGTACAACGCCTCTTCATGATACGATGATTTTGCTGACTGTCTAGGCATCGTGCTCATTGAAGAGACGACAAGCCCAATTACTTGACCTGAGTACTGAGTATGTCTTTTCTTGCCGTTACAGATCTCGCCTATGAGGGTTCGGGCTAATTAGCATTTTGAAGCATTTCCGCCGCCGAAGACGATCTCGCCAATGTTGCGCTACGCCACCGTCAGCTGACAGAAGAACAATTGCTAGGCAACAAACCTGTAGATGAACAAGAAGGCGATAGTAAGCTACAGCGATCAGAAAAGTCCGATGACACATCAACCGCCAAAAAGAAGAAGGAGACTCAAAGAAGATCGAAACTCAAAGCAGTTCAGGCAAAGCTGAATCAAGCCATAAAAGAAAAACTTCTGAAGAATCTGACAGGCTAGGCGCACGACCTACAACAAGACTTACAAAAATCGCAAGAGCAGTACTCAAGCGATAAACAGGAGTACGACATGGCTGAGACAGAGTATTGCGTTGAGTATAAGCAGTGGGAGCCACCTTCTGGGTATCCAGTCCGCGAGTCAGCGTCTTCATTGTCCTTCGATGGTAAAACAGACACAGGCGAAAGAAGCAACAAGGATGCTCAAATTAACTTTTTGACACTCAGTCTAGATACTGCCCACAAAAGAGCGGTTCAGGCCGAGAGAGAGTTAACGGCTAATGCACCATTGTACCACGCTGGCACTAACATCAGGAACCGACTCAGTCAGTGGAAATTACCAACTCAGCACCGCGATGATAATATCATCAATTTGGTTCATGACGCCGCTCATAGTAAGTCTATATTGATCCTGTGCAAAAATTGTCCTGTCAGGAGAGCTGTCTCATTTCGAGCGTTCAAAACATTGCCAGTACTTAACATAGCTTCAACTTCTCAGATCCGGTGATACCACAGTACTAATTCGTTGAGCAGACGGTCTTGCACTTGCAGATGCATTGATTATCAGAGGCTGCGTAGAAGGTTCTCGTGAAATGGTAAGCACAATACATGTTTATCTAGGCCAAGTTTGACTGATTATCTATAGGATCGATATCACCAAGAGTATGGCTTCAGTCCAACACTTGCTCTTCATCTCAGAGACTGTTACGACTTCGTGTGTATGCTGGATTGGCGTGGTTCTATGTGGGGTTTCATAAAGCCACATGGTTACGCGGACTCCATATTCGAGGCCACCTTTCAACGTATCATCGTGATATCTCCACTGGTAAATATAGCGTTCCCTTTCACTGGTCAATATCGACGCCAATCGTGCTTCAGAATGGACTTTACGGGGTCAGAGCCTTTAATGGCTATATCGATGGTCGAGCCGTCCAAGATTTCTTCGAAACAAGTGCAGAGGCTAAGGCTCATCTCTTGACTTTGTATAGTGAAATGGAAGCTGAGCGCAAAAGCGATGCACAACGAAGGTTTGTTCATATTTCCTCAGGATTGCGAAATTAACGTTAACATGAATTACAGATGTATTAGGAAGAACGTCGCCCCAAGGTTTTGAATGTCTTGGATGAAGATAGGTAGCTACGACACCCAGCGTGTCACACTGTAAGACTTAATACCCAGTCACATTGTGTCGAGCCTTCACTTGAGCATGAAGATTGTGTGATTTGTGAGAGTTCTGTATACAACTACCTCTAAGACACTGGTCTTCCCAAGCGGGATGCCTAATTTACCATCCCAGATGAAAAGCTGGAGTGCAATAATATCTACACTTCTTTCCGGAGTGAGCCCTACTCTCCCCTTCCGAATTTGTAAATGTATTGAGAATATTGCACGTTTGTGGTATGATACATGGCGTGTCAGACAAGATAAGATTGAAGTCATTTGACGAACTTCTCAACAGAATTAACATGACGCGGAAACGAAAGGACTGTAGCTGAAAGGTGTTTTCCTCGAGGAAAAATGGTCACACCTAAAGCACCCTCTCCCACCAAGAACAGAATAGGGGCCGCGTTGTAGTGATGCTATATTTATTGATTACGACGATCATTTGGGGCAAGAACTTACGGCCACGGCCCCTGAATACCCTCAGACAAGCGATAGTGGCTAACCGTACGTTCCAGATGCTGACAGATTCAATGAGCATGCCGCCACACACGATTTGAACGTCTAGCCAATGGACGGGTCGCACACAGACCAATGGCAAGCATTTTCCTATGTGCTCGGATTTCGGCCCCGCACGAGACGCATCAAAAGCCAAACTCAGCCTCCTTTCAAAGGATCTGGCGGTAAGCGCTTGCAGTGAGGTGCATTCTGGGCTGAAGCGCACTAAACACCGACTGGCCCCGCTAAAATAAAATCCCTGCTAGATAAATCCCAAGAAGCGGGATGTCAACCGAAATCAAGGAAATCATGGATTGGAGAAGGGCTGGCTGGGGCAACTTTGGAAAGTATGGCTCTGAACATTTGCTACCTTGTGCATCGTGGCAAGGATTTGTTGAGACTAAAGCTTGCATTGCATGCTTCAGCTGCGTACCTAGGTATAAGACGTGAATCCCTCTTCGAAATTCCCATCCAGGTTACTGAATTCCAAGACACAGTCAGGTATCTACGGAATCGTATATTTCTTGAATAGATCCTCTCAATAACGTTGTTCAGCACCTTCTCATAATGTACGCGGTACTTTTGAACATCGGGCTTCTCGGCCTTGCTTCATTTGGCCTTGGAGCCACGATCCGCCTCGAATCTCGGTCAATCAACACTACGAACCCAGCGTATAACAAAACTTTGACAGAAGAACTGGAGCTCGCTCCGACAGTCGTCGATCGCTTTACGATCCTGAAGAACCAGGGACCATCAGATGCGTACTTCAAATACAACTTCAACTTGGCCGTGAACCCCAGTCCAGGTGGAGGCACTGGCCGTGGTGGATCTGGCGTACTTGCCAACCGCAAGAACTTTCCAGCACTTATTGGTCTTGGAGTTGCTGCTTCAGTTGGATTTATGAACCCCTGCGGCATGAACACGCCCCACACCCATCCACGAGCCACAGAATTCTTGACCATTGCCTCGGGAGGGAATGTAAAGACAGGATTCATTCAGGAGGAGGGTGAGGACACTGAACTCACGACCGTCCTCGACCAATACGAAGGAGCAATTTTCCCAATGGGGAGTATTCATTACGAATTCAATGACAACTGTGAACCTGCAGTGTTCATTGCGGCATTTGGTAGTGATGATCCAGGGTTGAGTCGCACAGCACAGAACTTCTTCGGATTGAATCCTGATATCGTGGATGCTGATCTTGGCTTTCCAACCTTCTTGGACCACACCAACATTGCACAATTCGCGACTACGATCCCACCTGCGTTCGCTCTTGGGGCAAGGTCTTGCTTGGATCGATGTGGGATCAAGTACTAGTATAAGTCAGCTATTGCATGTATACATAGTTCAATCAAGAAGCTCCATTGATCAGCATGAACTGAAATGCTTCACGTCCTCTTGAGCACTTGATTGATTTGCTGACAGTCTCACAAATTGCTAGAATTTGCAGTCTGGATCACTCAATCAAAAACAAGTTCGTGAGCCGTGATAATTATAGGGCTTCAATTGTGCCTGGTTCCATCGCACACATTCGTCAAAGGTGACTCCTGATCCGCCGAAGACATCAAGAGCACTACCAATTGTTAAGTCGACCCGGCCATTGCTCAACAGCTTGACATGGTCTAAGTCTTGGAGATTTCTCCCTCCGCCTGCATATGTTACCGGTATACTGCACCATTGTGCCAGCTTCTCGACCAACTCCTCGTCGATGCCTTTCTGGAGACCTTCATTGTCGGCTGCATGGATCAGAAACTCTGAGCAGTAGGGTTCGAGGGATTTGATGGATGCTAAAGACGTCAATTTCGTTCTTGACTTCAGCTCGCGGGGATTCTTACCTTCATTTACTTCCATGTCCGTGATGGTCTGCCATTTGTTCATTGCGACGAACCAAGTATTGTCCTTTCGCCGGCAGCTAAGATCAATGACAAGCTTCTCCTTGTCGCCTCCGAGAGCTTTGAGGACAGAATGGAGACGCTCTTGTGAGAACTTGCCAGACGGAAAGAGGAAAGAGGTTATTATGACCTACTACTGAAGTTAGCAGATATCCTAGAGGACCCTGGATTTCGAACATACCCTTTCAGCACCCCATTCAATCCATTGCCTTGCATTCTCATCCGTGATACCACCTCCAATCTGCAGCCCGTCTCTCCACTCCAATAATGCCTCTCTGGCAGCCTTTTCATTGCCTGGTCCCAGCATGATGACATGCGCACCAGCTAACCCATTGTCCTTGTAGAGCTTCGCGAAATGGCTGGCGGGTAACTTGGAGATATAATTCGTTTTGAGGTCAGCCGAAGCAGTAGTCAACGTACCACCAACAATCTGCTTGACTTGTCCGGAGTGTAAGTCAATGCAAGGTCTGAATTTCGTCATCTTCAGTAACTGTAAGTGTTGTGGGAAGTGTTATGGCGGGGCAAATTTTAAAGTTGGTTGTGAAGGCGGTGTATCGCGGCAGAACTTACTGATGCTTGAAATATTTTGATGCTTCATTCAATCATTCCTCCACACACAACAATGGCACCGACTCTTGGGAAGCGAAAGCGAGAAGTTGCAAATTTGTCAAACAAATCTCCACGTATATCGAGTGATGAACGAGAAGAGACCGAGCTGGATGCGCAAGAAATATTTCGCCGTCATTTCGAGGCACAATTTCAACCATTACCTATCATTCCGAAACCGAAGACTGTAGTAGAGGAACTCGATGATGAACAAGACGAGCAGTCTGACTGGGATGGAATCTCTGATGGTGATGAAAACGTGGTACAGGTGGTAGAGCATACAGATACGCAGTTGCGGATATCAGCCATGTCGAAAGAAGAGCTCAAAGCATTCATGGTATTTTCTGCAGCTGAGAAATCGGCCCTCTACTAACATGTATAGACTTCTAAACCTCCTTCCAGCAATCCAGGACAGTCTCTAATACGAGATAAACCCGGTTTGGTCGAAGACGACGATCCGTCCGAAGCAGCCAACCTGAAGAAAGACCTCGCATTGCAACGGCTGCTTGCAGAGTCCCACCTCCTCGAATCCTCAAAGAACCCAACACTCAACGGAACTAATCGCCATAAAGCAACCGAATTACGCTTACAAGCATTGGGATCGAAAATGTCTATTTTGAAGCAAGAGAAAATGCCAATGTCCCACAGAAGAGGAATCATTGCGAAGCAGACCGAAAAAGAAGAGAAGAGACGGAGAGAAGCGAGGGAGAATGGGATCATTTTGGAGAAGGCAAAGATGAAGAAGAACACTGATGGCAAGAGGGACAGAGGGGTTGGAGGACCTGGCATTGGGAAATTCTCTGGTGGTACATTGAACTTAAGCAAGAAGGATATCTTTAACATCGAAGGCCCAAGGAGAAGCTCGAGCACACGCGGCGGAAGGGGAGGCGGACGGGGTAGAGGCAAGCGTGGTCGGTGAAATATCGATGAACAATTTCTACCAAGCATCACAAAAACACGAAGACCAGACTCCGGGGATCTTTGAAATCATCAGTCCTCGTAAGCAAGCAAAGACTTCAAAGATAGGAGGACTATCCGTGCCTGGATAGTGCCCAGATATCAGTCCAAAACACTCAATTGACAAACCTCTCGATACCTACTTCCACTCATGAGAACTTCAAAGTTGCGTTCTTGAAAGGAATCAACGCCAGGACCACAGCTTGCATATAATAGACCTCCCTCCCGATCACATCTCCAGTCAGCAAACCAACACTCCCATTAGCCTGCTTCGAATTGCTTCTCCCAAATACCGCATCATCAGCATGTCCCAACTCCATTCCCCCACGCACTAGCCTTGCCACCTCCTCAGGCTGATAGAACGTCGCCGTCCTGGCTTTCCCAGTCTTCCCATCCTCGCGGCCGATCACGACCACCCAAGCAAATGACTGAAGACTGCCTGCTGTTTGCTCCAACGTGTCTTCCACACCACCTTCGATGCCGACCCAGAAGTCTGCTGCTGGTTCTTGTGTTCGAGCATTCTGAGCTCTGTTGAGAGCGCCTTGGAGAGTTTCACGGTTGCTCCGGTACACCTGACGGGACAGTGATCCCTTCTGTCGTGTAGATGGTGTTTGGGAACATGGCTTGAAATCCCCCAAGCGCTGCAGCGATCTTGACAGGGTTTTTAGAAGCTACAACAATCTTTTTCGGGGTAGTTGTGGACTCCATTTTGGTAAGTTGTTAGAATTTGGGAGGATTTGGAAAATTTGTGGTCAGTCAAAGTGAGGTTTGCGAATGCATGCTTAGTCACTCCAATTACCAGGGCAACAACTTTCCTTCAGTCTTACAAAAGCCTTTATCACGCATCCAAGTGGAACAATCCTTATTCGTGACCTTGAAAATGTATGTTCCAGCTCTCTGATCTTCTTTTTTTCCCCTCCTACGACCTTCCAGTCGAAACCAAGTCCAGTGAGGCTAAAACATGCTAGCTTGGCCACCAGTCCAAACGCCGATTTTCGCACTATAAATGTCGTCTTGCTCAACATTCGAACCACTTTACTAATCCCCGATCCAGTGTCATCGCCTGTATGCTACCGTCAGACTTTATGCGCAATTCCAAACCACTACCTCCAGCCCAAGCGCAAGAACATGGATACAGCACGCCCATCTATCTCTACTGAGGCACCGGAACCGGATTCGCCTTCTCAAACATCAAAGCCAAAAGCCGATACTCCTGCGATGTTAGAAGACTTGGGGATTCTCACACCCGAAGAAATCGCAGATGTGAGAAGACTAATGAAGCGCGATTCCCTTGCCAGTGATCGCCACAGCTACTGGCTCCAAGCCCAATTTTGGTGGTCGCCTTCCTGGTCGACATGGGGCTCCGATGGATCTCGAATGATTCAAGCAGAGTTTATCAAGAGCGGGTCGCCTTGTATAACCAAGGGCATAGGAAATGAAGTGATGATGTGCAACAAAGCCACCGCCTTTTATTGGATGGAATCAGCACAAACCATCCCTCGTGATGGTAACGGACTTGCCATACTGGGCAGTATCTTCAAATACTGGACAGAGGCTCTCGGCAGGCAGCCATATGTTCAGCTCCACGATTTCTTTGCTGCTCCCATAAGCGTTAAGGCCAAAAGTGCGACAACTATTCCAGAGATATTGTACGGACACAGGTGTATATACGCTCAAGCCCAAGAGCTTTTGAGAAGCCCGAGAATGGGAAAAGAGATTGATTCGCGGTATTTCAGGCTTCATCCTCTCTTCGAGGCATTGATCACTGTATTCGATGAGTACATATATGTCGAAGAGGCTATGGAAAGGCAGGTAGATGGATTTCGTCACTACGATAATGTTGCCAAGCACCAGAGCATCCTCTTGATTCGCACTGGAAAAGAAGACAAGCTTAGTGCACCAATCAGTTTCGAGACTTTGAAGCATGAGGCCTTGCCTTTAGCAAGGGATGAAGACCTAAATTCCATCGACATCATCCGTGTACCTCTACGGACCGGCGTTCGCTTTGTCGCTAATCTGCTGCTTCACGAAGATGCTGCACACCCAGAGTCGACTTTGTCCAATACTGCTGAGGCACCGGACTCTCCATTCGCAGAGTGGGATGCAAAGTGGGAGAAAAATTCCAGAAGAGAAGAAGCCAGTAAGATAGGGTGGGCAAGCAAGAGTGGTAAGCTATCCACTGCTTCGACATGCACGGAAGTGAAGAAAGCATTGCTTAGCCATGCATTGGCAGAAGACCCTGATTGTGAACCGGTATTCGAATTTAGTTTCAATTGGGTGTGAAAATGGCTATGGCATCGCTACGACCACGCTTTCTCTCCCCTGCTTGTGATCTTGCTACCCGTCGTGTTCCAAATATGCAATGCACTGCTACTTTCCAAGCAAAGAATCCAGATTTAAGTCTCGAACCTGTCGAACATTAACAAAGCTGTGCTGTAATGTTTTCCCCCATCTACTCCTTATTGTTCCTATGCGAGACAGTACAAACTAACACTTCCCAGATGACACCGAATATTATATTCTGTTCTTCGAGGTACCAAACACCTACTTGACTACAATCACAACCTACAGAACGCTTTTCGTGCACTCCACGTGTACTCTCCAGCTTCTGTCCCAAATCTCAAGTCATCAAGAAGGCATGTCACTTTTGATTGTAGTAACTCCAAAGGATATGGTCTGAGCTACTGAACAACCCCTTTGCTAGAGCAGATGATGAGCTGAATGGGATCTTTGTGTCTATGGCGAGATGAATATATTAGTGTGTGCCCGTTCCGAAGATGTTCATTCTGTGTCTCGGTAGCGTGCAGATCGGAACCGGCCCATACTATCTGCCTTTTAGCCATAAGATAGTCATGATCTGGTCGGTGCACGCCAAAGATGACGGATTAACAACCATGGCTGTTCAGACGAGAGAAATGTGAGCATTCGACTTGGTGTATTGGTATCAGAGTGACAACGAAACTGGCTGTCAGGATGTTCGTGAGAATAACATACATACTTCCAAGAAGATCACCTGGAGGTCCCATTAGGTCGACAAAGTAGGAAGTGGAGTAGGAGTTCAAGGCTGTTTGTCATAAGGCTTTCCCAAGATACCGCCGATGGAGGCAGCGGTTATATGAACCATGCATTTCATCACGAACAGCAAATATAGCTAATACAAACAGAGCGACCTAGACGACCTAAATCCACTAAATCAAGTGCAGATCATGTAAACTTAGCCACTTCAAGACCCAGTAGGCAATTGATTTCTTTCATGCAAGTATTTCACCTCAGAGAAACTGTATCAGGTGCAAATCATAACGGCTCAGGAGATAGGCAGAAGGAATTTCCATTCGGGATATGTAAGGAATTCTCTCAAATCGTTCCTTGCACCAAGAGTCAACAGCCTGCGAGGATGCTCTTGATTCCTCTTTGGGATTGTGCGGCATATCCTCATCCATTCCCTCCGTATATCGCGCACACAATATCGCCTATCACGCAAGTCGTACACTTCTTGCTCGCCCAATAGCAGTCTCTTGCATATCCTACAAACCCTCCTTCCACATCGTGTCAGCTTCCACGGTAAACTTTGCCCAATCTCGAATCGAAGGCTAGCCAAGGTTTGAAGGAACTCGAGCCTCCATTCTTCTCGAGTGACTACGACCTTTACCGTTCCGGACTACTCGTTCAGTTATTTGTCTTACTTCTTCTAGACTCACTTCCAGATTGGCATCGGTATCGAGCGCAGCGAACAAGTCAGATGTATTCGCCTGCTTGAAAATGCGAACGCAAGCTTGCCTGTGAACACTCAGTGTGCTGTGTAGTAAGATGTCTGATGGTGCAGTAAGGGTCGTTGGAGATGAGAGTGCTATAGTCGCCTCGAGGTTCATATACTGGAGTAACTTCGAAGAAGACTCGCACAACTGCATGATGAGCTCCAAGTTGTGGTCCGGGTTGTCCGGGTGGTCAACAGAGCTACCGTACAACTCTTTAAAGACTAACTTGTTGACTCTTTCGAAGGCAGTCTCTGCCATGCGAGGGTCCGGGAGCGGTTGCTCACTCTTCATGTAACCCAGCTTGAACATTGCAAGGTCGGCGAAATAGTCTCCTCGGTGTGCTGCTCGATTACCAGCCTCGACCATAGCCTCATTTGCTTGTCCGTGGCCTCTTAGTTCTTTTGTTCGCTCGTACAATCGTCGTCGCACGAGGGCAGCGTTCTTCACAAGAGGATCTTGTAGCTTGACTTTCTCCTTCAGGGTCCCATCCTCCAATTCAAGAGTATTTTTATCCAGCTTCAGGGTTTCTTCTCTTACCCCCAGTTCTCGATTTCGTGACACCAGTGCACTCTTCTCTTCCCTCAATTGGTTGACTTGCAGCTTCAAAGAAGCGTTCTCTTCAATTAGCGCTTGGGTGATACGGCTGATGTCGGCTTGGAGAGCCATAAGCTGTTGTTGTCTTGGGTCTTCCATGGTGCTCCGTACTTTGGAAAGCTCTCGTCTTCTACCGAATCTGGTTTACGTTTTAGAAAGAATGAACATTCAGAAGGAGCGATAAATTTACTTACGCAGTGATTGTAATAGTACACGTTGAAGTGGACGTGCCACCAGCAATACAGATAGCGGTTTTTGTGGTCGAGGTTCCTGGAGATGTTGTTGTAAATCCTAGGTCGAGGCTGTGATGGAGGCCACGATCTTGCAGCTGAAAATTCCGACTTCAAGTTTGGCGAAGCCGGCTCGTTTCGAGTCTTACTTGATTTGGACTATCGTGGAACTTAACGTTATCAAACAGCGATCTCCCACTCCTCGATCGTGGTCCTCTTCCTTCTTTCAACGGGCAACGATCCACGACTACCTACAATTGTCAGACAAGAATCATCCTCCCACTGAATCCTACCCAACCTCGTCAAGATTGTGAGGATCTGCTATCGAAATGGATCCTTTGCCATTATTGAGCCAGCTCGAGCAGCCTGCTTCAACTTCAAGCTATGAAGGAACAGATCTGGTAAGATAAGATCTATTCTGTTTATAAAGTCCCACAATCCTGCAAGAACTGACCATTGGATTCAGGAGGAGAAAGACATCAATGAGATCGCATCTCAAGAGTCCACGCTTCTTGATTCGAATACCACGGCATCCACGAGTAGCATCTCAAGTCAAGAGCCAGCCCTCGAGATTGCCAACCTCCGAGCTCAAGTTGCCCAAAAGGAGTTGAACCTTAAAAAGGCCTCTCTTCGTATCATTGACCTTCAGGCTGAAGTAGAAGTCCTCGAGCGAGTATCTGAGTCCCAAGAATCCGAAAACGGAGAGTTGCGCAATCAACTTTCAAAAGAACAATCAGAGCATTCAAAGTCTAAGGACCTCTTGGCGAAGTTTGGCAAAGTAGGCGATGCTCTTGCGAAGGTTCGGATTGGCTGGATCTCAAATTGTGTGCAGTACGACACTGGCAAATGTATTGCAAAGCTTTACGGCGTCCCCGACATCAAGCATAATCGGGCAGCAATCAAGGCACGCAACATGATTACCCATGATGGTCAATGGGAGTTGGACAACTTGCTCGGCGAGCTAAAACTCCTCCCGCCACATATCGTCGAATGGTTTCCCGTGGTTTACGGCAGCACTTTGGGACAAAAGTTCAGCCCTCTTGGCATCAAGGTTCGCAACATGAATGGTTCTATGATCAGTTATCATGCGGGAAGTTTCTTGAGCTCTGATAAGGACGACGATTCTCATTTCAGCGAAGCCTGGAAAGCTTTTTGGAGACTCTACGAAGCTGCTAAAAAGATTTATGGAAACGACCATAAAGCTATTGAAAGATATCTGCGCGAAAAGACGAACGCTCTTGCACTTCTGGACGCAATGAGTAGCGTCAAGCACAGAAGACTTCAGACACTTATTCTGTCTCGTCGCGGAAAGCGACCAGTTACGAGAACATAATCGATCGACTGCGGAAACTTTCACACATTCTTCTCAGGTACGCAGACAATTGCATAAGCATTTTGAATCCTAGCTAACTCAGCTCAAAGATGTCTAGAATGATATGAGGACAATGAGAGAAAGCATGGAGGATGTTTAGCTTCGAGGTTTAGGAACGGGGTCTGGTCAACAGGGCGATTTCTTTTGTCAGGGGCTTTAGCCGTCAAAGGACACACTTCTATGTGCCCGAAAAACTCAATCCAACCAAATCACAGTCAAGAAAATACATGACCAATAAAAAATTTTTGTGTAGCTCTTCAAGATTTATGATGGTGATGACACTAGACCACTTACTTTCTCGAAGGCCTCAGTGAGCGTCATGGAGACTCGTCCTGGATGCCTCCTCTCTGGGGATAAGGTGCTCAAGTCGGATTGTTGAGAGGTAAAGGGGGCAGTTTCTCAGCTATAGTAAAATTATTCCGAGTGATTATCATTACCCAACTAGTCATACTGATGAGTTGACTGTTCTTTTACATGATTACTGTGAGTATTCCTTGAACCATAGGCGAATCTCATGTGAAAAGTTAGTGTCATTATCGGCCCGGAAATTTACAGTGAAACTATGGCAAATATAGTTAACCACGACAGTTTATCGGTAATGGTCATCACTCAACCAGCCGGAAACTGCAATTAAGGCTGTAATATCCTTTGCCACTCATGCTAGGCACAAACGCTTAATGTTGTTTTGAGAGTACTGGGCTCCGCTACAACAATGAGTACTTAAGAAGTCTAGCTCAATTCTACAATGAATTCTCTTGCAAAAATGAAGGAAATGATTAAAAACTATGTTATTCTTGCAAGTCAAGAGCTCAACTTCAAAATTGCGCTCTCCTTCACCCAACTGCAAGAGGTTTAGCTTCTGATATTACCTTCGCTTAGCTTAGCCTTCTCCTAGGCATCTTGCTCAGCACCTACCCCACCTTCTCCTTCTACCTTGCCTTACCCATCTTCTTTCCGACTCTTTCCTCAACCTCAAAAGCTTCGACCTTGAGAACAAACAGTACTGGCTTTGCGACAATGGCTACGAGCAAGAGCTACCTTAAGATTAGCAATGAGGTTGATACCTTGAAGCCTCAATTGCTATCTTCCTTCAATGACTTGAACAAGATCGACTTCAATTCACTTGATGCCGAAATCAATTCTCATTCCGATGGCTTGCTTATGAAGCACAACGAGTCTCTAGCTAAGGAGAAGAAGGCAAGTTACTCACCGTTTGTGTATGTTCAGATCTACTTACGAATACTAAACAGCAACGTCAAGACACGAAGTCCATTGATTGTGAGGCTCTTGGAAGTGATGCTGAATCTGACGACGATGAGGCTCTCGAGAAGGCTGTCGAAACTGCGGAGAAGCTCTGGCAATCAAAGCTTGCTGCACGAAAGGAGAAGAAGCTTGTGGAGCTTTTCAAGGAAGCATTTAAGAAGGAGAGAGAGAGCGTTAAGTCTTTCATGGTATGTGACTCTCTTGAAAACCAAAAAGAATACGATGCTGATTCTGGTCAGGATGTTGCTTCTCAGATTCTTGCCGCTCTCGATACCGGCATCGGCGATTGTCAAGTCGATGTCGATATATCTGCGGTCGACCTTCCCACTGCGATGCCCGACACAAACAAGTCCTCAGGGGTTTCTGGCAGCGAAGACAAGGTTGCGAGCTGTGTCACAGTACAAATTGAAGTCAGCTCCGACACCGCTGTTGGAATCACCGCTGTTACGCCTCTGGCTCTCACACCGGAAGACAAGGATACCAGAGACGACCAAGTCGAGGATACAAATGGAAACATTACCGCATCCCCCGTTCTTGTCGAGTTGTCCAAGCAATCCGGGGCCATTAGAATTGTTCACCATGACGAGGCAGCGGTACAACAGCTTGCCAGTGCTATTGCCGACGCCAAGAAGCATAATCTGCGAGCTGAAAAGCTGGAGAACGATTTGACCAACTTCAAGTCCAAGGTAAAGGCTGCTTTTGAGGAGGTTGTCTCGACTTCGGTGGCACACAAGGAAGCCGTCATGGAGAGCAAAGAAGTCCTCTTGGCGAAGAAGCTCAAGGATCGGTACATTGCCGAGCAAGTCATGACCATTCCCGAAGTTCTTGCCATCCTCCCGACTCGAGATGATCATGGTGGAAAAGGCGGCGTTGTCATTCGCGAGATCCTCAAGCTGCACCGACGTATGAAGGAATTGGACCACGAATACAAGACTTTGAAGGACAAGAACCTCGATCTCGACGCATTGTCTGCTGCACTTGAGGCTGTCAAAAAGGAGAATACTACAGCCAAGACTGCTGTTGCCAAGCTAAAGCGCGAGCTTGAAGAGAAGGATCCACTCTTCCAAGTCGGTGTTGCAGTTCGTAGAGGATTTCTTGAAGCCGTGAAGCGAACTTGGGTTAATGGTGACATGAGAGTTGTCCGAGGTGATCCCGACAAGTACTTGATCATTGCTAAGAATGACGCTGTTCACCGTGGCAACTACCTTGCTGACAGAGATTTGTGGGTTGGTGGGTACTTGAAGACAAAGGAGGAACTCGCTGACTTCGAATACGTCTACCATGTTGCCCTCAACCCTAAGGGTATCCCTTTCCCCAAGTTCATCTCCCTATACAACATGTGGGGTTCTATGGTTGCCTGTTACTTCAAGACCGCATACACCCACGACAAGTCGAAGGATGAAGCTTTCGAGCGGGCTTACCTCGAGATTCGAGCTCTGTGGACCAAGTACTCCAAGGGAGTTGAGGCCAAGGAGGCACATGAGAAATTGAGTGCTTGTGCCTTGGCTGCTGGTAAGTTCCATCGAATGAACTCCATTCTAGAGGATACAGCCCATAAGGAGCGAAACCGCTTGCGCCCAGGCAGCAATTGATTACACGAAAGGGAGATTTGGTGCCATTAGTGGTCAATCACTTGCTTTTGACTGTAGTTTGGAGAGCTTAGATCAAGATATGGTGCATCGAATGAGGTGCTCGGTCATATCGTTTTGAGCTTTGAGCAGCTATGGTCTCTTAGATAGCCATGACAATGAACGCATAGGGAGCATCACGCTTTCTGCTAGGCAACTGTAGAGGTGACTAATATCGAGCTCAATGCCATGCATAATCGTTCCCTCCAAGTGACTCCAATGAAAACACAACCCAGAAGTAAGCCATTGTACTAGTCGGAGTATAAGATATATCACTTTAGGTCTTCACAGTCTTAAGGAAAATTCTTGAGAAATGAAGCTCGTTTATAATTGAGATGCAAGATCTTAGGTGGCTCTTACACTTCTAAGGCAGCTCTCTCATGATTTCAGTTTAGTAGTCCACATATTTGAATCTGCCATTCTGTGTTGCCCACTAATTCTGTAGCGATAGTGTCTTCAAATCCCCAATTCTTAGTGTAATTCTAGGTCTAATCACTGTGAAGATTGACTTCTTATGATCCAATCCATCATCTTCTTACAAGGATACATCAAAGATGTGATTTGGTCATCTTTACCGACATCTTCTAACTCATTATTTCTTCTTCCAGTACCTTTAACCCTTGAACCCCACAACCTCCACAGCCCCCACTACCCCTTTCCAAACCTCGGCTAAAGTCTTGGCATGTCCCACCACTCCTGAAGCGATGACCAAATCAGCCCCCCTCCGTCAAGGGCTCATACTCTGCACAAAATCTCTATCTCGCAACATTCCATCTAATTCTCCATTGCCGAGTATCTGCGTTCCTCGATGATTCTGGGCTTGGGTCTAACATAGAGAAGATGCTTAGTTGTCCCAGCACTAGCTACATCACCGCCCCCAACACTTTTTCCATCTCTGCTAACCATGATTTGATTAACCCCTTTCCCCTACGCATGTCCTCACATCCTCATGAGTATCAACATTTTATATCACTCTTCCAAAACTCTCTGAAAATATGCATCAGCTCATCCGCATTCTATTCCTTAGGCGATGAATTAAAACTCTGATAAACCGGCACTACTCTAAGACTTCTGAATAAGTTACTAAACTAATTCTTCTTCCTCTATTTTGGTATCAAAGAGACATTCAATTTTATGTAAAGTCCTATTACAAGCAAAGTATAGTAACATGTGACACAGATTCATCTACCCAAGTACGGTTTTCTCTTTGAAGAAAGAAATTGTTTTGATCATCTATCCTTTGCAACAAGAAGTTTTAGAAAGCAAAGTAGTTTGATAGCAACAAACAACCACAAAAAAGAAGAAACGAAAGAACCCACCGACTCTGATCTCCCTAAAAATCTATAATAACTAGAGATATAGAATTCAAGGAAGAGTAATAAGTATTCAAATTTTACAATAAAGGTCTATACTAAATTTGCACATCAAGGATATTTAAAGGATGCAAATAAAGAAAAACTAGTATTAAGCATATCTAGGTTTAAAATAATACTTATAAAATCTATAAGTCCCAGGATATTTAAAGCTATCTTTATGCAGAATATTCGAATTTTGATCCCTTTAACATATTACGTTGAAAGGCACTATAGAATCCTAGGACACTTAAAAAAGACATCTATATAAACTAAGTTAATCATTAATTTCCACAACGTAAAGTGCGCATAAGCACAATATAATCCTAGGAAATCTAGAGAAAACCAATAGAAATTACCTTAAATACTAATTTCAAATACGGCAGAATCTTAGGACATCCAAGAAATTCCACCTTTTACAAAAATTCCTCAACCCTAGATTCCTAAATCACTCCCCACAACCATTCCACAACCTACGTATAATCAGAATTATCAATCCTTTTTCACATTTCTAGACTTCTTCAGCTAAAAACCACATGCACAATCACGTCCACAATCACAAACACGAAAAAAACACAAATTCACACACAAAAGAACGAACAATGAATTCACACAAACACCACCCACCCCGTCTAAACGCCCCCACCCCACCCCCCTACTATACAATATCTACAAAACTCCACAACAAACTCGTAACATCATTACACCCACCCCCAATCTCGCACCCCAAACCAGACACGCACCCACCCCACCCCACCACCCTACATCCCCTCCAAATCCACTACACTCTTCAGCAGAGTGTAGATCCACCCACAATCCCCCTGCCTCCCACTCTGGAAGCACCACTTCTCCGTCCGCCCGCTGACCCCGCCGTACGTGGGCATGATGCCCACCCGGCCCCGCTCGTCCACGATGTCCCGCCAGATCGTGACAAAGATCCCCGTGTTCCCGCCTCTGCTGAAGGCGTCCGCTCCCAGCACCTCATCGATGATGACCCGTCCGCGGTGGGACTTGCCCACCGGCTTCAGGGTCACCAGGATGTGCTTCTTCTTCCCGTGATCGAGAGAAGAAGCCTGGTGTTGTCCGGGCTGGGGGTCGGATACCGACAGCAGGGCTTGTCCGTGCGGGGCCCAGTTGTGCCGCACCCGCGAGTACAGCAGGATTGGGATATCTTTGGTCCCCATGGTGGCGGACCGCGAGCCCCAGAAGCTGGTCGAAGGAGCCTGGCTCCCGCCAGGGGTGTCCGGAGGACTGACATTGGAGAAACCAGACGAGCTGGTCGGAGCAGAGGATCCTGCAGTGCCACCAGGGACCCGAGAGACTGAGGACTTTCCAATATTGAAAAGTCCGCCTCCGCGGAATCGCTTGAGAGGTGAGGAGCTGGTTGAATCTCCCACACTTGCTGGTGCACCGATCTCTGGCTCCGCTCCGTCCCGGCGGAAGCTTCTCTTTCTGAACAGCCAACCACGGCGGCGCTCGGCGGCGGCGGGCTCCTTCGGACCGAAATCATTGAACATCCGCTCCTGTGAAAGTGCGATCCACTTTTTGTTCTTTGTGGACGCATATTTGACTGTAGCGTAGAATCTTCGGGCATCGAGCGGCGTTAAATGTCGGTACTGGATATGATTAACCTTCTGGAACCGAGATCTAGTAGCCATTTGCGAACGGACTTGGACGTCGATTGCGTTGCTGGAATAGATTGGGACATTTGGAGTGAGGTCTTGGCAAACAAGAGGATTCTTGACAGCAGCTTCCGCAGTGATGAGAGATGTAGTTGAAGCATCGAAGTCGTCTCGTCCAAGTCCAGCATAATGATTCTCGGCCTCGTAAGTGTCGATCCATCCAGGTCCAACTGTTACTTTGCAGGGCACTGTATGAATATCCTCCCATTTATTTCCGTTCCAATAGGTGACCATGGCCATGAATGTCTGAGGCTCCATTGATACCGGTTGCTCAGGTCTCTGGTATGGTGCTTGAGAAGCAGAGTTCGAAGGCGCAAGAGAGCCGTTTGGAAGACTGTACAGAGAACCAGAGGGAGAAACTTGTCGTCGACCGTAGATCGCACTTTCAGCTGGGAGCGAGCCTGGCATGTCGTCGACTTCTGCTCGTTCAAGTGGATCAAGTTCATCGAGAGAATCGTCAGAAGTGGAATAGTCATCAGATGAGGTAGATAGGTCTTCGCCAGAAGAGGCTCCAGATGCAGCAGAGGGTTGGTATTCGTGTTTGAGAGGTGAGGATCCGCGTCGATTCTTTGCCTTTGGTGTAGCGCTGTCAATAGCAGGGATGTTCTTCAATGTGGGAGGTGTGACCGGGCTTCGATGAGCAGGTGGAGGAGGTGCGCCATCATCTCGTGGAGTGGTAGGACGGCTCTTGGACATAGTATCTGGATCAGGTCTCATAGACTCCTTCAATGGTGTGCTGCTGTTCTCGACTCTTGGCTTTCGTAGCTTTGGGATTTGGAGCATGCCATCCATTTCTTCAGTTGTCTCGTTCTTAGCTTGATATATGTAGCCACTCTTCTCATGTTTCTCATCCATAGCTTCCTCTACTCGTCGTTCTTTGTCGGGAAGTGGTAGAGCACCAGTCATCACCATATCCATTTTGGAATCCAGCTCAGTAAAAGGGCATGTAACATTGTCATAAGGCCGACCAGCAGGGCTAGGTTCTGGCTTGAATCTTCGCAGCTTCCCGTGGCCAGCGCGGGCCAAAGCATCGTTGAGGTCTTTAAGGTCGTAGACATGATCATCGCTGAGAGGCTTGATTATATTTCCGAGTTTCTTCCTGGCATTTGTCATAGGTCCGTGAGGCTCAGACTTCGGTGGTGGCAAATCAGGTGAGGGTGGTTCTTCAATATCCTGCTTCGTAGCGCTAGCTTCTTCATACTCGCGGCGACGGCGTTCTCCAATGGGTGGCTCTTCTGGGACTTTTTTCTTGAGGGTACCAACAACGCTTCTTAGATCGACTCCTGGGGCAGAGATAATGGTTGAGACCTCGGGATCAAGCTCCATGGTCTTTTGTACAACAATGCCAGGGAATGGTCCAAGAGGTAGGATCTCGAGCCATTCATCTCTGACCTCCTTTTCATCTGCTTCGAGAACGATCAGCTCCTTCCATTTCTCATTGCCTTCTCCACCTCGAATCATGACAACAAGCTCTGTATCGGTGTCTCCCTTGCGCGCTGATATATTAGATGTGAGGACCGGAGGAAACAATAGAGAGGTCTTGTGTTCAGTAATCTGTGATATGAGGAAGTCGCTTGGATCACGTAGATCAGTTGATAGATTGCGCTGAGCTTCCCGAAAAGTGACTTCGACCTGGCACACCAGATGTTGACCAGTTGAATGAGACATGTCGAACTTGAAGACGTCCTTCATGCTAACTTGGCGAGATCTGTCAATGGTAAAGCCTTCAGCAGGTTGTAAAGTCTTTGGGTCTTGCGCGCGAGTTGTATCAGTATTGTTGGCCTTCATGTCTTCTCTGCGGGCGTATTCTTCCTTCACTCGTCGTTGGCGGTATGTATTGACTCTTTCAAATCCCTCATGAACCTCTCCAGCCTTCTTGGTAGGTCTCTTCATGACAAAGCCCTATTCAGAGTTAGCAGGACAGCAAGTAAATAGAAGTAACATAGCTCACCTTCGTGGCCCTACTCAGGTTCTTGAGCCGACGCATTGGAGCTTTCAGTAGATGGGCAACGTCAACAACCTCACCACTGTCGCGGATAACGTCTCCGTTCTGGTTGACTGGGAGGGTGTCCATGTCGGGCTCACTAGACAAAGATGCTTTGCGTGAAGCAGGTGCGAGATTGACAACAACGTCTTCAAAGCCAGTACGCCAAGCACGTAGGTAGTCTTCGTAGATCTTGAGTGCTTGTTCAGCCCAATGCAAAAAGGAATCTGGATCTGTGAGAGGAATTCGTTTGTGCAAGCTTTTCAGTCGTTCTAGCGCAATTCCCATGTCGACAATGGGTTGTGTGAAAGACGTGCCGGGGTCTGTTGACGGATAAGCGAGGGGGTCGAATAGCCCAGCAGCCACAGCAGACTCGCTTTTCGAGAGAACACACGTCAACAACACAGGAATTACACCGTCAACAAGCGTATTCAACTCTCTCATGTACTTGACTTCATCCTCACCGACTTCTCGAAGAAGATCTTCAATCGTTGCGTCTTCTAATCGTGTTCGTCTCGTGCGGATGCTGTGTGCTGATCTGATGCTTCCAGCTCTTCCTGGCTGAGTCGTGTCGGGCAATGATAGCATTGACACCAGATCTGCATGCTTTGTCAAACGTCTCTTCAGGCCAGTCTGTCCTACTTGTCCTTCTTTCTTGCTCGTGGATTTCTTGCTTCCACGAGATAGGCTGGAGCCTGTAGTGCCACTGAGGACTGTGCCTTGAGTGATTGTGGTATGTGAAAGCTCTGATCCAGTTCCTGTATCTGAAGTTGCGGACGAAGAATTACTGAAGCTTGTCACAGATGCAATCGTCGAAAGTGATGGTCCGCCAGCTACTGGAGGAGGCCGCTTTTGGTACGAGTGCGAAGGCCTAGTCTGTTTACTCTCTTCGAAGACTGGCTTGTCTGTAGCGCGCGGGCTTGTTTTTGGTGCTTGGTATATTGGGATGTCCTCTTGCTCGCTGACAATTGAAGACTCTGTCTCTGTAGGGTCAATGTGTCCTTCGCGAAGGCCGATGAAGTCAAATGGACTTGGAATCGCCGTCTTAGCCATGGCTGATTCTCCCTTGAAGGCATCGAATATGGCATTCTTCAGATCAAACTTCTTAGCTGCTTTGGGCGAAGAGGTGATACGGGTTGCAGGAGTTCTCTTCAGGCCCAAGGGCGATATAGGTGGAGAATTGCCCATACTTGGAAGAGTTTCACGGTTGTCTCCACGCTTCAGGGGCGACCCAGGTAAGTTCTGTTCCTTCTCTGGCTTCGGAGTTTGATGCTTCTGCTTATGTTCTCGTTCAGCAGTAAGTTCGCGTTCTGTTCGATCATCCTCCTTGAAGCTACGCATACGCGAGACTGGAGACTCTGGAACAGGAAGAGATGCATCAGCAGTAGCTGGGCGGTCAGTAAAAGGATCCGTGGTACCGTTCAACCAGGTCTCGATACTAGGTGGTTGATTTGGTCCTCCCCTGGCTGGCTCGGTATCATGAACTCTCTTCATGCCCTCGGTATACACTCTCTTCAGCACTTTTGGTACACCAAAGCTATTATTTCGCTTTGGCTCAGGTCTCTCCGCCCTCTTCATAGTGTTGGCTTCAGCGCCGAGGGGAAGATCCAGAACACTGAAGGCCGAATTGCCGAAGGGAATCTCGTCGAGCGATTCAGTTACATCAGATTTGCGATTCCTGCGTTTGGACGGACTTGGGCTCATATATGATGTCGCATCGTCACCGTGTATGGTGGTATTATAGGAAGTCTTTCTCGAGCGACTCTCAGACTCTGTTGGAGGCGCAAGATGCTCGCTCTTCTTTCTAGGAGTGGGAGTAGGAGTATCATTCTCTTCTTTTGGCCGTCGCTTGCTGCCGTCATTTCGAGTCCTCTTGATCTGGATCTCTGACTGAACGGATTCCACATCAGATGCTCGAATGCGAATACCATCGTTTGCCGCGCTGAGTTTTGATGGAGTACTGCGACTGCTGCCACCGCTTGGTCTGTCTTTAGATGGCTTGATTCGAATCCTATCATCAGGTGAAGGAGACCTCGAAGGCTGTACACGAATCCTATCACCAGAAGGGCTTCGTCTCGAAACCTTCCTGCTCCTAGGCTTATCCTCACTTACCTCGCTCTCGGCTCGCCTGACCTTCCTCTTGGGCGTCTCGACTCTCTCAGGAGGTTCAGGGCTCGCCATACGCTTCACCCAATCTTCAATCTTTCTCTCGACTGGAGGATTGATAGCCGTTGCTTGCAAGAAATTCTTCGGAATCGTGGCTCCCTTTCCGGGTGGGCTTCTTCGCCTATTCTTCATCCAGTGTTCGTCACTAATGACTCTCTTCTTGGGCGCCACGCTCTTACTTCTGGGTTTCTCAGGCTCTTTCTCCTTGGGCTCAGAATCTCTCTCTTTCCGCCGTCCAGGTCTCGGAGAAACATCCTCGCTCATAAGTCTCGGCTCAGGCGTCTTGCTCTTCGTCCTCGAGTTCTCAGCCCTCAATCCAGGTTCCGGCGTCCGACTCTTCCTCCGAGCAGGTCTCTTCACCTCAGCCTCAACCTCACTCTCCGTCTCATACTCCACCACAATTTCATCCAACCCCCTCTCAATCTCCGGCTCCCCAGCTTTCGCATTATTCTTCTGCCACTGCTTAACCCTCTCCTGCACCTTCCCCGGCTGCTGCATCTGCTGCACATTATTAACCCTCATCTCCGCCTTCACAGCATCAAGACTCTTCCTCCGCGCCTTGACAGACTTCCTCGCCGGACTCGGTCTCCCCAGCAGAAAGTCCCCCAGCAAAGTCGGCTCAGGCTTCTTCACACTACCCCTCGCCCTCGCCGGCGCGGAGTTGGGCGTCTTGTTCGCGGCATTGGCAGACGCTTTGCGGATGGGCGTCGCATTCTTCTGCGCGGACGTCTTTCGAGCGGTAGTTGGTGTTCGAGGGCCACTGATGCCATTGTTTACGTTATTGGTGGAGGCTTTCCTCTTCGCGGGCGTGTGCGCAGGCTCGTCTTCGTCTTCTTTGGCCATTGTTTCTAGAAGGGGCGAGTGAGGTTAGTCTTTGTCTTCGGCTTCATTCCTTGTTTGCTGGTGGAGATTCGGAGGGGAGGAAGTCGCATTCCTTTCCTGTATCTGCAGCGGAAGGGAAGTGAAGTGAACAATGGGAGAAAGGAAAGAGGAAGGAAGGGTACCTCAACAAGTCTTAGACATTGGCTGCGCGGCCAAACAACAGCTTTCTCTCTTCGTCAGGTCGGGACAAGGACGCGCATGCTGCTGCTCGACTGTATGTCTTCGACAAGTACACCTGCACGCTGCTTGTGGTGTTTGAAGCTGTACAAAGAATGGTGACGATGAAATGTCCAGATGGCGACAGGGCATCCACAAATGCGCAATTGGGTCGATCCGGCTGGTTCCTCTTTCTCTCTTTCGATATGGCAATTGCGTATCCGATCCAGACGCAGCTTGTGATAGACGCCAGTAGTTGGTGGAGCAACGCGGGATTGGATGTGGACCGAGCGTCTTCTTGGTTCAGCCTCGTTGCTATTCCTGGTCCCTCTCTCTAGATTACTCTTCTTCTTCTTCATCGACAAAATTTATGATCAAGAAGAGAACAGGAAGATTCTCACGATGGGCTTTGACTTCCAGTCAGGTATCTAGGTGTACGACAACAGAGTCACATTAGCCCCATCCTTTCTATCTTGTTTGTATACCACGAAAACGCATCCAATATCGTATTTCCTGGTTTGTTTACCATCAACTCGCATATCGGCCGATCCCCCTGTCTATATCAGAACGGGCTTTCGGTAAGAACGGTGATTGGCGAGCCTTGCACACGAGGCCGACACATGGCCGTCACTCAATCCTCAGTAGTGAAACAACGTGGAATTATATTTTTATGTTCAAGATCTAGGTTCTTTGGCCTCACAACTGGCCAGAAACACAAGTTTGAGCTTATCCTTCAGGCTGTAAGTGGTGTTCAGCTGTCGAAGCATCCATCTTCCATGCCTTGATTTGCATTCTTGCATGCGCGATTCAGCAGTGCAGGGGTCGAAACTTGGCAACAAGAACAGGGTTGTAGTCTCAAGATAGCGGACACTGATGCATTGGGAAGGGGAATCATATGTACTGCATTTATGGGCATGGGATAAACTTCCACAATTGGATAGGAGATTGCTGGCGGATGTTGGATGTTTGATTGTTGGTGGTGAGATTGAGACACCGCATCGTGTTGTTTGTCGCTATTGTTTATCTATCACAATGCTGTTTGTGCTTTCAAGTTTTTGGAATACTACTCCAGAAGATATGGAAGTGTATGAGAACTTTCTTCACACTATACTCCCTTCAATCGATACTAGCAGAACGTATGAAATGGGTAGGACGATTTCGAGGGCTAGTTCTGCTTCTGCATCTTCTCATAACCACAAGAGTAATTTCTGGGCATTCTCCGCGATTTACGCAATCTGCGCTATTCGCGCTGGCATCGATGGAGATTCTTAGAAATATTTTCTACCTCAAGCCCCCTGAATTTTGGAGAGAATTTGTTTCAGTGTCATTATTCATGCCAAATCCTAAGATTCCACCTCAATCAACAAACTTCCTAAACTGAAACGTATCATCCACCTCATCACTCCCTCCACTCATCATCATCCCCCCTTCCTCACTCTCCTCATCAATCAAATCAGCAATAGAAACCTTTCCTTTCCCACCCTTCTCATCCGCCGGCACAAGCTGCAACGGACTCTCCTCCCTCTGTCCATAAATATCAAATCCCCTAACCTCAGCATCCCGCCACGGAACCTCACTCTCGTCCTCAGAAAGTGAAGCTAGAATACAATCTTGAGAATCACTGAAGAAGATAGCAGGTTGCGAAGCATTCAACCATCGCACGGCTGTTTTTCCTAGTAGTTTTCCACCTGGGATCTGTTTGGCGAAATCGATGACCTTGGGACTTTCCCAGGATGGGTCCCAGAGATGGACAAGGCCGCGATCGCCTTCACACCTGATCATGAGGAGCTCGTCGATGGTGGGGTGCCAGGTCGCTTTCGCGATGGGAGCATGGAGGATGATTACAGATCTCAGTGTACGTGTGCTGCCGATGTCCCAGATCCAAATCGTGGTCGGCATGTTCTCTGTCCGTGTTCCCAATAATGTTCCAGAGTTGTCGAACATCAGGAGATTGGTGCCAGTCTTCGTCTCTGTGTTGGCGGGAGATGCTATGGTGGGAGGGCAGATGGATTGTGTGGCTTGTATGAATTCGCGGTCGAATCCTCCAGGGACGATTTGTTCTTGCCAAATCTGCCATTGTCAGTAAGTCTCCTGGACTTTGAGGAAGGAATTCTCACCTGCAGAGATTCTGCCGGTTTGACAGCAGCTGGATGAACCAAGCTCATAGATTCGGAGAACGAGGGAGCAGAGAGTAAAGTAACTCTCGCGCTGTAATCTCCCAAAGCAATATATGCACCATTCCCACTCCATTCGAAAATCTTGATCCCAGCTCCTAGAGCAATATCATCGTCCGCGGACATAGGCCCATTCCAAGTCTTAAACAAATGTCCATCCGCCGTATAGACAAACAGTCTATGTCCTTGCGACGCCGACTCCCAAAGTACAAGCCATCTCCCGTCTGAACTCCAATACAGTCCCTGCGCATCAACACTCTGAGGAATCCATGACCTTAGAACATCCAGCGTCCCAGGAGTATGTATGCTAACCACATCCTTCCCACCACTCCTCGTCAGAAGCGCTAGATGTGAAGTCTGCGGTCGATACGAATATCCCCTCGCCGCCACACCAGCATTATAGAATTTCGGCGCATTGATATCCACAGCTTTCGCCGTCGAAAGATTATAAACCGAGACTTTCAGCCCATATTCCGAGAACACCAAAACCTCATCATCCCCAGCTCCAAAAGTAACCAAAGTTACTTTCGTGGTCCCCGCATTCGTGATATTGGCAGCGAATTTCGCGTTGGTGAGAGAATAGACTCGTATGATCTCTGCAGAAGCGACGAGTATCCGATTCGAGGATTCGGACCACAGGAACCATGATACGGCGAGATCTGGCGGGAGAGAGATAACGCGTTGGATTTCTAGGGATCGCGTTTCTCGAATGCTGAGTTGGGAGGGGAAAATGGTTGCGAGGTATGCGCCATTGGGGCTTGGGAGGGATTGAGTTGATGCTACAATCTATTAGTTCCAGAACTTCGTTCCAGGATTCTTGCCAAACTTACATTTCAAAGATCTCGAGAATCGCATCTTGGCTATTGTCGCAATCGCAAATTCGTGAAGTTTGTTTACTTTCGTCGCACTTCACGAGACCTTACAGGGGTATCTCACGCTAGCTACCAGATAAGATAAGCGGGACTTTCGGACTCACGTTTTCTCCGAGCGGACAGTTTTTTCTCCCTCTTGCATCGACGGTTCAATGCAAGCACCACGCCTCCTTCGCTTTCTTTCGGATTCAGCATGGCTTTGCTAAGACCGAGATGCAACTGGCAAGGAATTATGACTGCAGCATTGGAAAGCCGACGATGATGATGACGGGAATGATAATCATGATTACAGAGATTGATAGATGGCCGAGTCGAGAATTCGGCTGATTACTGATGATGAGAAGAGGAGGATATGGTGAGATGGAGGCAACGAGAATTTGGACGACAAGGGACGATCACGAGTCACGGCAAGGATACACAGAGCAAAGCAGTAGTTGATGGGAAAGAATTCATTTTTTATATCCCATGATCCGGAGCAAGACTTTTTCCCCATTCAACAAAAGAAAGATACCCAAGACCCGACATCCACTGCATCCGACATTCCCATCTCTACCACCACCAAACAAGAGCCAAGAATCCATCAAACTTCGATCAATCCAGCAAGCTATGGCCAGTCCTTCCAGTGCTGTCTCGTGGACAAAAACACCTCATGTGAAGGACCGACGTTGCCGGAAAGTAAGATCGAAGAATTTTCGTAGGATTCCGGTCTCGTGCCCAGATAATTTGCCTTCAATCCCGAACAGAGGACCAGCGCTCAATCTTCCAGTTCTATGATAGAGCCTCATGTGAAGTATTGTCGCGGTCAAGTCTGTTCGGAGGAGAGACATCTGGGAGATCGTTGATTGTGACCATTAAAGTATGACCAGTTGAGGTATAAAGTGATATCTGGATTCTGTTAGTGAGAGTTCGAAGGATGAGGACTTGAAGAGGACTAACAGTTTGCTTTGCAATGCAAAGACCAAGAGTAGATTTATTTCAGTTTCCGTGTTGCAATCATCCATAGCAGTAACGCCAGGGTGACAAAAGGGTGGTTGATAGCTTTTCTCTCCGCCATCGTGTCTTCAGCGAGGGAGGTTCGTCGATTGTTGTTGATAGAAGTATTCGGCATGTATCAAAAGCATACTTCGAAGTTCAAGTGAAGATGTATTGGTTTGCTGGTAGAATGTTCTTGATGTTGATGATTAAAAAAAAAAGAACAGATTTCAAAGTTCGACCAGTTACTCATATATCATTAATCGTCGTCCTCTCCACGCTTATCCCCGATCTCCATATCTACCGAATGGGGATGACGGCCGTATGTTCGCGGTGCTAACCGGACCCCGAACCCACCAGCATTCCCTCAGCCCCTTACTCAGCCAACCGCCAGAAAATGGATGACTCCTCTACTGTAGGTAGCGACCACCACACCGTTTCAACTCCGATCCCGAGAGTTTCAAGCCACAGGAATCTTGTATCGTCCGACGCCGCCTGTGCATATGTACTGCGCACCGCTCTACGTTGCGAACTCCCTTCTTTGGCAGTCGTTCCTCGCTCGCCTCGAATTCGGATTTAGGTAAGCGGGTGCGAAGTCAGCGACCGAGACTCGCTGGCGGTTAGTTTCATGCAGTGGAGTTATTCAGCAGAAGACCGAAAGAGTCAGAGCCATTGACCAATTGTTTTCTTCTGTCTCCGCAATGCTTGATTATTTTGGAAACTTCGAAGTAGGAGATCTCTGATTCGTTGGTAACCCGGTCTCCTTTGGGATCTGGGTCAGGTGATTGACTCTCCCGCTCTTCCCAGCGGAGATGAGCGGGATGAGTAAGGATGGCTAAATATTGAAGTATCCTTCCCAGACTTTTCAATGATCTAAGCTTCCCTCGTTTTTCAATATTATCTTATGTTCGAGATTAGACTGGTATCGTATACACTGGATATCACTTGACCGCGCTTCACTCGGTCCCTTTCGTCGTTGCGAAACCTCATCCTTCCACCATTCCCCACATCCTATCTCCGCTCCTCCCGCTGTATATCCGCTCCATCCACCATGACCGCCAGAATCGCCATGGCACGACAAAGCGATGTCGAGAAAACCACCACAGCTCCAAACCTCCCTGCCTATGCCCCCCAACCGGCCCAAACCAACACTCATCCATTCATCGGTCGTCTTGGAGGAAACCAGGGTTTCGTACTCGATCGAAATGATTCGGCCAATGCATCACTCCTCAAAGATATCCCTGATGCTGCTCCCTACATGACATTGCGGGAGCAGCTTGATCTGAAGGGATTTATGTGTTTATCTTTGTGGAAATCTGCTTTAGCCGAAGGGATGGGTATGCCTCCACCACTTTCTCTCCTCCCAGATCCGAGTATAAGCTAACAGATCACAACAGGAGCAATGATGCTAATCTACCTCACAATCTGGACCAGCATATCTCCCCATGTTCTCCCCACCCCACCAACCACCCAACTCGGCCCCTTCGACAACGCAGCCTTCATCGGCCCCATCGTAGGTGGAATCACAAACTGGCTCATCCTAACCCTCTTCACCTTCTCCTTCGGCGCCGTCTCAGGCGCTCATTTCAACCCCACCATCACAATCGCAACCTTCTGCGTCCGGCTCTGCTCCCTCCCCCGCATGGTCCTCTACGTCTCCTTCCAAACGGCCGGCGGGGCTCTAGCCGGTCTCCTCGCTCGCGCCAGCTACGGGACCAGAGCCTTCAAGGTCGGCGGGTGTTGGCTTTTCGACGATATTGTTCCGGTCAGTAACGCTTTTGTGGTGGAGTTTATGTGTTGTCTGATCTCCATCTTTCTGGCGTTTGGAGTGGGCTTGGATCCGAGACAGAAACAGACCATTGGTCCGAGTCTGGGGCCGTTCTTAGTGGGCATGGTGCTTGGGACGATTAGTTTTGCGAGTGCGTTTGCGAGGTATGGGTATGGAGGTGCGAGTCTGAATCCGGCGAGGTGCTTTGGGTCGTTTGTGGGGAGTGCATTTCCGGGGTGGCATTGGATTCATTGGTGAGTTTCGCAATTGTCTCTCTTGATCCGGTTTGGAGAAAGTAAATTGACATATGGAATTTTCAGGGTCGCGCCGATTGTTGCTTGTATTGTGCATGCAGTCATGTATTTCATTGTGCCCCCTTGGCAAGGGCAAGTATAGCCAACGATAGCTGTACAATACATAAGACATCCAAAAGCCATCCTTGCTCAACACTTTATCCTATTCAGAAACTCAACCGAAGTACCGGCACACATCTCCAACCTTGAACTCAGCTCGGAAATGCAGTAAGACCTGAAGTCAAGCTACAGGCTTAGGAATTTCCAGCTCGAGAGGTGCTGGACCGAAATTAAGGTCGAGGTGTTGAATTAGTAGAGTCTGGAGGTGTGTACTTCTGGGCTGGTTATGTTGAGGATCAGCATCTGATGTCGTTGCTTGCATCGTCCTCACTCTCTCTATCAGAACTATTCGTCCCAGCTCCTACGAGGGACAAAACGGTTGGGATCAGCCTCAGCTTCTCAACTCAAAGTCTCTGCTCTTGTCTGAAACTCGTCCAGAACGTCTTCCCATAGTTTCTAAGGGAACTCTCCTTTCTCTCAACAGCCTCAAGACGCTCCCTCTCGTCCACAGTCTCTTTGACTAGTCGCATGGCCTCTTCAACTGCAGCAAAGGTCTCGTAGAAGCCAAGTTCGTAGCCTGCATCTCCCCAACTCTCCTCATAAGCGTCAATATCGTGGGGTGCTCGCTTGATCATGCACCGACGCCGGTCCTCCCACGTTCGATCCGATGGTAGGATTCGCACTCGGCAGCGAACTTGCCCTCTTTGGGTGGTGGACCAAACTTTCGGATCATGGCTCTCATTGCCAGCATCCATTTTCTCATTCGTGTATGAATCTCGAAGGCTATGATGACTTCGGATGTATCCGCTTGCTGATTCAGAAAGTCTAGTATGATCTGCGTGCATGAACATTCTCCGGGACCCTGTGCCTCGCCGTCGTCGTCGTATGCTGTAGGGAATTCTATTCGTCTCATGTTTCCGAGCAAAGCGTTGGGGTCTGTTGCGGCTGCTCCATAACAAGCGTCGATCACGGCGAGAACGTTGCCGGTCATTTTTCTGGGGTTGGCCATGATATGGCGCCAAGGAACACCGCAGTTACTCGGATAAGTCTTCGTTGGTCTTTTGGATGTTAATGGATTATCCTCCAAACAGTGAGGAAGAAAGGAACAACTTACACCATCAGAAATTCGCCCTCGTTGTCGTGCCCCGCATGATAAAAGAAGAAAAGAGAGTTCAAACTCGTACTCATCCCAATTCTCATGATCCGGAACTGGTCGTCAACAAATCTTCTACTCTCAGCTGTCCCTTTGCCTCCTGAGATTCGGAGGAAAACGGTATAGAAGTTGCATCGCTGTCTGAATACCTCTTCCAGGCCTTTTACTTCCTTCAAAACCCCGAGATGGTCGTCTGCAAGGTATGTGAGAAGAACGTGGATTTCACGGATGATTGATGCATCTCATGTTGCAGAGCTGGTGGGAGTGGCGGGGAGAAAAGCGTGTTGCTTTGAAGGAGCTGGGAAGAAGGTATGTGGGGTTGGAAGAGTTGCCATTGTCAAGTATTTTGCATTCAATCGCATTATGCTATTGTAATCGGGGACTCGATCGATGAATGAGCTGAAAGGCGGTTTGCACTATGGCTAGATGGAAAGCGATGTGTTGCATGGAAAGATCTTGGAGCAAAATGGAGATATGCTTCGGACGGCAGGAGACCCAGGTGCACGAAACAGACGACAGAAAGCAATAGGAGAAGACTTGTGATCTTCAGGTCAGTACAAGATCTGTGGGTAGAGTATTGGATGAACATACTGGTCAACTAAGCGTTGTCAAAAGCTGTTCCAATTTCTCGGAGTCGCTCGGCGCAAAGCAGAACGACGACAAACAACAACCAGAGTTGAGGAAAGTACGATTGCTACAGGAGGAAAGGCCCGCAGAATTGTGCAATAAATATAGATAGGACAAAAGAATGAAGAAGATCCTGGGAGGCAAATGGTGGCCGTCGAATTCTGGCATCGTTCCGATTATCTCGTGGTCAAATTGTGCATCTGGGTCAGAAATCCTATGCAAGGGATTTCAAAGCAAAATTCATGAACGACTCTTCGACAACATCCTGAGCGAAAGCACTGATCTTGCAATAATCCTCTATGGTTTCATCTCGCAGTGATCAAATGCTTCGGATCTTACCCAATCAAAGCACGAACCGAAGTGGCTGGATGACATTCAGGGGCACACGTGACCTGCCTCGATTTGAGGCTTCGAGGCTTCCACATTTCGGACAGGGGCGTCCTATATCGTCAGATCTTTGTGGAATACCACGGAAGAAAATTCTGCCAGCCTCTGGACGAACTACCTTTTTGATCCTCCCATCAATTGCGCAAGTCTTTGTCCCCTTCAGAATACATCAATCAACCACCCCCATCGAGCAGAAGATCTTCAGAGAACGTGCCAAGCTTGCCTTATTACCCAAGCTATTCAGCGATTACTACTACGGCCCGAGTCCTTCTCGTCCCACCGAAATGTCCTCGAGTTCAGGAACACCCTCGACATTGGAACAAGAAACAATCTTGCCACCGTCTGGAACGCAATCGTCATGCAAGCATATACGACCAAATGCTGATCGCAGCAGTCTCCGAGCGCAACAGATCTTGTTGAACGGGACTTGATGACTTCGCACGCCTAACAACTTCTGCTCCCTTGGTCTCCACCTTCCGACCTCCTCCAAAACAAATACGACAGAGAGATCTTGATGAAATGACTAGCGCAACAGTGGTAAGAGCACCTTGTCTGTTGTGCGCAAGCCGGACGAAACGAAGAAGCCAAACTAACATCGTCTTACAGATGCACCAACAATATGTCTCCTTAGCCTCTGGCTACTACCCCTTTCTGGAATGCTGGAGTCACGCCCTCCCAAACTACAAGAACATCAAAGCAAAGAGAGCAATATATCATTACAGTAGCAGTCGCAGAACATTGATCATATCAACAACTCGACGCCCATGCCATGTGGACTTTTATGACCCCTCTATGATCTGCCTGTTGGCTACTGGAAAAGCCAAAGCCACGGTATCCTGCCGGCATTACCAAACAGAATCTTTCCAGAGTTGTCAAGCAATGGCTGAAACAAATACTAGAACTCGATGTAGTGCAACAACCAACAGGAATCTTCGGTGTCCCGTTGCGACAAAGCATCATTTGACCTAGCTGTCAAGAGGATGACCCGGAAAAGAAGGGAGAAGACAGGCACTCTTAAGTGCTCTGCCACTTCTCTGCCAGATGGAGCTCGAGGTTGTTTGTAAAGGGCTTCGTTGCCGCTTTGCATTGTCCTCGATTTACAGGGACATTTGAAACTTCAAATTTGTTATTCTTTCTTGACAGCTTTTGCAATTGCAAAATCATCTTTGAAGAATGCATTTTTGGAGAAAGAAATTGTCCCCAAGAGTCCAGGAGAAGTGGCTTGGTTGAATGCTCTTCGAAAGGTTGGCGCCTTGTCGGCTATGGTGAAGAAGGGTGAATTTTCCGCTTGCTGCTGAGTGAGAAGCGCGTCACGTTCAATCCGACCACTTTACCGCGTCGTTTTCAACCTTCTCTTGCTGGAACAATTCCTTTCGCCTTTGCTTTCCTTCGATCCGATTGTACCAACAGCTCTCGACAACCGTCAACAACTCTTCGCAATGGCTGAGGCAGCTTCCAGCCACAATGTACCATACTATAAGCACGTCTTTGTCCTTGTGGTGTCGTGGGTTGACGATGATCTTGGGGTCTTGGAAGAGGAGGCCATACCATTGGCCCAAGTATTCAGGGACAAGTACAACTACCAGGTGGAGCACTTCCTTCTGCCCCTGGCACAGCCCGAAGCGGTATTCCATCAATTCTTCAAGGAAAGACTTTCGGCTATCCTCTGCTCGCCAGACAATCTCCTCATTCTGTACTATTCCGGACATGGCTCGAAAGGATCCTCTGGTTTGATTTGGGGTCCTGGCAATGAAGGCCACGAGAAGTAAGTCAGATTGCTGGAACCTCAAGGTTCTCGAAAGTCTGTCAGCTAATTCGGATACACAGAGCATACGAAGAGTACCTCTACCCGCCAACGATTCGATGGAACAAATTCCAGGAGAGATTTATCGACCCCGCCCGTGCAGATGTAGTCCTGATGATAGACTCCTGCCATTCCGGCGCCGCTCCATCCGCTTCTCTCGCAGCCACTCTTCTTGCTTCACCCGAGCAAGCGAATTTTCCTGATCTCCCCCCTCTCAACAACCACCACCGGGTGGAAGTTCTCGCTTCCTGCGGAAAAGACAGCCTTGCCCTGGCCCCTGGCCGCCGATCCTTCTCCCACTCCTTGATCAAGGAGCTCAAGTCCCGCGCAAAGACTGGTGCCCCATTTACAGCCTCCGAACTACTCTTTGCAATCATACCACGGCTAAAGGCACAAGACAAGAAGTGGATTTGGCAGAAGAAGAGCGTCCCGCCGTTGTTCTTGCGGGTCTGTGGGGACCCTGACATCCCGAGTATCGAGCTTCGAGTGATGGAGAGGAGGGAGGACAACTATGAGGACGAAGACGACACTTTGGTGGAGAAGAAGGGCTTCTGGACACGAGTTTTCAGGACGTGTTAGACTTCTGTCTGTCTGTCTGTTGTTGGAGTATCGAATGAATGAACGCACAAACTTTCGCCCGACAAAATTCTTCTTGAATGCACTTGATGAGCAAAGGCATTTTGTTCTGTCCTTGTGAGAGTTCGGCGTTGCCTGGGATAATCTCTCAGGACTGGGGTTGTCGTCATTCCTTGTAACCTGCTGTCGTCAATTCTTAGCGACCACGTGACCAGCTCTCCTTTCAATATCGCTTCACCTTCACGACCCACTTCTCAGCCCCCTTGCTGAAGCCATGGACCGCAGCATTCCTCAGACCCGCCCTCCAAAAAGTTTTCAGCCACATCCTCCTAAACATCGATGGATCCTAAATCAAGGAGGTAATACTACAATAACTTCAGTGTAACCCTCTGTGACGTGCGGAATGCATGGCGGCAGCCTACTTCTACTCCCGGATGCTGGCCAACCTCTCCTTGGCATGAGAACCTCTTCCGACCATCAAATGGCACCATATACTCTATATGACAGAGCATTATCAGGAGATTTTTTGGTCGTCCTCCTTGGTACTCGTACGATTCATATCTCGTTGATACCAAGAGCCAAGATCTATTTTCGAGATGCGCAACTTAACGACGGATAGAGCAATTAACTCTGACATACCAGACAATGACGCTTTTCTCGAAGCAGAAGACTACAAACACATCTCATCATGGAGAGCAGACACACCCGAGACACAATCCACGGGCGGAGAAGAGTACGAGCAAGTCTTGGCTTCTCCATTAGCAGCTACACCAGATCCAAGCAATCTTTCTCAGCACACACGGCAGAGGACATCACACTTGGAAGCAGAGATCTTGGACCTAAAACTCAAACTAATCAAGACTGAAATTGAGAGAGATAATGCTGTAATTGAGTTGGAGCTTGCGACAACTGCATTGGTGAACTCCCGAGCCGAAGTCTTCGAGATGGACAAAGAAATAACAGTGATGGGACACGACTTGGGAAGTTTTCGTCTGGAAGTAGATGATTTGACACGCCAGTTGAAGAAGAAGGAGCCACTCTTCCAAGTCGGCGTTGCAGTGCGGCTAGGCTTCATGGATGCTGCCAATCGAGTCCGTATCAAGGGAAATGTCAGCATCATCTCACAAGATCTTCACGCTGATCAATCGATCCTGCAAGCGAAGACAGACGCATGCCACCGTGGGAATATGGTAGCAGATGCTTCTCTGTTTGACCCTGAGCTGGAAATTCGAAGTGCAAGAGATCAAATTCGCACTTTCAATTACTTGTACAACGCGAATCCCAGTTGGCCTGCAGATACACCACAGCGATCGAGATCTTCTTCCTTCGATGCTACTCAGACTACAATTTCATTAAGCAATGCTGATGTCAGCTTTCTCGACACAGAACCACACGTCGCCAACTATGATGATCTGCGAAAGTTCCAAGCATGCAGCGACGCCATAGTTTCTCATCCAAAGCTTCTCGAAGTTCGAAACATAAAGGCTTCCATGATCGCTTACCACTCTTGGACGAAGTACAGCCACAGCAAAAAAGCAGATGAGCGATTCCGAAAATTAGAAAGAAAAGCTGCAAAGTTGATTGAGCGTTGGGAAGAAGAGTACGGCATTGAAGATGGGGGTACGAATGTTCAATCAAAGAGAGAACAACTTGATGCTCTTTTGAAGGCAATGTCTGCGATCTTGAAGGAAACAGTGAAGAAAGAACATGGACGACTGCAGGGAAGGCGAGGACGCTAGGAACGACGTGGAACAAATTGACCTGGCTGTTGGTTCGTTGACGAAGCGAATGGAAAAGCTGTTAAAACAACTGGATTCTGATCTAAAACGATGATGCGTACTTTAGAAAAGATGGAGTTTATGAGTATTCAGCAAGATACCTCCCTATGTTAAGTTGCAGTGATGAAGCAGGCCTGCTCCACTTGATGGACAGTGCTCGCTGGCAATATTCCAATTGATCAATTGGAGGGTGTCTGCGTATCTGTAGTTATATAATGCACATCTTGAAGAACCACTCTTCATTCACTGCCAAGATTGTACAAATAGACGCAGCTAGTTAGAGACCTTCTTTCTGTGACTCATTGCTGCCAGTAGGCAAGCATATCAGGCTTTTCGAACGGTATTTGGGGACCTGGAATGGTGAAGGTTTCACAATCTCCATTCTTTGCGCCGCAGGAATACATATTTGAGGTGTGACGATCAAGAGCTAGTTTTGCGGCTGGCCAATCACAACCCGATGCGAGTTTTAGTCTAGCTTCCCTGTACATCACCCAATTGATCAAACCTCCCTCATGATGCAGTTGTGCACACCTTTTATATACACGAGTGTGAGAAAGATGAATTGATTTACAAAACGCTGAGACTCGAGTCCAAAGTATCGATGAGGTTTGCAACCTCCTGTCCAATCCTATGTGGATGATCCTCCTGCAAATAATGCGTTCCCTTCCCCAAAAACACACCTCTGACATTTTTCAAGTTCTCCATGTACCATTGTGCTTGCTCCTCTCTTACAAAAGTTCCAGGCGTCGCCCAAAACATAAGCTTTGGAACTTCGCTATCCAACAACCAACTGTGGTACTTTTCCGCGATATCATAGACATCCGCCGGAGACCCCTCAATGGGTATCTCGTTTGGCCAACGATAAACCGGCTCACGGGACTTCTCATCCAGGAATGGCGATTCATAATATGTCTTCTCCGCTTCAGTCAACTCCCGTACTACTCCTTTAGGCAATATTGCCTTGACGAAAAGATTGTCCTCGATGAGGAGTTTACGCCCCACGACCGGAGTACGAAAAGCTTTGAAAGTCTCCACGGCCTGACTTTTGCCTGCATCATCCCATGCTGGGAAAGGTCGAATGAACTCCATGAAAGCTAGACCAGCCACACGGTCTTGATGGTGACTTGCCCAATGAAATCCTAAAGCAGAACCCCAGTCTTGGATCACGAAGACGACTTTTCCAGTCGGTGTGATGGCATCGAGAAATGCATCGAGATAGCGAACGTGGTCTACGAAACGGTAGGATATGTCTGGTTTGCCCGATTTGCCCATGCCAATGAGGTCTGGAGCCACGCAGCGGAGTTTTGGGCTAACGTGAGGTATGATATTCCGCCAAATATACGACGAAGTTGGATTTCCGTGGAGGAGGATGGCGGTTGTGGCGGAGCTTTTGGTGCTTCCTGTATCGATGTAAGCCATCTCTGAGTCGAGAACGGCAGTATGTCGCAGAATGAAGGGAAAATCTGAAGAGATGTCAGATTCCGGAGGCTGAGCCATAGTTCCGAGAGTTGAATTTGGATGATAGTTCAATAATGATTGAGTATCCTCGAGTCCAAAGGGTGTAGATCAAGTGAACCGCAGAGAATTGAACAAGCAGTAATAAAAAAGTTCAGATCAGAAAGGGGTGATACACATCTATTTATGCACATCGCTCAGCTGATATGACCAGAACAATTGAATTACTGATCGAAGATTTTAACACCGCGGATTTGAGCTAGTGTAATGCATCTGGGGTTAATATATGCAGTCATCCTTGTTCACGGCACCCGTGATTACATACACTTTGCCGCGCCTCTTCGGTAATCGAGACCATGGCCACTTCACCAGCATATCATTCTTCTCCAGCCGCACAATTTTCATGCCACCTTGAGCGTCCTGCCTTGGATGATTTGAATTTTGTTCACAATAACCGAATATACACTCAAGGACTAGTTAATCGCAATTCGACTTTGCAATACAAAATTATCCAACGCTTGAAATATCCAAGTTTTGAAGCCTCTTTGTGTACTTGAAACCGCACAATAGAAACTTAGATAGATATCTATCATTATTAGAATTCTCCAGAGAATGGAAATAAAAAACATCGAAAAACAACTTGCACCAAGTGTGATTGTCCGAGTCGAAGACCTTTAATCTATCATCCATATCTATTAATTCACTTACAAGACACTGAGGTCAGGAAAGTTCCTTACCCTAGGAACGATTGCTATTGCTAGCGTATGTAGACTCAGAATAGTTCATTCATACCGGAGTCCTAAGACCTGGCAACATCTCCTACATCCCTATTTTCAAATGCTCTCGCCTCCATTATACTTCTTTCGTGCCTCATCCTCATCGCGTCTTCTTAACTTATCATTTTCCATTTCCTTCTCCATGCGTCGCTCTTCTTCGTCGAGTTCTTTCTCCTCTGCTTCCCAACGCTCGTCTTCCTCTTGAAGCTGCTTTTGATAATCCTCATATTCTTGACGGTCGTTGAAAAGAGTTCCCTTTTCGTCGAAGAAAACAAATTGCACTCTCCTCATTACCTCTCGCTCCATTTCCATCTCACTTTGTGCTAGGCTTTTGAAACCTCCAGATACAGTTGCACTTTGGCCAGGATATAAACTCTGAGAGGCATACACATTCAAATGAATGGTCGAATATCCGTCATCCCTCATATTTCTGTGCACGAGCTCAGGCTGCGTCTCTGTATTCCACCGAGGTAGGTTCCACCAATTGGGAGCGTGATAGACGAGGGCCCAAGCCACGAAATCGCGCCGGTTTCGCAGTGCAGTAGTAAGATCGTGAAGACTAATACGATAGTCGCCATCCGCCATTTGGTTGAGGTTATCGTCAATGGATTTGGTAAAGGAGAAGTCTCCGGGTCCCTTAGTAGTCTTGTCAGTGCCGCAAGCGGCCAGTAAATCCATTCTACCAGAGAGAGTCGAAGTTAGCTCAGTTCCTTAGCTATCTCGACATTCTGGGATTGAAAATCTCGGTCTTACCTGTATCCATTTGGTCTCAACTCCAAATTTGGATCGTAAGCAGCCCCAGATTCACAACTGTCTATCACAACAATAACATCACAGTAGAGTGATGCAAGAGCGTTGCGTATAGGCGCCCACCGGACAATGTTCATATCTGTTCCAGGAACAGTGTCCCCCCTGAGCTCCAATTAGCAAATCTGTCCTATTTTCTTTCACCAACAAGAGGAAGGACAAACTCTAAACAGAACTCGCCACCACTGAAGCCACCATGACCACCATGGCCACCATAATAGACCCATAGCAAAGAAGGCCCAAAATTGGCTGAACCATTCTTGTAACTCATGATTTCTTTGCAAATAGCGTTCTCACTGTCTACCTGCGAGCCGTTCTCTGGGATCCTGAAGTCGGTGACAGTATAATTGTACCTGTATTGAAAGGTGTCGAGAAGTTTATTAATCTCCTGCCTATGGGTCTCTGCCAAGCCATGGTTTTCAAAAGATAATGCTAAGACATGAACTTGCGTGTGGTTGAGACGGGAGGTCATTGGGGTAAAGGGGCGCTTGAGTGGTGGGAGTCTGGGTGCTAGATGTGAGCGAGTTGGATACCGCAGGAGGTAATTCTGTGGGGCAGTCGGGAATTGTTGATAATGGGTCATCTTGTTACTATCGTCAGCTTTGGTGCAATGATTGGGGCACAAATGCAGTGGTATCTTACTTGGGTTGGAGCAGTCGGGTAGGAGGGAACTGGAGACAATTGAGGCAATGTCTGGGATGGTGTTGTCGCCGCATTGCCACTGCCTGTATTGCTGGTATCGACCGTAGATTGACCAGAGACGTGAGTGTCGGACGACTTCAACTCTCCTTGAGCCTGTGAGACAGATGCCATCTTAGTGGTATTGCAACTGTACTTTGTTGTGTTGCACAGTTATCTCTTTAAAGGGACCGAAGAAGGATCGTAGTGTATGTGCAAGGTCGAAATTGATCGACAAAGACAAGAATGGTTTGACGGGACTTTTCTTCGAATTTCAGGCACGTGTATCCTACGAATTCGACGAGGATCATGGAAGAAGGGACAGCTGTTGTGGCTTGTATTGTTGCTATTCGCGTGGTAGACCAATAGAATTGCGTTCCGAGCTCGTTCGAGGGTATTCAGGGGGGAAGTTGTAGATTTATTTTTGAAAAATGCGCGTAGAAGGCTAGTCCCCTTTTTCTTAACGTTTCGCGAGGATGAGCAATACCTGGGAAATTTGCACGGTCTGAGCTCCTACCCGACGATTTTAGAGAGCCGGAACCTTCTACAGAAAGCAAATCCAGTCTGACCCGTCTTGCGTCAACCGTGCAATTGAAAGCTCCTAAGATCTTGCTGTCCACACCTCTTCATTCGAATTCTCAGTCGAAAGCTCCGTCCACCTTGCTGTCAGCAAATCCTACGCTATCCTCTTTGCTATTCTCCTCGAAAGTCTATCAAAGCTCCCCTACAACCTGTTACTGCAACGAACAAGCGCCCATTCAACGAGATCTGATCTTTTGGACGACTTTCGAAGACTGACCCATCTCAACTCGTTCTTTCCACCACCCAACGACACAAGAGATGAATAACTACCCTCAACAGCCCCCTCCTCCAACAACATGGCAACGACGTCTTCATCGGGTAGGTCCAACCCATACGAGAACATCCACGTACACATATCCTGGTGGAATAAGGATCAGATGGGAGTTCCACCCGAGATCGTCGAATTGGAGCAAGTCTTTAGAGAGAAGTATAACTTCAGAACCAGAGTACACAGATTGGGCTGGTCAGACGAATCCAGGGCAGTAGTAGATCTTGACAGCGGTCTGGAATACCATGATAACCTTGATGTTGTCAAGTCTGTGCTCGACAGCTCGTCTCTTCTGATCTTCTACTACTCTGGCCGGGTACGATCAAACGCTGCTGGAGACCTCATGCTACTCCCTCGGGTGTAAGATCTCTCTCCCTTGCAGCGTACTTTAGCTAACCATAAGTGCGACAGTGGAGAACAAGGAGAAGAAATCGCCTGGACTTATATACTGAAGCAACTCATGAAACTCTACTCCGACGTCCTGATTATCTGGGACACAGACCATACCTCAAGGGCCTGTATCCAAGCCATGTACACCATGGAGTTTATTGGAGCCGCGGACAATAGTCGTGAGATGTGGGGCCCAACGACGCTCTTCTCTTTCACCCAATTCCTGATCGACGTTTTGCGAGAAGCTGCAAAGAACGATGACGGTCTTACGGCTGCAGATCTACATTCAAGAATAGTCTCAAGATATCTGGACGCTGGCTTGGTAATAAAGAAGGAGAAGGGACAAGAAAGCAATTGCCCACCCTTGCCATTTTATTTCAAGCCTCGGGGATCAGTGGTATTTGGAAGCATCCCAATCATCAAGCTACCCGTCGAAGACGAAGACGAAGATATGTCTCATTCCAATGCTAGCCCTAGCTCTGGTTCCGATATCGACTCAGATGATGACGATGAAGATACAAGTTCTGATAAAGGAGTAGAAGCAATTAAGAGAGACTTGCTCAAGCGCCCAGCAAAGCGTGCAGTGGCTCAGAGAAAGAAGCTACTGACAACCCTGAAGGAACGAGCACAAAGACCAGAACGAAAGAGACATGTGCCCATACAACGAGGGGGACTTTGTTTACCGGGCTAATGTAAATTGCATTTATCAAGAGCGCCAGTTCCGAGAGGAAGATTTCGACGAAAATGGCAATAGAATTTGACTGGAGAAGGTCCAGGAGTTTGGGAAAGACCAGCAAGTCTCAAGCTTCACATTTTTTTTGAGGTTTGGACAGCATTTTGCATAACGAGCATCAGCCACTCTTTCGAGGTAAGTACTTATTTCAGTCCAAAGATAATAAAGCTAATGGATATTACTAGGATATGTTATCTGCTCGGCCGGGACAATGATATTGAATCTAGCACAACTGTGCTATGTTTGACTCTGAGCAGCACGTTCATGTGCATTCATGCTCTCTCAGAGTGCACGTGGTCGTTGGTTCTTTGCGGTTTGGAACGTTGAAGCATTGCAATTCAAAGAATAGAAAATGCAAACTTGCTGCGAATGTTGAGCCCTCAAGTGAAATAATAGCACAATTCTCTAGGTACCATGTGTATAAAACATGCCGCTGAACCAAAACCATGCAACATAGCACATAGCACACCCCAACCCTGAACTCCTACCTCTCTCACCGCACCCATGTTACTTGCTCTCCCAAATATCTCGAAATGCAACTATCCGTGCATGTCCCCTCCTACTCAAGTCCTAGCAACATGATAAAGTTACAAAATTAAATCTCCTACCCACATACCATCTAAACCAGCTGTGCTCTTAAACACCACACCGACTCCACCTACCCTCTGATGGCACCAAGAACTCCAGAAATCGATTTGTAAACCAACCAGGAGCAAGACTTAATACAAAAGAAAGACACATATTCCTCTCAGCCCTCCACCCAGACCTCCCACCCACAACCATCTAATACCACCATGAAACCCAAATCCCCATCCCATCCCATTGCACCACACCAGACGCCCAAAAAACCCCAGCGCCAGCAAAAAGCCAGCGAACCAAAAACCCTCAACACCCTCACTCTTTCCACGATTCATGAATGAACTTGTGATATCTTCCGCACAACTCGACTGAAGCTATTCCTTCACTAGAAATGGTGCTTCTTGTTGAGCAGAACTGGAGCTGGATTGATTATCTGTAGGACTTAACTACCCGTCGAGGCCGTCAATGCTTACTTAGCTGGTCCCCCTTCCCCACCCAACTCGATGACAAAAACTTAGCTAGCGTCAGCAGAGGATGATGGTGAATCAAGCCCTACTCCCTCACCTGGTCCGGAATTATTGGGGTGAAAGAGAACAACATAGCAATATCTAGGAATAGAACAAGGACTTGGGTCCCCTGAAAAAGTCGTACTTCAAGTCAATGAATATTGAAAGGAAAGTGTAGGATTCTACGTGCATGACGTTCCTTTGTGTTGGGACGACGACAGGGCAAGCTGGAGATTTGGAGCAATTGACTACTTTGAAATCGTTGCTTCGGTAGGAGAGACCAATACTTAGGGCCAGTCTCGACTCGTTCTGTGCCACAACAGAGAAACGAAAAGGCTGCGGAAGTTAGAATGCACTCATCACTTAAACACTTGCCTGAACATCAACAGCCGTATACACAAACTCTAGGCAGTTAGAGGTGAGAGGTGACACTAATTCTCATTATCGCATCGACCTAGGCCCTAAATTTTTTTAAGCTCGCTCATTTCATTCCACTTCGTCCATCATCTTTCACCCATCCATGCATGAGCCAGTGTTCATGTCAACGCATCAATGACACGTTCGCCCATCCATCCATTTAAACCTCGAGCTATCACAGCTCTCCACAACATATCTCCTCCAAGGCCGATACCTCGATTGATCATTCCATCATCTCCTCTCAATCCGTTCAAACCAACTCATCCCAAACGCCAGTCTGCCAACCCAGCCAAATAGTTTCCGCGACGAGACCGGATCAAGCGCCATGCCGACACCGCCCAAACGCCTATTCCCAGTTTGAGACAGACCAATCCCATAAGCACAATCGGTCGTGTACAATGTACATAGGACTCCACATATTAATCCTACATTTCTTCTCTCTTCATGCTGTCATCTGTTGTCGTGCCGATATTCACGCCGTACTCATTCACTGGCTCCGTCCATCATCTTCGCTTCCCCCAACCCGTGCTCCCCCAACAGGCATCGGCGGACTCGAACTCTTACTCCTCTTCCAGAAGTTCATACGGAATCGACTCGGTTTCTTCTTTAACGTCTTGACCTTGTCCATAATCAGCATTCCCTTGTTCTCTTCCTTTTCCTTCCCATCATCACCGGCTGATGACGTTTCGCTTTGATCCTTTTGTCTACTGTCACGAGGACTCGGAGTCGGACTTGAGCTGGGACAAGGACTACTTCGGTAGTCGTGGTTCGGAGTTTCGATACGATTTGGTGTCCCTGTAGGTGTTAAGACCGAATTGCCCTCCTTGCTAAGAGATTCTGAATCGCTCATGATGCTTGTACCTTGAGTGCTAGGACTTAACGGCATCTTGCCTGTTGTTGCGCTTGTAGCTTGACTCGTCCAATCTCCAATAGCCGAGTTGCTGCCTTCTGTTCCTTCGCTGCTACGTTCGGTTCGTAGCTTATCCGAGCCTCGCGATTTGGGTTCCAGAGGAGTTGGAGGATCGACAACGACAGCATCGGTTACCAGTGATGGCGTTACCGCAAAGCCATTCATCTGGAGCTGGCCATTGGGCAGTACGTGGGAGTCTTGACTGGGATGGTCAAGCAAGCCAGGAGCACTAGCTGTTGCAAAGCTGAGCTGGAGTTGACTTGGCTTGACAGTCCGTTTTGAAGCGGTGTCTGCTTCACTTGCCGGTGATGAGGCTTCCGACAGGGAAAGAGGCGACGTCGAGATCTCCGGAAGCGATTGATGATGTGGTGTTGTCTCGTCCAAGACACCATTCGCAGGCGTGAAAGAGGGCTTGCTCAATACAGTCTTCCTCAGGTCAGGCTCAGGGGACAACGTGGCATTACTTAACTTCTGGTGACTTGCATCAGAAGGATTTGCCACGCTCATCGTACGCGGGGAGAACATGCCGTCCTTCATTAACGAATCTTCGCTGTCTTGTCTTGCTTTCGCTTGCTCATCTGCAATCTTCTCCTCCCAAGCAGCCTTATTAGATTGAAGCTCTTCCACACAAAAGGCCATTCCTGGCATGACATCAGTGACTCCTTGGAACAATGGTATGGCGAACATGTTCATGAAGCTAATCTGGGACTTTCCAAGCTCGACGACCTCTCGTACGGGAGCTGCAAAAAGCGCGGAAGGGATGCCGAGATCTTGTTCCATCGAGGCTTGGCGAGCAAACTCGTCCGTCAATATCATTGTCCATTGTGCTGCAACATTATATTTTCGAGCCTATCATTATCAGCAGGATACCGAAAACAACAGAAGTTCACATACCACATTACTAATATCAGCACACTTGATCAGCAATGAGCAAGCGAGAGTCCGTTGTTCCTCAATAAGTCTACCATTCCAGCCATCAGTACCTCCGTTCTCGTGCAACTTATCTTGAAGCCATCCAAGCTTCTTCATGTAATCGAAATGAAGACCCATATCGGTTGCGAGGATGGAGTTGATCATGAGTTGCCTCATCTCAACTCCTTGAAATGCGGCTGGCCAATGACGACGAAGAATTTGCGAGTATGCCGCACAATGGAATGATTCGAGAACTGATCTATCGTTGTAGAGCTGAGCTAGAGGAGCATTAAGAGTAACCAGGAAGGCATTATTGACGCCAGGATGACCAACATCGTGACCGATGGCGGTGATCAGTAACGTGAGAGCGTCGAAAGGTCGAATAAGCTGTGCGATTGGGGACGGCGGTAGACTCGAGGAAGTCGTAGCAGCGGGGTACGGGGGTAATCTTCCCAGTCGCACGAGGAAGTGGAAGATGGCTTGTAAGACATCGACGACATGGCGAAAGTTGTGATAGGGAACAAAGGCATTGTACGCAGAACGACTGGCTATTAAGAAGCCTGTGAGGTTTTCTGTGTCGGATGTTAGCATACGGCAGCACAAAAATCCGAAACATGATCACAAGGTGTTCCGCCTTACCTGTCGATATCCGCCACTTCTCCAATTCCGGCATTGCAAGTGCATGCTGTAGCATGAGGAGTGCTGCATGCAACAGCTCATCGTCTGTGAAATCGTGGGCCGAGAAATTCCATGAAGCAACAGCTGCTGAGATCTTCTCGCGGCGATCTAATGCGATAGAGATCCTGACATGACCAAAAGACTCATCCTCTCCACCTAGTTTGCAAATACCATCCATTAAGCCTGAGACCATTGCCTCCCGTAAATACGCGTACGGCTTCGAATCATCCACTCCTACCCAAGACCGCTTCCTGCCTCGCTTCATCTCGAGTAGTGCTCTTTGTTCCTTAGACGCATCCTTATGCGCCCTGTATGCATGAATTGCTAGGCTGGGTAGTCGTTCGTGCAGAAGTGGACTTGTCAAAACGTCTACAGCTCCGATATCTAGATATCGGACGGTTCTGATTTGATCTAATGGCTTGACCAATCCAGCGCGCTTCTTCTGCGAAAATGAATAGCTGAATTGCTTTCTTGATTCGGAGTCTGTCCGTGATCTGGATATCGTAGGCAGCAAATTATGCTCTGGTATCGAGACGACTGCCACTGGAACCACCAGCCTTGATAAGCTCTGATATTGTATTTCCGATGCTATCCACTGCAGAAGCTTTAAGCCGTATGCCTCATCAGAGCGCTCCTCGAGTATTCCAATCTGTTGCTTCGAGCTTGGAGATGGCGTCCGTATTTCTCTCCCCGGTCGCTCGTTCAATTGGTCTTCGTACGGGATGTCAATGAGGACGAGGGTAGGTATTAATTCGACAATCGACGCTTGATTCAACTCGGAGAGTTTCGAGACACAGGCTTTCCCCGATGTGCAGACATGGACTGAAGAATGTCAGAGTTAAGCTGGGAGGAACGGACATTGGCAACCTACCTTCACTAAATGTCTCGAGCAAGACTTGGAGGTTCTCTTCCACGGGACTGGGAGCATTGGAAACCGGCGCATGATTATCTGCGGCATGGTTTGGAGGCTTATCTAAACTGGACAATGTCGCATCGTCCCTCTTCACCAACTTGTCCTCCTGGGCTGTGCGATCCACATACACCACATTGCATGCCGCGTAGTCCATAACTGCTTCGCGCACCGCGACAGCGGAAGTCGATGTCCCCTCTGGTCGTCCCCAATCGCAGTGGATGTGGCCTTATCCCCTAGAAATATGGAAGATGATATTGTCCGGGACGCCGTAAGTAATGCGATCTCTTGTATGAAAGTCCCCGTGTCGCACGGAGATGGCTCGAGCGCTTGGTTGTTCAGACGAGTCAGGCTTTCGTCAGAAAGACTCTGGGCCTCGTCGGGGGCGTGACGGGGGAGGCGGCGTGGTGAAGGACGATGTATCGCAAAGGGAGGGAGGAATGTGATGAATGTCGAAGTTGCCGTCGGCGAAAGGTCCCAGTGAATGGGCGATGTTTCGCGATTGCAGGGAAGGCAAGGGCGGCTGGAATTCGGCCCTGGACGGTCTCGGAGGGTCCTCCCTCCTCTTTTCTCTCTCTGTGTATCTCAACAACAATTATTTCGAAAGGGAGGCCGACAGCGAGGTGAGGTTACTCGCACACGTGTGGGGGGAAGAGAACAGGTGGGAATTGAGGTGGGCCGGCTCTCGCAGCACATCAATTGGGTCCTGGTGGTACACGGATGTCATGGAAATCTCGAGTTCTGCTGCAAGACTGCCGTTCGCGCGCAGAAGCACAGGCACGAGCAATCGAATGCGGTATGTGCTGGGGGATCGCTAAGGCTGGAATGGAATGGACAACCTATGGAGACGAACAAGAGCTGCCAAAGAAGGTCCTCGTCATAACGATGCGAGAATCATTCGTAGTCGTGGGGATTGAGTGGCGGGTGGCGGGTGGCGGGTGTGAATGCGACAGACGATTGAGGGTTGAGGGTTGGGTGAGGGTTGGAGTTGAAGATGTCTGTCTGTCTGTCCGAGTTTCTCGGAGATGTTGACGGGGGAAGAGTGAGTTGAGTGAGAACAAGAACAAGGGAACAGAACAAGAACGGAGCAGAATAATCGAGAGTCAAAGTGAGCCGAGTCTAAACTAAGAATTGTGACTTGAGTTTGACTGGATCGACTTGGCTTCAGTTGACCGGGTTTGGGTCTCGAAGCTTAGACTTTTTACTTTTAGACTGACGGGCCTGGCGTCGTTGTTGGACGGAGGAAACCTTGGGGACGGAAGTCGAGACAGACACTGGACCAAGAGCAGCAGCAACAGGTGGAGGAGGAGTTCGTGAGATGAGAGAGGAAAGAGGCCAAGCGTGCATCAGGACTGGTCAGAACCATGGAATGTGGGTACGCCGGGGGGCTTGCGGGAATGGGAAGCTCCATTGGTGGCCGAAGAGAATAAACTGGGTCTCTCAGGCGTTGGCGTTGAGCTAGAAAGTTAGAATGAGTAGTGATTGGATGGCCTCGGGACTCTGACTGGGATGAGCCGGGAGAGCGTGGGACATCTAAGCTATATACAGCTAGACGGGAGTGACGCGAGATCTTACAGTAAAGTGGCCACAGAAATTGTTCTCGAAGTCCGCTAGAGGCCTTCTATTACTGACGGAGTGGACCTTGCTGCTGCTGGTGCTGCTGCTGGTGCTGAGGATAACTGGGGGCCACAATTACGCAAACGAGTGGCACATTTCGCGGATGCTGATTGATGATTGATGATGACCTTCTCTGCCTTACATTCCCTGGTCTTCCCTTACCTGCGGAGTCCCAATTTATTCTGATAATCATGACATGGAAGAGGTGCGTTTCACCATAGCAAAAATCCATAAGGTGGCCGGCCGTTCTTGCCTTCATCTATTACTACTCACTCCGCGTTGATTAAGTTCGCCTCGGTCTCGGTCTGCAATCTATGTCCACCGGTCCCATCCCATCATAGGCAGGAAGGAACCCAGGTGTAGTATAGTATAGTATGCTGCGGGACATATATCACCAAACGGATCTCTTCCTCCTGCTCTCGCTTCTCACTTGCCTCGAGTTAAGTAACTTCCTCGCTCTTCAGGAAGGTCGTTTCGCCCGCGCTTCGCTTATGGGTTCGGTATGTATATTAATATGGGCCTGCCATCTTCTTCGCAGCTTCTAGTGCTGAGCCAAGTCAACCCCAGAAATGTACAGTACCGAAGTCGCACTTTGAGTGACTTGAAATAAGCAGAAGGCTGGTGGACAACTGATGACCTTCCGCATTTCGCTGTGATCTTCTTCATAGCCTTCATCTTCGGACTTTGCGAAGGCCCGTCGTTCTCACGACTTTCATCGTTGAGATGCAGCACAAAGACTGACCGTCCCATTCAGTCCGTGACAGACGAGGTTCAGCTGTCTCGTTCACAGACCGACCGTTATCGACTTTCCCGCCGCTCGAAAAAGGAAGATGTAGGCTGAAAGGGTGGGTACGGGTACTGTATAAAAAGAAGCAGGATATGGATATGCAGACAGAACATGAACATGCAGATGCACGTTGCCTTCTGATGGCACTCCCGGCTTGCTATTCGCAGGTCGAGTCTTGCTGCGCGAAGGGTATGTGTTTCAGGTTGTCCTTCCTTTTGCCAGCCCGTCTTGCTGTCTTGCTGTCTTGCTTTCCCCTGAAAGAGGCACTCTGAGTACTCACACGCATTCAAATCAATACTGTATGAATACAACACCCAGCCAAGCATCTTCTTCACTCTTGCCACATACATACGCTCTTTGGACGACGACCTGCAGCAGCTTTTCTCTTTCTCGGCGTTCTTGTTTTTATTATCTGCGGCTGTCCATCCTAGGCGCAATTGCATCCATCGAGCCATCGTACGCTCTCGTATCCGTGTCCCTCTCCTCTCCTCTCCTCTCTCCCACGCGCAAGATTCCCTTTTTGCCACAATCCCCTTCTTCCCAACCAAATTCAATCCCAGCGAAGCTTGATCTCCTCATCCAACCTATCACGGCCCATTGTTATTGTGCCCCTCACTCAAGCAATCCATCACCGTCGCATCCTGGCGCAACATCCTGGCCCGCGTTCTCCACACACGGTGCACATGGAGGCAAAAATCCGAATGCGCAATCCGATCGGGGCACAACACCAACACACCACCACCAACCCCAATGCCGTACTTTAAACTCTGTCACCCCACCATCCCGGATCTTGGTTGCTGGCATCACATCAGCATCAGCATCAGCATCAGCATCCGCACGAGACCCCCGATGCTGAGGAAAGGGTACAGTAACACCTGCCTAGGTACCAGCCCACGCAGTCATGCTTCGATCGCATCAAACAAACATTCCTTTTGACGGGAACCTGCGTGGAAGCTTCTACTGTAAAATAAATCGGCCGAAGAACGGCTTCGGAAACACTACTGTATCGATCAATCATCTCGACCTTCCAATTCAGGCACGTGAAATCCAGCCAATCACAACACTCAGCTGTGGCACTCAAGCCACAAGATCTTCATCTCGGACGATAAAGATGCTTTGGGGATTTGTACTATCCCCCCCCCCCTCCCCATGAATAAAGGGCCGGTGGAGACATTTTGAGGCTGTGTAGTGACAAGGGGGTGTGCCAGTAGGAATCTAGAAATTTCTAAGGTGGAGATCACACTTTTAATTTTATTGGCAGACACCCCCTTGTTGCTATTCAGCCCTATTGTTCTCCACCGGCCCTTTATTCATGGGGGTGGATAGTACAGTAAGTCCCCTCTTTCATTCCCGAGCTGCAACATTGATACTGTAACGGGAATTATTCAATCCTGGCTCCGCTTATGGAGACGCCGAGGTTGTGAGTCAAAGAGTCGAGTTGCCCGCTCATATGTATGAATATGAATATGAATAATACCCGCTTGTAGCTTTGAGTAGTGACCATTCTCTCCAAGTGGTAGAATTGCGCTATTGCGCTCCCGAAAAGACTTGCGGGTACTTGAGTTGGGTTGCATGAAGTTATCGTCGTCACGTGTTCTGAGTCATTTACTTGGTCATCAGAGCTGCATCAAACATGCTTCAAGGAAGAGATTTTTGGTGGCTGTATTACGAGATGTGATATAAGAGATTATTTAATACTGTTTAGAAAGTCCAATTCAAAGTCCATCATTGCAATTATATTCCTTCAAATCTTTGACTAATTCCAAAATTTACTCTTCAAAACCCACATCTCATCTCTCTCCAACCATATATAAGATCATGAACCCACAAGATCTCAACGAAAAGGCACACCCAATCTCCCTCAACTTCATCGAAACTCGCAAAGACTCAATCACAAGTTCCCCATCCCTCCTATCCCAAATGCGTCACCGTCTCCGCTTCATCTCCTTCTGGAACATCAAACCTGGCTCTCGCGTCCTAGAAATTGGTTGCGGACAAGGTGATACGACTGTTGTACTCGCTGATGCCGTTGGTGAGGATGGACATGTTGATGCTATTGATCCGGGGAGTTTGGATTATGGTTCGTCGCTTTTCTTCCTTTTTATTCTCATCTTGTGAACTGTCTAATTCTCAATTTCCTCTGTTCGAAATTTTAAAGAGGTTAAAGACTAACGAACACAAACAGGCTCCCCCCAAACCCTCGGCCAAGCACAACAACACATCAAATCCTCTCCCCTCGGCCCGCGCGTCACATTCCACTGCCCAATGGATACAATAACCTACCTAACCTCCTACACCGGCCCAAAATACGACTACGCAGTCCTCTCCCGTAACCATCCCAACCCCATCTCATCCCTTTCCTTCCAATTCCTTCCATTCCCACTAACAAACAAACTCCAGACTGCATATCCTACTTCCCCCACCCCACAACCCTACCCACCCTCCTCACCTCTCTCGGTCCACACACCACCAAACTCTGCATCGCAGAATGGTCCCTCTCCCCCTCCCTCCTCTCCCCCGCCCCATCAACCCCACACATCCTCGCCACCCTGCTCTTCACCTACATGGAGACCCTCCTCTCTTCCCCCTCGGAAAACAATATCCGCACCGCTCTATCGCCTGCGCAGATCAAAGCCTCGGTACCCTCGAGGTTTAGGTTGGAGAGAGAGGAAATGCTGGAGACGGATAGAGAGATGCAGGATGGGTATTGGGAGGTTAAGGATTTGCTGGGGAGGGGGAAGAGGGAGTGGTGGGGTTTAGATGAGATTGCGAGGGATGAGAAGGAGAGGGCTGTGCTTGAGGGGTGGTTTTGGGCGCTGAGGGTACGTTGGATTTTTTTTTCAGTTTAGGAGCTGAGCGAGATTCTCGGGAGTTGCTTTATGAACAAGACGCTGCTTCAACTCCTCGACTCTTTGGTTTCCATCAAAAGTGTATACTGATTTTCGATAGGAGGCGACGGAAGCGGTCGGTGGTGTCGAGGAGGTTAGGTGTATGAGGGTTTGGGTTGGGGTATTTGGGTTGGGGGGTGATGGGGAGGCTTAGTTTTGGTTTCTGGGCGAGAGAGAGAGGTGGGTTTGAGGTTGTTTTTGATTTAAGCTCGATTGATTGTTGATATCCTTAGATATTTTGCCTTTTGCTCTGTGTTATTTAAAAATTTTAGTCTGTTCTCTGTATTCCTGTTATTCTGGCTAAGCATACTGCATCTGAGCTAGAAGTGAGGAGAGTCAAGCGTTGGCGTGCAGTTCTAGCTTTTGTTTTTGCTAGAAGTCCTTTTCCGAACCTTACATACTTCTATCAAAAAATTCAGAATCTCATACCAATCATGTTCCCTCGTAATTCAAGTTCATAACGGCAGTTATAATATAAGCTACCATTGTCCCAGAGTTTGTGGGACAGAATGAGTATGCTAAGTTCTAAGCGTTAACCAAACTTTGAGAGATCAAGAATAGATGAAGTTGCGTACATCTCGAAGAACCTACTTTTCCCACTTACATTGTCTGACAAGCTCTGGCACAACATCCTCTTATGTTCTAACTTTTGCATGCACATTCATGGCAATGAATGTTTTGGCAAAGCAGCTCGATTCCAATTTTTACAACAGCGTTCTCCGCGTCCGCCCTTGAGCTTAAGCGAGATGACCTGCTCAAGTATTTTATATGCTAGGTGCAGCATACATACATTCTCTCCCCTGACTTTCGCCCTCTAGTTTCATATCATAGAGCCCCTCATTCCTGGAGCTTCAAGGCTACCTCCAAAAAGCATCAAGGAATAATCACGTGCCTTCTTTAATCGTGATTTCTTCCTTTATCCCCTATCATTGTTACTTCAGCCAGGAGCACAAGGTTGTCTCTTTGTTGATTAAAGGTTTTCCTCGCTTTAGTATAGTTGTCGATAGTAGGGCATATGGATCAGTAGACTAATGGTTCTTCGTCGCAATAAGTACTTTAGTCGGCTCTCTCCGCACTTTGCGCATTCCGCGTGATTTGCGCTACTTGCGCAATGTGCAATGTGCGCCTTTCGCGCCGCCTTCGGTGAAAATTCATACCAATGTTTCTTGCCTACTTTCTTGAATGGTTGAGAAACCCCTTTTCCAAATTATGTACCCCATATGTTCGCGGCGAGTTCCATCTGCGCCAAGAGATATTTGGAGTGAAATTTCATCTTCAAGTCGGCGAAACATCCTTAATCAGGATCCCAAGTCATGATCATATTTCATATGTCAAGCCTCATCTCAAAAGGCCTAATCTCATGTCTCGCGTGCCTTTTATTTGCAAATATTATGATCAAAGTTCTTTTTTCTCAAGCGCTCTTGACAATATTCTTCTTGTCTACCGGATGAAAGCTGACTGAGAACTCGGATACAAAGGCAACTTGGACAGCAAGCTGTTGGCGAAGGCGTCTCGACACACTAACATTCAAGTTTGCTACAAGAAAGTCGGTCGTCATACCATACGTTGAGACGCCTTGACTTGGAATCATTATCAGAAGTCCCAAAATAGAATTCTTTGAATTATCATCCGCTTCGCTTCTGCTGCTTTATCATTTCAGCAACCTTTCTTTGTCTCAGTGTGGGGATTTGGGATATGAGAACAAGGAAGATCTTCACAGATCTTTGGAATCCAGCTTTGATGATTGGACAGCTGCTTTTGTCAATGGATAAGTGCCTTTCAGGTCTTGACTTCCTTGACGAGTAGAAGACGATTGTCTGTCTAGTCCTTATAATATCATCCACCCCAAGCCCCAACTTCATCCTACAGAAATTCCCCAAAAAATTAACAAAAAAAAATCAACACAAAAAATATCATTCAACCACACACGTTGCTGGCAACATATTACACTTTAAGTCTTCACTTACAAACACAATCATTATACAACAAAACTCAAACACAACTCTCTTTATCAACATTCAAAATGCAAAACTTCTTCACTTACCTCGCACTCTCCCTAGCAGCAGCAACAACCACGCTCGCTCTCCCCACAAAAGCCATACCCGCCCCCAAAAACACAACCCTCCACACCCGCCAAGTCTCCGGAACGGCCCCGGTCCCTTACTACGACCTCGGCCTCGCGACTCCCATCTGCCTCCCCACCACCGGCGCAAACCTCTGCACCACCACCGTAGTCGGGTACCCGACCAACCAGCTCGCATGGGTCTACCTCTTCGACAACTCCTGCGACATCTAGGCCATGGACTCTGAGGCCTCTTGGTCTGCTCTGAGCGACGGGACGTATACGATGTCTACCAATGAATTGGTAGGTCCGGTCACCGTGCATGCGACAGAGAGTGATTTTATGCAGAATTATATCGATGATGATTATTGGGTTAGTATGAGTGGGTGGCAGCAGAATTGGAACGGGGATCAGAGGTATTGGAATGCGGGGTGGGAGGGTGGGGAGGCGGAGAATGGGTATGTGCTTAAGAGGGCGGTTTGGATTTGCTAGGGGGTGTGTGCTCGGAGATAGATTAGATTGAAGTATGGTTTCTTCAAGCAATGCAAGCATTTTGTAAGGCAGCAGATCACTCGTGTTAGTTCCAATCCCACGTGATGAACCATCCCAATGATCCTCCCTTCATGTAAACAAAGAAATAAATATGTTTCTAAATCAGACTATCAGTGCGCTTTTATCTGAGAATGGTGGGGCTTTCATCATTTCCCCTCCTCAATCGGGACAAGACCAAACTTGGACATCATCTTGCTATGCCAAGCCTTGAGTGAAAGCCCCTTAATTAAGCGAGGGCGGCGGGATGCTATTCACGGTGCTGCAAAGTGAAAGTAGCAATTTGATGGAATATGTGATAGTCAATTATGTAAGAGCAAAGTTCAAATGCTGTGACATCCTGAGAGCCGGTATAAATATCAAAACTTGAAGGTGAGCTTTACGAAGAAATCATGAGCGGTTCGAGTTTTGTAAATCTTCCATAAGTTGATGAAATAGGGGACCAATGATCAAAAGAGACAAATGCTTTGCTTGGTCAGGTAACATCCGATGTTCTGTTTTCGGAGACAGCACAAAACGTGTTTTCTCTCTTGTCAATGGACTTCACGAAGAATTCAGCAATAAATAGGCAATAGAAGCTGTGAACAAGTGAACAAGTGAACAATAAAATAATCAAATCAGGAAACATGTGCTAAAGAATATTTCACATAGTTCCATCCTGCTTTGAACGCCAGAATAGGTGAATTCGAGCCTTCTCAGCCTCGTTATCGACCGATTTCGGAGTTTCCTTTGACTCAACGAACGATCTGAACTTGGTCCAAGGTTCTTAAAAGCTTCCATCCACCACCTGCCGCCCACCACAACATCACAACATCACAAAACAATTTGACCACCAACAAGAAACCTTCTTCTTTGTCCATCAACCTTCCATAACGTCAACCACAATTCACAAGCGCAAACATACTCTTTGTCAACAAAAGAACTCAACTCACTGTCAACATGTTCGCCTTCGTTACCCTCCTGGCGGCCATCTTCACCTCAACTGTCTTGGCGATTCCCACTCAAGATCAATCTGCCAAGACCAGCCCAGCAATCAGTGCCAGAGACATCATCGAATACCCAATTCAAGCCACCCTGTGCAAGAACAATCCCAATGACGGAAACAGTATGAACTCCTTCCCATATCCTTTCCTCAGCTTTGATTCGACGACCAGTCATCCATCTCAGAAAATCTATACCATCACTTACATTGGTCTCAATGCTAATACCATCTAGTGTGCTTCATCTCATATGTCGATAACTCCATTTGGGTTGATCCGGTCCTTTGGGTATTTGATCACAACTGCGTCACTATTGGCTGTAAGTACCTTACTCATCTTCGAGCCCTCCTATATACTCTCCCAGAACCAATGGTTTCCTCCCTCCCATATTACCGTTTCGTTTTTACTTGTTCAAAATATTGTACTAACTTACCACAGACAACGGAGCAGTTCCTCGCAGCGAAATCGAAGAAAGCTACTTCGGCATGTCTTCTGAGCTCCCAGACCTCGTTGTCATCCATGCTGGCCTTGTCTTCGACGATCTGAATGATATCGACTTCTGGTACAATAACGTCCACACCTATCCTACCAGTGATTGGGGCAATATCGACGCGGGTTGGACTGAGAATGGTGTCCAGGCTGTCGATTCCAGCGGGACACCATGGATCTGGTACAGAATGGCATTCAGTTGCTAAGTAGATAGCTGGTGATGGGAGTCATCTTGCAGGATTGCACTTGCTTGAGGCATTCTGCTGGGATGATCTGAATGGCGGAATAATTGCGTTACTGCGAAGCCTTTCTGAGACTTCATCTCAATAACGTTGCTTTGCAAAAGATAAATGAAACACTGCCTGAATTTTACCCATTGGAGCGAGAACCCTGCAATCTTTGATTTTAACAAGCTCTCTAGCCCATCAGGAGAAATATAGGCACCTTTCATTTTACGAAGGACTTGAGAAAACCGGCTGTTGAAACGAGCTTATGCTATGCAACTCAAACATGAAGAGGGAGACATCGGACTTGTCGAATGAGATTTGACAACGCTACTCTCCATGTTCGTTTTGGAATTACACGTGAAAAGCTTCACTCTAACCCTCGCGCAAAATTCTGTTTGGTTCTTGGGATCTTGAGTAGAGATGGTTTATATAAACGACTTCTTTGCTCAACCTGGCCCTCACTTGTTTTAAGTTACATATCAACGAGCAAACAAATACGGCACCATTAAACATCAACACCCTACCCGCACTTGAGACTCCCTTGTCAATTTATGCGCAAAGATTCGTCGACGAGATACCATTTTACCTTATCCACAACCCTTCAGTCCACAGTATTTCATTCGCGGCCAAGAAACCCCCCACAGGTCTTCGTAAGATTCTCCTTAATCCATACCAGATGTGCACGGCTAAGACTCTTTCAGATGAAGCATCGGTGAACAACTTCACTCTACTTGGACTACGAACTTCCGGCAGAAACAAACATAAGCACTCAATCAACAAGATGGCACCTAACAAGCGAAACATCTTTACCATACTCTTCGCCATACTACTCCTCCTCGCGTCGGCGAGCGCCGCACCATACCTGAATTCAAGCAGCACATCTGTCGAAGAACTTCATTCCAGAGGCGCCTCAGATTACCGCGCCTATCTTGTCAATGCACTGCTCTGCAAAGCAAACCCAACCAATCTCAACATGTGCACACTTGCAACAATTGACATACAAATTCCAATTCCGTCCGGCTACGCCTACGACGGTGTCGCGATTTATGTTTTTGACCACAATTGCGTGGTCATTGGATACAACCCTCAAGTTGATAGAAAGCAACTCAACGGACAAGCCGAAAACGATTGTTTCGGAATGTCTTCGGAACTGCCTCACTATGTTATCGTCTGTCAGAGTGGCCTTTGGTTTCCGGATCCTATTGGTGCAATGGGAATCTGGTATAATGGAGAATTTGTGGCTCCTAGTGAAGACACGGCGAATCTCGTGGCAGGATACACTGGTATTGGTACTGCGCAAGACGATGTTTGGTGGAATTATGCTTGGGCTCGCGTAGCTTTCCCCTGCTGAGGTAGCCCTTATTTACCTGGCGTTGGACATTGATGTGGAAATATTCCTTAGAACCTCAATTTTTCATTTCCAGCCGGTTGAGTTAAGATACGCATTGGATGGAGGGGTGAATGACTTTACAAAAAGCGGTGTCATGATGACATAAAGATAGCGGTTACTGCGTTGGATCATAGCTGTTGAGGTTTATTAAGGAAATGAAAAACCTTTCTCGAAGCTATGTGATGTAATTCTTAATTTGTACCGACAGATGCCAACTAAAGAGTTTTCAAACTCCATTTTCAACATTCGTGTCCTAGCTTTATTCGATCTCATGCTCTGGCTAATCCTTTCATCAGCACCGGAGAACAATTTTTCTCCAATCAGAGAGAGCTGACCGCGTCGGCAGCTGCTCAATGCTTATGACCACCAACTGTTACTGCGTGTTGAATCATGACTCAAGCGAGTGGACCGGGTGCTGAGCCCCAAGACTTGGAGCTGGTGAATCGTCACTTTGCCATGACTCAAGAGAGAACCGACAAAGTTCTTTACTCAGGAGCGCGTACAAATTCTCGAGGGCGTCGAGGTGAGTTCATGGATACTCCTTCACCATACACGCAACCTCCACAGAGTACTGGACCTCACAAAGTCTTACTTCGGCAAAACGATCTCATCTAAAATACAACACCGAACTTTCACATCTTACCTACCACTGCTATCCTATTCTCAGCAACATGGTCGCCCACAAATTCAATTTGTTCCTCTTCATCCTTGCTTTTGGTGCCATCAAGGTACCCTCAGGTCCTATCAGCACCGCTCTGCCTGAGATTACGACCGCGTCTCAGTTATTCAACCTTACCAAGTCCAGTCTCCCTGCCCATGATTGTGATCCCATCGTAAGTTGAACCCCATACCGCCATTTTCAGCATAGTTCCAGACATGACACTTGTTTCAACCTTTAAGTCATGAGGAATAAAAGCAATGGCCGTCATCTGTTTGTGAAGTTTTCAGACGGCTCCAAGCTCCGAAACCTCAAAATCTCTTTTCCACTCTCCAGAAGTGCTGATTCGTTGAGCAGTGTGTCGACGACATATGTACCCACCAGCTGGCCATGAACATTGGTACGAACGGCAACCCCGGAATATGTTACTTCTCCACCTTAAGCCATTTCTCGAATGGGATCGGCACTACAAGTAACATAAATGTTGTAACCAGTCTCTACGCCTTTCGAAACGATTGTTCTCTGATTGGATACAATCCCGGTATACAGCTCCATGACGATGAAACATTCGGCTTCTCATCTGAAATGCCGGATTACATCTTGGTTATGACTAGTCGGTCAACAAGAACTGGTATTCACCCCGAAATGTGGTACAGCAGTGTATGGAATCCCAGTCCCGAATGCTGGAATCCTGATGCCAATCAGTCAGGACCTCCGCAAATGGCTTGCAGGTTTGCTCTCGCGTGTCAGTAGACTGAGGTGGGAAGTGTTGGTGTGGAGAGTGAAGCTTGAAGTCTTGTTGTAAGAAGTACGAATCTGCTGGATCAGGCTGCATTGGATGGAATTCAATCATACGAAGATCTTCAAACTTTATCTCTTCTCCCTACGTTTGAAAACTATTGCAGTGACTTTCGAAAGCCTGAGTGGCATCACCAGATCATCGTTGGTTTCACATATACAAGCTATCTTCAGTAAAAGAAGTTGTAAGGTGTATCAGCTTGCCGAATCATTTCATACATCCACGTCCTCATCAAGTATAGATAATAAATGTTCCATGCTGAATTTATCTCCTACTTCTCGAGGAGAAAGTCTCGTTTGTCGTTGAATGTTAGATTAGTCATCCAGTTTCAGAAATCCACTTAAGAAACTAACGTCACTCATCCCACTTTCAGAACTCAGATATCGGGTTAGATGCAAACAGAATCTGCCGAAGCCAGGATTTGATACTTGCACATGTAAGAGAGCCAATTTAAGGGCCGACCTTGACACTTGGCCGTTGATAAGAGATCGGGGAAGTAGAGCCAGCTATGGCATCTACGCGATCTTTCAAACGAATGGTTGAGGTGAGAATTGATACGACTAGGCATTCGGTAGGCCATCTCCGCCCCTCGCTGAAGTTATCTTCTAGGAGCAAGTCTATGTTATGGAGATTTCGAGGTTCCTGGCTAGGTCTGAATACAAAGTTACTTGTAATTCGTTTGAAAATCCCACTTATGGAATCCTCAATGCTTGTCGCCCTTCCTTCGTCCCTGCAAGGAACCTTTCGTTGACTGGCAGACAGCATATGGACGTCATGGCAGGTGATCAGCGGGGAAACAACGTTGGTCTCATTATGCTTATCAAGAAGATATCTATCCGTTGGCCAACACTATGGAGATAGGGTATCTCGAGGATGTGTACTTCCAGCTTAAAGTGGTGGTCTTTCGAGTACAAAAGCACTTTCTCTACACTATGTTCGACCTCGCCTGAGTTCAAGTTCTCGAAATGGCTACTTCAATTCCGCCAGTTTTCAGTGAAGGTGTAGGATATGGAATTATCGTTGGGTTAGGCGCTGCGTTTGCCCTGGGCATGGGTGCTGTTTCGTGGGGTCTGGAGCGATACTTCGCCGAAGTACAAACCTCTGAAATGTTCATGACTGCAAAGCACTCCGTGAAGACGGGCTTGACTGCGTCTGCTGTCGTCTCATCCTGGACGATTGCAGCCACTTTACTGACCTCAACTACAGGTAAGTCAAGTTTGGTCGCTACCACAGAAGGAACCTGGCACTGATAAATATAGAGGGATATTTGTACGGCGTATCGGGACCATTCTGGTATGGCGCTGGAGCATCCGTACAGATTTTGCTTTTCTCTGTCGCTGCAATCGAGTTGAAACGAAAAGCTCCAAATGCACATACTTTTCTCGAGGTGGCCCGCACCAGATATGGCGCTGGAGCCCACATCACTCTGGGGTGCTACTCGTTATTTTATCAAATCATTCAAGCTGTCAATCTCCTTGTTGGAGGTTCCACGGTCTTCTCGGCCTTGACAGGCATGAATCGAGATGCTGCTTGTTTTCTTTTTCCTCTTGGTGTTATGTTTTACACGCTTCTAGGTGGAATCAAAGCGACATTCTTGACCGACTGGGTAGGTCCACAAAGAAAAGAGCGAAAGAGTCTAGCTGACTGAACATGCCAGGCTCATACCGTGGTAATTTACGTGATTATGCTGACCGCACTCTTCACTGTATACACCACTTCGAATGTAGTAGGATCCACAGACAAGATGTTTGAGCTCCTTCAAACAGCTGCCCAGCTTCATCCAGTCGAGGGGAATGCAGACGGATCATACTTGACAATGAGAAGTCAAGGAGGTGGATACATTGGATTGATATTTGTAGGAGCCGGGTTCGCAGCTGCTGTGGACTCTCAATTATTTCAAAAGGCAATTGCTGCTGATCCATCGTCAACCTTAGCAGGATATTTAATTGGAGGGTCCAGCTGGTTCACCATCCCTTTCGTACTTGCAACGACATTTGGCTTGACAGCTGCCGCGACCGAACATTTGCCAAGCTTTCCCACGTACCCCAATCGCATGACTTCGGCAGAGGTGTCAACTGGATTGGCGATGCCTTATGGAGCTTTGGCAGTGATGGGCAAGGGTGGAGGCGTTGCCGTTCTCCTGATGGCTTTCATGGCGGTCACCTCAGCGATGTCATCAGAAACAGTGGCCACTGCAGCGCTCCTCACCTATGATTTCTATCAAGCTTACATAAATCCACAAGCCACTGGAGAGCAACTTGTGAGATTTTCTCATTACGTTGTGGTCGGATTTGGCTTGTTTGCCTCGGCCATCGCGGTGGGGTTCAATCACGCGGGCTTCTCAGTCACCTTTCTCGTTACCGCCATTGGCATCATCGTGGACTCCGCTATTATACCTATGGCGTGCACGCTCATGTGGAAGAAACAGTCCAAAGCAGCTGTCATTTTGTCACCTCTAATCTCATCCACAGCTGCCATTGCTGCATGGCTAGCAACGGCATACACTCACTTCGGGTCCGTCACCATCGCCACTACCAGCGAGAACTTACCACTGGTCGCTGGGAACATGATGTCCCTTGGTGGACCGATTGTCTTGACTCCATTGATTACTTATCTCAGACCAGACAATTATGATTGGCATCTTCTCAAGAACATCAAGCAAGCGGATGATGCAGACATAACACCTGTCGTACTTCCAACGATGCCAAGCGCATTGGCAGCTGATGAAGCTCTTGCTACCAAAGAGGAAATAGACGATAGTGTTCTTCTGCGAGCAAGGAAGTGGTCCATCATTGCAAGCATATTCTTAACCTTGGCTTACTTGATTCTCTGGCCGATTCCGATGTATGCGACAAGTTACGGTACGGAGAACTTGCAAACCATTATGTACTCAACTGACTCCTCTCTCTAGTGTTTTCAGAAGGATTCTTCAAGGGCTGGATCGTCGTCGTCTTTCTTTGGGCCTTTTATGCTAGCTCTGTCATCACTCTATTGCCATTGTGGGAAGGACGACATTCGATTGCATCCTTTGCACTGTTCACTTTTGGAATTCGGAGTAAGAAGTCGAAGACCAATGGCGAGTTTATCGAGGGACTTAGGACGGACTCTCTACTTGAGAATAATCCTAAGGTGGACGAGAAGACAACCGATGTTGAGATGAAACAAACAGGGTGAAGGTTGGGGGTGCATAGGTGATCTGATATGATTCTTGTCATCAAGAACATCTTGGTACACTACTCTTCACGGATCAAACTACTTGAAATTAGATCGTGTTGCCGTCTGATAATCGGATGAATATCACTAGTAGTAGTTCCATGTCTTCGAGTCATTTAGTCAATGTGCAAGCACCTGTTCTTCCACTTTGACTCATCTCCTTTTGCGAGCACTTTTATCTGATCCCAGCATCAGCTCTTCGCCAGATGGGTGTAAGCAAGAGATTTCATTTATCAATGAATAGCGATCATCAGAGTAAGCTCCATTCTTTCCTTTTCTATCTTTCAAGAGCCGAAACCAAAAGTAGTGGAATGAATTAAAGCCTTGCTTGCAAGAAGCACTTCGAACTGACACCTAGTGCCAGAGAGAGCACAAAGCTGTTTGTCGAAGAGAGTCCTCGAAGATAGTTTTCTGCTGCATATCAATACAACTCAAGTACAACAGTACCCGACAGAATGCTTCTCATCACTCTCGCACTCCTTTTGCTCTTCTTCTCCGCCAGCAGCGCAACCCCATCAGCTCTCTTTCAGATATGCAACCTTCCAACCTAGCTTCTCGCGGATACCAAGTTCTCATCGCCGACCTCTGCACCCACGACCCCGTCACCGACCATCAGGACTAATGTTATTTTGTCTCTGTCAGCCACACACTGGCCGGTCAATACTCACCTCCCACCGAAAACACCCACGAGCTCTTCATCATGCGACAAGATTGCGAGGTCATCGGATATAATGCTGGGATTATAGTCGACTTTCACGATTCGTTCGGTATGACTTCCGAGTTACCAGACTATGTAGTTGTCAACATGTGGCAGTATGGAGAGGATGAAGCCTGGCACCTGTTGCCTACGTTCTGGTATAACTCACGCTGGACAGATAATCCATGGTGTTGGTATGAGAAGCCGGGTGAATTTCCTTTCATTTTGCAGCAGCAGGTTTCATGTAAAATACCATTTTTATGCGTGAACTGAGAGTGAAGCATTGTTGAGTATATTTGGTGCTGGAGACGTGTGGAGGGTGGTAACCCAAAGATCGTTGGCTTTGCATCTTCAGTCACCACGGATTTGTTGGAACAATAGAAAGCTCGGAGACTTAAGAGTAAACGGTTGTCCTCCAAAGTTGCATCGCATTTCGTGCTAGTACTTAGTTCAACCAGCGCCGTCTTGACTCGCTTCTTGCTTCGATCCCTCATCTTGAACCCACCTCTGGACTCTCCAGAACGCCCGCAAACAACCAATCGATACGCCAAAGTCTTCCATCCCAACTTGCATCCCAGCGACAGCCATCTTCCTCCTCAACCATTTCCCTCTTTGGTCTTCTTGACTCCCCGGACATGCGACAAGCAAGACCCAAAGAAAAATAGCCGGGATTTCCTTCCATTGGCTCATGCTAATGGAGTATAGATTGGTATAAAACTCATGAAGTAGGGTCGTAGTCCACAACTCAGAGATCGGGATAAGCATTGAGATTGAGAGAGTGTAGAGCAGGGCCGTGAGATTGATCATTGAAGTTGTCACTGTGATAAAAGGAGCATTGGGACTGGGGACGAGTGGTGGGGATGTAGAAATTCTTTCATGTAGCCCTGAATATGGTCAGCTTGGGGATTTGGGTCTTGAAGTAAGGGCAAAAGCTTACAAGCTGCCGTGCTCTGAATCTTGCGAGTACTGGTCGTATCCGAGGGCGAGGTTATGGACAACGTCAAGAATCGGACATCATCTAAGATCTCTGCTGCTTCCGGGCTGAGGCCAAGCACCATTCTATCATGGCGGAATGTCTCATGATAGGCAAGAAGCGGACTTCTGAGAAACTCGGGATATGTCGGAGGAATGGGAATGTCCATATGATTCGCCATGGCTGGGTCTATGAGGAACAAGTCTCGCTCGAAGCAACAAGCAAGTTCGAAGTCGGTGCTATACGCATTTAGCTGGAACAATGTATCAGACTCAAGTACTTACACCAAAAAGACTTGCTGTAGCACAGGATCATTCATTGCCTGAAAACCTCCGCGAAGCTTGATCATTTGCTTAATACCTGCCATATGCGCCCACAAGCTGGATGTTGTGCCCCACCACCACTTGAAAGGTTAGTAGTCTTAAGCAGTAGTCCTTAGAGCTTCGCTTACCTCAATCACAACTAAATGGATCACAGCGCGGAGTGCTTCTCCGCCTACCAAAGTGAAATCTTGTTTGAGAAAGTCATTGATCAGACCCAGGACTTGAGATTTTATTGCAATCATCTCCGAAGGTTTGACGATCAGCGAAGTTGGCTCTGCTGTCTGAGAAGCTGATGCCATCAAAATTGCGATATGAGGCATCAAAGGAGATTGAATCATCCATGGAAGCATTTCCCTCCTGAACAAGGCTGAAGTGGTGCTCCCATCAACAGAACACATGTTTGGAACAACAAAATAATGAACTAAGGAAAAGTGTCAGTCATCAACTGATCGAGCATGAAGAGTTTCAGGCAGCTTACAGAAGTTCCACAGCTCAGCATTGCGCATTGAGTCTTTCACGGATGCTCCATGCATGCCATTGATCTGAGTGAGTGCCCCGGCAAATGGTATTGGACTTGACGACGAAAACGCTTGGAAGTGGCCATGCTCTTCTAAGCACTGGGATATTGATTTCTTGTCGTCGACTGGTGTATCAGATCTCGACTTTCGTCTTGAACTCAAGTCGGTAGCTATAGAGCTCGATCCCAAGCTTGAGGAAAGGGTAGAAGCGACTTCAAGCTCGAGATCCGAATGACAGACAGAAGTAACCTCACCCTGACTTGGCGCTAAGGTCTTCCTCGAAGGCACCGTCTCAGAACGGGGGATAATCCTCGTCGAATCCGAAGGGTAACTTCCACTTCCTGCATCAAAAGTTACAGGACCCTTCAACTCTGGAATAATCACGTCAAGATCTTCCTTAGGCTTCCTCGGATCAGGGAGAAAGATGCACTGTACAGGAGGATAACGCCTCATACAATTTCCACAGGTCCCTTCGACTCTCGGGTTACACTGCAGCCGCAATCAGACGCATATCTCAACGACGAGGATCCAACTCACTTTTTGCTTCCGCCTCCTACACTCCGTACACGACAACTGGGCTCGTCGTCTCGACTTCCGCACTCCTGTACTCGAAGCTTTTGGCTGCATTGCATCGCATCATAGAGGATCAAAAGATGGGAGAGGCTTGAGATGTTCCGTTAAGGGGCCGCGGCGAGGCTGGAGTTTCTTCTGATGTTCTGCGGCCTGCAGCTGAAAACCAGGGATCAGCAGGCGAGTCAAGCGTCCAATCAGAATATGAATTTTCAGCCAAACTCCGAAGGAGTGCGCTTCTCACCTGACGCTGTGGAAGGGAAAGTGGCGTTTGTTGCACGTCGCAGTGAGAGGGCAGAAGGTCATAGCTTCACGAAGTCTAAATATAGAGTTCGGGAGTTAAGATCGTGAGCAAGTAGGAAATATAACTGTCATATTGTTCAGTTCTATGGTATCATTGCCCTCAGCTCAAGCTGAACTTTTCACCAACCAATTCCTCGCTCAAAGCCCAAAGTCTCTGCGCCATCTTCGGATCTGTTGCGAAAGGCGCGGCCTCGGCATACTGACAATCAGCCATATACACACCATTTGGCTCTACACCTGATTAGCAACCAAGATCAGAACGGCTGAAAGGATTCTGGCGAACTTGCAAGATGCCGAATCGCAAAGAGAGAAATCGTACCATTCAGTGCAGGATCAAAAGCTGCAACTAACGTTCCAGCAGCACCTTGATCCCCGTTCTTCCATGACTTCCCAGTAGACTTAATCAGTTTCTGTCCTTCGTCGTCAAGATTTCTTGCCAATCCTGTCCAAATTGCTGTGTCGCGTCAGCTTAGAGCTCTCCCACGAGGTATAAATTTGAAGAATCATGCAGCTTGAATTGACACGCGCATTCCTTTGCACGACCAGCTTCTCTCGCTCTGCAGATCCACTGACGAACAAAACTCCTTTTGATACGGAAAAAAAGCAGCAATATGAGAGACAAAACTCACAGCCAGGATGCACACTATAACTCCTCACATTCTTCCCTCCTAACCCCTCCTCTAGGCTCAAAGAAAAAAGTATATTCGCCGTCTTACTCTGCGCATAGGCCATAAACGGATTATACGGCTCTTTAGCATCCAACAACTGCGGCGGCAACCCTTTCGGCGGCTGTTCCTCTTCCGGTAAATCCACATAACTCTTCTTGAAATTATAATCGCTGAACCTAATAGGGGACAATCGATGTCCAGCCGATGTCAAGTTCACGATTCTGGTTGATCCTGGGGTGTTCGAAGAAGCAGCCGAGAGGACGACAGGGAGAAGGAGATTGGTGAGTAGAAAGAGTCCAATGTGGTTTGTTCCGAAATGTGTTTCTATTCCTTCCTTTGTTCCTTGCCAAGTTGGAATGTTCAACGCAGCATTGTTGATTATGACATCGAGTTTTGGCGTCAGAGAAGAGATATCCTTCGCTGCCGTCCGGATAGAAGCTTGGGATGAAAGGTCAACCAGAACTGATTTTGGAATGTTTGCTGTGCTGGATTTGATCTTGTCGATTACCTGGCTGATGTTGCTCGCCGTTCGAGAAGCGAGGATTAGGAGAGCTGGTTCGTGTGAGGCGATAGCGACTGCCATGTGCTCTCCTAAACTATTGGGACTGACGCCCACAAGCAATACTGCTGTCTTTAGTACTTGATCTCTTTGTCTATCTGCTTTGGAAGGAGCTGCTTACCATGTTTACCTTTGATTTGCTCCGAGAATACTTTAGTGACTTCAGTCGCTGTTGTAGACTCTCCAAAATCAGGGTACGTTGTCAAAGGCGCCATGACGATTTATTCACTCGCGTTTCTTTCTCAAGGAAAAGTGGCAGTGAGAACCAAATCGAATACATCAAAGTTCGGGATACTCGCACGCTGCTGCAGGGGTATTTGGAGCTTGACAGGCCCCACATTGGAGGTTTAAGCTACCCCGCACCGTGGGGTCAACCACGCCGCAGAACTTCGCAACGATGGCTCCGAAGCTTCAAGAATCGCGAATGCGCTGGCCGTGGAAAGTCTTAGTTCGTGCATCGCTGCCATTATTAATCCGTCAGGGAGGATTTCCGGCTAATATTGGATACCATGCTCTTCCATGTGAGATGCAACATTGATCCTTGAGATTATTTTCTTGTCTTCATCTTGACAAGAATTGAAGTCAGTCTCCTCGTCCGCCAACGAAGATGATATCCCAGAAGAGCTCGCCAGAGCCACTCGCAGCGCACTTGCGCCAGATAGCGGGTCGTGTTGGAATAGCTCAACTGCTGCTCCTTCTCTTGGCTGGTGGGCTTACATGGCTCCTCGTTGACTATGCACGCATGCTTCTCCTACGAAGAAAGATGGTAAGTCTTTGACCTCACCAGCATGAAGAGAAACTGAAGAAAGCAACAGCCACCAGGACCATTCCCCTACCCCATCATCGGCAACACATTCCAGCTTCCAGACAAGAAACCATGGATCTACTTCGAACAACTGGCCAAAGAATACAACTCCGGCATAATAACCTTTTGGATCGGACGGAATCCCACCGTTTGGCTGAATGATGCACAAACAGCATCTGATCTCCTCGATAAACGCGCTGCAACATTCTCATCGAGACCCCATATGGTGGTGTTTGGCGATCTAGCGTTTGGGCAGGCAAGTCTGGTAACGATGTATTATGGGGATAGATTTCGCGTGCATCGGAAGCTAACTCACATGGGAGTGGGAATGCAACAAGTGAGAGGATATCAGAATTTGCAAAGCGATGAGAATAAAGTAGTACTTTATGATTTACTCACAGACTCAGAGAATTATGTTACGCATTTTGAAAGGTACGCTGCGAGTGTGGTGTCGATTATTGGGTATGGGCGTAGGATATCAAAGGTTACGGACCCGATCATCACCGAGGTCATTTACCTCATGCAACGAGCTGCAGAACACAACGTGCCGGGAAAGTCTTTCCCGATGCTGTTGGAAACATTTCCGAGTATGTAGTAGTCACATCATGGGATGTTCAGCAAGCTGACTTGAGTAGTACTGGCAAAATTTCCAAAATGGATGGCACCATGGATGAAGAATTTCCGCAAGCCGCGTGCGAAAAACTTCTTTTACGCATTGGCAGAAGAGGCAGCAACGAATCCCGATGGCAATGATTGCTACTCGAAGAAACTGTTTGAACAAGGACCGAAGTACAATCTCTCAGATGTTGAATTATCGACACTTTCGGGTTCTCTGTTTGGTGCGGGGAGTGATACTTCCAGCTCGACACTTGTTACCTTCGTATTGGCATGCTGCGCATTTCCCGAGACATTAACGAAGGCATGGGAAGAGCTAGATCGAGTTGTAGGTCCCCATAGAAGTCCAAACTTCGAGGATGAAGCAAATCTAGTGTACGTGAAAGCGTTGGTGAAAGAGGTTCTGAGATGGCGGTCTGTGGCCATTATTGGAGGACAACCCCATGCGCCAATCCAAGACGAAATATACAAGGTAGGAGAGGTATTTCCAAAAAGGAGAACATAAAGCTGACGAAAGCAGGGTTGGCTGATTCCGAAGAACACCTGGGTTCAAGGGAACGTCTGGGCCATTCACAGAAATGAGCGAGAATTTCCAGATCCAGACAGATTTGATCCGGAGCGATACTTGAAAGATGGCGCCAATTCGAGACCGTTCCCGAACGAGAGAGGCTATATGACGTTCGGCTGGGGAAGAAGAGTATGTGTAGGGCAAGCTTTGGCCGAACAAGGGACATTCATCAGTATAGCTCGCCTGCTGTGGGCTTTCAATATTCAGAAAGCTTTGGATGGGAATGGGAATGAAATTCCGGTAGACATCTTCGACTATACGTGAGTGGCGTCCTACAATTGCATTGTGTAGTGCTGACAGCGCTAGGGATGGGTTGAATATCCGCCCGAATCCTTTCAAATGCAGAATAACTCCTCGAAACGATGAAATTCGACGGACAATCGAGAGGGAAGGCAAGCAGGCTCAAGAGGACTTGGCAATATACAATGGAGAAACGAAGTACAGAATAACCACGTATCGCGAGACAGAATAGGATCAGGAATAACACAATGAAAGAAGGAACAAGCAGACAAGTTTGTAGAAAATTTTGAACAATACTTCCCACCCCATAAACCAGTAAACAGACAGTAAAAGGAGTAACCATTTCCAGAAGCGATTGTCAGTTTAACAATACTAGGAAGAAGACGAAGAATCACCTATTAGGACCAGGAACCGCAATCATGAAACCCAGTCGCATTGCCCTATCAGAAACAGTCTGCTCCTGGAACCACATGATTCTCTACATGCTGGGATCACCGCTTTGCCAGCTTCGATTGATATGGAAAGAGCACTCGGCAGGTCAGATTTGGTGAAGCAGCAGTGTCGCAGCGATGTCCTAAACAATCTGTCAATGATTCCCAGCGTGACAGATATTTCTACGTCCTCGAGAAAAGAGACACGAATTCATCAAGCAATTCCCAAGGTCGTTGGCCCTGATACTTGAAGTCTTTGATACTAGAAATCATTTGAAGAAGATGTTTCTCCTTAGCCAGCTGTTCGCGATCAAAAGTTGACATCAGTTGTGCAATTTCGAGGATAGCTTGACCAAGCACGTTAGGGAGTTGTTCGTCTTCGAGTACTGAGGCATAATCGCCATCACCGCCTTTAGCCAGGATACTTGTCATCATAGCAACCAGTGTTGATATACCATCTTTCTTGGTCTGGTAAGAAAAGTCTGTGTCTAACTTCGACAGAATACCAACTTCAATGATCTTCTTGACCGTATGAATCTTTGTGCCTGCAAGTGATCTCGAATGATGATTAAGGAGACCGTTGAATGACAGAAGAATGTTGTCGATGTCGATCGAGGCGGCAGGAGTAGAAGACCGATGGATAGATGCATGGAAATCAATTATCTGCCTCCGTGCTTCGACCGAGCATCGTACGCGATCCATAACTACCTGGCGATTCGCGGGATTTTGCAGTACAGCACGCTGAGCCATATCATCCAATTTGAGTGCCTTCACATATGAAATGTCCAACACTGCCCGCTTTTCTTTTTGTTTCATTGCAGCTTCCTTGTAGTCCCACTCCGTCTCATCATGATTTCCCGTCACATATTCGGGTTCTTGGTGCTTCTCCCGCCTATTCTCCACGGCAACTGAGAAATGCGATTTCTGCTCGTTACTCGAAGATCGTCCTTGGTCTACGAGGCATGAGCTGCTCGCACAATGCATAGATGCCGTCTTGTATTCACCTGGCAGAGTCTGTGGCTCCTGCCTATTTTGTGAAACTTTGCGGGCGCAATTCCAATCCCGAGACCTCCAAATGTTAATGGCCTGCGGGGCGAAGGCTATCAATGCCGCCGTAAGCCAGTCCCGCATAACGTCTTTCCATGCGACCTTCGTAATTCTTAGTATGACGCTGAAAGCCTCTGTGCCAACAGAAAAGCATATTCGACGTCTGGCGTCTTGAGGTAGTTCGATTGACACGTTTTGCTTCCCGCCTAGGATGGTCAGGCAAGCATCTGCGAAGGAAGCATAAAATAACTCTCTGGTCAGGCCAACCACCCCCATGATCAATGATTCTAGAGGCGTCCAATCGTATGCTAAGCGACTACTGCTAGGCGTAAGATTGGATAGGAGCTGCTTGCTAGCCGGTGCTAGGAGCCATCGTCTGGCGGCGTCTACATCGTGGCTGGGAAACTGCATCTTGTCGGCCCTGTATTGAACACTTTGTTAGCTGAGAATTATTCGGATCATTCGGGCAACGAATCGACCACCTTTGATGTTCCGTCGAATCAGTCGCCTACATCAGCAGCGTAGTCTGCTCCTTCGCAAGCCTGTATCTGATACGCTGTAGTTCTGTAGAGTGGCAGATGCAGTCCTTCGAAACTAATATAGATGGGTACGGCTAGAAGTGTGGTGGTGGTGGTCAATGCAGCCATTGTGAAAAAGAAACGTGGGTGGCAACCCAAGTAGCTATAGAAGAAGGTTCAGCGTGTAGGAAGGAAGGTACAATGCACAAAGAGTTGTACAGAATGTCCCTCAGCTTGAAGGACATAATAATAGACGCGACTAACGCGAAGGCCCGGGCGGGCGCGTTGCCCGACTCACGTAAGTGCCGCCAAGACAGTGACAAACTTTAATTTCTAGCGCGAATCCTTCTCATCACTCTCCATCCACGCCAGCTCGGAACCTCGAAAATCACACCTCACTCGACGAGAGGCTCTTCTCAGATAAGCGCTGACAACGCACACAACCACTTTTCTCTCTGCAACCACCATCAATGCCTCCCCTTGACATCGATACCTGTGTTAGACCTGAACCGAACTGCAAACAAGTCTCCATGCACCCGCAATAGCAGCTGAGGCATCACGTGTTGATAGATACAGTATCTGTATCCCCTCACCGTCTCCACACCGTCGGGAATTGGGGGCCGCCTGAACATCAAAAAGAAAGCAGCCGCAACGCCAACCCCAGCTCAGCCCAGCCAGAATCTGTGTCACCAGGCTCAGGTAACACAGCATCACCATGGCTGAGTCCAAGGTCGCGCTCCAGGTCTGTTGGACCTGTAAAATGGGCAAGAGGAAGTGTAGCAAAGAACTGCCCTCGTGCGCAAGATGCTCAAAGTCCGGACTCCCCCGCCTTGCTTGAGGTCGAGGCCCATTGCTAACCACAACCCTAGGCTGTTGTTGAAATGTGACTACGACTACAACTTGACGGAAGCTAATCCCCAGAATAAACAAGTTACTTCACCTGCGTCGTCGGTGGAGGGTTCCACTCTCCCCTCTCTTCAGACCGCCTCCAGACTTATGGCCGCCCTATCCGAAAACTCTCCGAGAACTATCAAGCTTGAGGCCAATATACCGTCTCAAGTCCTTAATGTATTAATCAGTAATGGGGAGGGTGTGCCTTCCGTCACCTCAAACTACTTCCGAACCATCGATGTTTGGTTGCCCGTCATTGCACCAGAACCGTGTCTCAAGAGGCTTGAGACAATCACTGCTGACAACAATGTTGAGCTTGCCAGTCTACTACTAGCTATGTTCCTGGTCACTAGACCACCCGGTCAAAATAGCGGAATCAAGGAGATGCAGACTCCTCTTTACTTCGATACGAAAACCTTGTACGCCTTCCTTGTCACCTTTGGCAGATCCTCTATCGAGATCATTCAAGCCGGCTTTCTCATCTCTTTATATGAGATAGGACATGGCATGACAGAAGCTGCTCAGGTGACAATGATCGTTACCTCAAGATTAGCCACGAAGACAAAGATCCGTCAGTATAGAAATTCGTCAGCCAATATTGCAAACACTGAGTTTGGCCGGCTATGGTGGGGAATCGTCACTTTGGATCGGTTAGTGTTCTATTCTTGTTCAACGCTGCTGATGAATTCCCACTGACTTGCTGTCAGGTACTTGAATCAAGGTCTTGCTGCGGACGAAATTCAACTCCTGGTTGGAACATCGAATGATGGCGTGCCCTCCATGGAATTGCCCACGGATGACGAGACAGGACTACCACCTCCAATCTCTATGCGAACCACTTCCGGCATATCAGCCTCCAATCAACCCACCACTCGACTTGGGCCGTTCTGCCGGGCATCTGAAGCTGGGCATCTGCTCGGACAAGTTCTTGATTTGGTCGCGGAATCGTCCAACACTAACCAGATGAATGAAACGAAATCGCGGGCTCTAGACAAAAACCTGCAAGAGCTGGCGGTGGTCCTTTTCCAAAGAGCTATAAATGGTTGGGAAGAATGTTGTGCCGCCATCGGATTGTGTCTCAGGTAAGGAGGATCCTCGAGTTGCTTACCGGCTAGACTAACACAAGTAGTGCACTTGTGCTGCTTCATGAAAGGACATGGATCCTAGCCAAGGACACAATAGGTCAAGAGACAAGAAAGCAAGCTGCAGGAATGGCATTATCCTCAGCAATCAGAATGGTGATCGATATCTCCCGCAGATTTCACATGGACTTAGCTTTCATTGACCTTCCGGCTCTTCCTCTTCCGGCTACTTATGCTGTGTATCGCACGACTTTGCTGTATATCCAGCTTGCTGGAGATGAGTTCCAGGGCTCTGAATGGTCCTCAAATATGGAGAGCTTGAAAAGTACACTTGGCCATTTTGGCAAAAGGTGGAATGTTGGCAGTAAGTCATGGAATGATCGTGGTTATGCACCCTGCTGACAACATCAGAATACTATCTCGAAGTGATCGCAGATGAAATGTCGAACGAACTCGAACGTCGATCTCGAAACAACGATAACAATCTCGAAGGAGCCTTCCACAAACGATTGAAGATGGAAGTCACAAACGAATAATTGCTGAAACTGCAACATTCTTGCTACCGAGAGCGATTAATCGTATGTTGAAGCCCATGGTCGATATCCATCTGCCATGAATAGCTGCTCAAGCTGTCTTCTTCTCACACCGATGTTGCCACCTCCTGTTAGCGGTAGACACATTGCATCGTTCAATAGTTTTGGGAAAGGACTGTCCTTGTTGTACGAAGTCCTATCATGTGTTAGCAATTCTTGGAGTGCAGCAGGGTCAACTTACACTCCCACGATTGTCATCGCATCAACAACCACCTTGACAGCAAGATCAGAGCAAAATAATTTGGCTTCCAATGCCAACTCGCCACCTTTGCCGTTATCCAAGGCACTTGCAGCCTTCCATGTCAGGAATCTTGCAGCATCCGTACGCATCTTTATATCCATCAAAAGATCTGACACGGTCGGTCTGGTTATGAGGGCCTGCGCTCCACCTCGAGAGTCTTTCTTGGCGAAATCTAGAGCCGCCTCAAACGTTGCAGCCATTATTCCCGTCGACATTGCTCCAACGAGCGCCCCAGAAGACGTGAAAGCTCTCGTGATCACAGCTGCAGCCTGGCCTGGTGCCGCAAGAAGCCTATGGCCTGGTACGCGGAAGTTGGTAAACTTGACGTGTGGTCCAGCAGTTGATGTGTGGCCTGTACTCTCAATATGCTTGAGAATTTGATACGCACCTAGATCGTTGCTCGCAATGAGATCACGAGTCACGAGTAGTATCATCGTGGCTTCTGCTGGATTGGCTTCGGCGGCTTGGCTTTGGCCATCTTGAGAATATCGGCATACAACACACTGGACATCGGCTCCACGGTCGTCCCAACCACAGCAATTCGTTGCCCAGATCTATCCATGTTAGCTTTATTCGGAACAGAGGGAGTAGACTACCTTTTCGCCATTTATTACCCAGTCGTCACCATCTTTTCGGGCCACCGTTTGCAAACCCTTCCCGCCTTTCTCCAACCAGTTTGCAATACCTTCAGGCTCCGTATGAAGCAGACTTGCCAACGGCTCTCCCTCACCACTGAGGAAAGGCTTCAACAACTCCTCTTTTTGCTCTGGAGTTCCAGCAATCAACAGGGATGAAAGTCCTAATCCAGTACTGAATATCGATAAAGACAAGCTTCGATCATACTTGCACATCTCCTCAACAAGCAGCGCTGCTTCAACGACCGTTCCTGCATCCCCTCCGAAGGCCTTGGGTATCAAACCTCGAACCAATCCCGCTTCGACGGCTTGTCGATAGAATGGTCGTAAGGCGCGAAATCGTTCAATTTGTGTCGGATGTTTTTCATATTTTGCAGCAGCCGTAGCTAAGACACTCGAAGAAAAAGCTGCTGCTTTGGCGCGTATAGCATTTTGACTTTCCGAAAGCGTAAAATCGATCATAGCTATATCTGAAAATATGAAAATATATATGCTTGCAAGTTGGAACTGTCCCGAGACACGAAATTGGAAACTTGCTTTTCCCGCTTTGTTGGACTCATTATATTAAATGTGGCAGGCTAGTGCTTAGTTGACGCTGTACGACCACATCCGTCCTCCATCCAGACACCGGCTTCCGCAGCCGATCCAAGTGCGGCCTCACCTCAGCACGGTGTGGGTGTGGATTCCGTCTCGGGCCTTGAGAGCGGGTGTCTGTCAATGGAGCTCAGAAAGCCATATGGCACGCAGGCATGTCGTGGCGAGGCGGTTTAATGCGAATGTCGTGCAGCTGCACCATCATATTGGGCTGATGAACGAGCATCCCGGTTCTGGGTGCGGTGGAAACCAGGGTGCGGCCGCAAAGGGTCGTGCGGCCGCAGTCTTCTTCGTTGTCCACCTCGACTTAATATGCGCAATGCAGAGAGAGTTCTCCGCGGCGTGTACAATAGGAACGAGAGCGAGATAGTCAGGTATTAATCGATTGGATGTCTCTTCTTGGCTTGCACTTTAAAGTGGTGTGAGTGGTCGTCCTCAGGAGAGGACATATCACATGACTGCCATTTCATGCGGGCAAGGGGGGCGGAAGTCGATTCCGGGACCCAAATGTTGGGTTGGTGTCTCAGATCGTACCTAGTCTAAGCTTAGGCCGCTAAATCCATCCTCGTACCTGGATTGGGCTCGCCCTTGGTGACGTGGTTACTCGTCTGTGGAGTGTGCGGCGGGTGCGGCTTTGCTTCGACGTGCAACAAGAGGATGGATTTTTGCTGTTGAGGTGTTGGTTGGTTGTTCTGTGCCTCTTTTTTGGCTTGGTTTATCTGTGCTTGGACTATTGGGCACATGAAGTCGGGGATATGCTTGCGAGTAAACACGGCGTTTGAGGAGTTTTGGTCTGGTGTGCGTTCTGGCTCGATGTCTGTTGGTGGAAGAGGGAACTTGACCGTTGGTTAATTTTGATGCTGACGTTGAGTTCTCCCTTTGGGAGCGAATGTTGGTAAATTTGTGAGCATGAATCTGTGGTCTGACCTGACTTCTAATATGCATGGCTTATCACTGCATAGGGGGACGTCTAAAGCAATAGTATCTTGCTCGTGTACACTATCTGTAGCCCCCAGCCATCGTTCAACAGTGCCAATCATGAGTCTATGTTCTTAGCTATGTAGCAAATGAGTTCCTCGTGATCACTGGCATGTAACCATTCTTTTAACTGAGTATCGTAGAGGCATCAGCAACGTGCTTCACAAATCACTCGGAAAACAAAAATTCCCGTGGCTTGACTATTTCGAAGTCCAATCAAAAGATCACAGACAAAAGCATGTTCCAGAACCAACTAATGTCGTATGTTGATTCATGAGTGAGGATACCGCATAGAGAAACACCAAGACCGGTTCCCTCCCATCCTGGACGCGACTGAGCAAAACCTCACCCTTCTTACCATCCCATGTTCTCATTCACGTCAAACTCTGTCTCGCTGGGTCATAAAACAAGAACGCGAGGTGCGGGTATGACATAGCCGCTCAGAAGGATGTCGCTGAAGCGGAATAGCTCTTCCTAGAAGACTAGGTCTGTGGAAGCGGCACAGTCTCCCGTCGAAGTCTCGACTGGAGAATGAGAACGCCAACCAACCAGCTCTGGTTAGCCAGGGGAAACAGACTCAAGGACAAGGTCAAGGTCAATAAGCAAAAGATAGTGGAGGTGAGAATTTAATAGGTTTGCCAAGAGACCACGCTGGAATGATTTGAGCGGCATGTGGAAGTTCTAGATGTGGCGGGTCATCTTCATGAGTGGCTTTCTCATTTCATGTCCTTATGTCCTCTTTCTATCAAGTGCTGACAGTTACAGAGTCTGTGACTGGAAAGTCGCCTCGAGGTTAATGATTGGGAAAATAAGTGAGCTGGATCTGGAAAGATTGACGGAATTGCTCAACAGTTAGAAGTCTGTATTTGACTAGCACCTGCTTAAATGGCAGACTATCAACTTTCCATACTCTTTCAAGGCTCAAGCGTTAATCTTGAACTTCTGGGATGTTAATCCCACTCATGGCAGCTACTATACATGCATTGATTCAACTACCTCAAGAGTGAAAGCCATGTTTCCACAAGAATATCAAAAGTTTTCAGTCTCATGATTATAACAATTTCCGAGGAATCTTGAATGAATGGGTGATTTAGAGAAATTTAGAGAGCGAGAGACAAGTTTCATAATGAAGAACGCCGCAGGCTTGCATTGTCTCGCCCGCCCTTCAACTCCACATGCTCTGTGTGACGAGCGCTCCAACAATGAACGAGATTACTTCCACGTGTAAAGAATTCATCCAACAATCCAGAAATAGAAACAACAGAAACATTACCATGGACTGTTCTCGAATCCTCTCCACTTGGAATCATCACATCAACAAAGCGTCTTTTCGTAAGAGTATACCAATCGCTCTCCATACCGCGAATGGCTTTGTGCTTTCATTAGGCCACGCAGAGACCACTGCACGAACCAGCTTGCAAATCCGCACCCGCAACCGCACAGAGCATCAGCACCAACACCACGGACGCGGACCCCAGGATCGTTACTGGGGTGGTCCTTCACGTTCTGGAAGCGCTAGAGGGGTCAACGATCTGAAATCCGAAAATTCTGGCCCGACAGGGAGCGGCCGCAGCGACCCCTCATCAAACATGTCAGCAACGTGCGGCTGCAAGTCGCCGCATCCAGAACCTCATCATTTCATATCCAATATCCATATTTTGAGGTGGAAGAGGGGTAATTTGTGCGACCGTAAGCTTAAGAGATAACAATGGAGGCCAACACCTTCTCCACGGAGCTGAGCGAGGTAGTGAGACGCTTTCTTTTGAGACGGCGCAGCACGTGAGCATGATGTCAAGTGTCGAATTGCCTCTCAAAAACGATAGAGATATAAAGTAAAGCATATCACTCATCTTGAATCGTTGAATATCACAGATAAGAAGATACGATGGCGCCTACACTTCTCATGATCGGCTCCGGCCCAGGTATCGGCCTCTCAACAGCATCACTTTTTGCCTCCAAGAAATTCTCAAAAGTCGCTCTGATATCGAGGAACAAAGAACGTCTTGTCACGGATCGTGAGGCTGTTCTTGCAGCAGCGAAGAATACCGACGTGAAGACCTGGGTGGCTGACGTCGTGGATAGCGAGAAGTACAAGAATGTCTTGAAGGAGGTGGAGGAATGGTCTGGAGAAGGGGTTGATTGTGTAATCTTCAATGCTGCGAGGGTAGAGCCCAGTACTTTACTCGAGTTCCCCGAGGAAGAGATTGTGAAGGACTTCATGGTTCGTACTTTCTCTATCGAGATTAACGAGAAATTATGCTGACATTGAAGAAGACTACGAATATTGCTCTCTACACCACGGCTCAATGGGCACTACCTCTCCTGTCGAAGATGAAGGAGGAGCAAAAACCATCGTTCTTGGTAACGAGTAGTCTGCTCTGGAAGCAGCCAGTTCCGTTTGTCTTCAGCTTGAGCTTGGTTAAAGCCAGTCAGCGGAACTTGGTGGAGACTATGAAGATGACTTTTCCTGGTGAGTCTTCTCATTTGTGTCCGGCGGATACATATCACAAGCTTGAAAATAGCTGAAAAAACAAATCGGGGAAGATAATTGAAGGATAAAGGCTAACAAGAGAGAACAGACATACATATCGCACTTCTCAATGTTGGTGGAGTCGTCAGCCCAGAAGACACGTACCTCAACCCTCCCGCCATCGCAGAGAAGTTTTGGGAACTGTATGCTCAGGAGAAATCCGCTTGGACTTTCGACTTAGAAATTCTTGGAGCTCAATAATTCTGCGTTGTTTGTCTTTCTGTCACACAATACTCTCATGAATTTCTCGAGATGTTTTAAGATAGGCAAATTGTGTAAGCTTGGGTATCAGTGTTCTATAATGTAATGCAGTTTCTATAATCCATCGCCATTGTATGCTATCAACGTTGTCGTGCCGGTACTAACTCCCGTCGCATTCGAGCCTGTAGTCCCAGCAAGGGCTTTTATCCGTGCAGTAACTGCAGCTGGGGTAGTGAGTGATTCGAGCGACATAAGATAGGCTGCCAGACCCGCTACATGAGGAGATGCTATGTTCTCGTCAGCGACAACACTTCATGCTAGCTTCAGACTACTCACCCATGCTAGTACCACTCAAGATAGTACTAGCAGTATTGCTTGTAATTCCAAAGCTCTGCACTTTCACACCCGGAGCCCAGATATCAACTGACGCCCCGAAATTTGAGAACGAAGCCTTTGCATCAGACGAACTGTCAATCGCTCCAACAGTGATAGCCGAAGCAGCAGACGCAGGTGAAGTATTAATTGCATCGACATATTCGTTCCCAGCCGCGCAAACAACTGTAACTCCCGCCTTTGTCAAAGCTGCAATCGCATTGTTCAGCGCCGTGGACTTCGACCCTCCGATTGAGATATTCGTTACTGCTTTACCGGAGAGCATTCGAGCTGTAGCATTCGTGGCGACGAATTGGAGACCTTGGATAACACCAGAGTTGGTTCCCGCTCCATCTGCGTCGAGAACTTTGACAGCGACAAGACTCACGGCTTTTGCTACGCCGTACGTGGTTCCGCCGATTGTGCCGGAAACATGGCTACCATGGCCATTTTCGTCCGTATTCTGCTTCCGTCAGCGAGCCGTTCAACAATCTTGCTTCGGGATGGACGTACATTAGTGTTGACAAAATTCGCTCCCCATGTTGCTCGACCGGCGAATTCCTACAAAATCATTAGTAGAATCTAGGGTATGGACATTTTGCGCTCACCGAATGCGGCAACTTGATGCCTGTATCAACAACATATGCCACAATCCCGCTTCCAGACGAGTTGTCGAATACATATCCAGTTCCCAAGCCATCTGCATGGGATATTCTGTTCAAGCCTGCAGGTGCAGTTCTGTTGGATTGCGAAACCAGGGCAGTGGTCTTGACAATCGTGTCTGCTTCAATGAATGATACCTATCCTCGTCAGCTCACGCTCTACTCGTCTTGAAAAGGCGAAGAAACTGACCATACTCGAACTTGCGATATCCAATATCATCCCATCATCTGCCTCCAAAGCCATTCCTCTCCAGCCCATCATCGAGAAGGTATTCATCTGATTACTCAACACTTTCCCATCCAACGTCCTCTTCACCAAACTCCTCTTCCGCAAGCTCGTCATGACTGACGCTTGATGAGTCTGGACCTCGTCATCTGTCGCATTGTTGTTATACACCACAATATATCGATTCGCAATCACATTTTTCGCGGCCGTATTTGAGATTGGGACACCGAGCCCAGTGACTTTTGTTGGTCCATGACGACCTGGTAGACAGGTAACGAGTGTAGTAAATGCAAACACACAAAGTAAGAAAGCTCGAACAGAAAGAAACATCTTGATTGATGCTAAGAAGAGAGAAACGCAAAGAAAGTCAAAAGCACTACACCTCTCTCAATCGAGATTTCACGCCATCATAAAGCATTTATTGAACAAGACAACAGCAATCTCGGCCCCTCAAGCAAAGGCTGCGGCTGGTACTCAAGATGCGCCAAGTCATACGTCGCCAAGTCGAACAGCATACGCGCAGCCAGAAAATTCTCGAGCATCATGGTATTTATGGCACCTCGCTTCCCCGCCAAGCAAGAAGCCAAGCACATCCCACTGTCCCAAGATGCAGCTCAAACGATCGCAGCCCTTTCTCAGCCCCTAAACTGCGACAATCGGCTTTCCTCTTGCGAGCAGACCGCGTAATTGGCCCGTTTCAGCGATCCGCGAATTCGACAGTATCAAAGCGTCAGGAGAATTTATTCCTCACTCTGAAGATTTCTTCCGACTTGGAAGAGGAGATCAAGATCTGGGCGAAACGGAAAATTTGTATTGGAAGTCATTTCCGGACTTGGCTATTTCTTGTGTACTGCGCGGTTCGTCTCAGTCAAGGCAATTTTAGCATGTCCCGTCCGCACTCGCTGTCCCGCATGTACTTCCCGTGCAATTGAATCCTATGCTTTCCTCCAGATTATTACAATTCCAGCCATATGCTTGGGTTCCGTTCGTGAGTGTCAGATTGATGTCGGTTAAAGTGATGTTTTCGCAGGGCGCTGCGGCACTACATTGAAATGAGGCGATGGGATCTGTGGTAGTGGTTCCTGTCAAGTTTGAGAGTGTGATGTCGCTGATCTTGAACAGGGAAGTGTTGCAATTGCCACTCGCGCTGCTAAATGATATGCATTGCGTTATACTGGTAGGAAGTTGGACGCTGTTGAGCTGAAAATTCTTGAGAACGACGTTTTTGACATCTAAACTATGTGAGCTTCGGTTCAATGGATTTGTTCTATGCTTACAGCCAATTCCACCACCTCCGCCATTTGGAGGGTATCCTACTTGCTGTCCAGTCCAGGTTTTGATATATGCAGCATGTAGAGTATTGTGGAAGACGACATCTTCGGCAGTGAAGTTCTCGATGCGTTCGAAGACGCCGTTGTACTGTCCGATGCTACCGAGGGCAAAGCCGACTCCTTTGTAGAAGGTGCAGTTTGAGATGTGGATGTTGGTGCTGTTGGCTTTTGGAGATATACTATCGTCACCATTTGTGACGCTCCATCGCTTGAAAGTAATGTTGTTGGCGTAGATCGTATCTGCTCCATCTGTATTGACCGTGGAGGCCTTGGTACTGGACGTGCTGTCGACATAAATATCTTGGAGCAAAACATTTTCGCTGTGAATGACTGTCATAGTCCTGATCGTTGTAAGCAATTTCACTCAAATGCTAGGGCTGTTTACTCACCACATTTGGCTTTGCACAAATCTGATACCTTCGAAAATAGAGTTCTTGGTTTGCCATATGGTAATGGCATGCGGTCTTCGAGGGTAGTTGCTCGTTCCATTATTGAAGTCATACCAAACTTGACCATTTCCATCAAGGGTGCCATATCCGTGGCCTTTCCAATGCACATTCTCCCCACCAAAGATCCATGCAGAAGATTGGTTCTGATAACCCACGGGCATTGAATGATTCAACCAGTAAGGGATATCAGTACTCCACTACTACCGTCAGCAAAGCTGGGAGCAGTGGGGTGTACTCACCAAAAGCGTTCCTTGTAAGTCAATTTCACAATTCTGCAGACCTGTCGTATTCATAATCGAATTGATGTGATATGTTTCGTTTAGAAACACCACCTTTCCATTCTTGCCACATTCTTGGAATGCTTTGATCACAGATGGAGCATCATCGGAGCCATCACACGCGGCCTCGACAACGCAGGTCTTGAGTTTGGGGGACGAATGAGCAGACACGCTGCGGAAAAATGAGGCAACGAGACAAACAACAGGTATGAGTGACAACCTAGGTGAATACATGATGGCCAAAAAAATCCAATATCATCAATACTACCATTGTTGGAAGAACGTAATGATTTTATATGTCCGATGAACCCCGCGCGGGGTAGGCTCGCATGCAAGGTACAGCACCATTTTCAATCCCACTCAAGATCACGTAAAGAGAAGGTTTAGATCGAAGTAAATAGGTACATGTAGATCAAAGGAAAAGGTGGCAAGAAATACAAATGGTGTATGCAACGTTGTAGACGATTATGTCGAAGCTTCTCGAGAAGTGGATTGGGATATCAAAGATCGGAGGGCAAGTGATGTATGAACTGCATGCGAACGAAGTATCCCCATTCTTTTGAATATGGACATACTTCGCAAGAGGTCTCTTCGATCTTTTGATGATCAGCACTTGCTAGGCCTCTTTGGACGCGGAGAACTTCCGGTGATCCAGTTTTCTCCGCACATGAGAAAGCGAAATGGATGAGTTCCTCCTTGTAGGAGTATGCTCCTTGCATTGACTAGGACTATGGTGGGGAGTACGACCAGCTGTTTAGGCCAACTCATCTGTCGTCGTTATGGACAGCTTGTCCTTCAAGGCCTCGAGGCAACAGGGTTTCACGTGACATGAAATGTGTCTCCTTTTGACTCCCGATATATCGAACATGAAGGCAACAGTCCATGATACGACATAGATTTCAACAAACTCGGGTCATCACCAAAGAGTGTTCCTCCGCAATAGCGATTATAGACCAACCACGTGCAGCTGCTTACACGTCCAAAGTACGGCAAGCACATCTACCTCTCACGCAACCGTCTCCGCAGCCCAAGAAAGCTCGGATGAGCACTGTTGTTCTCTGACGCTCGCCATACTCGGAAGCTTCAAACGGCCGCCGGACTTTCGCGCGTTTGAATATACCGAGATGCTTTCGCAAGTGACTCTGAGGTTCCAATCGCAAAAAGATCGATGGATTTTCCTACATAGGCTGTTCTTCTTGTTGTGTCTCGCTCATTACAATTCGCCTTTCATCCAACTTGCCGTTATCGGGATTTGCCCTTCTCCTTACACAGCAGGTCTCGCCAAGGGCAAGGCTGTGGGTTGAAGCTTTGATTATGTCAAGCAATGAGGCTTTGTCACCAGCAACAACAAATGGATCAATACCATCGCAATTGAGGCGGAAGCACCCATGCGTTCTATGTCAGCAGAGAAAAGTGAAATGCGACCGCAATGAGCCCTGCCAGGTGAGTTCGCTTCCCAGTGCATGGATTCTTGTTTGCTTGAGCTTTGTTGGGATTGTAGAGCTTTCTTAATGGTCCATGAAGCGGAAATCATTCTCTCTTGAAGAAGACACCAGAATAGTTGGCTGATCTGAGAGTTGACCAGAATTGCACAAAAGCAAGAGTGGAATGCATATCACCGTTGACATTACCTCCCAAGAAACGGAAAAGGAGATTTCCCGAAGCAGAGCTGCTAGCGAGAATCAGGCGATATGAAGATGCTCTGAAAGGCTATGGAGCCGATTTAGATGCTATCAACGGGGAAGGAGGTAGGACTTCACTTTCTTACCAAGGGCAGTCAACTCTTGCTGCAAAGCAAGCAGAGACAGAATCCAATGTAATGCCCCGATCAGAAGTGGTGGCCCAGCCTACACGGTCCCTATCTATCAGGAGATCTCTAAGGCACGTTAAGAAGTAAGTACGTCTATCCCTTTAACAAGAGCCTCGATCTGACTCTGACCAGCAATTTGTGGACCGGGATAAATGAAGAGGTGCGTCACGTGTCGTTCTATAACCCCTGAACACTTTATCGAGTCTCACCGATGTTCGTGGACATTAGGGCCAATAAGAACCCTCCAGCTCATGTCCTGGAATTTCTATCGAGTATCACAATGTGGACAAACTCCTGAAGCGTTCAATAAAGCCATTATCAGCCCTGTCTTGAATTCAGCTGATGGTTTGCATGATCAGTTCCGAGACGCCGAAGAGATCCTCCAAGGCTCATCAGATGATGAGTTGTACGAAAATCCAATCAGCAAGACCTACGATGCTATCAACGGCGATGGTAGCGACTTTCTTTTCACAAGTCCCAATTCAGCAACTCCAATCAGAGATCTTCATCCTTCACCCGTGCAAATCTTCAGGCTATGGCAAACGTTTATCGACAGCGTTAATCCGCTTCTGAAAATATTCCATGCTCCTACCGTTCAGCAGCAAGTTCTGGATGCTAGTGCGGACTTAGATAATGTCGACAAAGGCATGGAAGCTTTGATGTTTGGAATATACTCCATTTCTGTCAACTCCATGGCCGAATCGGACTGCTCTGCTATGTTTGGCGAAGACAAAACTATCCTACGAGAAAGATTTCAGGAAGGCGCTCGTCATGCCTTTCGAAGATGTGGCTTACTTCGGTCTTCTGACATGACTATCTTGCAAGCTTTTGTCTTGTATCTGGTGCGTTCGCCTTCTCTTCCACATACTTTTCTAGCAAATTTTGACGTTCATAGTATTCCTGTCTCAATTTCTGCATCGACCCCCGCTCATTATTCTGTCTGTCTGGTATTGCTGTAAGAATAGCCCAGCGTATGGGTCTCAACTTTGATGGCACCAGTTACGGCCTCCTCCCTTTCGAAGTCGAGATGCGACGAAGGCTATGGTGGCAAATAGTACTCCTCGACTTCCGAATCTCCGAACTCTCTGGAGCTGGCAATTCCATTCTAACCCATGTTTGGACGACAAAACTTCCCCTGAATGTCAACGACAGTGACCTTTTCCCAGACATGCGAGACCCGCCCACGGAACATCCAGGCCGAGTGACAGAAATGATCTATGTCCTCCAGCGCTGCGAAGCTGCTGATCTTCTCCAGAAGTTACGCGACTCAACGGATCCCGTCGCCGTCAAAGACGCAGCTATCGATGAGCTCTCGAAAAGAATCGAGCAAAAATATCTCCAGTATGGTGACCCTTCAGTCCCTCTCCACTTATTCAGCACCATCATGGCCCGTTCCGGAATGTGTAAACTTCACATTGGTCCACGACATCCACATCTCATCCACAGCAAGGAGCTCAAGAAGGACGAAAGAGATCAACTAGTCAAATACAGCTTGACTATGATCGAGAATCATAACATCTTGATGGCTACCAAGTGCCTAAAACCCTATCTATGGCACATTCTCACCAACTCACCCTTTCCGGCACACATTTACCTTCTCGTCGCTCTGCGCCACCACGCAAATGACGAGTTATCAGACAGGGCGTGGACCCACATCGGTGAGTCTTTCCGACTGCGCAGAGAAACATGGGCCCACAACGAATCTGTCAAACACAGTGGGACTGCACTTCAACTCGCTCTGGCAAACTTGACTATCAAGGCATGGGAAGCTCGTGAGAAAGAACGACAAGGCATCGCGACGCCAGATTTCATCACCCACCTCCGCGAAGTCATATCAACGAAGAAAGCCTCGAGAGCAGCACAGCAACAAACGCCGACAGATTCAGGTGAGAGCGAGATAGTATCTGGAGCGCCTGCTGATCCCTTTGGCGGTGGATATCAGTGGGGATTGAATGAGCCGACCTCCATGATGGACTTCGGCCAGGGTCTCGATCCAAACGTAATGCCGGGTTTGATGCAAGACCAAGGAGGAGCCATGGGCTGGGAATTTTGGAATGATTTGATGCAAATGCCAGCAATTCCTGGGTTTGATGGGAGTGCTGGGCAGGGTGTTTATCCCGGCTGATCACATGTGTATCAGACACACAAGTGGACGGTTACTGGACTAAAAGATACCTGAAGCATACCCATGGGGCTAGAATATTGTACCAAAACGGGTAGACAACTCCAATTGATCAGTGGCAATCACCACTCTCTAACATATTCTCGAGCCAAAGCAGACCACGTCTTCAGTTCATTGGGAAAGCGTGCCTTGAAGGATAGAGACCAAGGCTTGCAACACGCTGCTTCCAAGACCGGGCAGAGAACGAACGTGGGTTCACGTGGCCAGCATCACGTGAAGCACTATACTGTATTTCTCCACAATTCCCACTCAAACCCAACCCATGGACTTGGATTTAGATCCAACCGCCAATTTGCTCTCATACAAAACAATCTGGAGATACCCAAGCAGAGATTGGTCACCAACGCATTGTCGTCCACAGCGCATCATGTGGCGGTTTGGTGCCGATGCCGAACTCCGAAAACTTTTCAAACATTCTATCTTCCTTCTTCAACATCAACCCAGCCCGAATGGGGTCGCAGCAAGTGCTCACCATGACCATCAAATCATTCCAGACAGACGGCTCTACTCCATGCGCGCGTAGATGATTGATGGAGAAACATTTCGCCCCAAGGAGACGTTACAGTGCATCATCTCCACGGCTCCGTCCGAACATTCAAGCTCCGCTCCTTTGCCTTTGTTCTTTCGCTTTGACCACGATTCATTCTTAAAATCACCTGAGTCTATATCTTCTTAACAAATGACGTGCGAAAATGATCCCTGAAATTCAAAGCCCAGTGACAGGTGATGAGACATTACCTAAGGTGGCACCACCTTTCCGAAGAGCCCCATAAACGCTCTTCTGTAAGCCAATCGTGATAGCGAGTCAAGATTCACGAGCTTTATGTATCATGTCCCACGGGGAATATCTCGGTCCTTAGATGGGGACTTTGGAGTACTGGAGATGATTCTAGGTGAGGGGAGTCAAAGGTGGTGACTGAAGATGGGATGATGTTCTGGACTTTCCTCGTTCATCACCTGTCATGTTCGTACTTCTATATATGGACGGCTAAGTGTCTGTACATGCATTCCCATTCTCTTCAGAGCTTCAATAACAAATACAGAGCAAGCAAGAAGAACACAAATTACAGATGTGGAAGACAGGAAACATCTACCTCATTACGGCCATCGCCGTTATTGGCGGTGGCCTCTTCGGTTTCGATATTGCGTCTATGAGCGCTATCATCTCTACTCAACCATACTTATGCTACTTCAATCAAGGTCCCGATGGCCCAGGCTATAACGATGTGAAAACATGTTCTGGCCCTCGTTCAAGTGTTCAAGGTGGAATCACTGCTTCCATGGCAGGTGGTTCATGGCTCGGTGCTCTGCTTTCCGGCGTCATTTCTGATAAATTGGGAAGGAAAAGAGCAATTCAAATCGGATCAATCATCTGGTGTATCGGCAGTATCATCGTCTGCGCCAGTCAAGATATTGGAATGTTGATTGTGGGTCGTGTGATCAACGGTCTCTCCGTTGGGGTAAGTCCTTCCTCCTTCCAAACATACAGCATGAAATAACCAACGATGAACAGATTTGCTCAGCCCAAGTCCCAGTCTACCTCTCTGAGATCGCCCCTCCCGCCAAACGTGGTCGTCTCGTGGGCACTCAACAATGGGCCATTACCTGGGGAATCATGATCATGTTCTATATCTGCTACGGCTGTTCATTCATCGATGGCACAGCAGCATTCAGAGTACCATGGGGTCTTCAAATGATCCCAGCCATCATCCTCTTCCTCGGTCTTTTGATCTTACCTGAAAGCCCAAGATGGTTGGCCAAACATGATAGATGGGACGAGGCATTACACGTCCTGGCATTGACGCACGCACATGGAGATGAGAAGAACAAGTTCGTCGAGCGAGAGCTACAGGAAATAAGAGACGAGGTGGAATTCTACAGGAAGAACTCTGATGTTACGTGGATGGAGCTCTTCAAACCATCCATGCTGAACAGAGTCCACATCGGCGCTTTCACACAGGTACGTCCTTCTCCTCTTCCTCTTGCATGAAGCTGTACTGACAAGAAGTAGATCTGGGCCCAACTCACAGGAATGAACGTGATGATGTACTACATCACCTACGTCTTCTCCATGGCCGGCCTAACAGGAAACAACATGCTAGTCTCCTCATCCATTCAATACGTAATCAACGTCGTAACCACCGTCCCCGCTCTTCTCTGGGCAGATAAATGGGGTCGACGGCCCATGTTCCTCGTCGGCGCAGTCCTCATGATGACCTGGCTATTCATCAATGCTGGTGTAATGGCCATGTACGGCCACGCTGCTCCAGCCGGTGGTCTCAACGGCATTGCAGCCGAGAGTTGGGTCATGGAAGGTAAACCGGCAAAGGTTATCATTGCGATGAGTTATCTGTTCGTCGCGAGTTATGCGCCGACTTGGGGACCTGCTGGTTGGATTTATCCTCCAGAGCTGTATCCTTTGAGACTTAGAGGGAAGGCCGTCGCTCTTTCAACCTCCGCCAACGTAAGTCATCTACCGCTCTTCTCCTGGTAAGGAAACACAAACTAATAAATTCAGTGGGCATTCAACTTCGCCCTAGGTTATTTCGTCCCCCCAGCATTCCAGAATATCAAATGGAAAGTCTACATCCTGTTCGGCGTCTTCTGCGCCACCATGTTCATCCACGTCTTCTTCATGTTCCCCGAGACTGCTGGCAAGTCTCTCGAAGAGGTTGAAGCCATGTTCACGGATCCGAAGGGAATCAGGTATATCGGAACACCGGCATGGAGAACGCACGTGGTGAAGAGGACCCTGGAGCAGAGGGTCAAGGAGGGTGATGAGAAGGGGGCCGAGCATAGGGAGGTGCAGGAGCATGAGAGGAGTAGTGATGAGGAGATGGGGATGGTGAGACCTGAGCAGCCGCAGCAGGCGGTGGTGAAGGAGGAGAGGGCTTGAGATTGCAGAATGGGGTCAACGTGATTGTTCGAAAGAGACACGAATATTATGATTATGGGGTGCATTGAAGGAGTTGGGGTGTTTACGAAAATGGCTGGCTATGACTACGAGCATAGATGTAGTGATAGAAATCTTATTTCAGATATTGTTTTTTGCACCACTTGGTCCTCAAACTTCAACTCACACTTGGGACCTAACCCGCCCTTATGGCGCATTTAACCTTTGAATGTCCCAGGCAGTTTGAGGACATTCAAGTCTCTCAATGTCTCAGACACATTCAATCATTTTGTTGTTGTTAATCTCTCTAGCGAATGTGGTCACATATGCTTTATCTGAACGCTCTGTTCCTCTGGTACATCTACAGTCATGCATCAAGCCCCTTCTCACACCCACTTTGAGCAAATGTCTCTCGCTTCTAGCCGCAGCATGTCTCAGCCGTCCCCTTTAATTCACACACCTCCCCTTGATCTCTGTATCCTCGAACCAAATTTCACTTTTCGGTTTGTGGTCCCCAAAGATTCTAGAGGTTTCAACATTTGGCATATTAACAAAACAGCAATAACTCCACACACCTGCGCCCGAGTTTGTAGCCAGCCAGATATATGCATTCCGCTCGGCAATGATTTTCCCAACCTTCCATGCAAATGCGGAAACGGTATCTACAACGCAAATCAACACTTCTTTCTCTCCCTCAGAGCATTCAATTCCCGAACAGCCATATTAACTCCACCACTCTATCCAGCGGGGACTCGCTGTCATCGTTGTCCGAAGTATCGACGTTCTCGACGTATGTTTGTCGCACTCCTTTGCCTGGAAGAATCGTTGCCTCAACCAAAAGCATTTGTTTCTTCTCATGCTTCTCCAAGGGTTGACGCAGAGGACCGATGTGGTGCTCGTAGTTGGACTTCAATCCTGCCCAGGTCATTTCCACTTGATCCAGATCGACTAGTACACTGCCATCATCATCTTCGATCCCACCAGGATATTCCGCGATGCTATAGCCGTTGCTGAGCACAAGATCGTCGTCGAATCGGAATCGTTGAAAGACGCATTCGAAGCCACAAGCCTTGGAGACATTCCCAGCCATTGGAACATCTACATGAAACCAAGTCTTCCAGTGGTGAACTGTGAGCATCCTTCTGCCGGACTCGAAGTATCCTGAAGGATCGCCGCCCAGATCCATCTGGTTGAGGCCTGGATCGAATGAAGGTCGAGTAGCAGAATGGGCGTTGAGGCACTCGTTGACAATTCCATCTCCTTGGTTATGTTCGGTCTCCATGCACTTATTCCACACTTCATCCTTCACAAGTGAAGCTGCCAATGGCACGGAGATGAAGATCCCACCTCCTCCGAAGGGGATCAGCCCAAAGACCTTGACTTGTTCAATATTGTCTGATGTAGCGGCGACCATGACCTCTTTGCTAGCGTCGTAGTTTGTGTTCAAGTGTTCGACAAGGTAAGGAAGCGAGGGGAGGAAAGTATCGTCGTCCATGAGTACAAGCCACTTTGTGTTCTCGGTTCGGGTCTCGTAGAGTTGCTTGATGCCGTAGAAGTATGCTCTTGCGAATGGGAGATTGGAATTGTGAATTGTAACGTTGACTCCCTGGTCTCGCATCTTCTCTTCGACTTCAAAAGCTTCGACGGCTGGAGGGGACATGACATGGAGCTGGGCACCAGTGTTGGGAAGCCAGTGAAGGAGCTGGACAGAGCGTTGGAGGCGGTCAACTTTTGTAGCGATTGCGAAGGACATGATGGATTGGTCGACATCTGGAGAGCGAGGAACGCGTAACTCGAGTATTTCACGATCGTCGATAGGTATCTCGACCAAATCATCTTTCGAGATTCGCTTTGGGTTGCCAAAGAGTGTCTCGTTTAGTGTGGTGGTCGTAGGTCTCTCTCCTGTGAAGTATTTGGTTGTGATGAAGCGGCGCGTATAACTGAAGTCATCCGTCTTGACATATCTCCCGACATGAGTGAGGTCGACCGACTGAATGGTCTGTTGAGATTGAACCTGGGAATAAGCAGCCTTTGCGTACGGGATGACCTTGTTCCTAACCACATGGCCCTCTGGACCAAAGAACCTGAAGCTCCATATGATTGTGAGGGTCGCCAAAGCGAGTATGCAGATAAAGCCTTGTTTGCTTCGATTCGACATGGGCGTCATGATTGGTGAACTGAAAAGAGTGTGATGTCGAGGAAATCGACGTTAAAAGGAAGGCTGGATGGGCCGACGAAAGGTTCTGTGGCATCAAATTTGAATTTGGACTTCGTGCGAGGTTAGAAGTACGGAACGGGTCCAGCGGCGGGATGATGCAGGTTTACCAGATTCAGATTTGATGCGATCGCGGACGCGTGGTGCCATACTCGAACCTGATCAGGCACGACACATGAATCCAAGAGGAAGAAGGGGAAAAAAAAGAAGTGAGTGAATGAAGGAATGGAGATGTATTCACCTACGAGAATAGAAACCTCCACGGTTTATCCGACGAGCGGAAAGAGGAGACGAGAGGGATCAGCCTGAAGGTGCGTTTCACCGTCGTCGCATCCGCTTGGCCGCTGACAAATCTTGACGTCATGGTTTGATGTGCACAGAATACCTTTGAGGAAGGCGCACAACAGTATATCAATCATTGTTCAATGTTTTAATAACAAAGTACATTTCAAGTTCGCGGTACGCTCAAAGGCTGGAACAAAATTTTGGTGGTGGGTTAACCTTAGTCTGAAATCCAAGACATTGTCCGTCTTGGCCCGCCACGAAACTTCAGCCCTACTGCAATCTTCACCTCATCCGGCTTGGCTATTCAGGGTCTTAAATGTTCCAACGTCAGGAGATGCGCCAAAGCAAGATCTTTACAAAAAACATCAAGGACAACTCCACGATACCGGTGGAAGTAATGCTGTCAATCGAAGAATCGAAACAAAAGAACAAACGCATGTGAAGTTTACATGTCAAATAAAGTATAATTATCTTCACTGCGATTGCACAAACCATAAACTCCAGAGTGAAGACTTCATCAACATCTCAACATGGGAACATTTTATTCGACAGAAACCGACGCTCAACTCCAAACAACCAAGCGTACACGCATCCTCGCATTCGCATATTTGGGAAATTCGCACCCATCCTCTGCCCAGCGATATGCGTTTCTGCAGGCAGTGCCAAGGTCGAAGACTCAGCGATGTCGTCGTTTCCCACCAGTACCATCTACCACCATTGGAGCACGCTCAGAGTTCCTAGATTTGGTCCTGGAGATTATTTCACGTTCACTGTCTGCGTCACAGTTCCTGTCCTGAGTTCTGGTCCTTGTCTTGTCTCGCTTCTCTTTCTTGGGCTCTGTGCTAGTGCTAGTGGTATTGCTATCACCTGCTATCCACATCTGGCCCGTCTGTAAAGTGGGAGCTGCTGGAGGTGCTCGAGAACGTGGTGGGATGAGTGGCTGTGCGGAGTACGTCTGATCCATCTGTGGAGCAAAGGTTGCTAGAGCTACTTGAGAACGTGGTGGGATAGGAGGCTGTGTTGAGTAAGTCTGTTGTACTTTTGAATCTGCCCCTTCTTTAGTCCATCTGACTTTAAGTTCCCTGCGTTGAAACCTCTTTCCATGTAATGCATCCATAACGCGCTGGGCAATATGAGGGGAGGAGAAGACAACAAAGGCGTGACCTTTGGCTTTGCCGTCTGAGTGCCTGGGGATGTCAAAAGATGCAATTGGGTACTCTTCGGCTGGGGTAGCAGAGCGAGATCGTGATTTCTGTGCTGCGCGTTCGAGCAGATTTCGTAGTTCTTTCTCGGTGATCGAGTGGGACAGGTCTGTGATGATGACCTTTCGAGCTTCGGTGTGGACAACGACATGATGAGCTTCCTCTGCTGGCGGATACTGGTACTGCGGCTTCATAGCTGGAGGGGCAGGAACGATTTGAGCCATCGGAACCAAGGCGAAACCCATGTGGACCGGGCGAGCATAGATAGGAGTCGGTGGAGGATTCGCCATGTAAAGATTTTGGGAGGTAGGAGCTGCAGCGTAGTTGAACGACTGAGTGCTAAAGGACGTACATGGAGACGAAGATGCATAATTGGCAGATTGCAGTGAGTGGCTCATTTCGTTGGAATATGTTGTGGAGCCGGAAGAATAGCTGACAATTGGAGACTGCGATTGGCTACTGAACTATAATTTGTCAGTTTGGTTATTGGCAGTCTCGCAAATTAAATAACTGACATCTTGGATAGAATTCAGAGAAGGTTGGTAGTGCGAGAGGGATTCTGCGCCCGCTGTTTGCTGATTGTACTTTGTTGAAGATGAAGTATATGCATGCGTATCAGGGGGAGATGTCTTGATGTATGCGGGTTGCTTGCTTGAGGTTTGAATGGGTTCGAGATCTCGAAGATTCACAAGGCTATGTCCGTTACGGCCATCTGCGACAATTGCTTTCCCCTCGAAGACTCGGCCGTTGAGGAATTCCGTAAAGACATTAACACTTCTGTCTTGATCTCGAAAGTAGATTTCGAATCATCAAGGGTCTTACCATATGCTCGCTCGAAGTCCTCTCTGCCCCGGATTTTGACCCAGCCATCGGTTGCCGAAGGGTATATAAAGACGTGTTCTACATTTATACAGCCGCCAGTCTCAGGATATCGGACAAAGTCTTTTAGTTTCTGCCAAGTGGCGGACCATGGTAAACTTGAAACGATAAGATAGTATTCACCAGTCTCGTCTCCACAAGGCTTGAGAACCATATTGACAATGAATACAGTGTACCCGTCTTTGAAGCGGTTCACACGTGAAACTCCTGGTAAAGTATCGCAACGGCGAAAGCAACCAGACCTCCATCGAGCAGACTTGTCTATCTATATGTAACATATAGGAGGGATGGAACTGCCTTAGGAGCCATTCAGTAGGGTTGGAACATGACTGGGCATAATCATCATCTGCCTTGAGGTTCTTGTGAGGAGAATCTGACAGAGTTGACTTCATCATCTGCGGCTTGAGAGCGATGCGGTGTGTAACCTTCAAGAGAGCTGGTAATTGGTTCACCATCTTCTTTGGCGGCAGGGTGAGCGATTGGGAACTCTGGCAAGCTCCTTGTCCTAGGAAAGGCGAGGACATCAATAACATACAACAGAAGCAGGGTCGGCTTCCCGTTGACTCAGATCTTCCGTTGACCAAGAATGCTGCAGCACCAAGGATCGACTCAGACATTTTCAAGCCCACTCATGCATTATGGCTTGTTCAGATGACAAAGGAGTTGGATAGCTCGAGGGTGGTACGAAGTACGGCATGCAAGACCTTTGTTTGTACAACTGAAGGCCGAAATCTTTCGTCTCCCCCACATACCACTCCCCAATGTTCCATGTCCATAAAAAGCAACGAGGCATAGATACATATCATGATAGCATCGTGGTTGGTGGCGTTTTCTGGCGAGTAGGAATATAATTGTCCATCTTCCGGACAGTGCATTAGCCTGATTCAGGGAAAGAGGACCCTGAGGCGTTGTTGTGTCCGTGTTACACGATCCACAGCAAACCACGATATTCCAGCGCCCGGGTTGACCTATCGACGCCTATTTGCCTTACTAAAGCTACGTGCGAACCACGCATGCAAGACTCACACACGCAACAATCTCGTGTTTCAAAGAATGCGGATAGCATATTCCGTACTCAGAAGACCGCATGGCGACTTTGAAGAAAACGACGTGTAGAGAAAACTCAGTGGACAAGATCATTCGTAGCGGGAATATTGCTTTGATGGAGAGCTATGAAGTTAGTCGGTGAGGAACATGGCACAACTGCAACCTGCTCCAGGCTGTCGTCTGTGGTGGTTGGTGGTGATTCGAGGACTGCAACCGTGCAACGGGGAACGGAACAATGGGACCGAATCATGGTGGGGACGCATGCATGGAGGTCGAGAAGGAAGTAGATGCAAAAGAAACGTTTTAGAGTTGAAAGAGGTCTTCATCAACTATTGGTCCTAGTTTCGGCTATCTTCAACCCCGCCATTGCCCCCCTTTTCTGGCTCTTCCTCCTCCCACCATACCGCAAAACTTGGCATGTGCTTCTCCCGCACGATGCACGTCGCCTTGCAGTGCAGCCCAACCAACTGCATATACTGCCCTCAAATGGATATCACTACCTAAGTTCAACACCAAACATAAGCACAAGGGCTGCGGGACCCGGTTCCAAGGCACTGGCCCGCCACACATTGCTTTTTCACGGCTGCCCACCCATTCTCTCCAGGGTTCTCCGGGCCGGTCTGAGGAGAGTATGGCATCGTATCAAGGGGTTCGGCCCGTAAATGACATGTCACAACCGGTACCCTAGCCGAAGACTTGGTGCTGTCGTTTTGATTCGCCAAGTTACATTACATGGGCGACCTTGTGGTGATATTGTCCATGAACATGTCATACAGCAAACTTCACCTTGTTTTGAGCAGGTCATGCCTTTACTCATCTGATCTTTTCCACACAACAACGAGAAGCTTCCAAATTTCAGATCGGTAAGTACCCGTTCTGCAGGGACTGAGACATAGCTCAATGCAATAAGTGTTATACACCGAGTTGGGGACCCAAGCGCCCGGTTATCCATTCATATCCATCGAAAGTTTGCTTTTATGTCCTTTGCCCTGCCCAAGGTGGAGAAATGCGGGCAGCCTCCAGATGTACCGAATCATACGGCGAGGTGCCAAATCACCAACTCACTCGTTGCTATCTCCAATGGTAGTCTGGGGAGCTCAAATTCAATCTGCACTCATCCTTCCCCGCTTAACTGCAGTCTGCAACTCAGGTGTTGATGCATCCAGGGTCGAATCCGATCTAACAAACGGCACGGGAGACGCACATTTATCTTGCAGAAGCGTTGATTTCGCAGCAGCCAAGGTCTTGGCCCGCTTAATAAATGCCTATTTCGAGGTCAGATTTTGTTGGTGACTGCCATCTAGACTCCGCGGAGGCACCTCCGAGCCAGAAAGAGAATACAGAGCTTTGCCGGGTCTCACGCCATGGACGTGTGCACGCATGTAATCAAGTGACTCGAAATGTTCTATTCGGTCAGCGGCTGAGACCCCTAAAACGACCCCTAAAACGATGTATCACCGATCGTCTTAGCTCTTCAGTGCCTCCAATGTTCCGATTCCTCCACAAGCTCCACTCCCTATGAAGTTTTCACTCTGCATTGCACCTCCACATTGAGCTCTCTCCGCATTCTGATTGTCGAGGAATTCTCCGATGCGAAACTAGGTAGGTTGATCAGTCGGGTGTTGACACGTGCGATTGATCCTTCATGCAGGGTCTTTTCTCCTCATTTTTCATCTCCACCACATCTGCACCCACCTCCAATCAATGACGGTTCGTGGGAGCGTTTTCAAGGCGGTGAGATTGTAGTGGCTCGATGCTTCTGCATACTGCGACAGTTATCTGGACCATGCACGTCGAGCTCATCACCAACTGTTGGGCGAGCTTTCAGAATGGGATCCTGCTGATCGAGATCGACACTTCTGACAATCGATGCACATGCTAGGGACTGCTGAGGCATTTGATCCTGATATTGACAGTCAGCCTTGCGGAATCTTCCCTCCAACACGATTACGCCCCAGCTCCATGCGTGACTGCCATTGATGCCTCGAGGATTACATATTCCATCCTGAGTACTGTGCGTTACACAGGTCTGTAGATGTCAGCATGTACAGGTGTGGGCAACAAACACAGAGAACGTTGGGATGCATGTTGGGATACCATCACGGTTTGAAGAATGACAGATTTCTAAGCTTATAGAGACGATGAGAATAAACCCGTGAAGAACAAGCGACCTCAACTTGGAAACTGGAATGCGAGAAGACAGATGATGAAAATTGTCTCGAGAAGATTTTGAGCCGACTTTACTCGTACCGTTTTTGATTCCGCTTATACTTCGTAAGACTAGATAGAACATTCCAACCAGAAGCGACAGTGAATTGTGTCCAAAGCCTTCGTTTCCCGCCCTCTTTTTCCATCTTTGACATTGCAACTCACTTGAGAGAATGTCCGACCAAAACCAAAGAAAAAGTCGAGTTGGTCCAGTTCACAAAGTCCACTGGGATTCCGGGAATAGCAAGCTTTCGTTGTCCGCAGACATCGAAGCTATGACACGAAGACAATCGATCAAGAAGAATCGTCTGTCAATTTTCATAGGTATCCATTGCTGTACAATGCCCAATTTATTTTTGTAAGTAACCTTCGTATCGCAAGAACCTGAACGCCAGGATCCGAATAGTTACACCAGTAGCAAATAAAGACAACCTATCCCAACGAAGAAAAGAGCACGCTGCCGTGTGTGCACACCAAACCAAGCCATACGATTTCCACGACGCATTGTTGTGCAACTTTGTAAGAAGCACCGTTTCTACGGATGTTTCCTAGGTAGTAGAACGAACATAACGACCGACGACGATGCAGTGATCTCTCTCGAAAGGTTCTGGATTGTGATTAGCGACTTCCTCACGAAGATATGAAGCAATGCGTGCTTACCAAGTGTCAATTGCTCCAAAGGCTTAATTCTCTCCTCTCTCAACTTTGTGACTTCTCGTGCGAAAACTGCTTCTGGTGCAGCGGTACTGTCGATACAGTTTGCCTTGATCGAGACCACGATACCGCCTCCAACCTTCAAGAACAAATGTGCGTTCAATCCAACGATACGAGCTTGATCAGGCTGGGCGACATCTGCGAAGATGACATCGACCATGGAAACCAGCATTCTATAACGGAGGGGGTGACGAGCGTCCTCAATGATTGGAATGACATTTGTGCGGTGGGTAGCCATATTGATCAGATCACGACCTGAACGATGCGAGAACTCGACAGCGAAAACAGTTCCCGTAGGACCAACGATATCTGCAACATGCGATACGGAGGTTCCAGATGCAGCACCGAGGTACAGAACTTTGGCTCCCGGCTTAATGAAGATCTCGTCCAAACCACCCAAGACACCAGCAGCCAACTTGCTTCGGAAAGGATTCCAGACTCGGTATTCGACCTTGGTTGTGCTTGGAGTACCGTCTGCGTTCGCGGGACCGGCATTTTCGACCGAGATGCGCTTTTCGCCATAGACAGACTCGCCGGGTGAGAGGTTCTTGGTTACCAGCATGTCTTCCTTGCCTCGAGCGACGAATATACCAGCATGTCTGTGGGGTTCCTGGGATAATCAGCATCGCATAGACAAGCTGAAGAAGGTATACATACAATGATGGTCTTCGCACCACCCTTTGCGCCAGCACCTCCACGTCCTCTCGGTGCACCACGGCCTCGGGGTGCGCCTCTGCCTCCTCCACGTCCACCTCTATCTCCACCACCTCGACCTCCTTACCCTCCGGTCAGCTACATTTGTTCCAAGAGCTCTGCGCAAATGCCAGAGGAAGATTTGCGACCACCAATTTACCCCTCATGAGGGAATTCGAGGTCGCAAGAATAGTAAAACTGACCTCTGCTACCTCCTCTTGAGAATCCGCCTCGTCCGCCTCGATCACCGCCCCGGCCACCGCCAAAGCCTCCTCGACCTCCCCGATCGCCGCCGCGTCCACCTCTAGGTGCGTATGCCATCTCTACTTGTGTTGTAGGAACGATTGACTGTGCAGAAGTGTTTTGGTGTTTGCGAAAGCTGCAGTTGTGAATTTGGAAATTTTATTTTTTGCCGATTCCTAGCTAAAGCTAATTGGCGGATAGGAAGATAGTGCGTCACATGATGGCTAGACCACTTTGGGCACTAGATCCATATTTGGGCGCTACCCAAAGAGTTCTTCTTGTCCCAACTTCTGCTCGAACATCACCACGACTTCACTCACCTGGTGCTCTTTTAGAGATACATCGAAGACTTGCGATGTTTTGAAACGCATCCTGGAGGATTTCTAACCACTTCGCCACTCGAGTTCAGGATGTCTTGGCGATATATCAATGTTGGAAAATTTCGTTCGGCATGTGTTCTCTCCGGTTGCATTGGGGATCTCCAAGTCTCTAACAAAACTCCTTCACCGGCTGAAAGTCGTGATCACACCAGCGTTTGGTCAGACAATCGACTGAAAAGCCTGACTTGGGATGACTCGTCTGGTTTCCCTGATCATCTTGATCCGGATATTCAGATATGCAGTACGTTACGAGTATCCTTGATGAGGGAGATTCAAACGATGCTGTTCTCCCCCATCATCTTGTTCTAAACTCTGCCGGATTCAGTTCTGTCTTGGAAGTCTACCATTGATGAAGTGTAAACATCGAGCCAATGGCTTCCGTCAGCCAGAGAAACAATGTCTGCTGTTCCCAGGGTACTCTCACACCGAATTAGCTTGGCCACAAGATCTTGAAGCCACTATCGTCGCACAGGCAACATCGTGGCTGAGCATATCAGCTACAACGGTACTTCACACTAGACAGTTCATGGGTGAGCCGTTTCTCCAGACTGGGGATAAATCACGCCTTGGGCAACGGGCCAAATCCCAAGATGGGATATCTGATCTAAAGTTCGGCGCAAACCCTGCATTTGGCTTCATCTTATCACCTATATCGTCGTGATATATGGTACCGCTGTGTTTGACAGCACTAATTAGGCTTTCTGTCACCTTCGGCGTTCCGAACTATTTGACATTTCATCCGTTGATACCGGACGAGTTTCGGCGGGGTCTCGAGCGAGACAGGGGAATGATTCGCCAAGCTTTGTGCGCTTCGACATTTTGCCTCCTCTGAACATCCTCAATTGGCCAAACGATGTTTTAAGCTTCTTGGTGGAACGGTTTCCTGTCATCCCGTCTCTTCTCCATGGGATGGAGCCTGTGCGTATCCACACGTCAGACTTTTGAGGACTATTTCTCGTCCGACTTGGCAATTATGCCTGCAGCCAGAAGATACAGCCAAGGGTCATGGTAGTACAGTGTTCTTTGAGTTATGAACAAGCCTTGATGTGAGCATCAAGCTACGAGCACCAAGAAGGAGTCTTGGAAGGGGGATACCCATGTCGCGGCTGAGCCTATTTGAAATAAACTTGGATCGGCCAAGCCTACGGGGTAGGTTCATGGGCGGCTGATGTTGGTTCCGGATACATCACTCGAGAGCATGGTGCATGAGTGAACAAGTATAATAGCTGTCCATCAGCTACCTTCAACTTTTCCCGACCAGCACCACTTCCAATACTTTTCAGTGCCCTCTACCTACCTTCCCATTCCTTTCACGAGCGCCCCAGCGGCCGCCACAGTCATTTTTTATTTTACAAACAAACATTCTTTTTAATACCACTTATCAATTCTTCAGTCTAAACTTAAAATCATCATCATGCTCTTCAATACACTAGCTGTCTTCGGCTTAATCGCCACTGCTGCTGCAGGTCAGTACACCTCTTCTAAATTCACAGAGGCCCAGCTAATCCTCTTACAGCACCTCAACTCCACTCAAGATTCCAGAAGGATGTCGAAGCACGAGAAGCCATCACACATGCTGCGCGTGGTGTCAACTGGTCTCCCCGCGCCATCGTACCCCGAAAGAACAACTTTGGCAACAGCAAAGACTTGTTCCAAGGCAGCTACCAAGCCAACGTCCAGATCACTGAGGAGCAAATTACAATTCTCCAGGTCGACAACTCGGCAGCGCTCGAACAACAGGTCTTGCAAACAGAGATTGCACTCTCCCAGGCAATCCAGCTCCAGATCTTGGCTCAACAAGAACTTCAGTTCGCCATTGACAACATCCGAACGAACACATTCAACAGCCTCAACAGCAACGTCGTATGTATTATCAAACTTCTTTCGGTTAGGGAGATGAAGCTAATGAGGCTCAGAACACTGTGCTGGTGATCGTCACTCAAGTTGTCGACAACCGCAACTCCGGAAGCAGCAACAACCGCTACCTTGTCCGTCAATTGCAATCCAACCCCACAATCCAGGAGCAAGTCTTCGTTCAGATCAACGAGCAAGCATCCATGACCATCGCGAACGATGTGCCAAGCTCAGTCTTTGCTGCAGCTCAAGCATCAGGTACTGGTTTCGCTGCCCCCAACCTTGGTTCATACACTCCTGGTGGAAACATCTCCCTCCAAGCTCAGGGATTGAACCTCCTCCCACAAGGAGTTTCCGTTCCATCTTTTGGCAACGCACAGAACTTCAACGACCCTGCTCTGATCATCCAGCCCAACGTTCAAGCTTTCGTTCAAATTGGTAGCTCAAACGAGTTCTCAGTCGCCGCTATCGAGGCTCAGATCCTGGGCCAAGTTATCAATTGAGAGTTTTGAGTCACGGTTTGAGATTGCTTGGTTTGGGTTGTATTGATTGCATACGGAGTTCAGGCAGACGAGTACATGTAGATAATGATGGTGCTTTTACTACGGGGCAGACTGGGGCTGGTACTGGGAAGGGTTGGGTACAGGTAGAGGGCTGGGAATTTGGACTTGCAGACGGTAGATCCGTGGCATGGGTTACGAGGGGGATGATGGATGAGTCTGCTTTGCACGCATGCATTTATACGAACTCTTTGGGGGGCGGTGACGAGCACTGAAATGTTGGAGGGTGTTTTTGGATAGCCAGCTCGAGTGATTGAGCGATCAATGAACGAGCTCTCGGTTTGACGTCCTCAGGCGCAGTTATCTCGTGATTTGTGAAACCTGGGGTAAAGAGCAAGGTATGGGCGCCGTCTGATCTGCCGGCTCTTGTAAATGCCTTTAAGCAATGGTCAATGCATCATGCCCTTGCTTGACGTGTCTCAAGTGTCCCGGTGTCAGTTGAGAACTCGGGCCACGCGATGTTGATACATGGAACCGTGCGGATAATTCAAGGCTTGGTAAAGCTTGGTTTCAGACGATGAACTGCCGTCTCATGTCGTGCTCTGCCATCTGATTACCTTTGACATGTTTCCGCTGATAACAAGGTCCTCCTGGCTTGTCTGACTGAGCTATATTAAGCTTCTGGAGTTGTTCTCGAACGTCGAGAGAAGGTTGAATCTTCGCCGCAATGTTCGGTGGAATGTGGGACAAAGGAGCATGTGCTTTCTCCGTGCCGACATCCCGCACTTGACTGAAAATGTGCTAGCTCTTCTCCACTCTCAAATGCTTCACTCTCAATGGCCAATCCCCATTTGGCGTTCGTCATTGTACGGATGATGCACGTACGCAATTCCAGGGTCGAGGAGAGGGGTTCGAAGCTGCATCGAGGTTGCATCTGGATATGACCGACAACGACGGCGAGAATTGAAGCAGGTTTCGAACCTCCAAGATATATTTTATCGTCTGAGAAGCTCTGAGAAGCAGGTTGACAGAAATACTGGCGATCCTGACGAGTCTGCGAGGGCTGCAACGATACGTCGATATAAATCGCGCAAAGGAAGACACAATAGGAGAAATCTGCTGTTGGCTGTCACACCACGATCGAAGGACACGAGAACGGTACATATTCCCGGAGACGACGAGGACGAGAACTAGAAGGAACGTAATCCAACTGCTCTGATAAGGATTCGAATATCTTCCTCAACAATCGTCCGAGATACTTGGTATATTACGGACGTACCGCCTATTAAGTCTTCGTACACATAGTACGTCACTCAACCTCGACAGAAACGAATGAAACAACCATCACAGCTACGAACGCAATCATCTTCACACAGAACAAGTCGTCGAAAAATACCTTGATATCTTATACGAAACTCCTCGGTCTTACAATCGAATTCCTAATACCTACGTGCCGAATAAATACCCAGCAACTCTACCTCGCCCCTCAACATGCCTTTGAAAGATCGCATTCGTCGCGCAATGGGGTCCGTGAGTTCGTCGTCTGGCTCTTCCGAGTCCAACTCCGGCTCTCGAGTACCAACAGCGACAAATACGCCAGGCGCAAGCGGTGCAGCAACCCCAACTCCCTCGAATTGCAATTCGAATGCCACCACCCCGACCATAACCCTTACGAAGACGAACAACTCGACTCGCCTTAGTCTGACTAAGACCTTGACCTGGTCAAGAGATAAAAGGAGCAAAGAGGAGAAGATGGCAGACAAACAGCGAAAGCGTTTGGAATACTGGGCAGAGAAGGATCGCGATGAATGGTCGACCCCTGAAGACGGCCACAAGAGAAGCGGAAACAAGAAGAGAAGTAAACAACATCAAGATATGCTCAGGCAATTCGAATTCGACTTCAATGCAAGGAGGAGAAGCATGTCGAGTTGGATTTCAGGAATCAGTCCCGGGCAGACGAGAGTAGGAAGCGTGGACAGCACCGAGGGCCAACAACTATCACCGTTACCGTTGAGAAAGCGCAGCTCTGGTGCCGGGATGGGAGCGAGTACGCTGAGTAGACAGGTTACGAGAGAAGAGCAAGAACCTGGCCATGCCATTCCCAGTGTCGCAGAAGAGTAAAGTACATAGCAACAGAGCGGCCTTTGATTTCGGTTGGCGGATTGTATGATCGTTTCTGGGACTTGAAAATTGGAGGCTCGGCGTTATATTTGCGTCTTGGATAGTCGGTCTTTTGGGGTGTATATTACAAACACGTACGGGTACGGAAAAGGTTGGAAGTCGGGCGCTTGATACTTTGGGGAGTTCGGGCGGTTCTTGCACATATGTCAAAGTCCTTGAATTTTTAGTTCGTTTCCTACCATATAAGTTTTCGGAACCTTGACGAAGAGTAGAGAATTTTCCATGTTCGAATTCTGTTGTCAACTCGGAAAGGCGCAGTCGCTTGCTACTCGATCTCACATCTAGGAGAATATATTGTCCTAGCCACAGTCAGACATTTTCGAGACGAAAATATTCTGTTTGGTCTAGTAGCTCGACTATTGTAATTATCCTCTCGATGTATATTCTTCGTCCAAACACTGATAGCTTCAATCTGTATTCAGACGTAAACCTTTTCAGCTGCGAGATTATTTCGTGTGCATCAATTCATCCATTCTTTATATACACTTTCCGCTCAATTTTTTCTTTTGCTTCTGCTCGCATGAATCCTCACTTCCTGCAATTCACAATTGATTCACTTCGCCGCCACCAAAAACGTAACAAAACTTCTCCCTGGCAAAGTCGCCGTCACCGTCCCATCACTTCCCAACGTCGCCGCCATGCTGACCATCTCTTGGGTTTGGCTCGTCACCCAAGCCCCTACCGTCGTCCCATTATACCCCTTTAAGCTCAATGTCACACTCTGGCTTGAGCTTCCGGTATTCAAGCACGGCACCACCAAAGCTCCAGCATACACAGGTGCTGTATCATCGTTCACGAACGCACTGGTGCTTAGTCCGCTAGGTGAACCCGTCACCCCTATTCTGACAGCGCCAGGTCGAATGAAGCGAGAGAACTGAGCCAATGCCCAAAGTCGTTTGGAGACCGTGTAATCGGTAGCAGTCACCTGGATCATCTTTTCGTTCGTATTGCCTCCCTGCGTTGCGACCCAGTAGAGATACCCAGAACAATTGTTGTTCACGACGGCATTATGCACATATGAAGCCCATGTTTGGCCATCGCCTGACCCTCCTGAGCTGTACCAAGCGGTTGTCCAGCCTCCATTTAGATCAGAGTATTCCGTTTGCCACACTTTAGCAGTTGTTTTGATAGGCCCGTTGAAGTTAGAGGTGTACGTGTGCGAGGTTATAATTCCAATCATGGGTTCGACACCTGCGCTTCGGAGTTGAGCTGTCATTCCTACTTGGTCGTTCCTATGTATGTTAGATACTTGGGAGTCCAAGGAGAGAAAGAGCACAAACCAGCCTTCGGAATCACAACACGCAATAGCTACATTGCTCATGTTTGCAGCTTTGAGTTCGGTATAAAGCACTTTGATGAAGTCTGCAGCTTGTGTCCCCGAGCTCAACATTCCCGCGTAACTCGCGCTACATTTCGTCAGTACGCATCTTCTTGCCTCTTCATACCTCAGTCAAGGCAAATTAGAACTCACGCATTTTGCGGCTCGTTCAAAAACCCCACATGGGTAAAGTTGATGCCCTCATTGGCATAGAACTTCATATACGCAATCAAGTAATCTGCATAAGCTTTCTTCCAGTCCCCACTCGTGCAAGTTTCCCCACTCACTCCGCAAAGGTACCCCCCATTGTTTTCATTTCCGTTTGTCTTCATATATCCAGGCGCAGACCAGGCATTGGCATAGAAAGTCGTAACGCCATAATCCTTCGCTTTCTTCGCCACGAATATCTGTCCGCTATCTTTCCCGTCCCATGTGTAATTCGGTGCTGCACTTGGACCTCCAGGATTCTTAGGCTCGATGGAGTTCATGTGATCAGACGAAGAATCGGGTGAAGATCCTACTCCAGTCCGTAGGATGGAGAATCCGGCGCCGGTGGTGGTATTGTAGAGCAAGTCGAGGATCGACGCTTGTTTTGCAGCAGGGAGGTTGACGATTAGATTTGCGCGTTGGAACGCTTCGGAAAAGCCGAATCCGTCCATTGTTTGGTAAGTTTTGGAAGTGTCGATTGTGATAGTGGCTGTTGTGGCTCGGGGAATAACTTCAGGGAGAGCTTGGGTGAGTGTACTGGCTGTCGCCAGGAGGAGGGTGGAGAGATGCATGGCGGCGCTGAGCTGGACTACCAGCCAGATAGTGGAAATCTAGAAGCAAAAATAGCAGTCCTGAGATTAAGATGATGAGCGGAGAATATATGTCAAGGGCTACCCACTCCAGCAATCACTCTTTTGCTCCGGATTGTGGGGCGCCGAAATTTGACTTCATCCATACTTTACACTTGGGTCAGGTGGAATTAAGTACACCTCTGGGTCTTCCACTCAGAGACCATATATTAAATGACAACCACGAAAAAGCGAGGTGGAGTTCTGCAGGGTTCTTGGCGAGCAAGGTTCTCCACGATGTGCCTGAAGACGGGGGCGGGATCATGGATTATATAAAGTTTATCCGGACGACTTCCGTTCACCCAAGTAGAGAAATTGAGCGGAACAGAGCTCGTGTGGGGTTGCATATCTTTGAGGGTGATTGTCCGACTGCCGGGTTGTAGCTCGAGAAGGGATTTCATGCAAAGGAAATAGAGTCTATGACTACGATTGCAGGAGAAGCTTCTTGAATACCGAAAATCTGCTTGCTGTTACCATTCGCCCTGGTGACGACGAGGAGAGAATGAACATGGGTGGGGGTATCATCATGCCTGTCGTCAAATAGATCATTGTTGGGCCGAGTGAAGATTATTGTAAGTCAACGCTGCCGTACCTCAAGACGCGAAACATTCAACTGCAAGACAGACAATCCATTTTAGATTTTAAGCCAAGTGCTTATCTGTAGACCATGTCCAGAATGCTGCTCTTCGGAATCCTAGTATTTAATAACTAGCGACTCTGCATACCTTTGAACAGCGTCAATTTCATTAAGATTAAATTTTTCAATTTTGACATTGAGCGATCCTAAGACATGTGAACGCCGTTTTTGATTCTCATCTTATTTCGTCTATGGGAGCTAAGGGTAACAAGTGGTATCGTAAGACGTAGCAAATTCTCTCCTCCTAGCTCCAGTTAATGCATGATCCCGCTCTTCTATGCTTCAAGTCATGACAAGTACAAAAATGACGCCCATCGTTAGTCATGAATTCCATGTTGATATCCTTCCGTCTTTCAGTGCCCGAGAGCCAGAACGGGCGCCTCCATCAACTTCAACAAGGATTGATCCAAGGTGATAAGTTCTCGTTCCTCGTCGGTCGTACCAGATAAGGAGCTTGTCACATCCCAACGCTCAAAAGGAAGATAATCAGGTGCGCAGATTGTCCCGGGCGTAGGAAGTTCACCAGTTTGGAAGTATTTTCGTATGTTCAGAGCGCTGCAGCGAGATGGCATCGAAAGAGTTGTGTGCTAGAGTATGTCAGGAATACAGTTCAAAGACAGAAGGCTGCACGTACCCCGTATGAATCTTGTGCCATCACGACGGAGCCTGGGAATCCCTTGGCATTGTTGAGAGCGCTTCGAAGAGGTGTGACGTTATCAGCTGTATTTGCAATGAACAGGATGGGATGCGATGTGTTGCCTTCATATGGACCTATCCCCACGTCAGTCTCTTTTCTCCGAATTCCAGTCCTCGATCACTTACCCCGGAATTGCCACTTTGCCTTAATACCCCATTCCACACACCCCATCCACATGTTGGACATTGTGGTACCAGCAGCTTTACTCATCCCTGCGAGTGTATCGACATAATTGCGGAATCCCTCAACTCCACCTTCTGCAGGTCTGGCATCTGTGCACATAATGGCCTTGGTCGCATCCCGATTTCCTTCTGCTTCGGGCACCTCTGGTGTTGGTGACTCAGGGTCACCATCTTTAGAATCATACTGCTTTTCGCACAGTGGAAGTTCTTCGCCTCCTTGCGAGGTGAGATCAACGAATGGTCGGCCATCGCCATTTTCAAGAGCCGTGAGAGCTTCAGCAAGGGATGGGAAGACGACTAGAGGTCTATAAAGTGCTGCTGATATCATTCGTCGTACTTTGGAATATGAGACAATTTCAGGTCGCGGATTTGAAGAAGGAGAAGATGGGACGATGACGGGGTGAATTTTGAGGTCTGCGAGAATATTTTTGAGACGTTCTTCGATGGCTTCTGGGTTGTTGGCATAGAAAGCACAGAGTAAAGGGCCTGCACGATGGCAATGTCTGTAAAATGCATTCATCACTGCGTCTGTGTCATCGAGGAAATGTGTTCCAGCACCAGAAGAGAATTCCTTTGCATCGACATTGCCTGAACGAGGTCAGCTTGGGTCATTGATGCAAGTTCCGCTTCTGAGAGGGAACATACCATCTAGAGCCAATCTTTGAACCCTATCCGGAAACAAAGCAGCGAATGTAGTTCCCAAGAATGTTCCGTAACTGAAACCCCAATACTGTAATTTGTCCTCTCCGAGCTTGTCGATCATCTGAAGCATGTCCCTGGCCACATTTGGTGTGTTGACAAATCGTCCTATATCGCCGATGTTATCTGCGCAGTGGCGAGAGAATGCAGCAGCATACGCATAAGCATCATACACAGATCCGGGGTGTGCATCGACATTCGGTGGATCTTGTAACTCCCATAGAAGAGCGGATACACTGCTGTAGGTGCTGTTCCAACAATCGACGCTTGGAAGTGTCATACCAATACCTCGAGGATCGAAGCTGATGATATCCTGAAACATTAAATATAATATTCCCACGATCATTGGTTTCACATACATGATTGCGGCCCACAACAGACTGGTAGTAGGGCGCAAGGTGCTTCACATACCAGATGCCAGAGCCTCCAGGGCCGCCTCTTGAAGTCAGCATTTAGAATCAAGCAGGGTATGGATAGAAGAGTACCGGGATTGATGAAGACTGGGCCCTTGTAGTCTGAACGGTCTGTAGCGTTGTACCGTATCATTGCAATGGTTGCTCGTCGAGGATCAGACTCGTCTAGCCAGTCGAGGGGAACCTGAACGGTTTTAAGTTGCGTTGTTGGCATGCATCTAAACACCACCTACCTCAAGCTTTGCACAGTCGTACTCGTCATAGCACCGATACCATACCAAGTTGCTCGATGGCTTGACCTGTATCCAAGTCAGCTTTGAAGCCGAGGTATGCATTTGCGGTGCAGGTGTTACTTCACTCCAGCTCTGCACGCCGATACTTTTCAAGTCCACAACTTGTCCACAGTGTCCAAGCTGTCTTCCTAATGCTTTGGTATCCTCCCACAAAGACCCATACCGCCAGAGCACGAGACCAAGCACACACAATACGAGCCCCACTCTTGCGATCAACAGCCTGAAGGGGAGGCTTATTCTCGTCTTCAATGAGCTAACACCCATCAACGAGGAGACCTTCTCATCCATGGTTTATCGTGACATCCAGGAAAAGTATCGGAGATGAAATGAAGTGCATGAAGGGAGTCAGGATAGAGTTGGCTTTGCATGCCAAGCTAACGCCGAATCTTATCTTATCAGAGAAGGAGCCCCTGACTAGCCGAGAGTGGGGGCCCCGCACTAAAAGTGAGGGGATGTACGTGACCGATAGCATAGATAGCTGCATATGATATTCGTTGACTTATATATTGTTTTTCTCTTTATTACACCACTCATGCCCCAAACCTTAGATAGTGCAGCTACATAGCTTATGGAATGCCAAACAAACCCCCCCCCCCCCCACTCATGCCATCTACCCTCTGATCGTCATCAACGTCAAAAGGCACGACACGATACCGACTTGGCGGGCATAGATGAAATCCATTGCATTCTTACGTACAGACACAGACATCAAGGAAAAATATAAGGCGGTTCTCGAAAACAACGCGATGATAATCCAACTGATATGAATGAGTTGTTTAGCCAACAAGCCTCAGAAACTGCTTCTTCTCATTGGGGGTTTCAATGCCTCACTTCTCTTCTCCAGACTTTCTACATCTTGGGGTCCTTCCTTTGATTCTGCTTCCGCTCCCCTCTAGGCTTGCTCTGATTCTAACGGCTTTTCGAAATCCTTTAGAGTTTTGAGGGGCTTGACTGGAGGACCCAGAACCACAGACCCTCTATTGAACTTAATGCTACTTCTTGTGTTATCTTCATCTATCTTGATATATATCGGTGTCCTCGTTGCTTCGCCAAAACGTCTCTGAGCAAAATTCTGTTCGACGATGTGTCTAATAAGATCTCGATGGAGCCTGGTTACAGAGAAAGAGTCACCTGTCTTAAGCGTAGAGCTCAAACATTCAACAAGCACTTCCGTGAAGCTCGGCATGGGCCCAAGAATAGGGTGAGATTTCCTCAAGTATTTAGTCATCTTTTTCGACATGTGCTGCATGCTGCTATGCGTGACCGCCTCATATCCACAAGCTACAATCATTTCCGTCCGCTGTAGTGACTTGAGGCCCGTGTCGAACGCGGCTGCGGCCGCTGCATAGCAAGAATCTATCAATATGAGTACATCTGTATTAATCGTTTGAAGCCAGTTTTGAACGGAATTCCAGTTCAGCCAAGGGCTTGAGTTCCAAGGATTTCCTCCGTTGTGTCGAGAACCTCGCCTGTCATACATACAGCGTTAGAATAAAGAGATCCAATCTATACGAAAGACAGTACCACTGACCCAAAAGCTGAGATGCGATATTGCTTGGACTCATCAACACTTCCGTGACCACAATAGACAACAATTAGCGCTGCCTTTTCTGTCATGCAGAAATTTTCAGTTTCCCGAATCTGATCCGAGAGCCTGCCTTCCGCATCAATGCTGGGAATCATGAACTCGACCACGGAATAATGGCATTCTTCCGCGAAGAAAAATTTCAGCGGCTCCAGTTCTGCTTTGACATTCATGTCGTCAGCCTCCCAGAAGAGAAGCAACACCCGAACTTTCTCGTGCCCTTCTGCGCCATTGTTTCCGTTTGCCATTATCTTTTTGGGGATTAAAGTGGTTAGATTGAAGATCAAAAGTAAGATATCAAAGACTTTGAGATCGGTCTCTCATATTTATTAAACTTGAGCCTTCCACGAAATATAAGTTTGCTAGGACACTTCTGCGAACAAAACATGTACTGTAACCCCCGACGAGGAGTCATTCTATGACTTTCACTTGAGTCAGGGCAATATTGACAACCAAATATAGCAGCGGTTTAGTGGTACTCGAATTATCTGCGTCAAGCTTTTGCTGTATTTGATTATCCTTGTTCAGAAACGTCAGAGGCCAGAGCTCACTTTAGTACTTACTCCACACGGCAGGTAAATTAGGCTTGGCCGGAATATTACGGCCATAGACCGTTATCTCACTGTATACCAGCTTTCAGAATAGTCTGCCTGCTTAAAGTCTTTAATCGTTGATATCAATTGGCGGCTCTTGCTGCAAAGTTTCCAGGCGCCCCACTTACAACGCGCGAACGGCATCATGGTGGTGGTTACCCTGAGTCGTACCAGAGTTTATGTCCTGTGACAAGCTCTCCTATTTCCACATGTTTGCGTGTTGCAATGCTACCAGTACTTTGTGATTGTTTGGCTATCGTTTCGAGTTGTTCGGTGGAGCGCTAAACGTAAATTACCAACCAAACTGCTTTTGCTTCCCGTTTGCTCCGTCCTTCCTAGGATGTGTCTTATCCGAACACAACACAGTTAGAAACACGATTGAGGAAACATCTTGTGAACGTTTGTGCTGTAGATCCAAACCAAAAGAGCAGCTCAAGAGACAGGTTGTGGTATTCGCTGTCTATGATGTTATTTCGAACTTGTCAGCATTGAAAAATAAGTTTTAGGACGGTGATACATAGTCGGGAAAATATCTGTGGCACATTGGTCACACGTGCTTCAGGCTTACTTTTATATCTGTTGCATGTTTTGGAAGTGGAAAGGCAGAAGAGGCTGCGCGGGACGTTGCAATATTCTGAACTACATGCTGGCTACTAAGTACGAGAGAGGCACAGGCAGCAACAGGGTTGAATTATTCAATCCAACAATGTTGTAGAAGGTCCCTGCTTTCGACTTCCCCATATGAACCCTGCACACCAACTCGAAAAGGTCACAGTACAGGCTGAAGTCTATTCCTCGAGTTGTCTAAATATTGCAACATGCTCCAGACTCATTGCAATCATTAGACCACCTTCCGCAACCTCCGCCGCCGTTGTTGTCCCCTCATGTGGTCCTCCACCGTCAGTATCCGCAGGTGGCATTGAATCAACATTATTTCAGGGGAGACGAACAACAATGGCGTTCCACCAAGATTTTCTGTTCGATAAAATTGCAACACACACTTTCATAACCAGCGTTGTATTCGGAGCGGTAAGTAACTTCAAGGTTTTAGGATGATGTAGTCTTGCACTTATCGACATTCGCAGATGATTGTCTACGCAGTGTCAAGCTTCTATATTATCATCCACTCTTCCAAGTTCCCAGGCCCACCAATAGCCGCTGTCTCTAATGTATGGTATGCTTACCACTGGTAAGTGAGAACCAATTCTAGATCGCTATATTGCACACTTTCAGAACTGAAGAGCCTTAGGCTTTCTGGGCGATATCCATGGGCAGTCGAGAGAGCTCTAAGGAAATACGGCGATAGAGTACGAATTGCACCTAATGAGCTCGTCTTCGTTACTCCGCAAGCCACATTTGGTCAACTAAGCTAGAGATGAGTTTCACAATCAAGGATCTTTCACTTATACCTCTAGACAGATATCTATATTTCTCACGAGAAGAACCACGAGTTATTCAAGAAGACGGACTTCCAGAACCGCGGAACAGATCTTGCTGCAGACCTGTCATGGGACGAGAAAATGCATGAGATGAGAGATAGTAGGTTAACCACCTTCTAGTCATACCGAGTACTGATCTTCATGGCCTAATAGTGAAGAACTCTGTATATCTTGATGTCCTACTCGGCTTCAACTTATTCTCCACCGTAATTCAGGTGTTCAAACGATTCCCACTTCTTGATATGTTCCAATACCTTTTCGTACCTTTCAATAAATTGAAAACGTTCGTCAACATCGAAAGACATACTCGCTCAAAGATAAATCAGCGTATAGAGATGAATGGTCACACAGAGCATCCTGACTTCTTCGATTTCATCCTGCCTGCCGGCACCCCACGTCCAACAAATCCTCGCGAGGCCACACATCTAGGTTCAGTTTCCATGCAACTTATGTTTGCAGCATTTGGACCGATGTCGGACTGGTTTTATGCCACCATCTTCTTTCTCCTCGAGGAGCCGATTTGTTACAAGCATTTGATCGAAGAAGTTAGAAACGCTTTCAAAACTTACGCCGACATTGTCCCAAGGTCCTTAACATCGCTGGCATATCTGAATGCTTGCCTTGCGGAGTCCCTCCGTGTTCATCCAAGCAACGATTCAGGCTTACCGCGTTTCAGCCCTGGTGCCTTGATTGATGGGGAATTCATCCCAAAAGGGGTAAGACTCTTGATAAACATACCCAGCTCACTCCTTCGTGAATTTTACAAACAATTTCTTTATATTTACTTAACTCGTTATCATTACAACATATACTCGAAGTCATAGATTCTGATTTTGACATGTAGAGCCGCGTTCAGACCAGCATCTTTGCCCTTTCTCGAAGCCCGCGTTACTTCCACGATCCACTCCACTATCGACCACAGCGGTGGCTTTCCTCCAATCACCCACTTTATGAAGACAAATTCGCAAAAGACGCATTAGAGCATTTATTCTCATTCAGCCTAGGCCCTAGAGCCTGCATAGGCAGAGACATGACATGGATGCAGGCGCGTCTTTTTATGGCCAAGTTGCTGTGGACCTTCGATGTGATAAGGGTGCCAGGACAACAGATTGACTTGGAAAGAAGTTTGCTTCACTATGGATTCTTGATCAAGCCGGAGCTGAAAGTGAGATTTGTGCCGGTTCGCAAAGATGAGACAAGGTGAATTTGAAACAAACAGAGTCGGTCTCTTCAACATGAGCTAGTTCATGCTGCTCCCGCCATCTCAACGAGTATCCCGCTAACTTCTGAATGGTGTTCGAATGCAAGACCTCACCTTCCATTGCTAGTAGGCTCTCTGCACGCTTTCTCCTGCATGTTGCGCCACGCCATGAGAAAGATTTCAAAGTGCTCAAGGTGACTCCTCAAAGCCTGCCTCCTGTTGACGATCAGATCCATGTAGGATTCCGTAGAGAGCTTTGCAAACGCTACCAATGTGTACACATGGGTGACACCTAGTGCAAACCAGGATGCTGTGGCAATCACCAAATCGACTTGTCACGCTGGTCATCCGGCTAATGATGCAGAAAACTTGAGTACAAATGTGGTGACTTTGCATACAAGTTTGATGATTATGTTTGCAATAGACCTCGAGAAGTGTGTCCGTGTCTTGGTTAAAACCAGGACAATTTCATTTCCAAATCGCATCCAACTCCAGTGATTCAGACCTTCAAAGCAGACGAAACCCCGGAACCATCATGCTTCAGTCAGAGGATGATTGTATCGGTAACAGATGCAGCACAAAACTAACAAGAACGACGTAATGTCAGAGTCAACGGCCTTTAAGCACTCTTCCTATGCAGCATGAGCTCATCTTGCACCACGCGCAAAGTTTGCTGGAAATCCTTGAGAGCTAGTAACTTGGATGAAAAGGGCAACATGGAGTAGAATCTAGATAATGAGGTACATTTGAGTTCAACGTCCAGTGCGCTCTCTACTCAGGGGTAATCTCGCCAAGACGAGATACCCTTGATTTTAACCGAAGAGTGAGATTTGTTTCACAACTAACTCATTCGTAAACCTCGATACTTCCCGATTGTGGCCTCACATTCTGTTCAACTGGAGGTCTTGGACCCGAGCAGCTACTGTATTCTTTAAAGCCTTCTCTCTTCTGTTTCGAGGTCGTCGTTGGATAACATGTGACCGTGACCAAGACCCCACTTTGCGGCGTCCGAGCTGCGCTGCGCCACGAGGATAAATCTTGGCTCAACAACAATTAACCTCTCACCTTCCGCATCCAGGAACAAACATTTCATTAACCTTATGCACCCAAGACGACTTGCCAGACTCGATGAATCATAATTGACGCTCGAAAATAGCCAATTCTCTTGGTGCCGAACTGCAATCAAATCTCTGTGAACCTTGAAATGCAGTCAGCCGTCGGCCAATTACCCTGATGCATGATTATTTCGCTCAGGGACGTATTTGCGCGCCGTGAAAATTCAGGTACGCAGCCAATCAACCTGGTTGTTTGTCGGCAGCTCAAGAATATCCGAGAGTACTTTTCCCCACACAAAGCATGTCCATCTCAACCTTATCTCCTTGGCAAACGAGATCGACGTTGTGTCATGATTTGACCGTGTTCATGAAAAGTAACGGCCTATCCGGATCAAGAAGGTCCCTGGAAGTAAGACTTGCAACAACGGGATCCTACCACCTGTTTAATGAGCAATATAAAGTCATGGCGATGCCCATCGACTTCGTGTCCACGTATCGAGACCCCTTCGATCGTGCTACACTCGTTGACAGAGCGCCACCATGCTGTTTGCATTCACGACACTGCTTTTCGCTGGTCTTGCTGCCGCGGACTGCAATGCTGACAACTGTCTTCGGGCTCTGAGGGCAACGCAAACGCCTGGACGTCTTCAATTTGCCCAGGCCTTTTGTGCAACTTATACAACACAGGCTGTAGCTGCCACGGCGATCCCATCATTCGCTGATGCTTGCAAGAATGGCAACTTTACCATCAGACTGTCGAGTGCTTGCAGCTGCATCGCTGCCTCAACGACGACAGCTCCAACGAGTACAGCTCCCCCCAGCAGCACTGCAGAAGCATGCGCGCTCGTAAGCAGCTCGTCGAGAGCTCAGAAGTCAACGGCACCAGCAGGTATGTTGTCACGTGAAATTTGCAAGTCATTACTGACAATGCTTCCAGCTACCCCAACTGTCGTTGCTTCATTGGCCAGAGCATGTCTAAACTCTGTTCCATTGAACAAGACCGCTGCGATTGCTCTGGTCACCGCCATGGAGCCATACCTGGAATGGCAAAGTGGTGAGAAGACCTGAACAGTCCCATGGTCTTATTTGTGCTGAAAGAGATGTTTTAGATTCGGCATATCTGCGAGATCCACCAGAGACATACTTTTACCCACCACACGATATCTTTGCCTATCTTGCATCTGTGAAAACTAATCTTGAAAGCGATAAGTACGCAAACGAATATGGTCAGTCGCAGCATTAGTGTTTTTTGAGTTGCAGATGAGCAATTGAGTCTGCAAAGTCAATGCTAACTTCCGCAGAATTCCAAGAAGACCTCTATCAGGTATTCGCTCGTGCTCATGATGGGCATTTTGTCTTTTACCCAGATGCTTTGACAAAAGCAATCGAATGGGGCAGGCAGAGATCTCTCGTTTCTATCAGCGAGGATGGAACATCACTGCCGGTGATTAAGCTCTACGGTAAGTAGATTATAACATTCGAGATATGACACTTACACTCTTTAGAGGATGTTGTCTCAGGCGCCAATGCATCTGTGGTCACAGAAATCAATGGCGAGGATGCAGCGACATATGTTGCGAACTTCGCGTACACCGCCTCATTCAATCAAGATGCAGATGCAGCATATAACACCATGTTCTTCGAGAAGGCATTCGTCGGAGGCGGAACAGGTACAGGATACTTTAATGGAGGAGGTCGTGTGAGATATATCTATCCAGGTGGTGAGTCCTTATGCTTAATGTTTGAAAGCCTCTCGGACTTTGCCTGTCAACCTTTTCTATTCTTCTGGTTTGGAAAGACTATGCAAAGATCTCTTGGCTGACCTATCTAGACAATACGACCTTCACGTTTGCCAACGGCTCAAGTCTTACTTTAGAAAACGTTGGCCACGTGAAAGGCGACTTCTCAGGAGTAACAGATGGATCTTCTTTCTACACCAAGTTTTGTATTCCGGAAAGCAGTGGAGATGCAGCAGCAGCAAACTCTGATGAAACCGATGCCTTTGTCCCAGATGTCCTCGTCCCTGGATATCCATCTCCTGTGGTCATCACCAACGACACCATCGTTTCTGGATATTACTTGAACGGAGCGGATTACGAGGATGTGGCTGTGCTTAGTCTCTTGGCCTTCGAATCAGAATCTCCCCTGGAATTTCAGCAAGTCACCCAACAGTTCTTCGCCGATGCTGTGCGGGACGGGAAGACGAAGCTTGTCATTGATCTCAGTGCAAATGGTGGAGGCTACATCCTACAGGGATATGATGAATTCAGACAGCTGTTCCCAGACATTGTTCAAGATGGCAACTCACGATGGAGAGAGAATCCTACGTTTTTGGCTATTTCAGAGGTCTTCTCCAGCATTTCTGCCAGCTTCAACCCTCTGACCTCTTCCAATTTTGTTATCAACGAGGCTGAGAGTGTTTTCAACTACCGATACGATCTCAACATCTCGAATGAGCCATTCCTGACCTTTGAAGACAAGTTCGCACCACATGTATACAAAGGTGACAATTTCACCAATCTCATGAGATGGAACTTAAACGACCCTCTCACCACCAGCAATGACACATACGGTCTCGGAACGGACATTACTGGATATCGCAGTAGAACCAACTTCACTCAACCATTCGAGGCCGACAATATCATCATGCTTCTCGACGGATATTGCGCATCGACGTGCACTCTATTTACAGAATTCATGCGTACCCAGGCTGGTATCAAATCAATCGCCATGGGTGGTCGGCCAATGGAAGGGCCGATTCAAGGAGTAGGAGGAATCAAGGGAGCACAGATTCTGGGATGGGGTGACATCTATTCCGCAGCACAAACAGCACTTCTCAATGCCACAGCGGAACAGGCAGCCATTCTTTCTACTCTTTCCCCTCTTCCAGCCAGCCGAGCACTGAGCACTGGTATAAACGTCAGAGACAACATCCTTCCGGACCATGTTGAAGATGGATTGCCAGGACAATTTGTTTTTGAAGAAGCTGATTGCAGATTGTACTACACTGAACCGATGGTCACAGACGTTACGGCCTTGTGGAAGGCAGCTGCGGATGCCGCTTTCGGTGGCGCCAGCTGCAACTATGGAAGTCTGGCGAAGAGAGACGAGGTCAAGAGGGACCCCAAGAGTCGAGATGCGCTCATCAAGAGAGCCGAACATCCCAGAAGAGCAATTATCACCGAGGAAAACCAGGCGTGGGTGGCGAGACATGGTCGCAAGGCAATTCCTTGATCATCTATGACAAGTAAAAACGAATGTTATGGGCGAGGAGCCCCAAAAAGTACATCCCCTGGAAGATTATTGTTTAATACTGATAAAGTAGAGATATATACTAGACAGCAATATCATAATCTATCATTTGTCGCCAATTTCTACATTTGATGTGAAGCATAGCTCCCGCAAGAAAGACACTTCCTCAACACACGCAACGCGGACTTTTCATTTTACCTGAGTTTTCATGAGCAAATGTCATTTGCCAATGAAGGACAATTGAAAGTCTTCAACTCTGATTCTCTTGTACTATAGATAACTGACGCTGCGGGACGCTTGTTGGTATTTGAGTTGAATCCATGATAGACAAAGGTACATATACAGAAATCTCAGACCTTTTTTCCATAGCTATGATAACGAAATCTTCTTGAGCTAGTTATAATGACTGATGCTCTCTGTCCCCCCTTTCCGACGTCACCGGCCTCAATTAATCCGTTAGCGCAGTTATGAAGCTGCTAGAAAAATTCCAATGTAAACAAACCGCCACTGCCAGAATTCTCCAGTGTTTATTTCTTGGCAAACGATCCCCATCTTCCAACTGCCTTTCTTGAAAGACTCGCTATGGCAATGTCACCAAGCAAACAAAGACCCAGAAGAAATGCTCTCTCCATCGACGTTTCAGCCACTGTTCCTCTCAACGCGACGGCCTATAGACCTAGCCCCTCAGTTCCCAATTTCATGGTGGATGGCATACAATCACACGTACCGCGCCTTGAAAGTCACTTCGACCACTCGCATCAGCACTTCTTCGTCAACGAAGCCACCAATCCTTAACATCCATGGGTGCCAGCAGGAGCTTTCCCGCTAACATCACAGCCACAATGGGGATATTCGACGGACCATTCTCCATACAGTTCTTCACCCAGCTGTCTCGCACCAAGCTGCCGCAATGAAATCGGCTGTCTACGACAGCAAATTGAAATATTGTCCGAGAAGTTACGATGGTCGGAGCTGCGCAACAATGAACTGAATCAGAGATGCACAGAGCTGGACCAGGAAAACGCAGTACTCTACAGCAAAGAGACTGTATATCAGCAGGAAGATAAGGTCACCAATGGCCCTATTTTCTTCCAAGCAGAAGTGGTTGAGAAGAAGGATGGTCGCGAGATGGAAGATCACCCCAATAAAGACGTTATCCCCAAGGCAAACACAAGAAGCAAAAAAAGAAGAAGCGTGCTCACAAGGAAGATGGCGTCAACACGGAGAATATATCAATCGTCGTAGAGTCTGAACTTGCAGCGCCTGCAACGAAAGAGAAAATCATATCACAAATCAAGGATGCCGATATCTCAGACATCAAAGCAATTGCAGATGATATATCGAAGACCTGCAAAAGTTGGAAGGATGAGTACGAGCAACTTTCGAAAACGCACGAGCTCATTCGGAGCGAAAACCACCAACTTCGCATTATAGCTGAGAACTATTGTGCTATGCGGGCTAAATTGTGGGAGGAGGCGAAACTGGGTTACTCTACCGTTGTTACTAGGTGGAAATTTCACGAAGCTTGTTCTAGGGGCAACTTTGCTGTCGATGGTGCATTGTTCGTGACAGGTATTGCAGGAGAGAAGGAACAGGAGGTCCTCCAGATTGTTTACGGCGACTACGGCGTTCGACTCACAGGCGGAGACTTTGAGAATTTGGAGAGGTTGAAGCAGTCTCCCTGGGAGCTGCGACGACTGAACGCTCGTGGAACTATGGCAAGGTTTAGAACACGGAATCGGGGTGGAGATAGGGGAGCTATCTGGCGGTTTGCGGGAGTTGACACAAGTTACGATCTAGCGAAGGGTGAAGAGATCTCAAACTCCAGCGTCGATAGACACATCAAAGAAGTCTGCATGAACAACATGGTGGTTGAGATGGAGAACATTGCGAAGAGTTTGTACTGGTAATTACTGTCTTTGTATCATTGTATCCTCATATTTATGTACAATATACCAAAGATAGTCAAGTTATGGGTAACTAGAGGAGAGATTAGCATGTATACTTTCTGTGATGAGTAAACAACATACCTATGTAGCTGGGTAGTCAGGTGTTGATGTCCTTTTCTCCTCAGATGTGACAATCCCTCTTATATTTATCTATCCCAGTTCCAATACGAATTTGATTCGCTTTCAGACCACATGTAAGTCCAGTATCTTGTCACCTTTGGCTTTGCAGACAATTGTTTGAAAACTCGCGAGGTTGGGCAGCTTTCAAGCCCAACAACAACAACAACAACCTCTCTTGAATCGACCGCAACCCCGCCAAACACCGTCTCAAGATACCTACAGCCGCCTTTTCCAGGTGCCCTAATACACTCTTTACACAATGGCTACCAGACGCCAGCCTAGCCTCAACACCAGGTCCCAATCATTGAGATGTTGCTCCAGTCTTGCAAATCTATTAAATCCAACCTCGACCTCGTCCGAACCTACCACAGAAGCAAAGGTGTACACCCTCGAGGCAAGGATTCGAGAACTAGAAGGTACCGTGGAACTTTGTCGACAACAAGCTGCAATTGAGAAAGAAGGTCTTGAAAATTTGAGGTCAGAAAATACGCTGCTGAAAGCTGAGATTAAGCTACCAGAACTCAATTTCAAGCAGTCAAAGCTCAGTCCTCTATCTCAACATGGAGACGGTCAGGAGGCTCTACCCGTGCTTGGACTCGAAGAATTGAGTGGAAACTTTTCTAAATGGGCACGGCATCTCATTGCCGCCAATCACCAGCTCAAGTTCAGTCTCGAGCATGAAAAGCTTGAAGTTCATCAATTGAGGCAAGACCTCATTGGAGTGAAGAACTCCAGAGCCACTGACAGAATAATGCACCGAGCACATGTCAACTCTCAATCGCAGCCCCAACAAGAGGCGTACCCCACCCCTTCAGAGAGGCCTGACTCGTTTTTTGTGTCTTTGGTCGACATGATCATTGACATCGTCTTGCTTCAAAGACAACAACACCCTAGCCTAGGAGGAAGTGTTACCGTCATTTTGCCTCGTTCAAATAGCGGACAGCCACAGACTGAGGTACAACGCCTTGGAACGGAAATGAACCACCTAGTTACCGAAAACGCATGCATAAAAAGGGATATGGCGGCCGTTAAATACCACAGCACCTGCCTTCAGTCTTCGTTGAGTGGAATGGAGAAGCAGGCGGTTGACCAGACAGCTCGTCTGAATCAGTTCAAAATGCGGGTTGGCAAACTGAACAAGTCTCGTTTCGACTCGGAATTCTTGGCGCAGAAGAAAGCCAGGCTGCAAGACGTAGAAATACGACAACTTCGACACGAGGTGGATTCCAAGACGAAGGAAGGTTCAAGACTCCAGATAGGTCTGGATGTTGCGAACATGGCGCTTGCCAGTCAGAAAAGAAGGAACCAGTCACTCGAAGAGTCCCTGATCAACGCACAGGCCGAGCACGCTGCATTAACACAAGAGGCGGGAGAACTGCAGGCAGAGAACAGAAGATTGGTAGAAGACAAGGACAACTCGGCAGCAGGACGAAAGAATCTCTTACTACGAGACCGGATCGACTTGATGGGCCCAATCGTCGAAAATGCTCTTCCCGTCAGACGCCGGTTCCTATTACAGGGCAGGAAGAAACCTGAGAGTAAATCAGCAACAGAAGCTGGAAATAGAGCAGCTCATGACGGGAATTCATCAGCAGATGCTTCTCTGTACCGTCTATGCCACCTTCTACTCTCAGATGAAGCCTGGTTCGAGGAAACGTATGGTGCGTCGCTGAACGAGTTCTGGTTGATGGCGCCTTTCCCGAAACAGGTTCAACTGCTCAATCTTCGTGGCTCTATTGCCATAGAGCTCAAGTGGCCCAGACGAGAGCATGAGAATCGAGTTACCAGATTCGTCGAGCTGGAGGCGGAATGCTGGGATATCTTGTCTAGTCTGAGGAACAAACGCCAGTCTGATAGAGAAGCAAGTGAAGCGTTCGAGAATGTCGTTCTGGTGAGAGGGAATATTGAGCGGATGGCAGCTATTGTTGCAGAAATTCAGGAGAATGCTAGAGAGAGGAAGAGCTGATCTGAGAAGGATTTTGGATACGGCGATGGTGGGGCACGAGCAGGATATGTAGAAGACAGAGTGTCGTTGGAAAAGAAGCAAAGGGTAATTAAACAAACAGATTTGAACTTGTCATGTAATTAGTGTGGATCTCGGTCGAAATTCAAGTCGAACGCCATATATGCACGTTGTCTTGTCTGGGAAGGATTGCTGACTCACCCCGGCATACACGACAGCTGCTTCGTTTCTCTTCTCTTCCTCAAGCATCTGGACGCAGATACTGTCATTGTGCTCTTTTCTTGCAGACAAGAGCAGATCAGATCAGATCATCGTCAGCGGCGGAAGATGGTCTGCAATAGTCTCATCTGGAGTGCTCAGTCTAGATTGTGGGGTAGCCGGCTAGGAATGAAACAGGCAGAGGGAAAGTGAAGCATCCGGCAGATCTGCTGCCCGCGAGCAACCATCCAATCATGCATTCTGACTAAAAGTACCGCCAAACCCGTTCCAGCCATGTTGGCGCAATCCCAGACTCAGCCGAATCCGAATCCGAAGAGAGCGAAAGTGAATCGTGTCGATCAACAATTGACGAATCAGACCGCGGTCTTTCCTGCTTATTTCACTTTTATGTTTCGGACATACATCGCACTCACACATCGCACATCGAGCATCAACGATCCCGGTCCCCGAGCCAATTTAACACTTTGCAGCTTTTTGCCGATTTCGTTTTTTAGTGTGAGGTTGGTTCGGTCCCCACCTGACGTCCGAGGTTGATTCTACATAATCTGACTACATCCCGCCTTTTTTCCTCCTCTCTCTTCCTCCCTCCTCCCTCCTCCCCAACCTTCACCTTCGAAATTCCTGTTGACAGGAAACACCACCAACTCGATATCAAAATCCTCGACTGCGAATAGTCGAACCCCCGCAGTCCGCCCATCATGGACGCCGTACTTCGACAATCCAAGTCCATGTGTCCATTCTTGAAGAAGACTTCTCCCGCCACTCTTCGAGCCCTCTCCACCTCGACCCGTCAATCCTCCCCGGGTGGTGGCAGCATGTCTAATTTGCAGACCATTGCCCGTCGCTGCCCCATCATGGGAAAGGCTCTCGCTGTCCAGACCGCAAAATCCGGCAAGGTGGGGCTTGGTGGCGTCGCAGCTTTGGGAGTTATCAGAGCCTTCTCCAGCAAGGTGAACTCTGGAAAGGCCAAATTGCACACTAGCCGTCAACACGGTGCTCGCGCTGTTGAAGATACCCTCTTTGGCCGTGAGAATGGTGAGTTCCAGCATCTCGAAACTTGGAGCCCCACTAATGTCAACAGTTCCGTACCCGCAACATGTCAAGCCTACCCGTCAACCAGCCCACCATACTGCTCCGAAATTCGACTATGAGGGATTCTACAATACCGAACTCGACAAGAAGCACAAGGACAAGTCTTACCGTTACTTCAACAACATCAATCGTCTTGCTAAGGAGTTTCCCCGCGCTCATATGTCCAAGAAGGATGAGAAGGTTACGGTTTGGTGCTCCAACGACTACCTTGGAATGGGTCGCAACCCCCAGGTTCTGAAGCAGATGCACGAAACTCTCGATGAATATGGCGCAGGTGCTGGAGGAACTAGGAATATCTCTGGCCATAATCAGCATGCTGTGGGTTTGGAGGCGTCGATTGCAAAACTCCATGCGAAGGATGCAGCATTAGTGTTCACTTCCTGCTATGTTGCGAATGATGCTACTCTGGCAACCTTGGGAAGCAAGTTACCGGACTGTGTCATTCTTTCGGATAGCCTGAATCATGCTTCTATGATCCAGGGAATTCGTCATTCTGGAGCGAAGAAGGTTGTGTTCAAGCATAATGATCTAGCTGATTTGGAGGCAAAGCTTGCAGCTCTACCAGCCCACGTTCCGAAGATCATTGCATTTGAATCAGTTTACAGCATGTGTGGCAGTATTGGACCCATTGAAGGAATTTGCGACCTCGCTGAAAAGTATGGCGCGTTGACCTTTCTCGATGAAGTTCATGCTGTAGGCATGTACGGACCACACGGAGCTGGTGTAGCAGAACATCTTGATTACGAAGCCCATCTAGCGGGTCGTCCACGTGGGACAATCATGGACCGTGTTGATATCATTACTGGTACCCTTGGAAAGGCATATGGTTGTGTAGGCGGATACATTGCGGGATCTACCAAGATGGTTGATACAATCCGTTCTCTGGCACCTGGATTCATCTTCACCACCTCACTTCCTCCAGCGACAATGGCAGGTGCCAAAACTGCAATAGAATACCAAATGGAATACCAAGGCGATCGACGACTCCAGCAACTGCACACTCGGGCCGTGAAGGACTCTCTCTCCGAGCGCGATATTCCCGTAATCCCTAACCCCTCACATATTATCCCTGTCCTGGTTGCAAACGCCGAATTGGCGAAGAAGGCATCTGATATGCTCTTGGATGACCATGGAATTTATGTCCAATCCATCAATTACCCCACCGTTCCTGTGGGTCAGGAGCGTCTCCGCATCACTCCTACACCAGGCCACATCCGTGAATATCGCGAACATCTAGTTTCAGCGCTTGAATCGGTCTGGAATGACCTGGGATTGAAGCGTACGAGTGAGTGGGCTAAGGAAGGAGGGTTTATTGGTGTCGGTGAGCCTGGATTCCAGGCACCAGAACCTCTCTGGACTGATGCACAATTGGGTGTTAGTGAGGTAGTGAAGGAAATGAAGGCTGGTTCGGGTCCGGTGGGCGTCATGGAAGCTCTACTTGAGCGAGAGACGAAGGAGACAGCCAGAGCTGTTTCCGCTGCTGCTTAAGCCGGCACGCCTCGTTTCGCTGCAGGTCATCGACCTAGAATGCAGCATGGCAGATGTTGAGGAGAGCTCATCGGACCCAAAACCACGTTCCTTCGAGCGATATCACTTGATTACTGATTTAGTTTATTTTGCTAGGCGCCAGTTGGCGATATATCGCGAATCTGGTCGTCTACGCTATGAAAGCTTTGCCTTTTGATGAGGTCTCTGGATCTCACTCATCACCTCACATTTCCACTCCACATTTTCTGTGATCCGTCTTACTTTTCTCCCCGCTTCTTGGCTCTTGAGTTCCTTTTCCGGGACCCAGAGTTTTGTTGCATGTCGAATCTCCTCGGTGTTTGCATTGTCTCTGTGCCACAAGCTGGCTTTTGAGTCTTGTGGGTCCTGCACATGCTGGATTGTTTCTCTTTGACTCAATGTCCCTCCAGCTTCCAGTCGTTCGGCGTCTGCTCGTACATTTTGTTGCAGTTCGATCCTCCTCGGTATCTGCTCTCTTTGCTCCTCGACCTCATGATCACTGGTAATTTCCTCTTCTTCTCTTCCGAATGTAAATGCAAGCCTCGAATTACATCTCCTCTTCTCATCATTTCAATCTATTATTCACAAAATTGGGAAGTGGGCGGTTTTGTTGCATATCGAATCCCCTCGGCGTTTGAATTGACTCCCTTTCTACATTGAGACCACCAATCATTTCCCTCCATCCATCCTCAATCACCGAAATTGGCAGAGACTCGCTTCCCGATGGTGGATCAGATATATCAAGCAAAGCCCGCGGAGGTGGCGAGCAAATCCCGGAGTCGGTTGGAACCGAGAGGGCTAGACGTGCAGTATTACCGTATTGGGTTCAAGATATAGTTTCCTAGTGGCATCTAGATGTGATGTTTAGGCTATGGTTGGTTAGCTTGCTCCTTTGGATTGGGCCTCATGTGGTGATTTCGAACAAACCGATTTCAATTTCTGGGGTGAATTATTACTAAGTCGCACTTTATCCGCTCCCTCGATCAGAACTATCTCGAAGTGTGTACAAGTGTTTAGCCTGCATCAGGTCATTCTGTTGAAACAACAAATCCTACACGTTCATTCCACAGCAGCTCATCAGTTCTAGCTTCGAATTTATTATATGCATTGACACAAAGCGTGTCGACACGGCTATGCCATCCCGTCTTTACAACAGAACACCTTTCAACATACATCTAGACTCGACCATTGTGTCAAAGTTACTCCATGAATCTCCGTATACCCACAGCTGGAGACGAAGATTGGCACCTCTCCTGCCAGAAGTCCAAAAGTGGAGAAGGTGAATCAGACAATCACTTTTTGTCGCCACTCTTCCTCCTCGTCCTCTTCTGGTCCTGGATCTTAACCTAACCTAGAACAATCTTCAAATCCCTATTTGCTCGAGATGAGCATTCATCAATTTAATGTTATTGATCTAAAACTCATTCTTATTACCCTATTCTCCAGCTTCAGGCCGGACAATCTGCTTGCGATGAGTTTCGAATGCAGTTTGAGCACTTTCTCCAAGCTCTATTCTTGTTCAGCACGAACAGCTCCCAAGCTCACGATGTCCAGTTTTCAGCTCAAATCTTGCTTGATACTTATTCTTCATCTTTGACTCGAACAATTTGCTTTGGCACGCCCTAAATAGGAACATTAACTCGACTCTCGGCCTCGTATCCCGAATACAACATTGAATCAGCTTCTCTACTCTATCCAAAAATTCACCACTTTCCACTTCCCGAATCTAATCCAACGATTCTCCTCGACTCGCGATCACGAGCATCTCAACACTTGCTTCTACTTCACAATCACCACCCAAGACCAACCTTATGCCCACCTACATTCATCCTCGCCTTTCACACATCCTCATCTCCCCAATCTCTGAACCGCTGCCGCAGATTCATCCCCAAATATCGGATCAGGAGACGAACATCAAAACAAGTCCGAAAGTCTATGCTGCAATCACGGCAATTGCGAAGTAGGATCTCGGAGTAGAGGTGAGGACATTTGACACTCTAAAGTGTGGAGATATGGTGGGCATAAGTCTGATAGAAGTTGTTCTTTGGGAAGTTGGCGTTTGAGAAGGCGCACCGTTTGGACCTGTCGACAGTGGCTGCACCCCAAGCCTAATGCTAAGGAGGTAAAGAAGCCTTATTGTGGAAGTCAAATGCTCACGACAGAAAAAAAGGGAAACAAATATCAATGGGGAGATCTTTTCAATGTCTCATGAACCTCGTCCCAGGAGGAAACCGCTAGGACGTTCATCCTTCATGCTGTACCATGCCAGCAAAAAGCAAATCCAGACGCCGCTGTGCAAACAATCCATCCATACACCAAATATCCATGCAATGCCAATCTTCCATATCCCGAAGCCAACAATGGGTATCATGCTTCCTTTCCTATGCATCCCTAAACTTAACCAAGCACCTGCGAACCAACACCAGACCTCTCTATGTATCTTTGGTCAAACCCTGAACACCTATCATAAACGGCATCTCTAATGTATCGTCGATGGCTTTCTCCAAATCACCGACCCTTTCTTTCAACCCCTTATTCTCCGCTCTCATCAACCCCACAGTGTCCCACGCCACACTAGCATCCTTTCCTCGACAGTTGCTACAGCCTTGCTCGCCCAATCCAAGACCACCATATGGATCTTTCTCCAAGGTCTCGGGCGCACTCTCTGCGGCTGTTATCTTTCCCAGCACCTTTTGAAATGTACTCTTTTGCTGTACCATCTTCGGTCTCTTCTCGAAGCCAGAAGTGTGAGTAGGATTTGGAACCATTCTACCGAAGCTAGCTTGCATGATCTCCGGTGTCATCGTAGGTGTGCTGTCTACTGTTCCGATACTGTGGACAGGACTTCTTGCACGGCTGAATGTCGAACCTCCTGCTCCAGACTCGGTATCACTGTCCGCTTCGGTGAAATCAGTACCTCCGCTCTGTCGTTTCCACCTCGCAGACGAAATACCAAGATCTTCAGCGGTAGTGTCGATAGAAAGGTCGCTGGTTGATCCTCGTTTCACTGCATCACGTTGTGCTCGTGCTGTGACCATGGCAATACTCCTCTCCCTGGCTTCTTTCTCGTCCGCCCTCGCCTGCTTCTCTTTTGTAAGCTCGTTCATGAGTTCTTGGATAGTATTATCCCTCTCCGAGACTTGGTGTGCCATATCTGCCAGATTCGCCTTCAATAGATTGTTCCTCGCCTGCGACTCTTCTAGCTCTTCTGATATTGCTTCCTTCTCTGCCGATAGTTCGTGCAACGCAACGGTGCGAACCTTGTATGCATTGTGCAGTTTCGAAAGCAGACCTTTTGCATTCTGTTTTAGATTTGAGAATGCAGCTGGACTGAAGGTGTCTTGTTCGGAGGGTGTTCCTGCTGGAAAGAGGGCAGTCTCCAAATCGAGAGTAAGAAACTTGTCGTTGAGGTCTGCAGGTACTTGGACGGTATTTGATTGTGATGGGGTCTTCGGTGACCAGAAAGAGGTGAATCGTGATGCGGCGCTGGTATTCTTCACTGGTGTTGTATTCACACTGGGGCTCGAGTCGACTGCTGGTAGTGTCGGCTTCTTCTTCAGCTTGCCTTTTTCCGGACTTGTATCTCGAATAGTCGACATGTTTGGCTGTAGTGTTTCTTCTGGTATGCCCAAAGGAACAGGAGCTGATGATCCAGTAAACCAAGATGTCAGTCCTTTGGACTTGTCGGCTACTTTTATCACACCTTCTTTGTCTCCTGTGAATGTCGGCATGAAGTCTTCCAGTTCCTGTTTCGGGCTCTGTGGACTCTTGCGTTCGGGACTCTTCGAGTTGGTTCTGGTTGGTGATCGGAAAGGTAATAACGATGTGAGTGATCGCTGGTGTGTTCGCGATGGTCGCGCTGGGGCAGGTTCGTGTTCTCGTTCAAATGGAATGCTCCCTGGAAAGGGTTGCGATGCAGGAGGTCGTCCACCAGCCCCTTCTCTCGGCCCTTGGTCTGTATACTCCCCCTCACTCGAATAGTCAATGTTGTAATAATCTTCTGCCCATACTTTCTGCAGACTCGAATTTCGACTGGCTCCGGGGGTCTGGGTATCGATGCTCGATAAGGTTCTCCGGTGATTTGGGTTGGTCGAAAGTTTCGGGTTGAGGAGGAGGAAGTGGTCTGGAGGATAAGTGTCGAGTAGTGAACCTGGAGTGAAGTTTGAGTTTGGCATTGTTCAGCAGCAGGCAGGTGCGGTGGGTTCTCTACAGTGGGTGATGGTGGCAGTACAAAGCACCGAACGACTGCTGTCGCATTGAATGTCTCGGTCCTTCCTGGCCCCTTCCAGGTTTCTGCGATCCGTAGACGAGTCGAATCTTGTGCAGTCCAATCCCTTGGCTGCTTTTCCTTTCGTCCCCGTCGCCTCTTCGTGGCTCGTCGTGCCCCTGAGAGATTTGGACGATAATGCGGATGATATGGTCGAGAGATTGAGGCTCGCTTCTGCTCTGAGTTCATGCAGCACGCAAAGTTGGTGCCAGGGTCACTCCCCGCCGATCGTCGCACGACGTACACAGCGTGTCGCAGGTACACGCTTTCGGAGGACCCAGAGGACCCAGATGACGATCGTATGATCTGAATGCGACGAGGGAGCGGAGATGATCGGATTGACGAGAGTGGTGATAGAGTAAAAATATATTAGAGTTGGCAGATCCGAGGAAGGGGAGGAAAGAGAGACAAGAGTCACAGCGTTGGGAGCGGCCAAAAGCTGAACTCTGTCTCGACCCTCAACGTCGGGTCTAACGTCAACAACTTCTCTCAGCTGGTGATGTCTGGTCTCTGGTGTCTGGTCCAGTCAAGTCTGGTCTTCGCTGGCGACCCTGAATCCCAATGTAGGTGCGGGGAGTACGCACTATCGATTACAGTGCTTATCTATCTGCCGTTGATTGGCGTCGTGAGGAAACACCGGACGAAGAATGAAGATTGATTGATCGAAGATTGATCAGGAGATGAAAGTAAATTATTGATCAAAGTACAGAGTAACAATATTGCAAGATATGAAAGTCACAACGAGAGAAAGATCCGAGGACAATCAAATTCTCCCAGTCCAATTGTCTGACCTCCAGGCGCACAATGATGGTGGTTGGTGATCCCTGATGTTTGTGGCTGGGACCCGAGAATGGGTGGAGAATCTCGATTTTCTCACTGAAAATATTGGGCTGGAAACAAGGAAAATAACAGGTTTGAGAGCAATGATGCTCGAATTGTAAATAAACAAGAACTTCGAAAATTCTACCTTCGTGAGAATCGCCTTGTTCTGATAGAGAGTTCCTTTTGATATGCGCAATGATGTATTGTCGACCTTGGATGCATTTTATGGCGTCCTTTTTCATAAAGGGTATGCTTGCCACTTTTTGAAGCGTGATCATCAACTCAACTCTTCTCACCTCTACTCACTTCAACTCCATCGCGACATCACCATCTTCTGCGACCAAAGTTTCCGAGAAAGGTTCAAGTGAAGCACGATGGGCAGTTGAATTGCGATCGGCTAACACCCACCACCAAATTACCCTTTGCTTCTGCTGCTCAATGCATGATATCTTTCGCCCAGCATTGTTTCTCTCCTGCACGACCAGCTATCACCAACCTCCAGCTACCAAAGTATCTCAACATCTGGGTACAAGATGCACACTTCAGCTCAGTCATCCCAAGAGAAACATGAAACAATGCTAGATCCTGCCTACGTCTAAAAATTGCTCCTCAGGCATTGATATCCTTCTCGCATTTTCAGCTCAGACAAGGTTCTGCGGTTCGTCGGTGACGAGGCTAAATGTTTACCACGAATTCATCTTGCGTTTATGTGGAGCGCATGAGAATCAAGCAAAGAAAGAATTGCATTTCAGCATCGGCATACTCTTCTCTCTAAGAATAATCATCCCTCGAGAGATGCAAGATTGATGCAGGCATGGATGAGGCAGGTCAGGTCTCACGTGCGCGCGGGTGGCTTCCGCGAGCAAGGTAGGCAACTCTGAATTCACGATACCTGCTATTGCAAACGTGACAACTTATTCATATGACAGATTGCAGATCAGAGTCCTTGAAGAACTCCATGAAGCAGATCAATCTTGTCTAGAGATGCGCATGATCTCGCTCTTGTTTGAACCCATATCCAAAGCCATTGGCCAGGATCTGCTGCATTCATCTAATGTTCATGACTTTGTATTCTCCCTATTGGTTTGAATGCAATCATATTACGTCTCTCTTCATCCTGACTGTTGCTGAGCTACACCGTTAAGTGATTTTCTCCAAATCTGGCTGTGTCAAGAAATAATTCAATGGACTTCAATAAATCTTGTACTTGAAATCTGTTCACAACCCCTCCTTGTATCCATTTGGGGCAAACTATCCACCCTGGATTCATCAACTTTGATGGCAAGAGGGCTTTGGTGGCAAGTAGCTGTCCCGGACTATAAGACATCGTCCGAAATATTTCATGTGGATTCACAATCGATTCTCAGAGGGTCGATGGGTAGAGCACACAAGGCTCATCTTGATGATTCTTTCCTGATGACTTGCTTGGACAATTCACAAACAGACAAACCGCAAGTGGGAACGATCTACTGCACAAGAGTTCAAATGCGTCTATGTCTAAATTCCAATAGCATATTGAAGAATTTCCGGCAACGCTCCAGGCAGTCCTGGATCGAGAACACGAGTATGAACTCTCTAGTCACCAGTATGTATAACGAAAGGAAATAAAAGGATCATGGAATGTGATGACCCATGACGCCGAGCTACTGAAAGAGAAACAAGGGCGTGAGGTCTGGAGAACTTGGAATGCTCAGTAGCGAGAGCTTCAGCTATCAAGTTGCACAGATACAAGTCTCATCATCAATTCCAAGGCTCAATCCGAATCTAAGGTCCGGCGTACCAAGAATACAAATAGTTCGACTGTCAATTACTACTAAGATGTAGTCCGAGGTCCAGTCTTAGATTGCTGGATAGATTGCGCCTGAGGAAGAGAATTCGTCGGGAGATAGCATCTCTTTAGATATGAGCCGCAGCTTCAGTTGCCTGCGGATCCTGTAAAGATTAACAGTGTCATTTCCCAGCTTGATCATAAATGGGGCTCACAAAACGTGCATCACGGACTTACTTTAGTAGCTTCTGCTTTCCATTTTGATTGGTTATTGAGTGCGAATATTGTCAAGGGCTGCATGGACCCCATCTCTACAGCGTTCTTGATTGGCTCAAAAAGGTATATCTCCACAAGGAGCCTGAAGATGCAGACTGTAACATCACCCAAGAATGCGATAGTACGGTTTGAGAGAAATCCTTCAAATCCTCATAGGCTTTCTAGACAGTGTGGGTTAAAGACTTACTGCTTTTGGAACATTTGGGCAGGGTTGCTAAGAATAGTCCAGAAGTGGCTGTAATTTTACTGCTTCCCCCGATCATAGTTCAGGTCACAACACTTTTGTTCTTTTGTTCTCTTCTGTGGATTCACCTAACACTCATATATATGCATCATGACGACGACAACACCGTCAAGCCCGCCCAGCTCGTCCTCTACGTCGACAACTTTCATCACCGATCAAGTCTCAATCGCTGCATTTAATCGAGGTCCCGTAACTGCCAGCTTCACACCACCGGTATCATGTCTTTCAACCTTGACCTTGTTCAACAGTCAGTTCTACTTTGGACATCGTGCTGAAGGCTACTTTGACACCGCCTGTTATCCAAGCAGTACTTCCAGTCTGGCGGCGGATGCCTGGGATGTTTACTACTGTGAGTCTCCTTCAGCACGCCTGCGATTACTGGTCTCAAACCCCGATAGATAGTCCTGCACAATGCCCTTCTGGCTGGGCGCAAGCAACCTCAATCGCATACAGCTTCGGTAGATCAGCTACTCAGCTAAGCCTTGGATCCGACACCACAGCAGTCGTCTGTTGTCCGTCGTAAGAACCGCACCCTCCATATCCACGAAGCCACTGACGGATCAGGGGCTATTTCTATGTCGGCAATGACCATGCATGCCAATCGAACATCGCATCGACCACTACATCCGTCCTCTACATCTCACCAGTTCTGAACAACAATTTATGGTACTCGACAGATGGAAACGCGCCGAGCACTACTACGATCACGGAGACAGCAACAAGTGCAAACTGGATACTGGGAGATGGAATTGCTGTCTGGTGGCAAAGTTCTGACTTGAAAGCTTTTGCTGCAGCAACTGGGACTTCATCAACACCAACGCAGTCAACAGGGACACAGTCAACATCCACAGCGACACATTCAGTGACTTCAACTCCATCATCGCATGGACTATCCAGTGGCGCGAAGATTGGCATAGGAATAGGCATACCCCTGGGAGTAATCGCGTTAGGACTCATTGGCTTCTTTGTCTACTTCCGACGGCGGCGAAGAAACCCAATCCCACAAACGGAACCGCAGGAAACGTCGGAATTTAAGGCTCCAGGTGAACCTGAATTGCAAGATACATCAAAGTACGGAGCACCAGCACACGAAATGTATTCCGACAATGAACCGAGAAGTCATTATGAGCTTTCGAGTTAGGGCGAGGAAAGGATCAGGAGTTTATGTTAATATTCTGCTTATTTTTGAAGCATTAATGTATGATGGGATGATTCCTCGAATCTTCTCTCTGTTATCAACGCCGTACATACTTCCCGATGCGGAGTCTTGCTTCATTTCCGGTATCTTCAAACTTTTTCACGAGCGATCTGAAACGAACTCTACAGGTAAAGTTTCTAGCGACCTCTGTGTTTAGCTAGCAGACGATGAGGAAGCGTTTCCCTAATTAGGATTCGTTGCTCCCAATTGGAATGTCGACGAGATGGCGAAGGAGGAGATGGCGAAGAATCCCGTGCTCTTGGTTTTGACACTTGACAGTGTTCATATATGGAGTGAGCAGGGGTGGAAGCGTATTGCAGAGGTGTGATTGATTGAGGACAATTTTTGTTTATTTTGTTACCTATTGATCCCGTTTACTCTATTTAGTGGAATGAATGAACTGGATACATGGCTCGAACTTGCGATCGCTGCTCGAATTCTGGCTACTTCGACCAGCAGTCCGTAAACTGCATGTACAACGATACAGGTGCATCTGAAGACTTATATATTTATATTTCGGAGATTCGGCATGGCAAGCAACGGCTCTCCTTGAAAGTTTAAGCTTAATTCTTATAAGCGAGCTGAAAGGGGGTTGAACACAACCGACTGAGATGAAAAGCCAGCTCCAGCTCGCTCCCCGCACTGGATTTCATTCTCGAGGAGAGACTAGGTAACGTTCAGCGGCCGCACCTTTGACTTATGATTGAATCAGACAAGGTTTCGCATGCTGTTCAATACCGAGCAACACGTCAATATACCGATCCATTGTTTCTACAGGGGATCTAGTGATGGCACATTCTCAAGAATTACAGCAATATATGTTCAAGCTGAACTTCGAATCACACGGATTGATAGGACTACCTACCTAGGTAGAGAAAGATTCCTGCACGTGACGATTCATTAATTTCAGGCAAGGGGAACCTCGGGCAATCTTCGATCTCCGACCTCAATTCTTATGTGTAACAGAGCATTTTCAAGGGCTGATATGAACACAACATCATCTTACAATTCAATTATATAAGCCTCTTGTGATTATGCTGACAAGCTCTCGGGTCATCAACAACATTTCCCCGCTTCCGGCGCCGTCGCACATCACCCCATTTCGGGCTCAATATCTGCAAATTGAATTTGGCGGCCGCTTGCAGGTAAGGAACTTCCGCTATGGAACTGCCTTATTGAGCTTAGCAATGATGAGCACATAATCCAACATCGGTATCCCATTTATTAGATGCCTGCATCGGTTTTTGTTTTCATCCACGTTCTTTTTTGGACCTTTCATCCTTCACGAAGTTTCAAGATGCGGCTCTCGTTCGTCTTGTGTGCCTCAATTGGCTTGGCGAGTGCCTCCCTCCGCCCCGTCGCAAACGAGGAAGCTGCCGACTTGCTTAAGAGACAGTCATATCCGTACCCTGCTTTCACAATTGATCAACCGGTATGTGCCACGATCATTTCTCGTGTCCAGGTCTGACTTAAGAAAAAGATTGATCACTTCCCCAATGAACACAAATATGCCCCTCATGAGACCGGTACTTTCAAGCAGAGATATTTCTTCGATGATACGTACTACAAACCTGGTGGACCTGTGTTTCTGTACATCAGTGGTGAGACGTCGGGAACGAATCGATTTTCGAATCTTCAGACTGGAAGTATGGAAATCCCAACATCTGGTCGAATGACTCTGACGATCATATTCAGTCATTCAAATTTTGATGCAAGCTACGAATGGACTCGGTGTTATCCTCGAGAATCGATTTTATGGCACCAGCTACCCATTTAACACTAGTACCACGGACCAATTGAGATATCTCACAACCGAGCAGAGCAAGTTTCCGCCAAACCTTGGAGACTTCGAAGCTAATTTCGTACCAGCAATTGCCGATAATGCGTACTTTGCTCAGCATGCAACGTTTCCGGGCGTTGCGGGGAATCTCACTGCGCCAGGGACTCCCTGGATCCTGTATGGGGGTAGTTTAGCAGGTGGCGAGACAGCATTCTCTGTGATTAGTTATGGTGACATTTTGTTTGGAGGAATCGCAAGTAGTGCGCCTGTGAAGACAGTTTTGGCGTACCCACAATGGTAAGTCCACATATTTCTGCTCGATTTCCAGCTGACATGGTCGCAGGTATGATCCAATTCAGAAATTTGGACCGCAAGACTGTATCGCTAGTATCAACGCGATCATTGACAATATTGATGATCTTGTGGATGGCAAGAATGATGCGGCTATTACGGAACTGAAGGCCATCTTTGGATTGGAAGTTTTGGATGACATTAGAGACTTTGCAATGACCATTGCTTACCCACGTAAGCGCCTCTCTTCTCCTGATGTCCAGTGTCTGACTTCGAGCAGTGGGTGGACCAATGAACTACCCAACCAACACATGGCAAGAACTAAATTGGTACCCGGCTTACAGTGCACCTGACTTTTTCAATTTCTGTTCAAATATTACAAACATCAATGCCCCCGCAAATATCACAGCCGTTGATTATGCTTTGGCAAACTACACTGGTGGTGAACCTTGGACAGGTTTGGGAAATTATGCCAATTACTTCAAGACTCAGTTCTTAGACCTTGGAATTTGCCCGCAAGGCGACTACGATACCATTCTTGAATGTTATGGAACTCAAAATGGTTTGTTTCTGTACACACTGTCCAAGATTAGAGCTGATTCTTCAAGCATCATACTGGGCCGATACGACGAACAATCCTGGTAGATCATATCTGTACACAAGTGAGTCCTCGACAACCCAATTCCTATGCTATAGCTGACAACTTGAACAGCATGCACCGAACTTGGTGCCTACCAGGTCGCCCCATCATCAGGACCCTCCCTCATCATGAATGTGCTGCAAGTAGATTATACTCAGCAATGGTGTACCTGGGCGTTTCCACCAGGAAGATATAACCAGATTCCTTCAACTCCCGATCTCCGTGCTTTCAACAAATACGGCAGCTTTGATATAAAGGCAGACAGACTTGCTTTTATCGATGGAGGAGTTGATGTCTGGCTAGATCTTTGCTACCATTCCAACTTTGCTCCATTGAGAACTAGCTCGGACTTGAATCCCGAGTATCTGATTGCCGGCGCAGGTCACCACTGGGACAGCGCTGGTATCCTAGATGTCTCGGCTGAGCCGCTGTTCATTCAGCAAGCGCATCTTTGGGAGATCAAGACGGTGCAAAAATGGCTTAGAACATTTCCAGATTGGAAAAATTAGATACGAGAGAAGATCTCGCGCAATAGATGGAGTGAGCCGTAAAAAGGCAAGAGGTGGAAAAGCTTGACGATATTATGATAATGTGCTAATTTAATACACAAATCTGAGATGATAATCACAAGAAAAAGGTTGATCTTCGAATCCCATTACTTCATCCATGCGCCACTGGTCTCCAGATGCCGATGATCCGTGGAAGACAGGATCAGGTGTTATTCCTCATTCTCGATTTCCGACTTCGCAGCTTCTTTTGCATCCGCCTCTTTGTCTTTCGGCACGGCAATCGATAATACACCAGAGTCGAGCGATGTATGGATTTCAGTTGGCTTGACTCTGGAAGAAAACGTAAAAGATCTCTCGAACTTTCCGATATGTCTCTCATTCAGTCTCCAAGTCAGTGAAGTCTCTACTGGTGCTTTGCTATCTACTTCAATGTCAGCAGAGTCTAAGTGGACAACATGAAGAGCAGAATCCGTGACCTTTCAAAGCTGCAGCCTGCGTTTGCTCCCCTTCACCCGCGAAGACGAATGACTTGATGGCTCCCCTGATGATCATAGTCTGGTTTCCGATGAATTCACAGACCACATCACTCAAGTGCGTAAGCCCAGGGAGCTCTCCTTCAAGATAGAATGCCTTTTGTCCCTCGCGAATGTTGAAACGTGGAACTGACACGCCCTTGTGTGAGGCATGATGATCAAGACTATAGTAGGGGTCGTCGATGTGTTGGTGAAGCATGTGAATTGATGTATAGTTCTTCCCTAAGGAGACATGGTGAGGGTGGAGAAGAGCATTAATTGTGTCCATGACGAAGGTATTTCGTGGATTTTTGATTGTTAAATTACGATTGATGGAAGAAGTTGATGGTTTGGGATACTGTCCGCAGGGAAGAAGGGACTTTTAGTAGTAGAAGTTCCAGTGAGACAGCAGACCATTTCTTTGCACTCATGATTCAGACTTGGGCAAGGATCTCAAATGAAATGCACCACGTGAATGAATCGAAGTATTAAAAGATGGTATGATTGATCTTCCATACACTAAACCATCTCTTCGAGGCGGCGAAGGTGGACGACGACAGAAGAGTGGCCTGATGCGAGTCAGACCACCTTTGAATTCAAGTTAAAAGGCGCTGAAACACCAATGTGCGACTAACTACTGGAGAACTACGCGCATGCGTTCTTCGTTCTGAACTTCTTTCCAGTTTTGTGTTCCAATGCGGTCTCTGCTATTGCAGGTCAGTAGCTGTCTTCTCCTAGCTTTCCTCGGAGACAGACCTCAACCTTTGACATCCACACTCTCGCCAACCATCCTCCAACATGATACTTTTAGTTTTCGGAGTTCTTGTTACCTGGTTCCTCCTTTGACTTTCTCTCTTTTGTCTCGGTGTCTTCCTTTGGGCCCGTGACGAAGTCGAGTCCTCCTGGCAGCGAGTGCCACTGGTAGCCGTGGCGTCGCAGCCGCATGATGCTCTCCTTGATATCTGATATTTGACGGCTCGTGATTGTAGATATACTGTTTCGCGCGACGAACATAGTAGTGAAGGTGACGGTGGCTGCACCGAGAAAGCATCTCTTCCTGCCTGAGCCAATCCTCAAGCGGCGTGCACCTGAAGAGAATGGCATCTTGACCGATACTTCTCTGCGCTGCGACTGAATCATACACGATGAGTCTGGCCAGAAGGTGATCCTCGCTGTGGAGAGAGAATGTATGGTATTGAAAAGGTGTTGAACGGTTGGAATCATTGTTTCTACTGGGAAGGGAAGGATGTCTTGGCTACAGTACAGCGACAAGCAGACACAAAAGTATGGAGATTGTTATAGAAATTATATTCCTCTGGCCCCTGGATTTGGTTTTGTGTGAAGCTATGCACTAAAACAGTTCATGTGGTGTAGATTATAGATTTCTGGCGGGTCCCAAACTTTGAAGCGGGCTTAAGTGGACTAAGACAACTTTATTTCATGAGTTCATACTCTGGAGCGGTAACAAACGTAGTCTAAATAGGTACAGGTACTCTAAGTCTTGGACACTATACATTTAGATTGGAGTCCTGGTAGAGAGCTGGGCTGCATATGGAATGACTAAGTGGTCGACAGCGGAAATTAGTCGTTTCACACAATGTGCTTGCAGAAGGGCAGGCAGAACACACGAGGCAAGATTCTGGGTCCTATACTGATGAATTGAGTCAAGTAGACAACGCAGCTACTGAAGCTTTGAATATCGTGATAAGTCAATATTGATCACGTGCCATGAATTCATGTTCAGCTTGCATCCTGAGGAATGCATTTCCAGACACACAGCAAAATCATGACTGGGGGACAAGATCATGTGAAAGCTCGAGTAAGGGAAGTCAGTCTAAATAGCGTGTATGGTCAGATGGATTTTGTTGCACATCGCAAAAGGGCCACTGCAGCATCTGCTTTCGGCATGGTGCAGCGCCCCGCCCCGCCCGTGTTGAAGATCTTCTGCAACTACCCGTTCAACCTATCAACGATCGAGTATTATACCATGCGGGTGGACTGCAGGTGACTCACGTATCCCTCTCCTAATAGCAGCAGAGTTTTTGCACAATACTAGAAGTAACCTTTATGTGTCTTTGGCAATACCAGCATCCGCTTGCGTGGCTGCTAGCGTTAGCCAGACAAGGTCATGAAGCGTTGAGTTGGATTTCCCTTCAGACTTCCAGCTCTATCTTCTCGTAGTATTCAACTTTTGCTTGTCTAGACGATCTCCAGCAAGCTCTGCAAGAGATCACGTTCAGCGATGAGACAATTGGGAGTGAAAAAATCTGATATTGTGAATGGCTGATTCCATTCTTGAACGTGGGGAGTAATCAATCCCGCTAGCTCATCCCTTCGAGAACTATTGGCACAACAGGAAACGGCCCTAACTGGTGAAAATAGCTTCCATGGCTCTCATCTCCGACATAACCGCAGCTTGTCCTTGGACAAGGGCACCCGGCTAGGACTCAATAGACTGCCAAAGAGAGTGGCTGTTGTTTTTTAACCACGCGAGGCAAAGGCAGCCGGAACGTTGTGCAAGCAGCGTCTTGATTGTGCTCCAATGGACGGCTTTGCCTTCCAGCACCGATAGTAGATTGATGAAAATCATAGCATGGCTGCACACTTTGCGAAAGAAACAATTGCTCAACACAACCGCAGCATGTTCGAGAGGTCCCTCCAAGCGCAACTTATCCTCCTCAAGCTCAAGAACCCTCGCAGTTAATGCCGAAGCAGCAGCGTTGTTCCTTTCAGTGGAGAGGAATATATAGTGTACAGAGCCGAAATGAGATGTGCCTGCACGATTATCTTTCACGTATGTTGAAAGTGAGTTTGCGATTCTCTGAAGTCCGGAAGCATCCAGAAGATGGAAGATACCGTACGCGAGTCCCGCTGGATGAGATGACGATGAAAGAAAGTGAGACGCAGGAGTGGACACTAACTATTGTCTCCAAATCAAAGCTGTACTCAAGGGAATTGATCTAAAATACGCTTCCATTTTGGGCTTCTCCTGTCCAAAGAATATCGCTTTCGGGAATGTTGACAAGTTGGTCCATCTCTGAGTAAGAATACAGGAACACCAACTTGAAGAGCAAGCTAGACAAAATCTCTTAAGATAACATTATGAACATAGTTGTGGAGATAGCCTAAATGAATTGGGACATCTGCAAGCTTTGATCGTGCTACTTCGTCTGCACTGGAGGCAGGACATACTGCAGTTACCGTATGCGAGTTGAACAGAGATCACTTGAGTCTATCAGTGCTGAGCAATACCTTGACCTTGAAGACCGTCATCAACACACCAAACCAACAGAAACAAAACTGAAGCAAGCCCAAGAAGCGCATGAATATGACTAGTCACGTGATCGGGGACTAAATGCCGGAAAACCCGAGCCTGATTGCGGCATTGAGAATAAGCCACGCAATCTAGACAATCCTCCACATCCACGACCTCCTATCCACGTTCAATTGCAACAACTGTATTGACTGTCGAACGAACGAAGACGAAGACAATCCAAATCTTGAGCACTTCACTGAGCCTCGAGGAAAGGGTCTGTTCGCCGCGCGGCTCTCCACTGTGCTGTCCTCTTTGAGCCAGGATTGACCCACGTTTTCGAAACAATCGAACGATTGCGCCCAGACGGGAGAGGCCAGGGGACAGAAATCACAAAATATGAACGGATTCAGGAACCTCACGCCATCTTTGGCTCTCTCCATATGCTTATTTCTTTCTGCGAGAGGAGTACACGCCCACGGTCACGATATGTCGAAGATACAAGAAGGAGAGTTTGCCAGCGAGGACCCTATTGTAGGTGGCAGATGCAATGAACCCCCGGACAGAGCGGCTGCTGATGACAACGTAGGATGCTATACTATGGGTGCACATTTTGCTGCAGATGGTGGCCTTTGGCATCATATTCCCGACTGGAATGGTTCTTGGGGTATGTCTCTTCAGGGACCTCTTAGAGCGTACTGACCTTCTAACAGATAGTGCGAAATCGATGGCATGTACCGACACAGGTGGTGGGAACAGTGATTGCGGTCGTAGGATACTTTCTCGGCCACATGCATAAAGGGAGGGTGTTTGCGAAAAATGTCCATGCATCTTTCGCCAATTGGCTCATGCTGATGCTTATTGTCCAAGTCGTCTTTGGAATCTACCTCAAATTCCATATCACCAAAGGCTTCCACGGAAAGATTCGAAAGGTTGCTGTTGTGGGACATGGAATTGTGGGCAAGGCAATGCCTGTGGTAGCTTGGGTACAAATGCTCTTCGGAGGAATCGCAGCCTTGGGCTTCTGCCGTGAAGACCATCTTGGCCAGTGTCTTGCTCACTTCATTATGGGTAGTGCTTTCATTGGATACGGCGTTATCCTTACGTTGATTATGCTGGTTGGGCAGGTCTGGCTGAAGAGAACAGGAAGGTCACAAGAATTCTTCGACTCTGCACTCATTGCTGCATGGGGTTGTGTCAATACCTTCACAGAACACAGTTGGGGCGGACCTTGGGTTGGGAATGATATCCAACACACAACTATGGGTGTCATTTGGTGGTGTGCAGGTCTTGCCGGTGTTTGGCTGAGCAGGAGGAGGGATGGATCACCAAAGAGAAACTTTATTCCGGGTTTTGTCATCCTCATCACTGGCTGGGCTATGTCAGCACATCCTCAACATCTGCCGCTCAGCACAATGGTCCACACGATTTTTGGCTACACACTCATGGCCGCTGGCTTGTCGAGAATCATTGAGGTGGCTTTCGTCCTGAGAGACCAAAATACCATTTCTGCAGATGGTGATGCAAACAGTTTTCAGTATATACCTCCATTTGTAAGTGGTTCTGCTCTTTCACTATTTGTCAATCGCTGACTTGTGCAGTTGCTGTACGCCTCTGGCTTCCTATTTATGGGAGCTACCGAAGAACAGATGCAGCTCATTTCTGATGCTGGCATAACACACGTTTCCTACATCCTCGTCCTTTACAGCTTCGCGTTCCTGGTCTTCCTTTTCACCAACATGCTCATCCATCTTTATGCCGTCAATTCTGTTCCTCCTGTTCCACCGAAAGACGACGAACAAGCACCACGATTGTCTCGCATGAATGGACACACAAGAGCTACAGACTCGAGACAAATTCGAGATGCTGAGGAGTTTGAGCTAGAGGGGTTGATGAGTGATGACGAGCACCCTGAGAGTCCGAGTACGTTAGGGAAGAATAACGAGGCTCGCGTGGAATAAATACATTTGGATGGCGGTTGACGCTTGAGTTTCATTAAAGCATGGGAGGCATGGCACCAGGCGTTTTTGTATAAAAGGGATACTGATTTAATTTACATATCGAATGTAGAGATCAAAATGGGCACGAGCACCTTCGGCAGTTCCTTTGCAGATGTTCACCAACCCAATTGAGATAAGGCTTAGTTGACATCGTTAGCTGTTCATTCCACCTTTGGAGTCTGGCTCTTCAATTGTCTGGTCTCCAAATACGATCCCATTAAAGAGCACAGTGCGAAGATTGAGAACATCCAGAATTGTGGGAAACCTTCACCAAACTCCGGATCCATTCCTTTGCTGCCTGGGTACAGTATAGCGCTCAATCCTGTGACCCAATATAACGTCCCAAACACCGCTGCAGTCTTGATCGACTCTTGCTTCACGATAACGTTGGCGGTTGGACGAAATGCGTAGTAGAGGGAAGACAAGCCTAAAGCGAGGCCCATCGACATCGTTTGCCCATTGTGAAATCGTGCATGAGGAGGCCATCGTGGATTCATTACATGAGTTTCGTTGAAATCAGCGATGAATGGCCCGAGTATCTGGCCCAGAGCTGAGATGGACAAGAGGATGTTGCCCAGCATTGCGGAGAGGCTTGCAGAAGGCCGAGACACGCGAATGACGATTTGAAGAGAAGAAGGCACAGCTTAATTGATTTGATATGATTGGAGATCGTGCTTGCTGTGGCTTTCGCTACAAACTCCACATAATAGTAATTCTTTTGTAGGTTCTTGGACTACCTATTTATGTGAGTTGTAGATGTTCTATCTCTGAAAGAGAAGCCGGCGACGGACAAACAGTACAGGCTGATGCTCAGCAAAAGAATAATACAGCACGGACATCGCGGAATTTGTGCGTGTCATACTCTTCGCAACGCCACCCATTCATATTTACGACTCGGACATCACGGACTTGTGTCATCTGTTCCTCCATTGCCGCATATCTTCACAAAAGTATAGACCAAGAGCAAGTGCTATTTGAGTTGATTATTCGAAACGGGCCATGTCGTACAAAATCTTCATCAAGACCTTACTCGCATCCGCATTCGCACTTCTCTTGTCCTTGATTTCATCTCATATTCCTCGATCCTTCTTCGAGGATCAACCGTTGTGAACTTCTCGAGTACGAACTCCTGATCCTAACGGCGGGGGCCTTTCAAGGAAACTTCCACAATTGTTTACCATTCATCCCAAGAACATCCTTACAGCATTAGACGTCGTGTAACGAAATTGTCTTCCGAATAATGGACTTTATTGGGATGTCTGCTGCTTTTGGCCCTACTTGTCCGGAGACCATCTTTTTCATTCCTTCTGCACGAGTCTTACGAGAAGGATCTCACCCCATGGTATTCTCTCAAGCAAATGCCGGCAGCAATTTCTCGCGTAAAAGCCAATCTGAGGATTCACCGAACGAAGAGTTCAGAATCCTGGCGCTTCCCCAGACTACCGAAATAATCCTAGTCTTAGTTGGTAGTTCACACGTGTACGTGAGTGTGGGCTGTTTTTGGGGGCCCAGAACGCGTTGTTGCGTATAGCTCTATATCCTGTTTTGAAAGTGGCAGAGAAGGTGCTTTATTGCACATTTACGGAAATGAGATTGAGGCTTGAGCAAATGTTGTGAATACGAGTTCACAGGTATTGAAAAGTAATATCTCTCAAGAGACGTAAAGGGGCGAGGGGTTATGTACAGTACTTTAGTGATACATTATATACAATAGTCTATAGATTACAAGTGCTGATGCTACATCATTATCCTCCGTTATTCGGCGGATACGTTCCTATACCAGCCACCAGACGCTCCCGAGAATCATGGACGCCATGAAACGATCCGGTGTAGCCAAAGCCTAGAGTCATCCAGACTTCGTCTGAGCAAGTTGATGGCTGCCCTCTCAAGCGACATCTTGTCCGTATGGATGCAGTACTCGTCTTCAAGGCTCGCAGAGTAAAAGCTGCTTCGCATCCTGATCGAATTCTCAGGTGGCTTCCTGGTACATTGCCAGTGATAGTTGCGGCAGAGACTTCGTTCTCATTTCGACGCTTCAACCCTCACTCAATCTCCTCAATTCCTCAACCACTTTTCCAGCAGAGCCTTCTATTTTCGACTTCTCTGCTCCATTCATCTTTCTCAGAACATATGAGGCAACGGCATCAGAATCTCTACTCTCCGGTCTCCCAATTCCAACTCCAATTCTCGTGTAGTCGCTTCCTTTCAACAATCCATTGATACTCTTCAGTCCATTATGTCCTTTCGCACTCGCAGATCCGCTCTTGACTTTGACCTGCCCTAAGCCCAATTCAAGCTCATCATGCACCACAACCAATCGTATAGACTCTCCTCTGCTCTCCTTTTGGAATTGTCGCCATGCTGAAGCCACGCCTGCGCCAGAAACATTCATCAGAGAGGTGGACTGCCAGAGCGTGAACTTCGAACCCGCAGACACGAGTCCATTGCCAAAAGCTCGTGATTTTTGGAAGGGAGGATAGGAGAGTGCCGATGCGACGACGGACAGCACGCTGTGCCCTGCTGAATGGAGAGTATTGAGGTATGATCCAGGATTTCCTATCGAGCAGACAAGCAATCGGACGGAAGACGACATTTGGGACCCGACAATTGTATAGGAATCGTCTGAAATAGGTGCTATCGTTCTCGAGGCATTGTAGCTATCTTCGACAGGAATTGGAGACTGTTGGCGTCGACGTTGTTTTCGTGACAATTTTTGTGATGTTTCGCTCGGCTGAGACATCTTTTATCCTTGCGAGGATCTTCCGCAAGGCTGAGAATTTGACACTCGCTGGCTCGCCACCAGCACTTGCCCTCAGTATGGGAAAATATAGCGTTGCCTCGAGAGATTGTACTTGGGGTTGGCAAAAAAAAGTTACAGAGAGGAAGTTAGAACTTGGACATTTATTTCTTTCACGAGAACTCAGCAGCTTGCTTTGTCAGTCCATTTTCGAAGAAGAGTCATTCGGCGGGAGTGGCGCAGCCAATGACCAAGGCAGATTCTACGATTCTAAGTTTCACACCACGGCCACAGAGAGGAACAATGACCATAACCGGGAACAACGTAAACTGAGAGACTGAGAAACTTTGGGATTTTATTATCATCGAAAACGCCAGGCACCCAGTCCATTTATTACATCCCATTACCCTAAACAGTACCGCTAATGCTTAATTCCCGGATCTCTTGTAGAACCTGCTCTACTCTGCTGTCCAAATGTCCCTGTGCATACTGTTCTCTCGTGTCCGCATCTAGATATTGTTGAACTTGTGCCATTCGAGAGTATGCCTCTGCACAGAATCGCAATTGAATCTTGACGAGTGCTTCGAAACTTGGATCGAGGTATGGAACTCGGAGGTCGATAAGTTGGGGCAGTTCAGTGAAAAGCTGTTCGTTGAGTTGTTCGTAAGCTGCTTTGGCCATCTCCGTTTCCTTCTCCGCTCGTGGAAGTTTGGTAACATCCTTGTCCGGTTTCTCAACGAGCTTCTTGACCTTTGCGCGCATCGCATCGTAGTCCAGGAGTTTATGGTTTCTCTTCTTGATACCTAGTTGTTGTTAGCACGTTCCAATCAAGGGGATATGACACTGCCTACATTCGTTGATATCAGGGAAATAGGCGCAGAATCGGGAGATGGGTTCAAGAACAGTTGTGCTGTAGATATTAGCTTGGCCGACCCCATGGTATCAAGCTGCCCACCGATATGGTCCGTCGAGTGCCTTAATCGTCTCTGCATCCAGATCTTCTACTGCCTGCTTGTAGCTTCGACTGACTCCGTCTTTCGCTCCAGCATCACCATAAAAAGCATCAATAGTCTCTGCAATTCGCATTTGGGAAGCGGTCATTGCTAGAGCTGTCAGCTAAATCCCGAGAACAGGGAGTCCATTAATACCTCGTAACGAGTCTAGATATCCCTTTGCTTCCTTCTGCAATCTCATCGAGGCCGCCTCCATTGTTCGGTATCGTCTGCAAGATGTCAGATCGAAGGATGGGAAGCAGTGACATGTGCGACCAACCTCTCTTCAACCTCGTAATCTCTATCATTCGTCTTCTCGACATGACCAGTCTTCATCATCACTTGGGTCGTCGCCCTATTGACATTCTTCTTGAAGCCTGCGAGTCGTCAGCAAAGCGCTTTCACTCCCAAGTAGCCTGGAACGCTGCAAAGAATAATCGTACCGGCCCAGGACATGATGGCGGTATGATCCTAGATGTAGGAATTGTGCTGCTTGAAGGTTTCGAAGATACTTTGGGGCGGGTATAGGTCTAGGAGAAGAATGATTGTGTGGTGTTGTCGTCGAGAGGTGGAAGTTGGAAGTATTGCGACGGCATCATCATTGTGGCTTCTAAATTGTGGCTGAGCCCACTTGCCCCTCCAAAACATCGTCAAAACTTTTATTCACCAAAAATTTCTCACAATCATATCAATCAATCTACGAAGCACCTCGCGATCCGAGACACCATAGCTTCCAGAAGCAATCCCAATACTCCTTCGAAAAGTCGTCGAGTCGCCAATCGAGCCAGGTTCAGCGCCGCAATGCTGTCAACAAAGTCTCTAAGAATCCTCGAGGAACCAGAAGCAGCACAGTTCTGGCTCCTACCAGCGGACCTCCAGCGCCTCTATCAGGGAAGAAGGCTCGGAAGGTTGAGAAGGCGAAGAATCATGCGAGAAGAAGGGCAGTGGAGAAGGCTATGCAACAAGAGGGAGAGGTTGAGATGACGGGTGAGTGAATGTCTCTTGGCTGCACAAACATTGCTAATCCGAATCTGCAGATGCTCCCAAGACAACGAAATCGAAGACCACAAAAGACGAGCAAGATGGTATGGAATTGGATGGAATATCATGAGGTGGGCATCCGAGTAGTTTGACTGCCTCTCGACTGCCATCATGGGCCTCTTATTCAAGCTTTTAAGGATGCAGAAGCTAAATTGTCAACATATGGCTATGCATGCAGTAGAACACACCAAGACATGAAGTTGGAGTTTGGCGCTTGGCTGGGCTGGGCTGGATCCTGTCGAGGATACCCATGGAACACTTTGCGAAGACAATAAAAATCTACTGGAACAAGTTCAGGTGTGTGTTTGATCTACGTATGTTTCTCAACTGCTACCTCTGCTTAAGATCCATCGAATCACTGGCCTGCCCTTACTTCGCTTCTCGTCATTTTATCACGAACAGCCATAGAGGTTCAATCATTGCTCCGTGTATAACTGCTTTCTTTCCTTCACTACGTGGCTAGAGTCCACTGTCTTGCAAGTTTGGCCAAAGACATCTTGCTCTGGCTTCTGGAAAACGCTTTGAAGGACTCCCCGAGAAAATCAAGGCGAGACCAAGCGGTACTAAGAGAATTACCAAGACTGTCACAAAAGCCCACATACATTATATCAATGGTATCCTTACATCTAGTCGGTGCTAGAGTTAGTACATCTAACACAGACAGTTCTCCCATACTTAGTTGTGAGCATAACTCGGCCTTCATACCATTTACACGGAGACAAGACACCACGCAACCCATGCTGGTAGATTGATCAATAACTTTTAGCTGAAGTTTCGGCTGTTCTCGTACTCCCATACTCTCACTCTTATCTTCCATTCTGTACTGCGGCAGCCCTCTTCGCCCTCTCGACCTGGGTTCTGCTATGCATAACTGTGCTCAAATCTCCCACCTGCACGTTGAAGGGGAAGTCAACAACAGCGAGCATTATTGCCAAGGTCAAAAACCAGTTGAGCATCGAGGCGGCAAAAAATGAAGCACCAGCCCCCTGGTACATGTTAGAGGAACTCTAGGATCTTAGACGCAGCACTTACAACTACAAGCCTCAAAGTAATCTTGAGTTTCGCTTCTCCTTTTGCCAGACTGATCACTGCTGCAGCGTTGTCCCCAGCTCCTTCCAAAGTTCCAGCCTCGCCGATGAGATGGATGGCTTGGCTTTCTATGAACAACGCCGCAGAAAGGAGAGCAAAGGCTACAGTGACTGCAAGGAGGAGGAGAAAGAATGGGATGTTAACGCGAGATGCACAGACCAAGAAGATTAACGACAAGACTGTCATAAATACAATTACGAAACCTATCGACGTCAGCTAGCGAACAAGGAAACGATTTCGTTAAGCAGTACCGAAGCTCGCTGTATACCCTGGGGTCAATTGTCCTGATACCGTCGCCTCTCCTAGGTTGGAATAGTAGCCTGGGACTGGAGCGTACGCTGCTGCTGCGCCATAGAAAGGTTGTAGTGTGGCCGCGTAGGTAAGGTACCATGCACCTATTTCCAAGTTAGCTGTTGTACCTTGAAGATCAAGCACATCGAGACAAACCATAGCCAGCAAAAACCGTGAAGGCGAAAGTATTGCCCAGGAGGAATTCTCCAATGGCAGCCAGCAGGACCGCTGCACCGCCGAACCAAAAGTATGCTCCTCTATCTAAAGTAAGCAGCGCCCTTCCGACGAGAGATAAGGCTTACATATTGGCAGCGCCCATTTTCTGGTTATCCGATCCCCTCCAGCCCATGAGACAGCAAGCCAGTGGAGTGAGAGAAATGCCAAATCCTATCAAGGCACTTCCAGCATCAGCATATATCTTTTGATAGAAGGAAGGCAAACCTACAGTGGCGTGGGTACTCCAAACATTTGCCGCAGTTGTCCATGAACTGGAGTTTGGGGACTGAGAAACAGCTTCTCGAACATCACCGGGTCCATGCTCAAGCTGCCAGTACGCTGCACTGAGAGGCCATGGTCATTCCTCTCGATATCATCGGAGAGCATGCCATTTGCATTATTGATTGGGACTGACATTTTGATCTTGCAGCAAAGAGTTACGAATTGAAGAATATTTTTTGTGTAGAGGAAAGAAAAATGGCACAAATCTGATAGAGGGTTATCATACTACTTTGTTTTCATCTACTCCGAGGTTTCTTTTTAGCTGTGGCCCACCATGTGAATTCAAGCTGGGAACTTCGGATGGGAATGAACATTGGTAAGGCCAATTGATCGGCAGGCAACATGGGACGAGAGACCAAGCTGGATGCTGGCCCCAGAGATAATTTAGTGACCGACGAGCGTTGGATTATATCACTGACATTGGTTGGACGACGACGGCAATAGGTAAGCTCGTCGTCGGTAGTTCAATTTTGAATTTGTTCCGAGGTAAGTTAATCGCTTGCACCCTTAAGCTTTTGAGATCTCCGCAGCTCGTGGTTGTGGAGCATTCGAGCTAGACATGGAATTAGTTCCTTTGGATTTCATTTGTAGTTATCGTTGGTGCAGATCAATTGATTGAGGTGACGTACGAGTACTCGAACACACTTCTAACCCCTTTTATGCGGGGTAATTCTCGTGATGGTGAAGACATCTCAGTGCACCATCATACTTTAATTGTATCTAGAAAGCAGGAGAGTCGTTTACGCCCCTTTTGATCAACTATAACACCTCAGATCTGCTCTAAGACCCTGTACCTGGATTATTTAGGTGTTGTTGCACGTCGCAGTCATGGCACCGTCCAGCCGTTCAAGGGTGCGGGGTAAACTTGTAAAGTTACGTGACCAAGCTGACGCTTTGTCGGTGTGAAATCCGAGGCGCTTTTCCATGAGCACACAGTTCATCACACTGCTTCGAGGGCAGAGAATATATCTGCGCGAATCACCATGGTTTCACCACCTTCACCAGCATACTTGTACCGTCCAGTGGATGCCGGGCACGGAGGATTTCGCGTTGCTATCTTGGAACCGTCCATCGAATTTCTGCGCCGATACGTTGCAGCTTACTTGAGACTTCCATCGAGTCTTATCCTAATTATGAGGCAATTTCCTATGTTTGGGGCGATCCCAACATCAAGACACCTTTGGAGGTCGAAGGGTCAGTTCTGATGGTCACTATGAACTTGTCTACAGCTCTGCGACATATTCGATTTCCCGACAAGAAGCGGTACATCTGGGCGGATGCCTTATGTATTGACCAAACCAACCTCGAAGAACGCGGACAGCAAGTGCAGCAAATGAAAGAGATATACTCCCACTGCACTCGAGATCTAATTTGGCTGGGCGAATCCAACGAACGGACTGAACGAGGTATCCAAGTCCTCATGCGTATGAAAGCATTGAATCTTTGACGAAAGGGTGATGACTTCTCGTTGATTCAAGGAAAAGAAGTTACTCTGAAAGATCTGGGTATTGAGTACACAGATTTTGGCCCATTGTCTGCAATTCTCCAACGGCCTACAATCTGGAAACGTGTCTGGGTGATTCAGAGATATCATGTTGCGCAGATGCTCAAATTGTAATTGGGAAGCATACGATGGAGTGGTCGGTGCTCAGTGCTATTCTGGATCACTCTGGAATTCCAGATCGCTTTCACGGACCTTTTGGACACGGCACATTTGAACAAGATATTTGGGATATTTTCACGAGTGTTCAAGTCATCCAGCATCAAAGAGACAGTTTCACAAGAGTACAGCCAATCAACTCGACATTATTGGACGTTCTTTCGAGGTTTCAACAAACCTATAGCACAGATCCCAGAGACAAGATCTTTGGTCTGTTGGGTCTGGCAACAAATGAGCATGGTATTGTTCCTAGCTATTTCAAGTCAGTTCGAGAAGTCTACACCGATGTTGCTTATGCTCAAATTCAAGCTGAGCAGAATTTGGACATGATCGCGCAAAGTATGTGGCCATTGGGTGCCGGGTCAGATGAATCCAAAGATGGTTTGAGCGCGTCTGTCACAGCCGGGCTTCCCTCTTGCGTGCCAAATTTCTGGCTGACCGAGAGGGAGACTTTACTGTTTGCGCAGCGAGGTATCTTTGCTGCTGGTTCCTCTATCTTCTCCGAACCGGTCACTGTCACACCATTGGGAAAGTTGTGCATACGTGGAACCTTTCTGGGAAGCATCAAAGTGCTGAGGGCATTGGGCAGTGAGATTGTCCCAAGGAATCCAGGAGAATCGAAGTGGGTCAAGCATTGGCTACCAGAATCATTGAAAGATGATAGTGTAGGACAAAGCATGTACCCAACAGGTGAAGATCTGTTTGAAGCTTACTGGCGCACTTTACTTGCAGATTGTCGAATGTACCCTGCTCAAAGACTATCACCACAAGACATTGAGGAGCATAGTCAGATCTTTGGCAGGTGGCGTCAGTTCTCAGACGTGGCTTTACCAGACAATTTGTTCCAATATACGTCCCAGGTTCCCGTCACTTGGAGCGAACGGGACGAGGAGGCCTATAAGGCTGCTTGTGAGCTAGGGAGGATCAACAGCCTTAATCATAAGATGGGGAAATGGCAATTTGCTGAGTTGGACGCAGGTTTATACGCAATGGTACCTTGTCCTGCTTCCTGCAGAGCAGATAGAACTGCTGTTCAAGTGAACGACTGGATACTTGTCGTGGATGGCGGAAAGGTGCCTTTGGTTATTCGACAAGTGAAGTCTGGTCTTGAACAAGTGGACGAAGAATGGGAAGTTCTTGGTACGGCATACGTTCATGGATTCATGGACGGGAGGGCAAATGAGTGGGTGAATGAGGCAAGGCTTGAGCGGTCCTCGATCACTCTTGTTTGAAATTTGGAGGAGGCCATCTCTGAGGTATGCCCTGTTTTGAAGCCGAGTGGAACCTTTGTCCTGATCCTCGCCTCAGCCAAAGCCAATATGTCCTTAAACAGATTTGTCGACAGTGCAGAGGTCGTGGAGTTGGATGGGAGTTTTCCCCACCTTGAAGGTACGTGGTAGTTTTGTGGCGTGGTTGATGTCTCGGGGCCGAAGACTGTTAATCTTATTACTCGGAGCCGAAAGTTTTCATCCCGGTCAGACCACCTTTCTTCAACATTAGACTTCTCACCTTTTACTGCACCCAACCTTCTTACCAACAATTGAGCTCTTGGCATTGACTAGGAGTCTACACTCATCTCGCTCGGAATTCCTCCTTTGAGATCGCGAACGAAGTTCTCCTGCATCAGCTTCTCGAGATCAGAATGACTTGTGTGCCGTCTGAAGCGAGTGCGATGATGGTGGATCCTGCAGCCTGCGTTCCCAAAGCAATCCTGGGATGGCCAGTGGTCACAGATGCGATCCTGAAGCGGTGTGGTGTACGGATATATCGAATGATTCGTGTTTTTTCTCACAGATGCAAATGCCGTCGCGACTTCTTTTTTTCTTTTGAGGAATCGATATCCGAGCAGAAGTGTATCAGCTTGGAATACCGTAGTACTATTAGATATCGAGTTCCTGGCCCCCTAAAGTGGCGTTGCATTGGCGTTTCGATAGGAATATTGTTTCATTCGATGAAAGAGCGAGGATTAAGCTCCTCTTACAACCCTGTGGCGTTTGTGGATTGGTGCCCGAAACGACGCTGTTGCGCCATCCAGGCACGAGATCTCCGAGAAGCTTCAAGGAGGCGCTCTTTGTACTTCTGGCGCGGCTCCCCACGAGATCAAAGCTTTCCCCAGATACAAGTGGCATGCTACTGTGGTGAGATGTGGATTACATCATGGCGGTCAAGATCTGATTAGTGGTACGTCGCCGAACACGGCCCTGTCGTTCTGCAAAGTTATATATACCGACCTATCATGCTGCGTTACCGACAGAAGCTCATCGTGCGTGGTCGGCTCAGGGATGTGCCGACAGACATCACCCGCGATTACAATTTCTAGACTCGCAATCAGTCAACAATCAGTCAGTTCTGTTTCGTTAAAGAACCCTGATGCGGATCACAGCGCTGGTCCCTTGATGCAAACTTTCCGTTCGCGGCTAAATTGTAGCTGCACATCCGGCACGGGATGACTGTTTACCCGCACCACTCGATTTTCTCTCGTCATCTCTGTAAGGCAGAGCCATAGCCTTTGCGATCTTAGTTCCGACCCTTCCGTGACCCCTTCGCATGGGAATCCTGCAAGGCTCAGGGAGAAACGCCACCACCAACCATAAGCATCATCTGAACTTTGGTACCAGACTTGACATTCTGCGGACGACTTTGCTGAAGTCAGATCGTATTGACTTCCAGCTGCGTCTGACCTGTGCCGTCAATAAGCAGTGCCACATGGGAAACGCGGAGGGTTACGAACGGTACCCAAAGGAACAGCTCGATTTTGAGTATCTTTGAGTAAGTTAATCTGGAAGAAAGAGTCCCTGAATATGGGGATTTGGCGTATTCGTTGCCAAAATTGTGGGGTAGATGTGAGCTTAAAGTATAAGATCAAGTGCATTACAAGATGCTCTTCCTTTACGTTGTCAACCTCTACAAAACATCTCGCTCGCCAGTGGCGCATAATATGACCGTTATGCAGCTTGTTTGCACAGACCATATCCAGTCACGACCGCGTAGGTCCTTTCATCTTGCATTCAGATACACTTTCAGCTACCTAGCCCCGTATCCAATTTATTTTTGGACAACCCTCCTCGTTTTCTCTCTTGAGACAACTGCCTTCTCGTCGGGAGAAACTTTGCTGCAGGACCAGGCTTCTAGGACCATACCAGGTGTACCACATGGTGTGGTCGAAACAGGTAACTATGCGTCTTGCAGCGCTTACAGACTATCGAAAATCGACCCAGACATCTTCATTATCGATAATGTCAGGGCGGTGGCTGCGAGCAAGCCTATCATAACCCTCTCATCTCTCGATCCTCCGTGCCTCGTGGTAGAGTTACCTTCGGGCTGTCCCGTTTCTCGAACTTGTTCATGACCTGAAAAGCCCGTGAGCCTTCAACACTAAGACGGATTTACGAGCTTCACCGAGCAATGGCTGACGCCTCATTAAACTCTACGAGGTTGAAGTACCGAGAAACTCGAAGATAGAGGGCAGGTGGCTGGCAGAAAAGGGGGAAAGAAGGTGTATTGAAGGATCTGGATTCATTTCAGATGAGTATATAAAGTGTGGAGGATCCCACTCGTTCATTCAGCAACCAGTCTCATCGATCATTCCATCTTTACCTACATTCTTTCACAAAATGTGGACTTCAATTCTTCAAAGCTTCGTTTCGACCTTGCTCTTCACTGGCCTCACCTCCGCAGGTGCTGTTCCAAGAGCGCTTGCCAGTTGCAATACTCCTTCAAATCGTGCTTGTTGGGTGACTGGATACAACATCAGCACAGATTATGAGAAGAGCACCCCTCCAGGAGGTGTTACCAGACCTGTATAGTTTATGATTCCGTTCTTGTGTCAATGCTGATTCAGTTAGTACACCTTAACAATCACTGAAGTTGATAACTATGTTGGAGGTGATGGCCAAGTCAAGGCTAAAGCCATGCTCGTGAATGGTAAGTTCTTGTATGATTTGAGATATAAAGCTAACATTGTTCAGGACAATTTCCAGGTATTTGAATTCATATCAACTCATCTTGAAGCTGCTAATAGTTGTCCAAAGGTCCTGTTCTCACAGCAAGTAAGTATCATGATGCTTTCACAGTTTTTTATATTAACAAAAGGCAGATTGGGGCGATACTCTTCAGATCACTGTTGTAAATGAGCTTGAGCTCAATGGGTTAGTATTTGAGTCAGTGAAACTTGGTTCTGTATTAACGAATACAGGACATCTATCCATTGGCATGGAATTCGTCAGCTGAATAATGACATCAATGATGGTGCCAATGGCATAACGGAATGTCCCATTCCTCCGAAGTCGTCCAAAACTTATACCTTTCTGGCGCAGCAGTATGGTACTTCATGGTATGGTCACCTGATGCTTTCGATGCTCGTTTCTGATTTCATGAAGGTACCATTCACATACCGGAGTTCAATATGCCAATGGTGTTACTGGATCTATCTTGATTCATGGCCCAGCATCACTTCCATACGACATTGACCTCGGTGTTTTTCCAATTTCTGACTGGTATTATGGTGCTGCGGACACCCTCGCTGAACAAATCGCTCACGGTACTGGCGCCCCTCCTCCCAGTGATAATGTTTTATTCAATGGATCAAACATCAACCCAAAAGGAGCTGGTGGCCAATATGCCAAAGTCACCTTGACTCCAGGAAAACGTCACCTTCTTCGACTCATTAATCCATCGGTCGAGAATTCATTCTCTGTTTCACTCGTCAATCATTCCATGACTGTCATCGCCACGGACTTTGTGCCCGTGGATTCATTCACTACAAATTCTATCTTCATGGGAATCGGCCAGAGATATGATGTTACTATTGATGCAAGCCAGGCGGTTGACAATTACTGGTTCAACGTCACATATACAGCTTCAGGGGCGTGTGGATCATCCAATAACCCCTCACCTGCCGCAATCTTCAGTTATGTCGGAGCTCCCAATGCTTTGCCTACCAGCACTGGTACTGCCCCTCCAGATGCGGCTTGTGCGGATATCGTAGGATTCACTCCAGTTGTTACCCGCACTGCTTCACTTTCACAATTCACACCAGCTCCTGATAACTTAAATGTTACCTTCAATGGAGCGGATGACCCAACTGTTTTCTGGAATGTCAATGGAAACTCCATGCAAGTTGAATGGGGCAAGCCTACTCTGGAGTATGTACGAGAGGGTAATACCTCGTATCCTATTAGGGAGAACATAGTATCAGTCACTGCTGCCAATGTGGTAAGTATGGAGATTTCTTGAGAGGGGTAGAGCTGACTTTTGGCAGTGGAGTGTTTGGGTGATCACAAATCTTACACCAATCCCGCATCCGATGCATTTACATGTAAGTTGTTCAAAATTTCTTGGGCCATGGCTGATTTGTGCAGGGGCATGATTTCTTGGTCCTTGGAGTTTCGCCTCCACAATCTCAACCATTTGGCGCTGCCCAGAGAACTTTCTCGTCTTCGGATGTCTCATCTCTTCAGTTGAACAATCCTCGAAGACGAGATGTTACAATGCTCCCTTCCAATGGATGGGTGGTCCTCGCTTTCGAGACAGATAATCCTGGCGCATGGCTCTTCCATTGTCACATCGCATGGCACGTTTCCTCAGGACTGAGTGTTCAATACCTGGAGAGAGTTCAGGATATTCCTGGAGCAATGAATCTGGCTGCTATTGAGCCGAACTGCAATGCTTGGAATGCGTATTATCCTACTGATCCTGATAAGCAGTATGATTCGGGGATTTAGAGATGTTGTTTTGTGGGCTGGGGTTTGTTGGAGTTCTTGATGCATTGAAACAATTGCTACTCACTATTTATTTATTATCGCTTCATTCAATTGAAAAATGTTAATCTTTTCAAGTCACCACGTTTGAGATCTAGAACAGATTGCAGTTGAAGAACAATCTGCGATTTTGGTTGCCTTTCTTTTCGTGGATTTCCGAGCACCCATTGTCTAGCCGTTGTTTCAGCTTCATTCTAACTTGCTTCCGTTATGCAGTACTTTGCTGGCCTCTTTACTTACTCTTCCTCCAACGAGCGAGGAACTTCAGCATGTATCAATTGCTGGTTGAGGGTAATTGCATGCTTTATTAGATACTTCTCAGAAGAACCTTGATGTTTATATACTTCCCATAGTATAAACGTTTGAATTGTAATACTCTCTTTGGGATATTGGCTTAGATTGAGACTTCCGTCATTGAAAATCTTCTCTGCTTCGGGAAACTGTCCATCCTCTCGAAAAATCATTCTTTCTTGTATTTCAGTTCCGGAAACTTGAAACCATCAGAGCATAGCAATTTAGCTCTAAATGTCTAGCACAGGTCGAAGTCCGTAATGTCAAAGCCTCCTTTTAATTCCTTAACTTGTTAACAACAATCGCAATCTCGGCAGCTTTTGCTACTGCTTCATCAGTGCCCAACTCTTCGATACAGCCGCTACTACATCTGAACTAAAATACAATTCGGATCCATAACCTTTCTTCCGTCAAAGCTTGTTTTGAATCGGGAAAGGACAGCTTGCCCAGGGAGAGCAAATACACTACCTTAGTCCCCATAGCTTTCAAGCTATTCTGGTGCCTGCGACCATAAAATTCAATCCGAATCTCGTTTCCTTGAACGTTGGCTCAAGCGCTGCTTCCATCATTAGAAGCTTAAGACCGCCACTTCTGCACACTTGACGAAATTTCTAAAAAAGTTTATATTACGATAACACGTTTTCTATATATTTAATTCTTATACTTTGCATTCTGAAAGCTTCGCCACGATTTCCCAGTACAATTCAGTATTATCAGAAGGTAGTAAGATTTCTGGAACCAATGCTTCACGGTGGTCATCGAGAACCGTGTCAGAGTCCTGCTCTGCACCATCTGATGCTGCATCCCTCCCGGTTTCTTGCATAACGGGAAGAGTCAATAGACGCTGTACCGCGTCTCTGTATGTAATACCCATCTTGGGGCCCAGTCTAGGGACATATGCAGTGACGAGCTTTTCGTGGAATCTCGCCAGCGTATACTTGTCTTTCCAAAGGGTGTTGATCCTCCTCCACAAGCCGATCTCCAGGAGGATGATCCCCAAGGCGTAGAGGTCGTGAACAGTTTGGAACCTTTGATGATCAGTGATATCTCTCAGGACCTTGCGGGAAATGAACTGCGCGATTTGAGGGTGCCGGTAAAGGTCGTGCTCGAAATGCGTCATGGAATATTCCAATGTGATCTCGCTGGGGTCGGTGGGTCTTGAGAAGGTGAATCCATGAATATATGGGTCACGAAGATGTCTGGCCTCGCTTTCATCCTCGTCGGCTAGGAATATGATGTTGTTCGAGCGGAAGGACCCGTGCACCCATCCGCAATCGTGGAGTCGCAGTAGTGCAGTGACGAGGATTTTGGCCAATTTAAACTTGTCCCCCAAGTCGGGCAACAGTGGATCCTCGCTCCTGTCAAGCAGGTTGTAGAGAGACACCACTTCTCGGCTTGCTGACTGAGGAAGTCTATATATCATGCCATATCTGGGAAACTCGTCGTCTTCGAAAAACCCCAGGCAATCTTGGACACGGAAATCCGTAGGCTTGGGCGTTTTGGTAGAGAGCAGCTCAGCGATGCGATTGACGCGCCTGTCGATCAGTGCCCTCACAGGATTTTTCGGGTCAAATTCCTTCCACTCGATCAGGATTCTGATGTCGTCTATGAATTCTTGGCCATTGCTGTCCTTCTCGTGGATGCGATATCGACCCGTAGTCCATAATTCAGATGTTATACGTGCTTTGAATGTTTCAATCTGTGTACGGCTCCGCCGCTGTGACATATCCATGGCCTTGTCCTCCGGAGACATCATGGCAAGCTTTGCCTGCGCAGAAGTTTGAATGCGGTCGTATAACAAAGCAACATTTCGTGATGATGAGCTACTAGACTCCTTGAGCTCCCTGCATGCAGCATTGACACTTTCTACCTGGCTGGCGTTGCGGGTCTCTCGAAGGACAGCTGAGTGGATATGGCTGTTGATGGCAACAGTCTCATTGATTCGTAATACTGCATGAAGTCCATCGTTGAAGTCTTTGAGGTCTGCTATGAGAGATGCAAATTTGGCCTTGTCTGATACCGCCTAGCGAAGCTTGAAACTGATTCTAGCTTTGATCGATGGCATTGTCTGTCTCGCTACGGCAGAGCCAGTCGGTAGCAGTGGAAATGAGCCTGGTGGGCAATGGACACCGTACTTGGTTGCAAGAGTATCTGCATGGCTGAGCATTTGCTTGGTCTGTTGCAGTAGGCCGACCACCAGATCGAACAACCCATTGTCCCCCAGTTGAGCATCTAGAACTCCAGATCCAGCGCCGAAGTATTGACCCCAGCTAACAAATCGTGCCTGTTGGATCTTGAGCTTCCATAGCAGAATGGGCGCATCCTTCTCCAACCCCTTGGCCGTGCTCAAGAGCTCGTAAGAAGCCTGGATAGTCTCAAAGAGTTGAATCGCAACACCTATCACACCCAGAACTCCGAACGCAACGTCCATGACGGGTCCTATGGACGGGTGATTCGGGTCAGGCCAAAGCACTCGTCACGTAGGAAACGAAGAAGGTTGATGGTGTTTCTACCCCTTATGCCGGGCGCTCCGTAGAGTCTACCGAGGGTCTGCGCCCGCCAAAATAAAGTGTGGTCCGAGCGCCCGTCTAGTCTAAATGAGTCGAGTCTAATAAAAGTTCCTCCCCCTCCCTCCCCCCCCGCCCTAATCCCTATCCCCCTTCCCAATGGCAGCCAGCGACTTCCGCTACCTCCCCTTGCACCAGGTTATCTTGTGCCGGGCCTGCGAAACCTGCCTCATCCCCACCGCCTCAGCCCAGACCGCGCACTTGCGTGCCCCTCCACACCAGCTGCAAGGGGAGACCCTCAAGGCCAGCCTCCGGCTCTTCGCCGGCCACGAGCTCCAGACGGTCGAAGAGCTCCGCCAGCACAAGCATGCCCTCGCTGCCGAGGCCAGAGCAGGCCGCCCGTGCCTCCAGATCCAGGGGCTCAAGGCTAGCTATGGCTACTCGTGCATAATTGACCCTCTTCGCTGCGTCTACTATACGCGGAACCTCGCGGCTCTTAAAAGCCATGCCTTCTCCCAACACCAGCGGCGCGCTGCCGAGCACAAAGCTACACTTTCATAGCAAAAGTGCCTCCTTCAAAGCTACTTTATTAATAAAAATAAGATCGATTACTTTATTGTAGCCGAAGATAAAGAAAGCAATAGCAATAAAGCGCCACCGGACAAAGCGCCACCCGACAAAGAGACGGCCCTCTTTAGCGAGCTCGAGAAGGATAGTAGTGAGGCGAAGCGGGACCTGGAGGAGCGAGCTAGCATCGTCTATGGTTTTGGGGACTCCCGGTCGGAGCGGGTGCCCTGGCTCGAGCGGACCGACTTCCCTACCCACTTAGCTACGCTTAAGGACGCCGAGATCAAGAGCTCGTACGCCCTGCCGTCCAAGGGGAAAGGGCTCGACCCTAACCTAGTCCGGATTCTGGCTGCGGCTGAAGCCCTCTTGCGAGACGCCTACCAGCTATGTAGCAACACCTCTCCAGGCCGCAAGATGACCCAGCAACGAGCTAATATCCGAGGGTATATACTACATCGGATTTTGGGTGAAAGGGGGCAATTCCCCTGACGGTGCTAGAAGGGGAAGGCGGTCGCCGAGGGCGGTGAGTGCCGAGTGCCACCGAAAGGGGTTCTGCCGATCTCCTTTAACCTCTTCGTTACTTCTAACAAGGGATCCAAGGGATCGCCGGAGGCTTGGAGCCCTCCCTACTCAGTACACGGACCACCGCGTACGCGTTTATACTAGTGAGAGAGACGCTAGCGCGTCTCCCTTCTTGCTTTCTTGCCTGAATGGAATTCTAAGAATGGATCTTCTTTCTTTTAATCCTACTTATAATATCTTAATCTATACGAGCTACAAATATACCGTTCATTCTACAGCTATTCCAAGGCACTTGTACGACCACCACAAAGCTACGATCCCACCTAGCAAGGTCCAGGAATACGCCCGTCTCTTTACCCCGGATTCTCTTTTACTTCCCCGGGAAGTGAAACAACTCTATGTCCCTACTACTATACTGCCTATCCCGCATTTGCGGATCTACGACGATGCTTA